CATCAATTGGAGGTGGAAATTATGAAACAACTTGGACTACTACTAAATCAGATGGATCATTTGTTACAGAATCAGGAATTGTATCTCGATCTGGATCTTCATTAACTACAATCACTACCTTTGCTCCTGAAATTTCATCATCATCAATCGGAGGTGGAAATTATGAAACAACTTGGACTACTACTGAATCAGATGGATCATTTGTTACTGAATCTGGAATAGTATCAAAATCAGGTGAATCATTAACTACAATCACTACATTTGCTCCTGAATCTCCTACAAGTGGACCTCAATATCCATACTGGAACTCATCATCATCTATAGTGCCATCAACACCACTCACCTCAAGTTTGGGAGAATTGAATTCAGTAACACCTTCAACTCACAATGGAAATTTAGGTCAAACCATTGAAACTGATGAAAGTCATAGGGAGTCATCTACAGTAATCGTTGGTCAAGGAAATGGTAATCAACATGAATCTACTATAGCTAATGGTCAAACTGAAGTTGCTGTTACATCCAACGCCGTTGAAACTAATGCTGAATCTGAAGGAGCTGCCAATACACCAGTTGCTAGTGCTGATACTCCTGTTGTTACTGCTGATACTCCTGTTGCTACTGCTGATACTTCTGTTGTTACTGCTGATACTCCAGTTGCTTCCGTTGATATTCCAGTTGCTACTGCTAATACTCCAGATGCTACTGCTAATACTCCAGATGCTACTGCTAATACTCCAATCACCACTGCTACTACTTCAACTAAATCAGATGAAACCGGAGAAACAAACGATACAGAAATTAGTCAAACAACAATTGCAGGTGACTTTGGTTCGGACTCAGCTGTTTCAACTTCAATATCTACTGAAATTAGTCCAATTACAACATTAAGTCAACAATCTACATCAATAGTATCATCAATTCCATCAGTTAGTACTTATGAGGCATCAGGTTCTGCTTTGAAAGTTTCAACAATATTCAGTTTATTGGTGACTATTCTTTCAATCATGTTTTAGATAAATTTTGCTCAATGATACCCCCAAAAATGTTGAACATTTTCAAAAAAAAATATCTTCAACTATAATAAGTGCTTAATCTAGAGTTGAGTACTAAATTTTTCATTTCAAATTCGTTAAAGTTTTTTTATATTCCTTTCGTCAAAATTTTTTTATTTCGGTTAACTAAATTGATTTCATTAATTTATAATAATTTACTAAGTGTTTATGTTTTATTTTGTATAAATTTTTAATTATTTTAAATTCTTTTAAAGATATAATTGTAGTATATTCTTTTCTTTAGTTTACGTGAGCTTGATTCATTGGATCTGATGGTCATCTTGTACAATCATTATTCCTCACCATATGATTTATCAAGTTAATGATACTTAAGCATTAATAAAGATTTTTATGCTATGTATAAAAGTATTGGTCTTTTAGTTTATACATACCAATAAATCTTTATTAAATTTGTACGAAAGTTTCACTACTTAAGTATCATTAACTTTAGACTCCTCAGATACTTCAATAACTTCATCTAAAGCTTTACAACTTCAAATTCAACTTCAAAATTATCTAGCAAAAGTTTTAAATGACTTCGTTCAATTGCTTTCTTAGCATTATTATAATCAAACACAACATCATGATATGAATCACAATCTAAACATGTAAATGCAACTAGCTCTTTTAATATATCTAGTTCAAGAACGTATTTAATTAAATTGTATATTCTGGTCCAAAATATCTTTATATTATAGTCAAGTATTGTAATCGCACCAATCTTGGATCTCTTTCAACTCACCATAATCAAAACAGTTGAAGATAAAACCTGATTGGTTTAGCTCCAATTTCGCGTGATAAATTTGTAGAACTGATTCGTTATACCAAGGATATCACGAATCATATTGAAGAAAGAGATCGATATTAATGTAAACTTATTTTAAGCAAGGGGGGTTTTGGGGGCTAGATTTGTTTTTAACATTAGCTGCTGGCACGTGATTCTGAACAAAATTAAAAAACTTAAAGTAAGATATGAAATATGAAAAATTAACAATTTCTTTTTTATTGAAAAACTCAAAAGCATTAAAAATTTGTTAAACTTACCATCTTTAAGATAGAGAATATCAGAGTTTGAGAAGTTGAATCATGGCTCCACATGCTTTACAAAATGGGTCTTCTTCTCCTAATAAAAATGGTGAAAATTTAGGTTCTGTTGGTTCTAAAGTTACAAATTTATTAAATTCAAATCCATTTGGAATAACAACTGATCCAAACCTGATAAAAGGAAATTCATATATTTCAGCTACAACAATTATAAATCAATCTATTTATTCTATTGCATCAAAAATTTTCAGTTATGAAACTATTGGTATTGAAAATTTACTTGATTCATATATTCAATTATGGTTACATAATCAACAACCAAATGCATTTGATATAGTTCCATTTTATAATAAATTTGAAGTTAGATCAGGTGCATCAAATGCAATTTTAGGATATTTTAAAAAGAATGGTACAAATGGTCAACCTGTTTCAGCTATTGTTGGAGCAAATGGAATTGATTATATGAGAAATTCTTTATATGGTCAAAAAGCTCCTTTATCACTTAATGTTTCAGCTGTTGATTTCGTTGATGATTCATTAGTTTCTAATTATGGTAGAGTTTTAAATGTTGCAAGAGATTTAAATTTCCCAGTTTTCACACCATTAAATTTTGGAAATGAAATTCAACATTTAACTATTTTAAATCATTTTTTTGCTTTTCTTTCAGGAAAACCATCAATCTTTTTGTTTGATGGTCTTGAATTTGCCAAAAATTTTAGAAAATTTGAAAATTTATTATCAGTAAAGGAAATTGGACAATTGTATCAAGATTTATTAGATTCTGCATCAAATTCAGATGCAACTATTGATAAAGCATTTGAATTACTTAATAAAATAACAGGCAAAAATTACTCACAATTTGAATACCTTGGAAATAAAGATGCTAAAACTGTTTTCGTTGTTTATGGAACTTTTGCAAGTGAACAATGGGGTAATTTAGTAAATGATGAGTTTGGTTTAATTCAAATTAGAGTACCTGTTCCTTTTAATCAAGATAAATTTTTATCTATCATTCCTGAATCAACTGAAAAATTGGTGGTCTTGTCAACTCAAAATGATCAATTGAAAGCTGACATTAGTGCTTCATTATTTTTAGGTAATAGATATCATTCACTTACTATTGAAGAATTCAAATATCCACATGATTTTACTTGGAGTCCAATCACTATTGCTAAGTCGGTTGCTAAATTTGATGGAGATGTTAATGTTGATAAATTATTATCTAAATTTGAAGTAAACAATGATAAAGATGAAATACTCAACGCTAATACTTCTCCAGAAGGTAAATATTTGTTTTGGGGAAGAGATAATTCATTAATTGTTGATACTGCTGATAAATTAGCTCTTTCATTATCTTTAGATGATAGAAAAAAGATTAGTATTAGAAATAAATTCGACAATTCAAAATCAGGAGGAGTTTTCCAATCACAAATAATTTCAACTACTGGTGACTTTGTTTCAGTTGATGCAGCTGATGTAGTTTTGATTGAAGATTTATCACTTTTGAATTCATATGATTTTTTAGCAACTTTAAAACCAAAAGGAAAAGTTATTTTAGTTAATAGTAAACAACAAATTGATACTGAAAAATTTCCAATTGAATTTAAAAGAAGTTTAGCTATTAATCATAATAAATTAAGTGTTGTTGATCTTACTGTTGTTGAAGCATTGGATGAAACTAATAATGGAACTAAAGGATTAACTGCTGAACTTTTATTACAACTAGCATTTTGGAGAGCAACATTACCTGAATTGGGTGGTTATATTGTCAACAAATTGTTACAAGCTAATGGTGGATCTTTTGAATTGTTGGCAACTGTTTTAGATAATTTCATCAAAGCTGCTGATCAAAAACATGCTATTGTTGAAGTTGAAGTATCACCTGAATGGGAAAATTTATCAGAAAAGACAGAAGACACCGAGAATAAAGAATCAAATGGTACCGCTAAAGATGAGAAAACAGAAGAAGACAAACCAAAAGAACAATCTGAAGAGGAACCTGCAGAAGAATTTGAACCACTTCCATTTTTCATTAAAGAGAATTCATTAATTGCTAATCCAAGAATTCCAATTGATAAATCAGAAGTAGTTAATCATTCGTCTTATCATAATATAGCTCAAAAAATTACTTTCCCAGATACTTTTAATATTAAAAAGGAATTAAGACCAGATTTACCAGTTAAAAATTTTGTTGTTAAAGTTCAAGAAAATAAAAGATTAACACCAACTGAATATTCAAGAAATATTTTCCATATTGAATTTGATATTACTGGAACTGGATTAAAATATGAATTAGGTGAAGCGTTAGGTATTCATGGTAGAAATAATTCAGAAGAAGTTGAAAAATTTATTAAATTTTATAATCTTGATGGGGATTCATTAATTGAAATGACTAATAAAGAAGATTTTAAATTTAATGAAATTAGAACTGTTAGACAAATTTTATCTGAATCAATTGACTTTTTAGGTAAACCGCCAAAAAGGTTTTATGAATCATTAGCTGAATTTGCAACAGATTCAAAACAAAAAGAACAATTAACAAAATTAGGAAGTAGTGAAGGAGCAGAAGAATTAAAGAAAAGACAAGATACTGAATTTGATTCATATTTTGATATTTTAGAAGAATTTACATCTGCAAGACCAGCATTTAATGAATTAGTTAAAATTATTGCTCCATTAAAAAGAAGAGAATATTCCATAGCTTCGTCACAAAAATTACATCCAAACTCAGTTCATTTATTAATTGTTGTAGTTGATTGGATTGATCCAAAAGGAAGATTAAGATATGGTCATTGTTCAAAATATTTATCTGATTTAAAAATTGGTGATGAATTAGTTGTAAGTGTTAAACCATCAGTTATGAAATTACCTCCATCACCAAAACAACCAATTATTATGTCAGGTTTAGGTACAGGATTAGCTCCTTTTAAAGCATTTTTAGAAGAAAAAATTTGGCAAAAACAACAAGGTATGGAAATTGGAGAAATTTATTTATTCATGGGTTCAAGACATAAAAAGGAAGAATATCTTTATGGGGAATTATGGGAAGCTTATAAAGATGCTGGTATTTTAACTCATATTGGTGCGGCTTTTTCAAGAGATCAAGTTCAAAAAATTTATATTCAAGATAAAATTAAAGAATCAATTGAAGAATTAACTGATGCTTTTGTTAATAAAAAAGGTGGATTTTATCTTTGTGGTCCAACTTGGCCTGTTCCTGATATTACTCAATGTTTATCTGATATTATTATTAATGGTGCTAAAAAACAGGGTGAAGAAATTAGTGATGTTGGTAAATTAATTGAAGATTTAAAAGAGGAAGGTAGATATATTTTAGAAGTTTATTAGATAATATTATAGAATTGATAGAATAAAATAGACTTAATTATTTATTATTAAAATAAAAGATTCCTACTAGTTCAGTTTAATTTACTCAATTACGAACGAATGTTTGTTCATCTAAACTTCGATTGGTTATACTTATCAAATAGGTAATGAAACTTTCATATTTTTATCTTCAAATTGTTAAGTAAGTAAAATAAAAATTTGCTGTCGCAAACAAATTTGTTGCGTCAATGAATGTTTCAAGTCTTTAAACAAAAATTAATGTGTAAGGAATTCAAACTACTTAATTATATCCACAGCTAGTGTTTTCTGTTTTTATTTCTATAATAATAGGAGTGATTGGAAAATCTTAATAATATTAACTAATATTAGGTAATAATATTAACTAATATTAGGTGCAGCTTGTTTAGTTCAATATTTTTGTTCTTCTAACACTGATTGAAAAAAATAATTCAAATTAACAAATGGATACCGGTATTCCTACATTTTGATTCAGTTTAAATACTTTATCGAAATGAAATCATGAACACTTTAAAAGACAATATAATAAGAAAATGAAAAAATATATAAAAAAATGCAGAGGTTTTTAGATGGTGATCCATAATTGCTAATCCAAGATTATATTACAAAACAAGTATATAGAAATTATTAGTTAGAAATCTTTCCTCTATAGATTAAGTTTATTCTTTTACTGTTTAGCAAGCTAGACTACTGATCTAATAAACAATTAATATTGAAAAAAAAAAATTGAGTAACTTTAATTGCAAAAAAGTTGCAAAAAAAATAGTATTACTTTTAAATTAACTAAGTGGGTTATTATTAACAGTTGAGGTTTGGAGGTCAAATAAAACAAAGTCAAATAAGCAATATTTTTTAAGACAACGGGTTATATAGTTCTAGAAACCGATATCTACGATATAGCTTGATTGTATGAGGCTCTTGAAATAAACCCCCTAATTCCAATATCGGTAAGTAAAGAGTTCATGCTATTAATCATAAAAATAAAAGTTTGGAATCAAATGAGCTGCTATCGACTCCAAGCAGCTGAGTAATTTTTCATTCAACTGGGATTATGATCAAACCAACACCTGCAGAATAAAAGCTCAAAAGTTCAACAAATGTGTAACATCAGATGTCCTTCTTTTCGGAATAGGCAATGATAATCCGATTCAATCCAAGGGATGAAAGATTATAACGGTTATATCTAATTTTCGGAACCCTTTTGAACCGACTTCAATATCTAATTTTAACTTTCCAGTGCAATGCTTGTAAAGACTTACATTTAAAAAAAAAAACATATTTTTCAAAATTAGGGAGTAAAATAAAAAAACATAGAAATTAAACTTTATATGCAACAGGAAAAGAACAAACTAAGGATAGCAAAAATTAAAACAAGCAAACAATCAATTGAATTTGAATCCAATGTAGATTGTTTAAAACCATAATGATTAATTTGCTCAAATCTTTATTGTAAAGTCAAATTGGATTGTACTGGTTATACGACCAATACATTTTCAAAAAGAAGTTTAAGTTTCATTTTTCAGTTGGAAACTTCTTCGTTAAAAAAAAACTGAAACTTTAGCATGCACTTGTATATTTAATTTTTGATAACTATGTATTCTGCACAATTACAACTTAGATTGATGCCTTACGATTAATTTCTTCATAGGATTCTTTTGCATATAATTTTTCGAGGGATAAAAACTCGGTTAAAAAAAAATTCACTTAAATTAATGATTTGCTATTTTGTATTTATTCTATACTCGTATTAACGATTTTCTTTACCAAAATTCATAGATTTTTACTCATTTTTTCATCGTGCAAAACAAATTTCGATTTACAAAATTAGGGATATACGTTTAAATGAATTTTTTTTAAATTAATTAGTTTGTTGATTAATTAATTAATTTGATTTTCAGTTTTGTATTGTTTTTTTTTGACAAGCGAGGTTCGATTTAATTTTTGATTTTCGTTTATTCGCCATAATCCATTAAACTCAAATTTTGCTATATCAGTTTGATCTTTCGTTTGCTATTCATGCTTTTTTAACTAACTTATTTTTTTGTTTCAGGTTATAATTTCTACGATTTTTTGGTGGCTTTTTCGTGTATTTTATTTTTTTTTAAAAAAATTATTTTTTTAGTAAATTTGCATTTAATTAAGTGACAAAGTCCCTATGACGCAAAGGTTAAGTTGAACATGCACATGTGTATTATTTGTTCAGCAATCACTACTTACCTACTCATATTAAATATACGAAGAATAATGTTACTTCTAACCATAAGTTAATATTTTGACAACATGGAAAAAAAGAGATCATCTGATCATTTTGTAAATCTAAATGATCTAATGGTTTGTTAACATCTATACAAACTGGGGTAATGAAACACAAATTAGAAATTGAATCTTAATTTTCTATAAATAGGTTGATACTAATTTAGAATTGACTTAGACTAAAATAGAGGATTTAAATTAATTAAAAATAAACGGAAAATTTAAATTAAAACAGTTCATTTTTTTGATGAAGACTAAAAATATAAAAATTACTAAAACTTTCAAGTTAGTAGTATCAACCCTTGATAATTAATAACAATAAAGGAGTCTAAAATCGATATAGTAGATGAACTAAAAGATATATTACTGTTTAATTATTATCTAAATATTTCGTGTTATAACTAATATCTAAAAAAGTTTAAAAATAAAATTAAATGAGTCTGGCTAAAATATCATCTACTTCTTCATTTCTAAATTTGGAAGTTATTTATACTATTTTAAATGAAACTTCTACTATAATAAAAGATCCACAATTCCATAACCGAAAAAGAATTGCCTGTAGATTTCAAGCTGTAGCTGATCAATAATTCAATTAAAGAATAGGAAAATCTCAAGGCAAAAAACCGCAAATCAAAAAAATTTGTGAAAAGTAATTTGTTGAAAATTAACTCTACATTTTAACAATATAAAAATAATTTCAGTAAGACAATTTTTTAATTAATTGATTACACATAAGATTAATTAATATGCATTTTAACTTAATCTTATCTGCGATACCCTTTACCTTATATTAGTGAAAATATATATGCACAATATGTTAAAAAAAATTCAGGATAGAGGTATGTAAACATTAGTATTAGGTCTATCGAGCACTACTTTTAATTACAAACGTTTGATCTCACAGTTTATTGTTCAAAAATGGTGTAATGTATTAATATTTGGGTTTTTGAATATAGGCTTTATTTGCTTACTCAAAGGGTCTATACATTTATATTGTTTTAAGTTTATTAGTTTTTAAGGAAGTGTATATAAAATTATATTGTCATCACTACCAGATTTTAAAGTGGTAGCATTGATTTTACTTCCTTTTTATACTGCATATACATCTGACATAATCATCATAAATTTATTATCATTATAGTAATTCAACAATACTCAGCCTAATTATGAGATTGTGAATTACTTCAATTTCATATTGAAAGCGAAATAAAATAAGGTGAAATATTACAGAAAACATAATAAAAGAGCAGCAACAAAGTACAAAAAGCCCGGATAATTGAATAAGATATTTGAACAAAGAACAGACTGAATTTATAATGAGAAAATGAAAAGTTGGGAAAATTGAGATTTGATACTCAAGCTCTTATGGTCATTAAATTTTGAAATTGGTTCCTATTAATTCCTATCCGAAAACCAGATCAAAAGAATTGTTTATCTGGGCTTTGAAGAATCGGGCCATAATCTTAAGTTATGAGCAAAAAAAAATGTTTGATATGTTTTACCCCAAATTATTTTGGGTCTATGGTTGTGAATCTCTCAATAATTAATTAGTTACGTTGAAGTCAGATCCATCCTCAATTATTTGGTTTGTAGACTTCGATTATCATTACGTAGGTATAAATTATTTTTTTGATTTTGTGTTTTACTTTTGTGGAATATTTTGAGAATTGGGAGTAAAGAAAATAGAAGTCTTCAAAATATTCCAGTTCACGATATATATTCTACAATTGTTGTTATTGATACAAAAATAAACAAGATAAATAATGAAGAGCCGTGTATATTCAATGAAAGTATTGAATTATTAAATACCAAAAGCCTAATCAGCAAACGTACAGGGATATAACGCATGTAACAATTAATAAAAATAAAAATTGGTTGAACCACCTTGGACCGATCTTTCGCTAAAAAATTTCAGGCAATTGTCGGAATGTTTATAGGAGAATACAGAAGTGGAAATAGTAGGTTATTGTTTCTGTACTTTCTCATGCTCATTTCTTGTATGCATGCAAGTATCGTACATAATATTTGTGCACAAAGATGTTATAATATTCGACAAAATTTCATCAATACAGAGCCCAAGGGATACAGAAAAGAATTCTAGAAGTGATTGATGTAATTTTACGGGAGAATATTTTTTTTGATTGTTGTTGTTACAATGTTATTTTGATGTATCAAGGTAATTTCGTGATATTATACTGTTATAGGCTAAGGCTCGAAATTTCTGAAAATTAGCTTGAAAAAAGTTTAAAAATTTTGTGGAGTTATTGGTGGTAATGGTATCTTTTTTAAGTTCAACATTACTTGATCATAAAAAATTAATCTATGAACTAAGAGATTCATAGACTAATATAACAGTTTAGAATTCATAAAACATGACTACATTAGAAAATTATCGTTTGGCTTCTGTTCCGACTGTATTCGAATTATTGAATCTGATGATTTTTAAAGCCTAGTATCGATGAGTAATTTAAACATTTATCTTTAAAAGTTCTTGTAGCACCTGTTACACACTTTGAAAAAAGTAAGTGATCGATAATTTAATTTTAAACGGCACTATTATTTGAACCGAAAAACGTATCAAAAAGAATGGGATTCGAAAATTTTTCGGCTTTTTCTAGTCAAACGTATAGATATACTTAAAAATGTTCATTCTATTTCACGAAGCCTGTTCGTAAGTTACTGTTATTTGCGAGCTACTCAAAATAAAAGTGTTCGATGCATTGCTCTCAATGCTTTGTAAGAGAATATTTAATCCTATAACTTCAATTCAGTTCTCATCCCAATGTCATTTTTTAGTGTAGTGTGTGTACAAATATGTGAAATTTGTGAGAACAATAAGAAACTAAACATTTACGAATGAAATAGTTTTATACTAATTCATTAAAATTCGAAGACAATTTTAGTCTTGATTTTAGTTCTCAAATTAGAAATCAACTAAATGCCAGTTTTAGATATGTTGATGATGATCAATCAATGATCAAACGTTAACGTATTCATTAGACTATGTTGAGATGTTTCAACAACGTAGATAACATCATGGCTTATTCAAAAATATTCAACCAAATAATATATATCGTATTTATGTGTCTTTTTTCTTTTCATCTACTTATGTAAATCTTTTCTACTATGAAGAATATCTCGAATTCTTTGAAAATCCTTCGAATATTTTCATATGCATTCACTTACTTAAATGTAATTTTATACTTATTTTATGTTTAGCTTATATTATTATTATTTGTATAGCTTTCTTCCAAGTATTAATAGAATCTAATTTTAGTCGCCAATCCTTTCATTTTGAAACTCTAAAAACTTTATACCTTTAAATCTTAAAAATGTATAGTTTTTAACGAGAAAGTCAAGGTTAAAGTTGCTAGTATAATACGATTACAATTTTATTGACTCTTCTTATCTTCAACTGGTGAGAAAATGATACTCACCTGAATACTTTGCTTATAGAGGAAGAGTGAGAAGATTAAATTTGGGCCTAATGAAAAAAAAGTACATGAACCCTTACTCGGTTAAAAAAATAACGGAATTGTATTGCACCCTTTAATATGAGAAAAAAATATATAAAATTTTTTTTTTTTTTTTTTTTGAGATATTTCTTAGGTAAATCTGAAATTTGAAATCTAATTTCAGAACTAATGCTAAGATCTGTACGTCAACTTGTAGTATTCTTCATTTTTGTACTATTGTACTCCACAAAACATAAAATAAAGGCGTTATTTTTATTCAATACAACTCTTATTATTCCCAACATGGAAAAGCTTTTTCCATCTTTGTTGAAGATATATTTCTTTCGCTTCCTCATACTGGTACATATTTCCATGCAAATGATGATATAAGCAAACAAACTTAAAGTCCTGTCATGTATACTTAATAGTTTGTATGGATTTATACATACATATGTATATAAGCTTAATTGTAATAATCGGATTTTAAAAAATTAAATAGGCTCATTAAATTTTTACTTTTTTATCAAACGTTTCATATTTGATATCAATTTTACTTTGATTTACAATCAATTTCAGAATACCGAATTGAGTGATCAGGTTGTAAGTTTAAGGATGAAAGGGAAAATTAGACGAAAAATAAGTTCACGAAAAACCAAATTTGAATTCGAGAAACTTAAGAAGTATTAGAATAAATTTCAATTTATACGTTGATCATTTGTTATAATTCGTGTAATTTTTGATCTTAGAAGCATATTGTTAAAACAAAGGCTGAATGATTAACCATAAATCAAAAGAATCTCATAATTGTTTATCTCAAGATCATCAATGCACAGATATATTACTCACATGATATTGATTAAATAACTAAGGTTTTTTTTATATCATTTGATGCACTCCAGAATGTTATAATTTTTTGTAGTATCACTATTTTACGACCATTCAATTTATTGAGGTTGATCGTAACTTTTAATCAATCCAAGAATTTGAAAATTTAACGTCCTTGCCTTTTGTCTTTGTTATTGTCTTTTTCTAAATTTATTTTTATTTCTAATTTCTTATTTTTATTTTGATGAGTGCTGCAGCAGTTTGTCTAAAAAACAGCTTTGTGTAACTAAACTAAAGAATCTAAAACAGCTTTAGCTTTAAAAAAAAAACCCTTTAACTGAATTTACTCCAACTCTTATTGTAACAAAAGTAAAGACTAGACTATAGAGGGATTTGTAGATTTATTTCTTATTCCCGTAAGAGTTCTTTATGACTTCAGGTAGAAGATGATCTATTTCCTAGTTAGGTAACTTTTGAAGCTACTTCCCAAGATCAGTAGTTGTGTTGGTGAAGAAAAATCATGAATAATGATTAATCCAAATGTATTCAATAATACCACATCAACTTAAAATATAATGAATCGCTGTACAACCTCATCATAGCATTGAAGCTACTTTATTTGTTTTTCTCTTTTCTTTTTTCAAAAAATTGTGACTTAGTGTATGAATTGCACAATAATTTACAAAAGTGTTTGAAAGATTTTATTTTCAATTTAGGAATAGAAATATACATATTTGGTAAATATCTAAATTGGTATAATTGTCGATCAATTTTAAAATTTAAAAAGAAGAGTGTATTAAGGATACCACAAATATGGGAATAGTATCTAAGAACATTGAATTGTGGTTATTTTGATTGAATTATTTACTTACGAATATTGAGCGGTTTTTTTCCTTATTTTTGCATACATACTAGATTCTAATTTATGAGGATATTCTTGGAGCCCATGTTTGATATATATAACATTCAACCTAGCGTTTAAATGTGAATTTCTCTTTTACCATTGACGGGCACATTTCTCGTACCATCGTCAATTCTAAGATGATTTTAAACGTTTTAAAAATAAACAAACACCCAATAAATAAACAAAAAAGAATATCGTGATGAAATTTAAATAATGTTTTATTCTCATTATATTTAATAAAGGAAAGTCTATTTCTATACTTTAACCCTTTGTTCTTCCCTTTTTAAATAGAGAATTTGATCAAGGATTTAAAATTACACTTTAACTAAATTATTAAGAAGGGTCTAATTAAATTTTAATACAAATTACATAATAAGTATGAGATTGGTTTTGTGTAACAAAAATGTACAAATAAAAAATTAATTTTTCTCTTTAATTTTTTTTTTTTTTTTCCTGCACTTTTTTTTTTTCTTCTTTCTCTCTCTGTTTTGCAACAATTAAATTTTAGAGGGTAATTGTATATAATTAGAAAAGTTATACAAATTAATAGAACAAGGATTTGTTATTACAAACAATGCATACTATAATAATCATGATTTTTACGATTCCATGCATCAAACATAACTATTTTTAGCCAAATTTACTATGTTTCTGTAATATATCTAAAAAAGTTTAATTATTGTTATGGATATTTTTCTTTTGCAACTATTGAAACTGTGTATTTTCACGAATTAATTAATTATGTTGTTATACAATTTTAAAAAAAAATTTTAAAGTTCATGGCAAATTTAGTATTGTTATTATTAACTCCTTCACACAAATATGATATTGATCAAATTAGGAAAACTTCAATAGTTATATCAAAAAAAATTTGTGATGAAGGAAAGAATTTGAATATTTATAAATAAAGAATACAATTTCCAATTATGGTTCGTTTCAAAATCTTATATATTTTTTCATCTATAAATTTTTAGTTTCAATTCATAAGAACTTTCAATTATATTTTATCAAACTACTCATTTCATTCGTTCAAAAAGAATTCAATTCAATTCAATTCAATTCAATTCAATTCATATCATTCGTTAAGAAATTATCATACAAAAAGTAGAAATAAGATTGAGTTAAAGTTTATAAAATGTTGAAACAAACTTTATACCCAATTTTTTTCTTTTTAATTCAATTAATTGCTGGGTTAGATATTACAACAAATACTATCTCATATGATACCATTGATTTAAGTGTTGGTGCTATCACAATTCATTCAGGTGCTTATTGGTCTATTATTAATAATGTTGTTTCAGCTTTTGTTGGTGATTTAACTGTTCAACCTGATGCTGCATTATATATTTCATCAACTAATCCATTAATTGGTTTACAAGTTACTTTATTAGGTGTTTTAAATAGAATTCAAAATGATGGAATTATTGCTTTTAATGCTATCAAATCATTAGTTCCTGCTAATTATAATTTAGTTGGTTTATCATTTGAAAATAATGGTGAAATTTATTTTGGTGCAAATGGTTCAGTTGTTGGTTCATTATTTAGTTTAACTGCTGCTTCATGGACAAATACTGGTTTAGTTGTATTCTATCAAACTCAAAGATCAGCTTCATTAGTTACTTTAGGTCTTCCAACTACTTCAATTTCAAATACTGGTACTATTTGTTTATATGGTAGTATTTATCAACAAACTAGTGGTATTAATGGTAATGGTTGTATTGCTGCTTATGAAGATTCAACTATTTATTTAGCTACTTTAATTTCACCAATTTCACAACAACAAAACTTTTATTTAGATGATTCAGAAAGTTCACTTGTTGTTCAAGCTGTTAGTACACCAGGTACTTATAGAGTTTATGGTTATGGTAATGGTAATAGAGTTGGTATTAGTATTCCATTAGTTTCAATTCCAATTATTGGTGCTCCAGCTTGGGAATATAATGCTGGTACTGGTATATTAACTTTAAGAGGTCTTAATGTTGCTGGTATTGCTTTATCACAAAGATTTAATATTGGTACTGGTTATGTTAATTCAAATTTCCGTGTTGTTACTGATGCAGGTGCTGGTTTACCAACAACTTTATTGGGTTCATTACAATATAATGGTCCAGTTCCTCAAGGATCTTTAAAACCAGATATTTGTGCTTGTAAAAAATTACCAGATGCTCCAGGTACTGATACTTCATCTTCAACTACTGTTCCAAGTTCATCAACTTCATCATCTGCAGAACCAACAGCTCCTTCATCATCAACAGGTCCTTCAGCTGAACCAACAGGCCCATCATCATCATCAACAGGTCCATCAGAATCATCAAGTCCATCTGCTAGTCCATCTGTTACTGGAGAACCATCATCTACTGGCCCATCAGAATCATCATCAGCAACTGGAGAACCATCATCTACTGGCCCATCAGAATCATCATCAGCAACTGGAGAACCATCATCTACTGGCCCATCAGAATCATCATCAGCAACTGGAGAACCATCATCTACTGGCCCATCAGAATCATCATCTGCTACTGGAGAACCATCATCATCAGCTACAGGCCCATCAGAATCATCATCTGCTACTGGAGAGCAATCATCATCAGCTACTGGCCCATCAGAATCATCATCTGCTACCGGTGAACAATCATCATCAGCTACTGGTCCATCAGAATCATCATCAGCTACTGGAGAGCAATCATCATCAGCTACTGGCCCATCAGAATCATCATCTGCTACCGGTGAACAATCATCATCAGCTACTGGTCCATCAGAATCATCATCAGCTACTGGAGAGCAATCATCATCAGCTACTGGCCCATCAGAATCATCATCTGCTACCGGTGAACAATCATCATCAGCTACTGGTCCATCAGAATCATCATCAGCTACTGGAGAGCAATCATCATCAGCTACTGGCCCATCAGAATCATCATCTGCTACCGGTGAACAATCATCATCAGCTACTGGTCCATCAGAATCATCATCAGCTACTGGAGAGCAATCATCATCAGCTACAGGCCCATCAGAATCATCATCAGCTACCGGTGAACCATCATCATCAGCAACTGGTCCATCAGAATCATCATCAGCTACTGGAGAACAATCATCATCAGCTACTGGAGAACAATCATCATCAGCCACTGGTCCATCAGAATCATCATCATCCACTGGAGAACCATCATCATCAGCTACTGGAGAACAATCATCATCAGCCACTGGTCCATCAGAATCATCATCCGCTACTGGAGAACAATCATCATCAGCAACTGGTCCATCAGAGTCATCATCAGCTACTGGAGAGCAATCATCATCAGCAACTGGTCCATCAGAATCATCATCAGCTACTGGAGAACAATCATCATCAGCTACTGGAGAACAATCATCATCAGCCACTGGTCCATCAGAATCATCATCATCCACTGGAGAACCATCATCATCAGCTACTGGAGAACAATCATCATCAGCCACTGGTCCATCAGAATCATCATCCGCTACTGGAGAACAATCATCATCAGCAACTGGTCCATCAGAGTCATCATCAGCTACTGGAGAGCAATCATCATCAGCAACTGGTCCATCAGAATCATCATCAGCTACTGGAGAACAATCATCATCAGCAACTGGAGAACAATCATCATCAGCTACTGGCCCATCAAACTCAGGAGAACCAACTGGAGAACCAACAGGTCAACCAACTGGACAACCAACTGGACAACCAACAGGTCAACCAACTGGACAACCAACAGGACAACCATCATCATCAGCAACCGGAGAACCATCATCATCTGCTACAGGCCCATCAAACTCAGGAGAACCAACAGGTCAACCAACAGGTCAACCAACAGGAGAATCATCAGCAACTGGAGAACAATCATCATCTGCTACAGGCCCATCAAACTCAGGAGAACCAACAGGTCAACCAACAGGTCAACCAACAGGAGAATCATCAGCAACTGGAGAACAATCATCATCTGCTACAGGCCCATCAAACTCAGGAGAACCAACAGGTCAACCAACAGGAGAACCAACAGGACAACCAACAGGAGAACCAACAGGAGAACCAACAGGAGAACCAACAGGACAACCAACAGGACAACCAACTGATTCAAACTTGCCATCATCTTCAAGCTCAAGCTCTTCAGAAAATGGAAATGGTGGAAATGGTGAAACTTCAACTACTACAGAAAACGGAGGTACTCAACCAACTGGAGGTAATGGAAATGAAGGTGGTAATGGTGAAACTTCAACTACTACAGAAAACGGAGGTACTCAACCAACTGGTGGTAATGGAAATGGTGGAAATGGTGAAACTTCAACTACTACAGAAAATGGAGGCACTCAACCAACTGGTGGTAATGGAAATGAAGGTGGTAATAATGGAAATGAAGGTGGTAATAATGGAAATGAAGGTGGTAATAATGGAAATGAAGGAGGTAATAATGGAAATGAAGGTGGTAATGGAAATGAAGGTGGTAATGGTTCCGGATCAGGTAATGGAAGTGAAGGAGGTAATGGTTCCGGATCAGGTAACGGAAGTGAAGGAGGTAATGGATCTGGATCAGGTAATGGAAGTGAAGGAGGTAATGGATCTGGATCAGGTAATGGAAGTGAAGGAGGTAATGGTTCTGAATCAGGTAATGGAAGTGAAGGAGGTAATGGTTCTGGATCAGGTAATGGAAGTGAAGGAGGTAGTGGTTCTGGATCAGGTAGTCAAGGAGGTAATGGCTCTGGATCTGGTAGTCAAGAAGGTAGTGGTTCCGGATCTGGTAATCAAGAAGGTAATGGTTCTGGATCTGGTTCTGGATCAGGTAATCAAGAAGGTAATGGTTCTGGATCAGGTAGTCAAGAAGGTAGTGGTTCTGGATCTGGTAGTCAAGGAGGTAATGGTTCTGGATCAGGTAGTCAAGAAGGTAGTGGTTCTGGATCTGGTAGTCAAGGAGGTAATGGTTCTGGATCTGGTTCTGGATCAGGTAATCAAGAAGGTAATGGTTCTGGATCTGGTAGTCAAGGAGGTAATGGTTCTGGATCAGGTAGTCAAGGAGGTAATGGTTCTGGATCAGGTAGTCAAGAAGGTAATGGTTCTGGATCAGGTAGTCAAGGAGGTAATGGTTCTGGATCAGGTAGTCAAGAAGGTAATGGTTCTGGATCAGGTAGTCAAGGAGGTAATGGTTCTGGATCAGGTATCAGTACTTCAATACAAAGCTCTCCATCTTCATCAGCTACTATTTCATCATACGAAGCTTCTGCTGTTCCACTCAAAGTTTCTTCATTATTGGCTGGTATATTTGCAGTTTTATCCATTTTTGTTTAAATTGAATTGTAAATGATATTAAAAGCTTATCAAAGTTTTATTTCAAAATTCAAATAAATTCAAATAATACTTCACAATTGCTCACTGAGTCATTGGTGCTATTAATTCATATTCTTCATGTTCATACCATTTTCATTTTGATTTATTTCACAATCAATTTGAATAATTCAGTTCTTTCATTTTCGGTATTCATTACATTTCAATCGAATATTCTTTTCGCTATTCATTATTTAATCATTTTATCAAAAAACTCATCAATATCATACCATTAATATTCGGTCAAACTTAACTATTTAGTAAAATAATTGTATATTTATTTATATAAATTTATCATTTTTAATATTTATCATTTTAAATTCTATCTTTTACGATTTATAATTATTGTTAGTTTTTTACTGATACGTTTAAAAGTTTAAATGCTTTAAAATAAAGATATATACTATTAGACTAAGTTAGTTTGATAAATAAATTTTAAAAAAACTACACTTACATTCATATGAGATCTTAATTGAATATTTGGTATGCTTCATGAAAAAGATTGAAAAATAAGTTGAATCACAAAACTTTTTCTATTCGTAAGAGATCAATGTATGTCATGTTCATAACTACAATTCATCTACAATATTTGATCATTGGTTTATATTTGATTTTGACTTCTGGTGTTTTACTTGTGAAAGTTGTAAAACCATTGAATAAACTATTAGATTATGGTAAAAATACTAGATTGAGTTCTGATTCAGATTCATCTGTCTTAGTCAATTTTATTGCTAATAATGCAGTTGTTCCAAAGCTGTGGTTTACTCATTTTTACATTTGTTTGTTTACATTATCTACAGCTACTTATTTTCAAGAATGTCATAAATCAATACTTGGATTGAATGATTCGACAACATATAAAAATTTTCAAATTATCAATAAATTACTTATGATTCAAGGATTTAGACGAATGTTTGAAAGTTTCTTCGTGACTAAATTTTCCCCAACATCAAAAATGAACATTAGCCATTATGTTGTTGGAATGACTCACTATGTCCTAATCGGCCTAGCTACTTATCTGGGATTAGAAATGAATTGTGGTAGAAGTGCTACATTTACTGTTTTAGATTATGTCTTAATGACTATTTTTGGAGTTGCTTCAATTCAACAATTTAATGCTCATTATTACTTAGCTAATCTTCAAAAATATTCATTACCAAAATTCAAATATGTTTCTTCACCCCATTACTTTTATGAAATAATATTATACACTGTATTGATGGTTTTCAGTATAAAAAGTGGATTTACAAATACATCACTAATGTTTATTGCAGCTTGGATATTTGTTATTACTAATTTAACTATAACTGCCTTTGAAACTTACAATTATTATACATTGAAATACAAAGAAGAGTTTAAATTAAAGTATGCTATTTTCCCAGGTTTTCTATAACCATTGAATAGATGAAGAGTATGGTATGAAATTTTTGCTAAACTAAAAGTATGGATTGTAGTTTTGAACATAATATATCTATAACGATAAAAAAAATCAAAAACAAAACACACGCTCTTAATATTTCTCTTATGTTCAATAAGTTCACAATTCTAAATAATTTATAGAATCAACCTCAATAAGGTATCATTATTCATCTGATGATCCAATGAATTAAAATCAATGTTGTTTCAAGTGTCCTCAAACTCATCTTACCAAAAACAAGAACATCCAATAAATATATTTTTAGAATCAACAGCATCCTCAATAGTTTTTGGATGTCCTGGTATAAGTAGAAGTATTCCTAGAATTGAAGCAAATGTTCAAGTAAGATCAAATAACGGTTTACCTTTTCCAATTCGATCAATCTCAATAGTTTTATTAACTCGTCAAAAAGTATCAGTACCAACAAAGTTTGGATCTAATGACGCGTTTAAGGAATTTAAACTTTACGAAGATCCTTTAGCTTTTAAGCCTATCAATGGTTTTAGTGAGAAATTACTTGGATTGGACTTACCTATATTAATCCCAATACCACGGGATGTGACTTCATCTGGATGTCTGACAACTTTTGGGTCAATCACAACTCATTATTTAACAGTCAAAGTTATAACAGGTGAATCTAGTGCTACGGAGGTTTCATTTGTTGAAATGTTCCCTGTTGTTATTAAATTATATGATACTTTACCTTTGTATCGACAATTCAATGAACCAGTTGTTGAAATTAGGAATTCTCCTGATAATCAAATTATAGCAGAGATTACAATACCAAACAGTTCAATAGGTCCTGGAGATCAATTGAATATAAATTGCAAGTTGATGACTAATTCATCTAATAATAAAATTAAAAAACATCTTCAATTGAAGCAACAAACTTTTCAAGTGAAAGAATTTCTAGAATGTTATGATGGAGGCTTACCACCATTGAGAGAAAATAAAATTCATTCTATCACAACTCATCCAAATCAAGAACTCAATACACAAGGAATTATTAGCAAATTTAGTTTTGAATTTCCAAAATATCATGAATTTTTGGATCTTTTCAAGCAATCAGAACCATTAATCATTTCGCAAGAGGTTGTTAACGATTATGATACTACTGTTATTGATCTCACAAACATCTCCAACCAAAAATTAATGGACAAATTGATTGAGGGTCTACCTATTACACATATACAAAGTTTTACATCTCAAGGTAGATTTTTTTCAATTAAATTTGAAATTATAGTGAAATTAAAATTTTCAAAAGCTAAAGATTTTGACATTAAATTCCCAATAACAATTTGTCCATATGATCGTGAATCGAGTGAATATTTGTTACAATGGATAATGCACGAATGTGAAGTTGCTAAAGCTAGATTTGGTAAACAATTTATTGATCAATTCTTTGCTTCAAAACATTATAATGACATTTGCGCATTGATGAGTAGCTATAAAGCCCCTCCTACTGTATATCGGTACTGTAGAGAAGATTGGATAAAACTAGGTCACGATGGGGATAGTTTTGGCAAATCTAAAAATATAGTTCTGTTTATAGATTAGTGATTAATTAATTTCAATTTTCTCTATAAAACTTAACATGCCACAAAATTAATGTTTGTAAAATTCAATCATCAAGTTTATACCCTAATTTAAATGAGTCTACCGCCAGAATATGCACCTACAGCTTCTACATCATTCACAATCTCATCAGACTCTTCCAAATTTAATCATGAAATAACAAAATCCTCGATAATAAAAACCACAATACACAAAACAATATATGATTCACTAAGTGAAATATGTTCAATATTGCCAACTATCGAAATGTTGGAGAACTCGTTCATAAAAGATTATATAACAGATAAAGAAAAATATACTTCCATTACATATAGATTAATTCATCAATATCAGATTTTAATAAAGAATTTTGATGATTCAAAATTTGAAATTCTCAAAAATTTATTACCAAATTTACAACCAGATTATTCTAATTTTTTATCTGAATTCATGAAGAAATTTGACTTGAATTATCCATTGGCTTTTAATAGATTAAACTCGGGATTTCCATCAACTATTGAACACATGGCTGGATCCACCACTCAAGGAAATGGAAATAACAATGGAAACAACAACAACAACAACAACAACAACACGGCAAAAGCAAGGTTGATTGCTGAAATTACTGGTAATTTCATTACATGTATGGATGCAATAAAATTGAATTATAAAACAAGAGATCAATTACATCCACTTTTAAGTGAACTCGTAGTCAATTTGAATGAATTTAACGAAGATATTGAATTCACGGGAAAATCAAAATTAATTAATTGGTTAATTAAAATTAATAATCTAGAAAAAGAGTTATCGCAAGAAGATTTAGATTCATTTTTAAATGACTTGGATATTGCATATAAAGGATACTATTCATCTTTAAAAAATGAATAAATTTATACAATTGATTCAACTTGTTCAGCATAACCCAAAACATTCTTTATGATTGTTTCGTTATCAATTTGAGTATCATTTTCAATATGGTTGAAAATTATTATACCATTATCAAATTTCCAATTTTGTAAATCCAAAGAATTTTTCAAAGTTTCTTCAAATTGAGCATCACTTAATTCTTGAGGTAAATACAATAAGTTTTTACAATTTGAGACGGGAATACTATCATAAGTCTTTTCAATACTTTTAGCGATTTCGAACCTTAATGCATTAATCAAAGTATCAATGAAATGATTGAATTCTTTACATGGTAAGTTTTTTTCTTCTTTCAATAAATTCCATATTTTAATATAATTACCTTCCATTAGATTACTTTCTAGAGTTATTGGTAAATTCAAATATTTATCATTTTCAACATCATATTGTTTTGAATTATAAATGAGCTCCAACTCTATATGAAATTTTGAGATTAATCCTTGACTTAATAAATATAAAAGATATAATGATATAATTTTTGTTGAATCAGTATTTAAATGTAATTTTTCTATATTATGAATTTTACCATTTGAATAAAAAGGTCTTAATTGAGCGAAAGAATTTTCAAATCCATTGTAATTGTTACTTAATAAAGATGATAATGCTCCTATTTCTAAAATCCTTTGAGCTATTTTTATATCATTTATTTGATCTTTTGTTTGTGTATTTGAATCTAAAGGTACTAGTAAATTGTGCTTTATTAATTCTAATTTAATTGGTGGTAGTAATTGTTGACATTTTTGATAATCCTCTTTATCAAACAGTGAGTAAATCTCTGCTGTAAGCTTTTGTAATGACATTTGAGATGTGAATCAGATACTCTGTTCTATTGAATTGATTTATTTGGATAAGTTTTGATTGCCACTAAAAAAGTCGATTGTTTAAATATCAAATTTGTCTTGTAAAATTATGTGTCTCAAAGTTTGGTGACATTGAAATGAAAAATTATTATACAGAATAGAGTCTCAATTTATTTTTTCAATCACCAATACGAGATGATATCATCAAAATAGTTCAAAACTAAAGAAATTTCAACCATATATCAATTACCATGAAATTTCTCACAACCAATTTTGTAAAATGTGCAGTAAAGGGATGTCAAATATCAGTGGACTCTTTTCCTTTAAAATATGAAGAATGCCAATTAGTACAAGAAGAACAAGAATTTAAACCAGATTTCATAGTACACATGTTAAATAAACTAGATTGGGAAGCAATACTATCAGTAGCTAAAGATTTAGGTAATGAATCATTACCAGTTACTAAACCAGAAGGTTTGGATCCAATAATGGAAGATGATCAGATTATTTTAAAAGATCTACATACTTTACTTATTGAAACTCAATTAATTGAAGGAAAAATGATTTGTAGAAATTGTCAACATATTTATTATATCAAAAATTCCATACCTAATTTCCTTTTGCCTCCACATCTTGCAAACTAGTCATAATAAGAAACTTTGAAACCATCTTGGTGAAATAAAGAAAGGGATTCAAGTCTGATTAGAGAATGCACGTTTTCGGAAGTCTTCGATTGATTTCTGCTTGAGGATCCAACTTCGGTTTCTGTAAAGCTAGGATAAACTTTTCCAGTCTCCTCATTTTCGAACCAAGACTGATCACATATGTGTAGGATTAACGAAATAAATAATGAACAACCAAGTTATAGAACAAATTATAATGAATCTACCATTTTTGTTATAACTCTATTGTCGAATATTCAATCTAAATTTCTAGGTCCTAAATTAGTTTTCATGTTTCATGGAGGAGATCAACAACTTCATTTCTTTTCATCATTTTTAACTAGACTTGATTTTGTGAAATGTTAAGTTCAACAAATTCTCTACAACTCAAAATTTATCGAGCTGTTCGATGCTCCTTATGCTCAGTTGTGAAGTGTAAGCAGTTTGGCTTTTTCAATATGGAATTCATTTACAAACTCTCAAAAATTTAAGTTGTAGTTACTAGTTACATGAAATAAATAATTCCGCTTACTTATTCTTTATTTATTTACTTAGCCTTAATAATAATAATAATATTGAAAAACAAAAAGAATCAATTTATAGAAACAACAATTATAATTTAGTAACAAGGACACATACTTTAACCATTTAATCTTCATTCATTTAATACATGTTACTACGTTCAATATAAATTTGTCTGGCTCATTTAAATTCATCATTACTAAACTACATACTTAGATTTTTATCGATAGCATAATCTTACATTATTTTTATAAATCTTAAGGCTACGAATTTTGCAATTTTCAACACATCAAAGTTATGGTTAATATATTCAATAACAATGATAATAATAGTGTATCGAATAAGACGTCTTCATCAAAAAATTCAGATGTTTCCAAAACTCCAGATTCTAGTAGTCCAGAATTGAGACCACTATCAAGAAATAGAAATAGATCAATTTCAATAACCAAATTCCTTTTCAATAGAGATAATAATGATAGCAGTGATAAATCAATTGATGTAACAGATAATAAACATTTACATAATTCAAATGATCAAACAAATAATTCTATTAATAATGGGAATGGCCTAACTAAATTCAGAAGTATGTTTCGGCTACCTTCATCATCTATTTCTTCATCTGATGATAAACTAGCTACTCCAAGTAGACTAAGATCCTCTTCAAGTCCTCTACAACCATCAGAAAAGGACAATAGACATAAAAAATCAGAGAGCATACCTGAAACTAGGAATAATAACTTACAAATCCCTAAAATAGTCACCAACGAAACAGAATCTCGTGATATTACAGAATCAACGAGTCCTGTAATAAATCAGAATCCATATTTTCAACACCAAGGCTTTCCACCACATTTTACATCAAATCAACCACCCCAACCAAAATATTTGGATGTAAATAAATCTCAACTTTTAGTATCTTTACGACATAATGATTCCATGTACTCATTAAATGATAGTGGAATACTAAAACCTCCACAAATTCATTCCCATCAAATATCATCAGGAGAAGAATCAGAAGAATTTGAAGAAATAGTGAAACCAGTTCCACCAAAAACACCAACAAAAAAACAAACAATTGCTATCCCAGATATCACAGCAGAAGATCTTTTATCAAAACCAGCAAATCAAGATGCTGAATTGACTCCTCCTCCATCACCTTTCCAAAGAGCTCTTCGAAGAGTTGCTTCTGCTCCTTTAGTTCATAAATTAATGAATGAAAAACAACCAAATGATCATCATGAAAAAATTGAGAAACCTTTTGATTTGAATGAACATATTGGGGAAGTTACAATTACTACACGACCAAGAACTTTAACTCAAGATAGAACTTATTCTCATTCAGCAACTAAAAAAGTTGAAGTACAAGTTGGACCAGATAGTTTTGAAAAAATTAGATTATTAGGTAAAGGAGATGTTGGTAAAGTTTATCTTGTTAGAGAAAAACAATCAAATAAATTATATGCAATGAAAATATTAAGTAAAAAAGAAATGATTGAAAGAAATAAAATTAAAAGAGCATTAGCTGAACAAGAAATTTTAGCAACTTCAAATCATCCATTTATTGTAACTTTATATCATTCTTTCCAATCAAAAGAATATTTATATCTTTGTATGGAATATTGTATGGGAGGTGAATTTTTTCGAGCTTTACAAACTAGAGAAACTAAAACAATATCTGAAAATGATGCAAAATTTTATGCAGCTGAAGTAACTGCAGCTTTAGAATATTTACATTTAATGGGATTTATATATCGAGATTTAAAACCAGAAAATATTTTATTACATCAATCAGGTCATATTATGTTGAGTGATTTTGATTTATCAAAACAAAGTGAAAGATCAAAAAATCCAGAAATTTCTTTTAATAAAAATGGTATGCATTTACCTTCAGGTGGTCATTCACCAAGACATGGTCCAACTATAGATACAAAAGCATGTATTGATGGATTTAGAACAAATTCATTTGTTGGAACTGAAGAATATATTGCTCCCGAAGTTATTAGAGGTAAAGGTCACACAAGTGCTGTTGATTGGTGGACATTGGGAATATTCATATTTGAGATGTTATTTGGTATAACTCCATTTAAAGGTCATGATAGGAAAAAGACATTTGCAAACGTATTAAAAAAGGAAATAAAATTTCCTGATATTCAAGTAATTTCATCAAATTGTAAAAGTTTAATTAAAAAATTACTAATAAAAGAAGAAGAAAAAAGATTAGGTTCTAAAACTGGTGCATCTGAAATTAAAAATCATTCATTTTTCAAAAACACTCAATGGGCTTTATTACGTCATCAAAAACCTCCAATGGTTCCAGTACTTACAAAAACTTCATCATCATCATCATCAAAAAAACATCATCAAAATGAACCAACTTCTCCTATTACGACTAGAACAAATACAACAGAAACTCAAGATACAAAAACCCTGGATAAACCACTTGATAAATTTGATGAAAAAGGAGATATAGTTTCATCAAAAGAAATTGAAATTATAAAAGATCCAAATGATCCTTTTTCAAAATTTAATTCTGTTACTTTAAGATATGGAGATGATACAAATTTGAGTATATATAATCCTAAAAGAAGTTCTTATACAACTGTTACTTATATAAATAAATAAACAAATAAATAGAATTTTGAAAATATTTGAAGATCTGATTACGTTACACACTCAAGTTTTACAAACTATTATATGTTTAATTAATTTTACACAATGTTGTACGACAAATCAACTCGGAAGTAACATATTAAAAACTTAAACCTAAAGCAACTAAATGTCAAGGAATTAGACAAGCACAAGAGTACCTTTCAACATTGTTGTTACTACTTGATGGATCAAAGGAACAATCCCAACAATTCTGTCATTGAGATACATGATAAGAGTTGGTCCGTCAATTTTTACGTAACCGAAAACTAAATTTAGTTTGCTTCTAAATGACATGATGATGAACGATTATTAGTTCCAATATCAAATGGGGTAATTGATGTTTTCATTTCAACTAGACTGGAGTAAAGTATATGGAGTTTTGCATTTTCGTATTTGACTATACCATTTCAAGCTCGTTATTTCTAAAAACAATAACAGGAACTACATAGTCACATCAAGAGTTGAAGTGCAATGATGTATTTTTTTGACTAGAATAAACAATCTAATTCTTTATTTTTTATACTAATTTAATCGAATATAAATCTCGTAAATTTGTAATAAGTGTTTCAATTTACTCAAAAATTACTAAATTTGGAAAACAAAAATGGCTGCAAAAAAATTCTAATAACAAATCGAATTTACGAATAAATAAATATCAACAACAAATTTAATCTTGATTTCAAACTACGAGTTAGTTTCTCATTGAAAACAACTCAATCAATAATCTAATAACAATTACCACATCAAGTAAACAGTTGTTGAACGTTTTTAAATTTCACCTATTCAATACCAAAATAAAATTACCTAGATTGGACAATGATTAAACTATTCAGGTACGAAATGTCAAAATTTTAGTAATAGTGTGGAGATCGTCGTTTTCGTAAATATGCATTAATCAAAAAAGATGTAAGATATTGCTGTTTCGAATTGAGTAAAGACACATTCGAATGTTTTGTTAATGAATCAGAACTGTGCATAAATCAATTTAATACACAATTACCTCAACGGGTATTGTATCTAGGATATTATTTGTAGAGTCAAACGTAAGTCAGTAAAATAATTTAAATGCATTTTAAATTTTTATTGAAAAATCTATAGAAATATTATAGAATAATGTATGCAACCGAAAATGTGAAAAATATGTAACGATAATTTTTTTATTTTTATGAAAAATAATTCCCATCCCTTTAAACCTAATGACCCTTTATCATGTATAATTTATGTAAATTTTTATACCCCAGTATAGTTAGTGTTAAAAATGTAATAGCTATTACTACTAGTTGAAACTTAACAATCAACAAAATCAATAATTCTTAATTTAACAGCATTACATTGAGCAGCGACATTTTCATCATACAAATTGTAGAAATCACCACTTAAACATTGATAAAATATTTTAGAATCACCTAATTGTAAAAATCCATCATTTGAAATTGACCAACCAGCAGCAATTATTGTACCTGCTTGTGGTGGAGGACCATCAAATTGAAATTGTCTATTTGCTACAATTGCTCCAACTCTTCCTTTTGAATCGGTTAATAAACTTTGTTTTAATGTCATAACAAGATTATTAGATGATGAACATGCTTGTTCAATTGGTGAATTATTAATTGGAGCAGCTGCTGGAGTAGTTGGTTGAGCAGTGAATGATTGAGCATCAACTGTTTTATTAGAATGTTGAACTTGACCATCAGTAATTTGAGCAGCAGCTGTAGCAGTGGTTTGATGTTGAATTTGACCATCTCCGATTTGATTAGCAGCAGCCGTGGTTTGATGTTGGATTTGACCATCTCCGATTTGATTAATGGCAGCGGCAGTTGTATTTTGATGTTGAATTTGACCATCTCCAATTTGATTGACAACTCCAGCAGTAGTTTGGTGCTGAATTTGACCATCTCCAATTTGATTGACGACACCAGCAGTTGTTTGATGTTGAATTTGACCGTCTCCGATTTGATTAACAACCCCGGCAGTTGTATTTTGATGTTGTATTTGACCATCACCGATTTGATTAACAACACCAGCAGTGGTTTGATGTTGAATTTGTCCATCTCCAATTTGATTAACAACTGATGCTGTAGTTTGATGTTGTATTTGACCATCACCGATTTGATTAACAACACCTGCAGTAGTTTGATGTTGAATTTGACCATCTCCTATTTGATTTACAACACCAGCAGTAGTTTGATGTTGAATTTGTCCATCTCCAATTTGATTAACAACTGATGCTGGAGCAGCTGTGGTTTGATGTTGTACTTGTCCATCAGTAATTTGATTTACTACTGATACAGGAGCAGCAGTAGTTTGATGTTGAATTTGACCATCTGTGATTTGTGCAACAGGAGCAGCAGTGGTTTGATGTTGTACTTGACCATCACTTATAGTTTTTGCAACATCTCTTCTTCTTTTTTTGGCTGATTTTGTTTCTAGTTTTGATGATAAATTTGTAGCAGTATCTGTAGCTAAAGCAGAAGCATCTTCAACTGTAAGTATTTGTATACCGAATTTTTGTGAATAATCAGTTGTAGCATCAGATGGAATTGCAGCAGATGGAGTTAATGTTGACCAAGGAGCAACTGGTACTGTTGCAGCCAAAATGGTTGTTAAAAATGATGCAGTTGTAGCGATTGTAGAATATTTCATATTTTATTTTGTGTTTTCTCAAGTGAGTGGATAATTTAATTGATATGTTTGATTGTAAAATGAAGTTGTATATTTAATGGTTGATGTTTATGTTTGTGAGTTATCAATTGATATATGAAGTTAATGAAATGTGTTTAAAATAGAATAATAATAATTTATTATAAGATTGATGAAACGTTCTCCTTTTTATAATAAAATATTTTGCAACTATTTATTTTTTTTAGTACAATAATAAAATTATTTAAAAGTAATATTACGAAATCTTTTAAGTTAAATTAATTGCATGTATTGTATAAAAAAAGAAAAACACAATAAGAATAGCAAGTACAGTTATGATACGAGTACACACACACTAAGAAGGTACAATATTTGTAACTTGTTTAAGTGCAGGGAATTGATAGCTTGTTGTTTTGTTTCGATATACTACTTGCTAAACCATATTATTTATTCATGAAACAATAATAAAGATCTTTCAATGTCAAGATCAAGGGGTAAAATTGCTAAGAAATTTATCATCTCATTGTGATCTGAGCTGGCTCTTTACAAACAAGAACAAATTGAATGATCAATTGTTATCACTAAATCACTAAATCTTATTGATTTATGCTGGTTAAATCAATTTGATTTTTGCTGGTTAGTTCTGATTTTTTTTCTCTACAAAACTCGGGTTGTTACACAAAATCAAATGATTACTCGATCGTTACGTAAGTGATGGATATTAAAAAAATGCAAGTAATTAAATGAACGAAAGGGGTAAAAAGTTATTAAAATTAAAAATTTGAAGAATTGATCGAGGATAAACCGATGTTTTTAATGAACAGAACTAATACTTGATCTAACAAACATGTACAACATGAAACATGGGGTCTTGTTCCTGGTTTCAGATCTATCAACAATTTTTTCTTGTCAAGATCTGATGTAAACTCGCTTGGGAGTTTTATTATTTTTTTTCTTGTTAAAATAATAACGGATTAAATTAAAACATGTTTGATACAACAAAGATTATCTTTTTTGTTTTGTGGAAAGTTAAATTTAGAAACATTATGATTCAAATCAAAATAAAAAAAAAACGTCATTACAAAACAACACTTAAATCTTCGACCAGCCATATAAACAGTCGGCATCTTATCTTTTAATGATTTTCTTTCATTCATTGTGCCTGAATGATCATGAAATTCGTTCATCATGGCTTGTTTAATTTTATTATTTGGAAAAATATTCTCAAAATCAATGCGCAAATAACTATCCTTGAATGTAAGCAGTTGATTTAATGCAGAGTTTTCAATTTTTAACCTCAAGAAACTTATCAGGGTAGAGAGGTGAATGAATTTGTTCACTTCGTTCATTTAATGAAAAAGAGAAATGGAGAATCATTTCGAACTTTCTGTCTCAAAACACTAATTACTATCCAACGGTTTAATGAACCTCAAAAACGTATTACTTATTCTTTCTCCTAATTCAATTTTGTTAGAGTTGATATTGTTTCTACAAATATACAGCCGAGATTGATCAACATGTAAAATCCGCAACAAATATTATCAAAACCTGTGTTTCACAATATGACTGAGTTCGTTTTTTTAGCGTATTAAGGAACGGATTTGGAAACGGACGACTTTAAATCAGTCGGCTTATCTCGGTCGACTATTGTAATATATATTTCTGAAAGTTTAGTCGGGGTTTTGTTTACTTTTTTATATTTTTTTGAAGCGATGAGAACTATTTAAGATACTATTCGATCGAATTGGGAAAGGGATATAAGATTTTTTACAATGCTTACAACTTTTCGTTTGACAACTGATTTCAATATCAACTGATAAGACATGAAGGCTTTTCGAAACGGTTGATTATCATTTGTCAAACTTTAATGAATCCAATTTGTAATCAGTTGATATGAAATTTCCATACCTGTTGTGAGCGATTTTTGAATGCAACTGAATGATATTTTCCCATGTTGGCTGACACTGTTTCTACGACCTCTGGTATTTTTTTGTTGGCTAATCCTTGTAATAAGCTTTTTATACGCCAGTTGTCAAAGGTAGTGTTTTTGAGTCAATTTTTGAAACAACTTTCGATATCACCTTCAATTAACATCATTCATACAAAAACTAAATCTGATCAATAACTTGAATTATCATTGTACACCTAATAAATCAATTCAATGAACAAGTCAACAAATAATTTAGGTACAGGTAATTTTCTCACACTCATGTAAATAATTCCAACTAAAACCAACCAACAAATAAACCAATGATTAACACAATTTGTTTTCATAATACCACCAAAGGCTCAATTTCTAACAACACACCTTTAAAAGAGGTTCAGGTACTTGATGGATCATATAAATGTGAAATCAATATTTTTCTCAGATTTTATGGATGTTGATATTTTGACAAAAGCATTTTAATCATCATTAAATTTGTTGAACTAGTGGACTTTTTAATGCAAGTGCTCATTTCAACACTATAACTCACTAAGGTTTGCTCATAAAAATTTAACAACCTATCCAATACTTCAGTCAATATACCGGCTTCCATAAAATTTGTGGAGAATATGATTAAAAATGTTTTTCAATTCAGTTCATTAAAAGCCTGTATCTTGCGGCAATACGTTTTGGGAGATATTGGACCTTAGCGGTAAACTTTGGCGAAGAATGAGATTGCTTTGGAGAGTCCTCGCGCTTTTTAAATAGATGCAATACATTATTACTTTAGATGAAATTTGTTTTTCCAATACCTAAGATTGAGTCAAATGATCCAATCATATCTTATATTTGGCGATTTCGGTCAATCATCTCCAAAAGCTGATGGAAAATGCTCGGCTCACTCACCTGGTGATCTAAAAGTCGATAAATTATTGAAGAAATGAGGTCATTAACTCAAACTAAAGTGTTGGAAACACAAATTTCATCAATTGATTGACTAACAAGTAAATGGTGTACTTTTTCAAGACCAACAGAAATCATAAGTATTTGCATTTTTAATTTTTACATATTAGCTGTTATCACGTATATGAAGTAGTAAGTAAACCCCTGTTTCTTGGCCAAGTATCTTAACATGATCCATAGTTTCAGTATCTGTAATGATGGTTGATATCATTCAGAGAAGTTAGTATTTGAGACAAGTTAATATGAGAAAATGAAGGAAAAGATTTTTAGCCAAGCTTAACTATTGTAGTTGAGATGTTAAAAAAGTTGCGGTACGGATGTAGCTGGATCTGAGGACACAAAATCTTTAGATTTGCAGATACCAGATACTAGATCCATAAGATTTAAGATACGACTCCGAATAATACCTAAATATAGTAACGTAAAACAGTATTGATTAAATTATATAAAATCTCATGGTAATTGAGTATGATCATGGGCTTGAACATTCGGATCAATATCAATATGTTAATCTACAAAAATACAGGATTGATTAGTCTTAGTATATAATGCAGCAGCTAAAGTTTGTTGTTGAATTTCGGATACCTCCATTAATTTCCATCAGATTTTGACGAAAAGTGTTGGAGATTATAACCTTCAATTAAAGGTGGTGTTTGCAGGTTATCGAGAATTATGGAATTCACTTAGGTGGTGGTTCTTGTTCATTTCGTAATACAAGCTTTCAATATCACACAGAAGTTCAGCTAAATTTAGAGTGACTAAATGTTTCATGTTCAAGAATTGTTTGCGGAAAAGCATCACTTTACTTGCCAACAAATTGAGTTCCCCCAGCCTGTTTTGAAGATGAAAACAGACCAATTCTGTGTTTTGTCATGAAGAATAGTAATATTTTTCTTGTAGCACCATCCGCTGGTGTTTTGAATTTTAACCTCGAAAAACAAAAACGTTATGAAATACGAAAGTATGAATATATAAAACAAATCATTAATTTTTGAACTGACTAATCAGGACATAGAGGTTTTTGTATTATCAAATAACAATATGTTTAGTTTGGGCCTCTGTTATGCTGATATATACAAAAGTGATTTTGTTATATTCTCGGACTTTAATTAGCAATAATTGCATGAATTGAGCATCACCAATTGTTTGTTTTTGTTCGAAACGAGTAAAAAATGCAATTAACTAAGTACAAAACTTTTTAACTCCTCGATTGTACTTTTTTGCTTCACAAAACTTTTTTGAAGTCAGGGTTTTAAAATATTTAACCGCTCGGTTAAATAAAATTTTTTTATTCCTATTCTTTCAATTAAATTTATATTCAGGTTTAAACATTTACCGGATCAAGATGTTTGGAATTTGCTCTAATTGTCATTTAAATTTTTATAATTAAAGAACTAAACTTCATTCACTGTCATAAATTGTTGAGAATAACAAAACGTATGAAAGAAGTACCGCCCCAATTTTAAATTTAGTTGAATACTATTAATAAACCTTAATTTCTCCATATTTCATATTGAGGCATGTGAAATTAATTTACTTTAGTCTAACTTAGGTTAAAAGGATCTTCAATGTATTTTAAATTATTGATCGTCTAATTAATTTGTTCTAGTACATTTTCTTCTGTTCTTGCAAATCTTTAATTTACATAAAAATCTAATGAGCTTGGACATAGGATTTAAGATAAGGGTCCCCTGATCTTCTTTTATATCTCGTGTTGAATTATACATAATTGTGTTCTTCTCATTTTTTGAACAATTCTTATCCGGTTTAAAAAAAGCTGTCGTACCTATTCACAATGCATAGCAAATTTATGTTAGAGGAAAAATTAAAATTAATACAAGATAAACTTATTGTCGGTGAAAACTAATAATGTATGATAAAAGCGTATATGTAACCAATGTTAAACAAATGTATTTGCAAAATTTTTAATGTAAATTGATCTACAATTTAATTTAAAATTGCATGTATGGACTTTTTGTTTATATTGCACCCTTTTTTTGTGCTTTGCTAAATAGATAGATCAAAAAAACTTGAACTTTTTGAATACTTTGATGATATCTGAATTTTTACCGTACTTGATGAAAGAAGAAGTGGTTATATTCTTCTTTACCTTACTTCACAAAGTGGAGTTAAAACCTTTCTAAATAAACCAAAAATTTTAGACTAAAATTAATGTCGATTATTATTGTTAAATCTCGATTAAGTAAAAAAAAAAAAACGTTTTGTAAATCTTAAGGGGAAGGGAGGAGTCTAATAGTTTTAGTAATTATCTTCAATTAACAACCATATTAGATATGAAAAAAAAAAATTCTTGCAAATCAATGCGTTGTTCTTTTTGTTTTTGTTGTAGTTGAAAAACCAAATACGAGAAGATACTCGTTGTAAGACGTGATTACCATTTCCATTAATACGATCATAATTCAATTGATGAACTTGTAGATCTGGCCACGCGTCTCAGATTCAGATTCATTTGTTTTATTTCGGTAAGAATTATAAAATTATTTAGTATGTTTTGAGGTATTTTATTATTTTCGCAAGCTTATCTTTTTTGTAATATCTTTATCGCTTCATCAAAAAGGTAAAAACAATAGATTAAGCAAAGACTTGGAGTACAAAACGCTATATCATTCACAAAACACCCGTATCTACGACGACTGTTGGACTGGCTTTCCGAATCTAAACAGTTTCTACGTGTAATATAGGATCATCGATTTTTTGAGATTAACTTTATATTTCATGAATTCAGAATAATTTTTTTCAATCCAAGTTAATTTCAACTGATAATATACAGTTTTTCAAATATTTAATACGCCTCAATGAGATAGATGTGTAAAGTCTGTTCATACCCCTTGAGGAGTTTGAATTTAGCTAATCCTTTCATATTAGTGAGAGAATGAAGTCTTGTGTGAGCCTGATAGTAATAATGTGAAATATCTTTTAAATATGCATCTCAGTTTAATTTATTAATCAATTTACGAAAAAAAAAAAACAAAGGAGAAAAAAGAAGGGATTGCTTACCTAACGGATATTTATTTATCAACTATAGAGATATAGAATAGGTTAATTTTGTTTGCGATGGCTTGAGGTAATCATTTGAAAAAATTGGAGTATATTGTTTTGCAATATATTAGAAATTCATTTTATGCGATCAAAGTGAAAGAAATCTAAGACAAAACGAGTAAAAAAATAAATAAATAAGGGCGTAGTTTTTTAATAAATAAATTATCAAAGACATAATTTAGACGAAAAGTGTTATAACCATTGCAGTAAATGATAAAAAATAAAATTCAAAACAATTATGATAAAGAAGTCAATTTCAATTTAAGGGTTCAACTTCAAAGCTTCTTTTGATCTCAAGACTTAAAAGCAGAAAGCTTGTCTTTTAGAGGCGAAAGGACTCTGATTTACAATCATGCATCATCAAATTATTCAGATGAAAATTGGATCTAATAAAGGTGGAATATGGAACAAATATAGTTACAAAAATTCTTCCATTTTTTCCCGGATCACCAGCATAAATAAGAATTAGTAGCATGTAAGATATAGCTGATCAAACGAGCTTTCGCTAAATTCATTTTGAAGTATAATTATATAATTTAATTTCAATTTTGTACTTTAAACAAGATATTAAAAAGCATCCAGACCTTTTTTTGTAAATTAAAACACGATAAAATATTGGAGTAATGAAAAGTTTAAAAGTATAAAAAAATCTCTGTATGCAATTTCCGGATTTAATAATCTTTCGTCATTTTTTCTCACTTAAAATAATACATCCATACAATTTTGTAATTTGCAGATCTTAACTTTGAATTCTTTACTCAAATTTTGTGTAATTTAATTTCTTATATGCAAACTTTTTAGTTGTGCACGCCTTTTTTATTTTTTTAGTTGTTTCAAATAGTACAGGTCACATTACCGCTTAACATTTTATTAACAGGAGTTATTACAATTTCAAAAATGTAAATCGATGTAAAATGGTTATGAAATACTAGGGTCTATTATTATTTTTATTTGTTTGCATAATCTACTGAAATATTGTTCCTTAAAATATTTATTATAACTCACACAATTGAAAACACATCAAAATTTAGTTTCCATGATATTTTGAAAGACACGTTTTACAATAGTGCTAGTGACCACAAATACCTATCATTGGTCCGGGTTATATTCAAACACTCCTAACTGATGGTTTGCACGTTGGATGGTATACTTTTCGGAGATATATTTCGTGTAAATTCTAGCTGGATAAATACATTTTTGTTTTTAGTTTTAACTAGTAATCGATTTACTGACAGATTTAGATTTCCTGATTTAAAATAAGACTAACTAAATGTAATATCGTAATCCCCAAATTAGTTATGAGGCTTTTAAAATTTAAAGCTTTATGTACATAGAAATAATAAAAAAATATGTATAATATGTATAATTAACTAAATATTTTCAGTAATATATTATTTTTGACAAAAAATAAAATTATTTAGATAATTGTTTTATGTATTATTATTAATCTAAAAATTAACATATATCATCGTTATGAAAAGATTATTTATAATATTATGTGTTTTATTATATATTTCTTGTTTACATACGTTTCATTTATTTCGTAACTATTTATACATAAAGATCTTAATCTGTCTCACATTTTTTTTAAATCTTAAAGAGTACAATCATACCATTCATAGCTTGATTTATATTTGTTGTAATTTCATTCTTTTCATACCATATCATACCATATCAAACCATATTTGATCTTATCCAAAATCAAACTACCACTTTAAAAATTTTGTTTATTGATATCATTCATTTCACTAACCGCTTGAAGAAAATGGGAGTATAACTTTTGAAACATAAAGTTTATATAATGTATGAAAACCAATGTCAAATAATTTAGACCCGAATAATAATAATATAGATCAAACTTATAATATTACTCCTAATCCTAATTTGAATTTAATTACAAATCAAAACTCAAGTGAAATTACAAACATATCTAGTGAATCAAATCAACCAAATTCTATACATAACTCAACTCCAGTTGCAAATTACAACTATAATTCAGCTAATCAAGATTTAAGGGTAGTAAATAATCCTCAACAAACAAATAACTTACAACAAACACCTTCTGCTCCAACACAAAATAGTATAACTATATCACCGAATTCAAACATGTATGCTCAAGTAATGCAACCACCAAATTTTTATTTAACTCCACTATTTATGGAATATCCTCAATTTCAAGCTTATAATGCACCGGGAGGAAATTATAATCAAGCACAAGTGTTACCACCGCAACAACAACATCAACAACAAATTCCACAACAGTTGCATCAATATCAACAACCTCAATATTATTATTTACCAGCTCAACAAATTCAACAACATCAACAGCTAACTCCTCAACAACCACAACCAACTCAGCAACCGCAACAACATATTCAACAAGCCATATTACCAAATTCATATGCATCTTCAACTTCACAATATCAACCACCTGTAAATAATCAAGTTTTGAGTCAAAATTATTATTTACATCATCATCAAAATTCAAGAGCTTCTATATCATCAAATAAATCATCCAATTCTTCAAATTCGTCAAACAATAATAATAACAACAGTAATATAAGTGATCAACAAAATTTGAATTACCCATTACCTCCTATATATAGCGTACCACATTCTCAATATCAGCAACCAATACAACAAGCACCACATCAACCAATAAACACATCACCATCAAATGCAGTATCAGCACCGGTTAACGAACAACATTATGGAGAACAACAAGTACAATCTTCCACTTCCTCAACATCAACAGATCCAGTCAAAAAGAATAGGAAACGAAGACATACTGCAACAGTTCATGATATGACTCCACAAACAGCAGAAAGAAATAGATGTAGAATTTGTAATAAACAATTCAAAAGACCATCAAGTTTACAAACTCATTATTATTCTCATACTGGTGAAAAAATATTTAAATGTCCTTGGATAAAATGTGGGAAATTTTTTAGTGTAAAATCAAATATGACAAGACATTATAAGTTACATGAAAGAGATTTTAAAAAATTTCAAGATGCTCCAAATAATGTTGATAATGAAAATGAAACATCTTCAAGTTCATATCATATTCAAGAACAACCTGCATCACAACAACAGCAACAATTGCCAAGTTCCGGTGTAGTTGCTTCAGCATCTACAACTGCTGGTAGATCTTCAATTGGAAATCAATTAGAAAATACTAGTGGTGTTGTACCATATTCTAATCAACCTCAACCACACACACAACCACCAATTACTTATCCAACATATCAATCCCAAAATATTGATACTAATCGAGCGTCAGTTCAACCTCAACTTCCACAATTTTCATATCAAAAACCATTGCAACAACCAGTGTCATATCCTCAACAATATACATACAATAATACTACTACATCTACTAGTGCTGTTGGTCATTCATCTACAACTCCAAGTCTTCCAAGTATAAATTCAAATTCAAATCAAACGCATTCTACAGCACAAAATACTACACAACCTACAACATCTCAAGCACCTATAACTTCTTCTCAATCATCATCATCGTCTGAACCAAGACAAGCAAATTACCTTGATTCATATAGAACTTGAGCGATTTTGGTTAGCAGGTTATTTAATTTATTATTATCCTTTTTAGTTCGTATAATATTTTACTTTATTTAATAAAACAGATTAATTTTTAATTAAGAAATGAATGTTTGTAGAATTGTTCGTAGAAATGAGATTTTATTTGATCTTCAATTTGAAATTAGACTTGTTTAGGCTAAGTTTAAAATTCGGAATTGAATTTTAAAATTCGTAAAACTCGAGTTTAAGGGGTAAATCTTATAAATACATTATTTTAGTGCATCTTAGTTGTGCAGAGAAAAAGAAAGAAAGAATATTAAAGACTTGCTATATTAGATAACAAATTATTCGAATGTTGGTTATTCGAAGTGTTCGCCAATCAATTTTATAGTCATCCTCGGGGAGTTATCGTCCTGTAACTTTTACATTGTTTGTATCTCGGCATCTAACCAAGTTGAAATTCGTAAAAATTCTAAAACCACATTAATTTATTAAATTGTAATAATTAAATATTGCTTTATGAGGATTGCAAATTTATACATTGAATCCTTCTTTCTTAAATAACGGTTATCACTTACTTCCGGTTGCATGAATATTGATTCACACGAATTATAAATTTAAAATTCGAATTCTTATTTTAAAGAGACAAATCTAGGCTTTGATCAATGAATTTCGCCTTATCCCTTCTTTATTTCAAGTCAAGAAAAATACACACCGTACATAAATTAACAACTTGATTACGAACCTTTCTTCCATCATAAAAAATGCTGCTTGCTTTTTGATAACAAGAAAAGAAAAGTGCAATTGCAATTAATTTCGGACTTAATTGATTCATTTATTTAATAATGATAATTAATTTATGCGCGAATCTGCCTATTGAATTAAAAATTGGCCTAATTAGTTCAAATTTAATTAATGTAAATCAAATTTCATATTGTAAATCATCAGTTATGAGTTTGATTGACAATCCCTTTTTGTAAGTTACTTACTAATTAGTCTTATTTTGCCATTGCTATAATTATTGTTTAACATAGAGATAATAGAGAGAACTAGACTCGTACAATATCAAAATGATAAATTATAGTTTTTTTTTTGTGTTACACTCTGTGTTCAAGTTAGTGACTCAAACCTCAAGATGGGACTCGTTTTTCTTGAGGATGAATGATTAACCACGGCATTATTGATTTGTGGTCTACAAATAATTTGATCGAATTAGTTCTACCAATATTGATGAATGTTATCCATCCAATATACTAATTGTTATACAGTATGTTGAAATTGGTAGAAACAAACTTGATTTGCACACGACCGCCAAATTTTTAAACCAACCAAACTTGTAGAAAAAAATATTACTTCACGAAAATAGAGAGAAGAAATCACGCATACAATCGATCATACCAATTAAACTCATCAAAACATAAATACAAAATGGCAGCAGGACATTTTGCTAAATACATACGTCATGCCCCAGTAGCCAAACCTCACGTTGCTCCACATATCTATTGGGGTGCTAAGTTAATGGGTGCCACAATGTGGTTTTGGATTTTTTATAGAATTAAAGAAGATGGACCTGTTATATTTGGAATGAAATTACCATTTGAACATCATTAAATATCATATTTGAGACCTCAAACTTCATAAACTTGGAGACAAATTTTTCAACACACTAGCATCAAAATTGTCATGACTTCTGACATTTTATCAACACTCGAAACCTCATTATCGAGTGACATCATTTTCATTTATCGATAAATAAAAACACAGAATGGAATTAATTCAATTTGCAATCCAATAGCACAAACTAATGTATAAAACATGTTTGATCAATCAGTGATCATGTACTTTTGCACAAATTTTCATTTCACATAAATTTTCACTTTTTTGGTGAAGGATTAACTTAGTCTTATAGACAATACACGCATTTATTTTATTAGAAATCACATTTCAATGGAATTAACTCTTTTCAAGACTATTAATATATTGTTTATTAGAATCTCAATATATTATTTAATACAACGTACACCAATTCTTTTATACAATACATCTAAATCATGAATTTCATTAACTTTCTACAATAACTTTAACAAATCTTTCATGTCCGAACTTGGTTGCATTTGCAAACTTGAGAAGCGGCGGCTTTGCGTAGGTGTTTAGTCCATCGGTATTGATCTTAAATCATTTCGTTCATATTCATAAGTATCTTGATTGTCAAAATTAATGTTGGGCCAAAGAATCTCTAAATTTAATGTAAGCTACAGTCTTGATTCTTATGTTCATTCCTTCTTAAACCTCAATTTTGTCTAATTTGTACCTTTACCTGGTTGATAGAAAATGTCTCTTTGTCTGCAAGTGGGAATCACGAGTAGCTAAAATGCAACTTTGTTTTAGAGTTAATTCGCTTTGGTCCCTTTAAACAACATTGATAATAACATCGACGAGTTCTAATATACAATTTTTTTCAACTCTTGTAGATTTAAGAACTCTTACAATAAGAGGTAATACAGTACGGATGGAGTAAGAGCTGAAGTTTTTTTGATTTTTGATTTTTTGTTAAAGCAAAACTCTTGTATTAAGTATAGGGACTAGAAGCAACAACACGATAACATTGTGTTGAATATCTTTTATTCAACACAATGTACCAGCAAGCAGTATCATCTGACAAAATTAGGATGTTCCAAAATAAATTTGTAACAACTCGACTCTAAATGTCAATATAATTATCCAGTAATCGAGAATTTGAAACAACTAATTTTGTGTAATTAACATGTTTTGGCCATGATATTATACTCACACCTTGGTTCAGCATCGTAATGGCCAGATAATGCCGATAGTAGCCCAAAATACTAGTATGAAGTGATCTGACTAATGTCAAACATATCTCATAGGTCGGTAGTATTGTTCGTCAAATTTTTTCGCACCTGCTCTCAAATCTTCAACTGAAGGCAGCAGCAGTATTGAGGAAATGGTCAATTCGCAAATCTTGCCCTGAATTCTTTCTTTCATGAAATATCTCTTAAAGCTAGTCATCAACTGTCAACTACTCTGTAATTTCATCTGACCGTCTCGCATTTAGAGTTCTTTCGAACATAAAAAGGTATCAAAAGGATATACCTTGATATACTAACTGTTTGGTTCAGTTGAGCCATAACTGTAGCCAAATTGTGATCCAGTTTTTAAAATTTTCATGTCTTTTGATTGTACTACCAAATAACCTTCAGTGTATGCTTCTAAAAATTCCAAGCGTTTTTTGTTAGACCAATTTTGACGTATCTGGTAAATTCAATTAGTAATGAACCTTTAAAACTGCAAGTATATGTTGCTTTCAAATTGGATAAAAATTGTAGTGCAATTCTCGTTTCGAGTGAAAACCATTTTTTAAGCGCCATTTTGACTTCCTATGATTGCAAATAGAATTCATATTTCTTATGATGGCTTCATCTATTCTAATTTGAGCATCAAAAACTCCATACAAGTAGCATTCAGATTATGAGGATAAAAACCATGCTGCAATTTTTCGGTACAAAGACCAAATTTTGAAAAAATGGGTGTTGATAGCGAACCTGGGAACATTCGACGATACCTGTCCCTATGCCAGATTCGTTATAATAATTTTGATTTTCGCTCAGACCCAAAGATTCAGAAAACGTTATTACTTATTGCATGTTTTTGAATGTTATTTGTATGAGGAAAATATGGTTAGCCTGATCATTATCACCCAATAGCCTGATCATTATCACCCAATCTCCAGGGTGAGTAGGTTTTGTTTATTATCTGGTATAACCGGCACGTTTTCAGTTACTCTTCACTTGTAAAGTATTAATTCCAGAGAAGATGGTTATCAATTGATTCAATCAACTTGGACAAATGAATGTGCAAATCGACAAAATTTAAAAAATTTCTATTGACAAGCATGAAGTTTGACAAGGTATTCAATTTTTGAAACGGTCTATTTTGTGTAATGTTACGGTTTAGATTGGAAAAAAATCGAAAAGCAGTAATTGAAGCAAAAAAATATGAAAACAAGTTTGATTCTTTACCAAGTATTAGAATACCCACTACCAAAGAACATAACTCCTTTTTTAATTTTAAAATAATTTTATTGGTCACTTTAAATCATAAAATTCTGTTTTAAACCTTTTCAATTAATTTTCATACAATTTTACTGTATTTTTTTCCAGATACATTAAATTTTGAAATGATCCCTGGTTCCTATGGATACTAATTGTTTATTAAATCAGTAATCTAGTTTATTTTTGCATCAGTTTATAATCTTATTCAACTTGAATGATTACAGATTCAGTTCTAATTTATATGCCAAAGAAACATGCTGCTGAATTAACAAATGATCTGTATTTTTTCATCATAAGTATTGACTCTACAAAAATTACTTGTCAGTAGTCATTTCCATTAATGTAGAAATAATTTTAACAACTTCACTAGGTATCAAAATTAATTCCGCCATCGGATTGCTAGATGTTCAAGCTTAATGATAAATTAAATCAAAGGAACTATCTGGATTTAACCCATACATAAAAAATGTCACGTCAGATTCAGAAATAGCTAGTTGAATATTGGATTTTGATGAATTAAACGCCAGTCAAGTACTCCGTGGGATCAAGAGTATCCAAAAACTTATTTTGATTGACACAAGGTCTAAAACTCGCAACGAAATAGGCTTTTCAAATTGCAAATACAGGTCGTTCTCAAACGAATTTTGTAAAAAATACATGTTTGCTCAGATATCTGGTTCAATTTCAATCTGAGTATCATTACCTTCATACAAATAGCATTCAGAATTTACAATGAAATTTTGATCAATTGTTACAATGTTAAACAAACCAACTTGGTAAAAAAAAGTGACTTTTAGAAACCTGATTTTTCTGTATCCAATTTTGAACCAGATTGAACCTTCTTCTGTATCCAATTTTGAACTTGATCCTGAACCTTCGCCAGGACCCACCCTATTCATATTGAATTTTATTTTTGTTTAAATCCAATTCGTTTAAAAACAGTCTTAGATATTGTTGAATTTTGAATGTAATTTGTATGAGCGTGCTTGGGGTTGTTGTTTAATATCAGGTGTTATTACTTAATCTGTGGGTTAAAATTTTCAGCCATTTAAAATAGTTTCAGTTTTAGTAACTACACTATGCTACGCAGTCTATTTACTGTCCGCAGACGTCACAAGACCTTCGCTGCATCGACAAATTAAGAAGTTCATAGGTCTGAAAATGTTGAAGATGCCTTCGGTAGAGTGGATAACATGGCTATCAATTGTTCAAAATGATTGCAAACATATCTTGAAATTGATTACTTGATCAAACATCTGTTTGTAAATAGAACAGTTCACGGCAGCATTTGCTCTAGTGCCATCAAAGCGTATGCTCCACATGCTTATAAAAGGTGATTAGCTGAATTGAGCCTGAATCTGAATAATTACAAGTTTCAATTCTGGACATTGGAGTTCATGATCGTTAAATTAACATAAAGCACCTTTACCACTGCCGGTTAAACATGATAAGTCTTATGGTACTGTATGTTTTGATTTTCTTTAATTGATAGATTCTATAGTTGCAAGTTTAATTTTTAAAAAAAAATTAATTATTTTCTTTGTAGATTTGTAATTACTGGCTTTTGAACTCATAAAAGTTCATTACAGTTGTATCGCACGGTCACTGACTTAGTATTCAATGCAAGTCATTTTTACGATATTGTTTGTCCAATCATTGTGATTTTACAAATTTGTAACCAACTCCAGAAATAAATATTCTAAATAGTAATCTTGCATATTGAAACATATCATTTTGTGTAGCTTTTTTACGAACAGTCTGGATGAAAAACCATCCAGGACCATCTTCCAAAAAATGAATTTTGATATTGCTTGTTTGTTTGAATAAATTACCATAGATTTATTTTCTCAAGAGTTTCAAATGTATTTTGTAAGAGGAAACTAGACAAGTTTTGAAGACTCGCTTTGATTGGAGCCTTTAAAGTCAGTTTTATCTGTTCAAGATTCTTAAGTACCCATCCCAAGTTTTTGTGTAACATTAGAAACTCTAATTTTAGAGTACATTTATTATTGTACAGTTTCATCCACGTAACTCAAGATATATTCATCAAAACTAGTCTGAGAGCTAAATTCTTCATATAATTACTGTTTGTAAATTCTCAAATGAAGGCATAGAACTTTTATCTCATGAAAACGTTCAAGTTAGAAAAAATTAAAAAAGGTGCCAGGTCCTTTCGACTACGGATCAGGTCCCTCTCTGTAATAAAAAATTTAAATGCCACTCAAACCACCAACTTATGAGACAGTTGTACTTATTGCCCCATTTTGTTTGTGATTTGTATGAGAATGTTTTTTGTCTCGATTGAAATGATTGATGAAACTTTGGAATGATTCGTTTGTCACCATCAAGAAGAAATATGTTTTCCCATCTTGTTGAAACACACAAAATAGAATTTGAAATTAGAATTTGAGTTTGGGATAAATAAATTAATAAAAAGTATCATCATCCCATGACATTAAATCTCGTGGTTCAGGAGGTATTAAGTAAAACGACTTGTAAAGAGTAACATTATTGTATACTGTAGTTCTAAATTATATTAAACTTAAAATCTCATATGATCTCCCGGATAAAATGGACCAAGATCCTTGTAAATCTGTAGTAATCTGTTTGTTTCTTATCTCTTCTTCCCCTCAAAAATATACTGGCTGAAAAAGTACATATTTACGAGTGTAATATGTTACACCGAAGCTGTTTGTATCCTAGAATTTGAAGAAATGATTCCATATTGTCATTTCATTTTATCAGAACTGACGATGGTTCTCCTTTGTACTTTGACCTATTATTCAATATTACTTGAAAATTTGATGAATCAAATTGAAAAATTCGGAAAGATTTGGAGTGAGTTTTCTTTTAGGCTAATTTAGACGAAAGAAATGAAAGTCCTTTTTACTGTCAGTCACCAACACTACCACGTTATAGCTCTTTGAATGAGTGACGGTAGTAGTAATACATTATATATCAATCAAACTAGAGACTTAAGATACTAATTTAATCTGCTGTTCCATTCACTTTCCAATTCTAGTATCCTATACCTAATAAAAAACGTACTTAGTCAGTAACAAATTAATGATTATATAGATTGACATGACATGAATTTCCATATTGTAATACCCCCGTCGTCTTTCTAGTCGAGTTATGCTTACAGTTTGAAGAAGTAAAGTCAATTTAAACAACCAACATGGAAACTTTAACTGAAGAAACACGTCCCTCTTCATACCCAAATAATATTTTATATTTTTGGTCAGTCAATTGGTCGAGGTTCGGTTATAAATTTGTCTGTCTGCCTGTCTGTACTAATTCAACTATAATATTATAGTTTTGTGTAACTAATATTTGTTCTATTATAATTTTGAAATTTCAATTTTCTTCTATCTTTCTTTTTCTTCTCTATTTCGTTTTGTTCTTTTAATTACAACGATAATTTCATTTAGTTCATTCTTTTTACAACCATCATTGAATTCAGTGTTATTATCAAAATAACAGTATTACCACTCACATATAGTCAATTAATGATTCAATTACTCATATAACAAAATTAAACAATCTTACAATCTCCAAATTTTACTTTTTTTTTCAACAAAATAAGCAATGTTATATTTATCAATATGTTAGATCCTTCAACAAGATTAAGAAATGCAATAATAGAAGGTAATTTACCAATTGTGAAAAGAATATTAATAAGATATCCTGAATTATGGTTAAATATAGATTCATCAAATCAAGGTTGGTCAAATTTACATTATCTGTCATATTATGGTCATTATTTAATATGTTATAATTTAATAAAATTTATAAACAAGACATTAGGAAATTTACAAAATGATTATACAAATTTAGATTTATTAACTTTTAATAATTTAACTGTTTTACATTTATCTATTCAGAAAAATCATTTACAAACTTTACATTATTTATTACAAGAATTTCCTGGTAAAATTTGGTTAAATTATAAAGGAGGAGAAAAAGAACAAACTCCTTTACAATATTCATGTATTTATAATTTTAATGAAGGTTGTAAATTATTATTAGAATTTGGAAGTGATTTTATGATTAAAGATATATTAGGTAATTCATGTTTACATTATTGTTTTCAATTTGGTAATTTAAATTGTTTAAAAGAAATTATAAGTCATATTTTGAATATAAGTGGAAATATTGAAGAGTCTTTGAAAAAGATTGAAGATTTAGAAAATATAAAGAATAATCAAGATTGGATAGCAAAAGATTATGCTTCAAGTTTTAAATTAATTAAAGAATATGAAGATATGAAAAATAATTTAATTTCAAATTATGATTTTAGTAGATCTTCCAATGATCAAATTGACCCTATTCAAGATACAACAACTTTCAAATCAACCAATGATAATAATAAACTACCTTCAATGCTACGATTGAATACTCAAAATCATTCACAAATGTCTTTAGATCTGGATGGAGAAAATAAAGTATTATCAAGTCCAATTATATCAATGTCAATACAATCAAAGGAAGAAAGGAGTAATAATGGTAATGGTACTCGTAAACATGCATTGTCATTACCAAATGATCAAAAATCTCAAATTCAACCATTGACAACTAGACAAAGATCAAATACTACTTACCATAATAGCAATACTGATACCAATAAACAACCATTAGCATTAAATATAAATACATCGACAAAATCATCTACGCCAAGCATGTCTAACTCATCATCAATTCATAATCAATTTATACTTGGTCCATTAACTCCAATAACAACACAACCAATGATAAATAAAACACCTTCATTAAAGTCAGTAACTATATCACCATCAATAAGGAGTAATTCAAATCAATTGCCAAACTCATCATCTTCATCAAATGGATATTATCATAATGAATTTAATGGAAACAATAATCATAATATAAATAATATAAATAATTTAAATAATATAAACAATCTTTCAATGGAGCCGGACTCACCACAATCAATATTATCAACAGAAACAAATACTTCACCAATGTCTAATTCAAGATTAGGTATTAGTAATCGAAGGAAAAGTTCATTTTCAAATCAATTACCTTCTATAAACTCTGAAAATGTCTTTTGGCCAATTACAGATGATCAAGAATCTCAACCTTTATCACAACAACAATTCCAACAACAACAAACAAGATCCAATCTAAGACTTCAAGATCTACAAAGAACGAGACAAAATTCATCTGCATCAATAGCAGCAAGAGTAGCTTTCAATTCAAGTAGAACATCGTTAAATCATTTACATGATATAAGTCCTCATAAACAAAGATCACAAAGTTTTAATATTACTGTTAACAATAACAATAATGGTAATAATAATAATCAATATAGTCAAAATTCAATTCTTACAACTTCATCATCATCAAATGGAAGTTTTTCAAGTTCAAATAGTTCAAATGCTCAAAATTTAATTAATCAATCAATAACATCAAATCAAAATCAAAATCAATCTGATAATAGTTATACTACATTAAATAACTATAATTCTTCATCAAATTCATATGGAAACCAGAATAATAATCAAATAGATAATTCAAAATTGAAAAAATCAAATTCATCAAATACATTACCTTCATTTTCTTCAATTTCTTCTTATAACAATAATAAGCAAAATCAAAGTCAAAATCAATCAAATGATGAGAATACTGGTATTATTGAATCCCGTAGTAGTTCAAGTCCTTTATTTATTAATCAAAATTCAAGTTTAAGTTCATTAGGTAATAATGTAAATAAAGTAAGTTTTAGTAGAGTTAGGTAAGTTTGATCTATTGAAACTCAAATTTAAACAATCTAATTTATATGGATGTTTTTCAAAAATACAAAAAACAAATCTTTATAGTCTTATTATTTAATCATTCGTTGCATATTTTCAAATATTTCATCATATTCGTGTAGATTTTGTTTCAACTTTGTTTCAACTTTGTATTATTCTCTTCTTTCTATATTTATTCGTATACTACTTAAGTTTCAAAAAATAATTTCTGAAACAACGCGCTACGAATTTAATTTTAATTTTAAATTTAATTCTTCACATAATAAGTCAAATCACTTACCACCTTTATATGACACCAAAGAAGAAACAAAGTTCAATAAGTCATTTCTTTACATCTCAAAAACAAAATTCATCATCACCTGAATCAAAATCATCATCGCTGCATCAAAATTCACAAAATGGAGGATCATTTTCTAAATCTCCTGAATTAAATGGTTTAAATCAATATCTGTTTCAAAATGAAAAAGATCAACACTCATCGGGCCCAGTTGATCTAGATCAGGAGAATAGTCCAGCTTTTTCACAGCCGATAAGTCAAACTAACGCGAATGGAAATCAAGTTGATTCAACTTCACAAGATCATATTCAAAACGGTGTAGATCAAATTGAAAATTCAAATCATAATCAAGAACAAAATCACGTCTTACCTCAAAAACGGCCTATATCATCTCCATCTAAATATACATATAAATCACGTAAACTAGAAAAGAAAAAAGAAGAAGAGTCATCAACCACAGCATCACCTACAAATTCCAAATCAACAAAATCATCAAAAAAATCTAAATTAACACCATTAGAACATCAAATATTAGAATTAACAGAAGCAAATCCAGACAAGATTCTTTTAATTCAAGTTGGTTATAAATATAAAATTTATGGACAAAAACAAGCATTACATGTATCAAAATGTTTAAATATAATGTATATTGAAAATAAAGAAGATTTAAGATTTTCTTATTGTTCATTTCCTGATAATAGATTACATATAAATTTACAAAGAATTTTAAATTCAAATGTTAAAATTGGTATAGTTAAACAAATGGAAAGTGCAATAATAAAAGAAATTGATAAAATTGGTAAAAGTGGTGATTTAATGAAAAGAGAAATTACTGGAGTTTATACAAAGGGAACATATATGAGTGATGAATTTATTGGAAGTAATTTAATACCAAATAGTATTGAAGAAGAAAATCCAAATTATATTATTTGTATTAATGAAATTAATGAAAAAGAATTTGCAATAGTTGCTGTACAACCATTAACTGGAGAAATTATATGGGATGAATTTCATGATCTGATAAGTAGAGAAGAAATGGAAACAAGATTATTATATTTAAGACCAAGTGAAGTTTTGGTGGTGAATAACCAAGATAAAATAAATGGAAGTACTTTAAAATGTCTTAAATTAATAAATCATGATTTAAAAATTGAACATAAACAAGCTAATACAGATGAATTATCAAATTATTTACAAGATGATATATTACAATATTATCAAATTAATTTTTCCAAAGCCATTCAAGAATGTATTATAAATTTAATAAATTATTTATCAGAATTTAAATTAAATAATATTTTTACAATCCCACAAAATATTTCAACTTTTAAAGATTCAAGAAAATATATGATATTACCAGCAAATACATTAACAAGTTTAGAAATTTTTCAAAATTCAACTGATCCAAATACCACCAGAGGAACATTAGTTTGGTTATTAAATCATACAAAAACAAGATTTGGTAATAGATTATTAAATAAATGGATATCAAGACCATTAATTGATAAAAATCAAATTTTGTTGCGATTAAAAGCTGTAGAAGAATTATGTAAATTTAATCATATTATAGATTCACTTACTCAACAATTAAATAAAATTGGTAAAAATTTAGATTTAGAAGAATTATTAATTAAAATTCATTATTCTGCAACAACTCATTCAAATAGAATTAATAGAAAACAAATTTTTTTAATGTTACAAAGTTTTAATGATGTTTTAAAAATTATAAAACTGTTTGAAAAATCTATAAGTGATCCAAATTCAAAATTAAAATCAAAAATTTTAAATGATATACTATTGGAATTATTGGAATTATCAAAAACTGATGTTATTTATAATTTAATAAGTATGATTAATCCATCATATTTATTAAATGAATCTAAGGATCCATTTGTACAAAAGACTACTTTTTTCAATTTATCAAATAATGGAGAAGGATTTAATGAAATTGAAAAAGAATTTGAAAATTTAAAAAAAATTGATCAGGAATTTGAAATTGAATTACGCAATATCAGAAAATTATTAAATCGTCCTCAATTAAATTATGTTACTGCTCAAAGAGAACCTTACCTAATTGAAATTAGAAATGGTTCAAATATACCTACTGATTTTATAAAAATAAATTCAACAAAAACAGTTAGTAGATATAGAAATAAAGAAATTATAAAATTAATTAAATTAAAATCCTATCATCAGGAGCTATTAATTCAAAAATGTGATTTTGCATTTTTACAATTTTGTCAAATTTTAGATCTGCAATATTCTTTTTTACAAACAATAGTTAAAAATTTATCAATTTTAGATTCTTTATTATCATTATCTTATTATTCAAATAATAATTTAAAAACTCAACCAAAATTACTGGATGATTTAATCATAGATGTTAAACAAGCTCGTCATCCTATTATTGAAGAATTAAGAAATGATCAAACTTATGTTTCAAATAATATTAATATAAGTTATGATAAAAATAGAGTTTTAATAATAACTGGTCCAAATATGGGTGGGAAATCAAGTTATGTTAAAACTATTGCCCTTTTTACAATTATGACACAAATTGGTTGTTATTTACCTTGTGAATTTGCCAATATGGGAATATTTGATTCAATATTTATAAGAATGGGAGCATCAGATAATATCCTCAAGGGAAAATCAACATTTATGATTGAAATGTTAGAATGTAATTCAATTATCTCGAGGTTAACAAATAGATCTTTAATAATATTAGATGAAATTGGTAGAGGTACAGGAACAACAGATGGTATATCATTAGCATTTTCCATATTAAAATATTTAATTGAAATTGAATATAAACCTTTAATTTTATTTATAACTCATTATCCAAGTTTAAATATTTTAGAAAATGAATATCCAAATCAAGTTAAAAATTATCATATGGGATTTCAAGAAGTACAAAATACTACAAAAGATAAAGATTCATTTCCAGAAATTATTTTTTTATATAATTTAGTATCTGGAGTTATAAATAATTCTTATGGTTTAAATGTTGCAAAATTAGCAGGTATACCAATTGATATAATAAATAATGCTTTTAAAATTTCAGAGGATTTAAAACATGAAATTGAAATAAGTAATAATGATGAAAATTATAAATTTTTGAAACAATTGAAAGATTTATTAAATTCAAATGACATTAATAATGAATCTATTAATAATTTACTTAATTTATAATTCCATGTATATACTATATAATCTAATGTAATTCTATTTTTATAAATCAAAAAATTCTAAAATTCTTTCATTAAATAATTTTGGATTATCTAAATATATATGATGACCAGAATTAGGTAAAATTTCAAATTTACTAACAACAGACCTATCACTTTTTTTACTTTTTGATTGAATTTTTTCAAAAATATATTCACCACCTTTATAATTCATCCAATCCTTATCTCCATAAATCCAATAATTATTTATATTATTATTAACAAAAAAATCAACTAATCCTCTATCACAAAGTGGTAATTTTGCTAATATTTCATGATTTATAAATTTTGTTATTGCTAATTCTCCTGATATTTGAAATTGATTAAATATGGAATATGAATAATTATGTAATTTTAAAATTAATTCAATTTTATCATCTTTTTTTGAATCAAAATCATTAGAATTATTAGAATTTTCTTCAAAATTTTTAAATCTTTGAAATGACCAATATGAAAGTAATTTTGAATATAATGGACCAGTTTTTTGTAAAATTTGAAATGGTGAATAATTATTTTCCCAAATATATTTTAAAATTAAATTCTTGGGAAATTTTGGTTGTCCTAATTTTTCCCATATCTTTGTAAATTCTTCATTTATTATTATTTGATCATTATTTATTTCATCTTCAAATTTTAATTCATTTAATGCATTACTTTTAAAATTTAAATTTATATCATATTTTGAATCATTAATTAAACTTATTGGATTTGATTCTGTTCCCATTGGACTAACTAATATTATTTGATCAACTAATTTTGAATTATCTTGTTGTATATTATATTTCATTAAATAACAACATGATAAATAAGCACCCATTGAATGCGCTATTAATTTAAATTTATTAATGTTTCTTTTAATTCTCCAATTTTCAATTTTATCAATAAACCAGTTTTCAATTTCTAAAATTTGTAATATTTGTTCTTTTTTTGTAGTTGGAGTTTTTAAAAATTGAGTTGGGAATTTTGGTCTTGAAGAATTACCAAATCCTGGTAAATCAATTAAATGTAATTTTATACCAGGTATTTTAGCTAGTGGTTCTATATTCTTGATGAAATATCCTAATGCTGCCATATAACCATGTATTATAACTATATGAACTTCTTTATCAGATTTTTCATTATTACTTATAAAAAATTCATGAATGAATGTACCATCATCTAACTCATCATCGAGTAATTCTCCAATTATTTTATGCTCTTTTTTCTCAGTTGTATCTGATTCTGAAGCAGATTCTTCATTTATTGGATGTTTTATATATATTTCATCAGGTAATATAGCTCGAAATAATTCATATTCAATAATTCTATTTTTTAATTTTGCTTCTTCATATTTTTTAGATTGTGTAGTTTTATTTGAATCATACATTAATTGAGTAGGACATGACCACCAATCTTTTATTGACCTTATAAATGATATTGAATTTATGTTAGATTGTGTTGAAGTTTTATGATCTTGTAGTATAGAATCTGTTGATGTATTGTTTGGATTTCCCATTGTTGTTATTGAGTCTCTTATTAGTGATGCCATATTGTTAATTCATTAAGTCATGTGATTGAGTATCTAATAAACGTAATTTTGAATGTATTTTGTTATTACTACTTCTTATGGTGATACGTATTACTTCACTGAAAATATTTTGAGTGTTGATTAATCAAATCTTATCTTTTTCTCTCTCTTATCTTTTTAATAATAATGCACACACGACACTAAATTAGATGAACAAAGCTTTACATGAAGTGTAAGGCATGAAACACCTACTTATTCTTTACACCTAATAGCAACTACTGAATGGTATCTGTAGCCACTAACTAATATCAACTTCAGTGAAGTAGGAACAGTTGATCAATCTTCTTGCAGCCTTAGATACATCGATGTAGGTCACATTTCACACGGAAAAAGATTTGACCACTAAATGTGAGGTCCAACCACATTTTCATTAGGTTTGTTGTTGTAATCGGTGATTAAGGGAACTCTTGAGTGTTGATGTTTGAACTCTCTATAGATCTTATCTTATCTTCATAATGACGCACAAAATCAATTATTGAGACACACAAGTCAATAGAAAAATTGAAATTTTGTTTCTTTCACCACCGCAAGGAGAAGGAAATTGAATTTAATCTTTAACCACCTTACAATCTTGGAACAATAATCAACGATGCCATTCTTTAGTATGTACTAGATGAAGAAGATAGACACAATATCTTGTATTTAAAAATCGAATCCATTACTAACCTAATCCAATAGCAGTACCATTTGCAATAAAAGTGGCAATAGCGGCGGGAGCTACAGTTGCAATAATTAAAAATCAAGATATTATATTAGAAAAGGGACAAATTGTATTTGAAGCAGCTGCTAAATTTTGTAAAAATAGGTTAGAAGAATCTAAAATGAAAAACGGACCAATAAATTTTGCAGATGAAATTGAAGATAATGCATTTAGTGATAAGGCACCTGAAAAAGAAAATGTAGGTAGATCTACTGGATCTAATTTAAGAGAAAATGATAGTGATTATGATAATATAAGTACTCCAGAAACTACTGATTTTCTGGAAATAGATACTGATTATGAACCAAATGATTATGAAGAAGATGATGATGGTGATTATAAACAACAAAATCATGGACCAGATCATGAATTAGGAAGCGGTAGTGAAACAATAGGGTTTGCCCTGGATACTGCTAGTTTAGATTAAAAAATTATGGATAATTAGGGTTTTGGTAAATGGTAGGTCATTATTATATGGATTAGGGGTTATTTGTTTAGTTTTTTGTTTAAAATATTTATACTAAGGAAACATTGATTGTTCATGCTGAAAACTAATTTATCTTAGGAAGGTATTTTGCTGCGTTGGCGATAAGGTCTTTTTACTGTAGATTGATGACTGGGCTAATAATTAACTTTTTTTCTCTCAAAACAGGCATATTCTTACGAATATCAACGTAAATAAGTTCAAGACTGTTTCCAAACCTCACATTTATACACTAGAATGTATCAGCTTCTAGGTTTTGATCGTTTTTACTCTTATCATAATGTACAAGTGGTTATGAATATAATCACGACCCCATACATGTCAAATAATTTTAATGACACAAATTTAAAGAATGACACATTATTACACTACGATATGAAATTATTATAATAGATAAGAAATATAATAATAATAAATCAAAGTAATATCAAGATACTACAACATCACTAATTTACAATTTTAATTCCAAATATTTACTATTATTATTCAATTTATTTCTATCATTTTAATTCTTTTGACAAGTTTTTAATTACAAGCTAATGATAATACAAAATTAACTCAAAAAATAATGTCTTCATGTTCTCAAATATCTTTCATATCAAAATCATTTAGTATAATATCATGTATAAGTTGGATATTTGCACAATTACCACAAATTATTGAAAATTATCAAAGAAAATCAGCAAAAGGTATATCACCATCTTTTTTATTACTTTGGTTTTTGGGGGATTTTTTAAGTTTTTCAAGTTGTTTATTAAATAATCAAACTTTAGATTTTCAATTATATTTAAGTATATTTTTTTTATGTAATGATATAACTTTATGTTTTCAATATTATTATTATAATAGTGTTTATCCCAGACGAATGGTTGAAGTTTATTCTGGAAGAGAAAGTTATAGTGATGCTGGTATAACGAAAGGTGTTGAACTTCATACAGTAGAAGGATTTGATATTAAACAACATGATGGAATGTTAATGCAACGATTAAATCTGGATGATGGAATTTCAAGTACTCCAAGTAGTTATAGTTCAACAGATGAAAATAAAAATTCAATTTTAAAAAATGTAGCTGGTGCTGTATTGATAAATGCTAGTACTGTTAATGCTTTTTCAAATAATGTAAACATTGCCACAACAGGTCATAATCTTGGAAGAATATTAGCATGGGGTTGTACAATAGTATATTGTAGTTCAAGATGTCCACAATTATATAAGAATTATAAAAGAAAATCAGTTGATGGTATATCACCATTATTATTTGGTTCAGCACTTTTAGGTAATTTAACTTATACTTTATCCATCTTAACAAGTTGTTCATTTGTATTACTGGAAAATAGATCAAGTTTTTTATTGGAAGAATTACCATATATCTTAGGTAGTTCTGGTACAATTATTTTTGATGCAGCATATTTTTATCAAAAACATTTATATAAAGATAGTGGAATTAATACTTCTAGTATGACTTTGGAACCATGGAATGACAGTCATACTGTGTAAAGATATGACTATAATTCTGGTTTAGATTTAGCATTGGCATTGTATAGAATAATTAATACAAATTTAATACACTCTCCATAAAAAGTTGATGAAACTTCGTTCGTATTTTGCAACACAAATATGAAAAAAAAAAAAAAGTACAATATTGTAAGCATAGAATAACCAATGACTTTATGATACGACTAACACATATACATACATGTAAGTCACTACGACTAACCCGAGATTTGGCTACATTAGCAACTATTCCAGAACCTTCAATTAAACCACATACTTTCACTCCATCAATACGGCATGACCCATTCAATTCGACTATTAATCCATTAAATTTACCATTAAATACAAAACCTCATCCATTATCACAAATGAAGTTGGAAACTATAAGTAACTTAAGTAGAAAAGAACTAATCCATTTGAATCAAATAAGTTATGGAGATGTTGCTGAAAAAGCAGAATTATGTTTTAAATTATCAAATCTTTTCACAACTTTACCTGATTCAAAACAAATTTCTTGGATATATAATTCTATAAAAGATGAAGAAATGAAAAATGTTTTATCTAAAAATATATATGAGAAGTCATGTGCTTTGAATTTTCTTATTGATCCAACTAACCATATAACACACTCGGAGTTTATTAAAAGTATCATATCAATTTTGAATGATGAAAAATCTGAAAAATCTGCTCGACTATTGTCGTTATTTTCAAATATTGCCAACACTGAAATGATCAATAGTAAACCTATTCTACTAAATACATCAATTTTCAAAAATTTACTCAGCATTATTGAAGAGAAATATCATTCATCCTTATTTTCATACATGATTCATATTAATTTTCGTCCTAAGTCCTCGAAAATGTTTACCAAATTTAAAAACCAACTACTCAAAGGTTCAGAAATATCAAAATTTGTAGCTCTTACTGGTTATATAAATCCAAAATGGTTAGATTTAAATAAAACAGAATTTAATCCAATTCATTCACAAAGAATTATCGATTCATTCACAATGAGAGAATTAAAACAATCAACTGATTATTTTATTTCAACAAATGAACCAGCAAAATCATCATTATTTTTAAATTTCATGATACTAAAATTAGAAAAAATAAGTAATTTAAAACCAGTTGTTGAAGAAATTCAATTAATTCTTAAAACTATAATTAAATTAGTTATGAAATTTAAAGATACATTTAATGGAATTGAAATTTTAAAACATATGTTAAAAGAAAATATAAAAATTGAATTTGATTTATATTTATCTATTTTTCGTCATTTAAGAAGTAATAATCAATATGATGAATTTATTACATTATTAAATGAAATAGAATTAAATAAATTATCAAAATTTGAAAAACAATTAATGGTTAATGAAATTATATTATTAATTAAAGCTAAATTTCCAACATCTCCAAAAGTTATGTTTGGATATATTGGTGCATTATTTAAAAATGGACTTAAGAAATTAAATGATTTAGGAATTTTAAGTTTTACTTATGAATCCACTATAGCTAGTACTATTTCATCAACTGATGTTGTACAGATAGCAAATATTGATGCTGATTTGAAATGTAATAAACTCAACTCTGATAATCTTGCTCAAGTTTATGATGTTTTATTTAATTCCATACCTGAGATTGATGCTGCTACAATTATGCAATATTATAAAAAATTTATACCTTGTGAGGAATTTCAATCGAGTGATGCTATTATAACGATCTTTTTAAATCATTTATTATATGATGAATTTGGCGATAAAAAATACTTGACTCGAATGTTAGTCAACTATCAATATGCTAAACAAATCTTCAATGATTATATGCAAAAAAATTTGAAAAAGATAGCATCAAAAAATTTGGAACTTTTAGTGGAAATTGCTTTAAAAAATTTTAATGATTTTGAATTTGCAACTCAAGTATTACAACAAAGTGATACAGTAACATCCAAACAAATTTTTTTATTTTTTGAAAAATTTAAAAAAGATGGTGATGAATTAAGATCCAAAATATGGTTGGATCAATTAAAATCAGTTGGATTGGGAAAAACAAATTCATCAAGAAAAATATCAAATGCTTTAGATCTGAAAGATGCTTATATCTATAAATGGAATTTGACCAAAAAGAAAAGACAAGATAAATTAGCAATAATGAAGTTGAATAAAGATAACTTAATGCTTAATAATGTAAACGAAATAGGTGTATAGATGATGAAAATGATATAATGATTGATGATAGTATATACATTTACCCCCTAATATATTTTTGTGTAATATTTTAAAATTGTTTACATTTAATACAAAAATGGAAATCTAATAAACTACCAAAAATAAATTTTATCACTAAATCAGAAATCTAATCAATTTCAGAAGAAGAATGAGACAAAATCAAACTCAAATAGTTATATTAAACATACCAAATATTTCATGTATTCTAGAATATCACCAAATGATACACTATATCATAAACAATATAAGATGAATGAATCACTTCAAAGTACACCCAAATCAAAAACCATACATAAAAACTTCAAATATAATGATATAAATATGACAACTACAACTGTAAATGAGATGCTGCTGGCAACATTAGTTTCAGATCATGATATCACCACTAATAAATTTGGTTCAATTGAATATAATATAAATGAAGCTATACAAGAATTAAATAATATATACAAGATCATAGGATACTCATCATTAGAAATAACGAACAAAAAATCAGAAATATTCACAATAGTTCAAGAAACAATAGATAATTTTGCCCTAAGTCTAAAAAGAGAAAAAAGCAATATTGATAATGAGTGTGAATGGTTAAGACAACAAATTCAAATTATATTATCAATGATTAATGATATAAGAGGTGATAAATGTTTAAATTTATTACAAAAGGGATTAGTTTTTAATAATAAACAACAATATGAAGATGGTTATAAAGAACATATATTATCAACTATGTCTAATCCTAATTTCAAGCTATCTAATGATCATCATAATGAATTGACTATTGAACAACAATATGAATATATGGTTAGAACAATTCCTCAAATAACGTTATTGGAAAAACGATCTAAATTGAATTATATTTTCATTGATGTATTGAAACATTTTGTGAAGTTATATAAGCAATTCAATACATTAAATTTGGAATATTCTTCATTGGTTGATTTTATTGGATCTTCTGAATTTGATCCTGAGATTGTAAAGATTGTCCCGACGTTTGAAGTTGCAAAAATTCATAAGGAAATAATAGACGAGTTCCAATCACTAATCAATGAAATCAACACCACAAAAAAACTACCAGAAGATGATAATGTATTCATACTAGCGAGTCCTGTAAAAGCAAGTCATAAAGATGAACAAATGGATGAAACAATTGATCAAGATAATAATATAAGTCGATTAAGAGAAGTAAATTATCAAATAGTTCGAATAATACGAAGTTTAAAATTTACTAAAATAACAACTGAATTAACACAAAATATTAAAAATGAAATTGCAATTGGTAAAGAGCTGTTAGAACTACGGAAAAATACAATGATTGAAGTTATTGAAAAATGTTTGGAATCTATTGATTTTCTACAATTTACTAATGATCAATTAGGAGATGTTCAACAATCTAAAGATGTGTTGTATAAAGAAGATTTGATTATGATTTTGGAAAATCCATATAAATTTGGATTACATGATGATAAATTAGAAAAATTAATTAAATTACAACATTCATTAGAATCAAAAATAAATGAAAAACGAGAAAAATGGTTATATTATTCCGAAACATGTAAAAACTTATGGTCAAAATTAGGAGAAAGTGAAGAATATATTAATGAATTTATGTCTAAAAATAATAATTTATCAGATTTATCACAATTAAATTTTAAAATGGAATTAAATAAATTATATATAAAAAGATCAGAATATATTGAAAACTTTATATCTGATGCCCGAACAGAAATTGATAAAAAATGGGATAAATTATATTATTCAATGGAAATGAGAAAAGAATTTAAATTTTTTAATTATAATTATGAATCAGATATTGATATAGACAAGGAAACTATATTAAATGAACATGAACAGTATTTGAAACAACTTGAAGATGAAATTATAGAAAAATCATCAATATTTGAAATATATAATGAATTAAATGAATTATTAGCTGATCAAAAATTTTTACAAGAAAGTTCAAAGGATTCATCAAGATTATTAAGTAAAAATTCATGCAAGATTTTATTAAATGAAGAAAAAATAAGAAAAAAAATTAACAAAAGATTACCTTTAATTTTTAAAAATTTAAAAAATGAAATTAAAAATTATAATAATTTAGCTATTGAAAATGGTAAAAAAATTATAATGATTCATGGTAAAGATTTTTTTGAAGAAGTATTAAATATAGAAAATCAACAATTCAAAACAAATAATAAATTTGGTAAATCTACATCACCAGTTAAAAGACCAACTACCACTTCAAATCTGAGAAATATTTCACCTGAATTGTCAACAAGAAGAAATGTGACTTCTTCTACATCTTCCACAAGAAACAAGATTTTCAAATCTCCCACATCAAGAACTAGACCAACTTCATCATCATCTTCATCATCAACCACTTCCTCAACGTCATCCACGTCCCACAAAATGAATCCAAGATCCACAAATCCAATAACTTCTTCTACCTCGTCAATGAATTTCCAAAGTATACCAAACAATTTTATGTCATCAACAATATCAGATAAATTCAATACATTACCACCAAACTTAACAATAAATACATCAACATCTACATTATTAAGTAGTCCAACATTAACACGTTCAACCAATCACACAAGACCAGTACAAAATATAGAATTAAAACCATTATTATCACCATTAAAATTATCTACAAATAATATAAATACTCAATATTCAAGAAATAATTCACCAACAACCAAGCCAATTTATCAAAGATCACCAAGTTTTAAAGAAAATACTTTTAACCACCAAAAATATCCAAATATTTTAGATGAAAAATTGACGTCTTCAAAAAATAATAATAATTTTAGTATTAATGCTAATGATACTACTTTTTCAACAATGTTGGGAACTGAAGATTATTTAAATTGGAGAGATGAAAAAATTAAACAATTAAATAATTAAATTAATTAGACTAATGAATAAACGTTGTAATATTACTAATCTTTTAAATTTCAACAGATACTGTAACACTCTATATGTAACTTAAAAGATCGAACGTAAAGAAAAGACACTTCAAAAAAAAAAAAAAAAAAATTCGTATTATTAATTATCTACACTAATTCATTTTAATAAATTATTTAGATCCTAATTGGATTTGAATCAGTTCAGGTTGTGGTGTTTTCGATGCCGGATCCGGTGATATAGACTTACCATTCTTAGTTTTGACTTTGAATTGAATTTGACTATTATTTTTTTCATCATTATCATCAAATTCTTCTTCTTCTAATTCATCATCCTTATATTCTTCCTCTTCATCGTCATCATCGTCGTCTTCATCGTCGTCGTCATCATCATCATCATCGTCATCATCCTGATCATCATCATCATCGTCATCTACAATTGCTGAATCTTGGTTTATTTCCTTTTGACTCTTTTGATCTTTCAAAGCTTCACTTTCTTCTCCTTCCTCTTCATCATCATCATCATCTTCATCCTCAATTTCAGGATATCCACCTAATTTCATAACAATTTTATTAACAATTTCATTCCAATCCATCATACCACCTAATCCAATATCTCCATAACTTCCAAATACTTTTTCAGAAGGTTTTAAAACTTCAATCCATGGCATTTCTTCAGCAATTAATCTTAATTGTCTTTTTGTTGTTATTGCATTATATGAATAACTAACCATTGCAGGAGCTAATAAAATAGGATATGATGTATTCCAAGCTCTTATTACATTTGTTAATAAATTATCACATATACCTAAAGAAATCTTGGATAATGTATTTGCAGTTAATGGACAAACAACTAAAATATCAGCCCATCTTCTTAATTCAATATGTAATACTGGATCTGATCTTGTTTTCCAAGTTGTCCATTCATCAATATCTTTCCAAACTCGAACTCCTTTAACATTTTCTAATATATTTAAACTTTCTTGTAATAAAAAATTTTCACTTGATTTTGTTAAAATTAATTGTATTGCTATTTTATTGGGGGTATAAATTTCATATAATTTATTTATTATTAATTTAATTTTTCCAGTTGATAATGCTCCACATACTCCTAATAAAACATGAATTTTATTATCATCTTGTGGTAATCTTGGATCTATATTTGAATTCTGTTCTGACAGTTGTGATTTATATATTGATGATGACCTTTGAGTTAGTAATGGGGGTTTTTCTAGAAGATTGCTACTTGGAGTATTTGTAGAATTAATGCTGTTAGCACTCTTGCTTGTGTTATGGACGTTGTTGCTGCTGTTGTTATGACTAATGCTATTTCTAACAGAAGGTATTTGATTATTCTGTGAGTTGGTACTAATATTTTCTTGACTTTGATTAGATTGTTCTTTTAAAATTGCTTTTGGAGATAAAGGATTTAATATACTTGAATTTGGATTACTTGGATTTGAATTATTTGAAGCTGAACCACTTCTTGATCTATTACCTAATTTATTTGGTCTAATTGTTTCATCAACATAAAAATGAGCATGAACTGATGGAGCTTTATGATGTTGAGGATCTTCTGGTGGTGTGATTAGGTGGTTATTTGATGGATTTGGAGATAATGAACTTCTTGAATTATTTTGTTGTTGTTCTTGATACGTTACAGGTGATGATGCTTTATTATTTATAGAATTTAATGTTAAAATATCAGATTCTGAATTTAATTTATCTTTTAAATATGCTCCACCTGCCATCACTATTTCTTTTTTAGGTTGTGATAGTTGTTTTGATAATTGATTCTGATTATTTTCTTCAGATATATTTGAATCAATTAATGAATTAGGTAAAACACTATTTGAAGAATTAAATCTTGATGATAAAGGTAACAGTTGAGTTGAACCAGTTTGTGATAAACCAGGATGAGATTTAGTTTGATTTACATTAAGATTTGAATTTATTGTTTGTGAAGGATTTTTCGTCAAAATAGACGGTGGCATTTCTTGATCATCATTTTTTGCTTGTAATTGTAATTTCTTTTCCTTGGTGGAAGTACTTGGATCCGATGGCATTATTAGTTTAGATGAATGCGATGTTTATATAATGATACAGTTTATGATTGTAATTACTTTTCTAATTGATTTGATGATTCGTGATTAAAATTTACAACGCTTTTCTTGTAAAGAAAAAGCAAAAATAATAATCTAATGATTAAACTTCTAATGACTCAGAAACCTGAAGTTTGAATCAAAATAAGCTGATGCTCCAACTCTCTCTCTTCCTTGATGTCTTGATCTTTTATCCGAAAATCAGAATTTAGGTGTTTGATGTGGCTGTTGTAAATTAGTTGATGATTGATAAATTTGATAAAATGATTTCAATTTTTCTTTTTTGGTTGTAAATTAAAGAAATTTTATTTTAGTGTGTTATTATTTTAATTACGTAATAGGAAATATAATATTATTATTAATTTATTATGTTAGTAGTGATGATGATTTACAGTACTTATTGTTTGATTTGTATCATGTTTGCTTGATGAGCAACTACCAAGTGACTTCTTAGGGTTTTTGAATTAAATAAAAGTAGGGTATCTTCAAAATTACAATATATACCACCAAAAGATAGCTACAGGGGAGGATAATCTGCCTGTTATATGAGACATTTCAGCAAAGAGATGTAATTAGAAGAAAGAAAAAAGAGAATTGTCTCTGAGTGACTAAATAACTGGTACTAGAGAATTTAGAAAAGAGAATTAGAAAAGACAATGAACCATTCAGCTATGCTCAATATAATGAACCATTAATTTTAAGATATGCATTTACTCTATTTGGTTAAGGTATATATACAAAATCAATTACTCGTAACAGTAATATCCCAAACTTAAAATTGAGATTCACTTTGGATCTAATGACAAATCATGAAATAACTCTCTTGCTTTTTCATCTTCATTCGTATTCGTATTTAGATCTGTAGATGTTGGCCGGTCACTAGTATGAATGTCTTTATCTATATATTCTGGTTCGTCAAAACTTTCATTTTCTTTTACCTTTTCTTCATCAAAATCTGAAGTGTGAAAATGAGGTTGATGATGATGTTGTGGTACATATGCTTGTTGTTGATGATGATTATGATGTTGTTGATGATGTTGCGGTTGTGGATGTTGTGGTGGTGCCATAGATTGTTGATGAAAATTATATGGATTTGATGAAAACATAGTTGGTCCAGTAGATGGAGTTGATGGGAAATAATACGGCATAACATAATATCCTGGTGATGTTTGATTAATATTTGGTGGTGGTGGTGGTGGTGGTAAATTTGTATTTATTACTTGTGATGTTGGAATAGGTGGTGGTGGTTGATTAAAGTGATGTTGTAATTGAGGTTGTGATTGAGGTTGCAGTGGAAGTTGTTGTTGAGATGATGTTGATGATATACCTTGTACTGGTGTTTGTTGTTGATTTGAAGATGGACCACTTCCATAATAAAATTTTTGTTGTAATGAATTTCTTTCAAATGCTAAATTACTTAATAATGCTGGACCTCTTGGATTTGTTTGTTGAAAATTTAAAGATTGATTTTGTGATTGATGAGTGGGTTGTTGTGGAAGTATTGGTTGTTGATTGAAAGGTGTTGAAATTTGTTGTTGAGGTATTAGTATTGGTTGTGGATGCAATTGTGATGGTATATAATTAATAGGTTGTTGAGTATATGCTAATGTTTGATGTGGTTGTTGTTGTGCTTGAAATGATTGATTATTCGAAAATGTTGAATTATTAATTAATTTGTTATTATTATATGAACTTAACTGTTGTAAAGTATAATTATTATATTGAGGAAATTTATCATATCTAACAGTTAATGACCTTCCTTCAAAATCTATATTATCAAACATTTCAATTAATTTTCTAGATGATTCTTTATCCTTTGTGGTGATGATCGCAAATCCTCTACTTTTGGAAATAATTTGTTGTTGAGGTATTCCATTTCGATTTATGAATAATCCTTCATTGAAATTAACTTGTTGTATTGGAATTTCAACTCTTAAAATTTGTATTGAATTATCAGGATCTTTTTCTTTTGCTTTTTCAACTAAAAATCGTTTTAATGATGCCCAATTAGATGTATATGGTACATTACCAACAAATAATCTAGTAGCGTTTACTTTTATTAATTCATTTGGGTTTTCACCTTCACCAATTGGAACTTCTATATAATCATCAGATTCATCATCATTGTCAGTGTTCTCCTTGTTTGTCTCCTCCTCCTTAACATTCGGCTGTTCTACCTTATCTTCCGTATTTCCATCATCCTTTTGTATTTTCTCTGATTTGTTCTGTTTCTCTTCTTGTTCCAGTTCTGATTCTGGCTTCTGCTGTTGCTTTTGATTCAGGATTGATTCTTGCCCTAGCTCTATCTTTCGCTTAGACTCTTGCTCTTGCTCTTGCTCTTGTTTTTGATTATTGTCATCAACATGCACTCTGTTTCCTCCATGAACCATATTCATTATAAACGATGGTACAGGTTGTTTCCCCAGTATCAGATCATGTGACCCTAGTGACGAACTTGTTGAACTATTTCTATGATTATAATTTGAAAATATAGAACTTCCTCTACTTATGGAACTTCCTCTTGAACTTGAAGTTGTTGATCTTCGAGAATCTCCTATTGATGATGATGATGAAAAATGTTTTGCATTTGATTGGTTATTTCTAAAATTTGGATGATGAAAATTTTGATTTCTATTTAATGATGATTGTCTATATTGATTCGGTATGAATGATTTATTAAATTCAAATGATGATGATGATGAGGATGATGAACCTTGGCTACTGTTTGTGTTTTTTCTTAAAGCATTGGCTGCTGAAGGATTTGAAATATTTGAAATTTTAATATGATCATTATCTAAAGAACTAGTATTTAAATTAATAGTTAATACATTATCTCTCCATTTTGAACCATTTAATGTTTGAGATATTTTATGATAAATTGATAAATTTTCAACTCGTATTAAAACTTTTGAAGCTTTATTATTATCTTTTGTTATGAATTTAACTATTTTGTAAGAATCATAATCTATTAAAGGTTGAAATAATTCATCAATATCATTTTCAGTTACATCTGACGGAATATTATAAATTTCAATTACATATGGTTTTGGAGTTACTTCTGAATTTCCAGGTGATAATGAACTTGTATGTTTTTTATAATTTAATTTCGAAGTGGAAGGTTTTGATGAACTCAATTTAATTGCTTCATCATCGATAGTGGTAGGTTTTGATGAATTTTCTCGACGCTTATTTATTTGAGAATGTTGTTGCTGTTGTGGTTGAAAATTTTGTTGTTGCTGCGGCTGAGATTCATGTCTAGTTTGTGAAGATGATGAAGTTGAATCTAATGTAGAATTAGGTACAAATGGTACAGCATCTCGATTGAAAGAAGTTTTCCTTCGTTGTGCATTGGGTCTTTGTTGTTGCTGCTCTGTTGTTTGTTCATTGGTTTTGGGTTTAGATTTAATGCTAGATCCTGTACGATTTGTTTCAATTTCTCTTTCCCTCATATTTAAACTTATTCTTCAAATTTCCTTTCTTCTCTTTTCTTCCTAGTTTTTGTGACTTATTTTCTGGTAATTAGGGTATTTGAGTAGTACATTTGGGTCTTTGAACAAAAAGTTAATTGATTGAAAGGTTGAAATAGTTGATTTTTTTGATAAATTGAACAAAAAGATTTAAATTCAAGATATAAACTTAAAATAAACAAAAAGTTGATAATTCCATTTCTTTAAAAAAAAATTTAAAACTTTAAAATTTAAACTTTTTTGAAATAAAACTTTAAATTTTTATTTAAAAAATACAAAAAAAAAAAAACAATAAGTTACAAAATTTTAATCATTCTAATTTTACAATTCTCAAAGTAGTTTAAACTAGTATCTATTATTGATATTTAGCAGTACTTAGACATTTATTAATCAGTCGGTCATCAAAAATAAGGAAAGAATCGTAATATACGATTTGCTAAAAATAAAGTTAATTCCTAACAGCAACCCAATATATATAAACTTTAGACTAAAAACTAAAAATTAAACTTACTAAAAAGACAGTCCTAATTTGTAAAAGAAATATTTTAGTTCAAATTACATTGTCGATACTCTACTAGATTTACACAAAAAACTTTAATTTGTTAAACGTATACAGAAAGAATAGTGTTTAATTACTATTAACTGAGGAACACACCGTTTTTTAAACTTTTCAAAAATTTTAAATAGACGGTGATTATTAATCTACTTAAATTTGTACAAGATCTTCTTCTACAGCTTAAATGATAGAATATTTTACATAAACTGTTGAAAGTTATTGTATAAATTAATACACCTGATTTTACAAAGCAAGTCAATTAAAATTAAACGAGACATGAAAGGCAACTTTATACATCCTTGGAAATAATATTGCCTACATTAGCAAATTCAATATGATGTAATTTGAATATTTAATCGTCTCATGAAAATAAAAACAAATTCAAACTAGTCATTCTATTAGGAATCTCAATTATATTTTAACAAGCAAACAATTTATTCGTACAGATTGTCTTGTTACTCGTTTCTAGATCTAGGATCTGATGCATTAGTTGATCTCTTAAAACTCGCTTACATTAAATTTCCTACATCCATAATTTTGAAAATGACATCAACAAAATAATGAAGTCCGAGATTTTAGTCTCTTTTCACACTTGTTGTTATAAAAGATGATGATGCTTGAGACTTGGATCATTAAAGTATCATAAGGTAGCGATTTTTCAATCTCTTACCACTTAATGATATGTGAACAAGTTGATTTTACCAAGTAAACGAAGCTATGCACATCATAAAAAGGTTAAGTTATAAAGACAAAAAATTGATCAACTGACTGACCGTTGAAAAGTAAATGTTCATTAATTAGGGTTTATGATAATTTGTTCGTTTGTTTGTTCAAATAAGCAATTTTAAATTTATATGGTATACTAACCACAACAGCAAATATTATTTATGTGAGGAGCAAACTCAATCTTGAATCCCGTTGTCTTCAATTAAAAAGAAAAAGGACCCTGATGACCAAGACAATTGTTTCATGGATTTTTAAGATGAAGCTTATCAAGTGCAAGTCTTACTGATAAGAAACACACACCGTAAAATAGATAATAATAAAAGTAACAAATTACAGATGTTACACAAACATAAATATTTTTTGTTTATTTGGGTGTTAAAAAAATTTTGGTCCAGTAACACAAAATCATTTTAATTACTACGGCTTTCGTCAATAGTTTATCAATAACTTTTTACATCATAACTGCCACCCAAACTTTTCAAGACTAGGTACGGAATCAATATCTAATGACTAAGGGTGTACTTCATAGGCGTTCCTAGGTTCAATAAGTTTCAGTAAGAGATAAGACTTTAAAATTGTCATGTGAATAATCTAGTAATATTTATTTTTTGATACATGATGGACTATTTACAACGGTGTGTGGATGGTAGGTTCTCGAGTTGATACACCCTTCTATTGACTCGTGTCTAATTAAGCATGTTTCTTTTCATTTGTTTGGCAGTTCAATCTTGCTAAATACATGTGGCTTTTTCTTAATGATGATGCCTATTCTTTGTTGAAATTTGTTTCTAGTTAGATAGTTGATACTACGTGCAAAATAAACCATGATGGTAAAAGAAATCTTGAAAACGCTAGGAAGTAAGCAAGAAACTAATATTTTCAAAAATATGTATCAGTTTCATAATATGAGGTACGGTTGTTCTTGTAACAATACTGTTTGGTAGCATTTTTCTATTGGCCCCAACACTTGATCGTCTTCAAAGAAAATTCCTGTCCGTACGACAACCGTGTCTTTGTTTGTAGCCTCATTTGCTGTTGCTTTAGTGAGCCCGTTGAAATGTTACAATGGCGTTCGAGATTTATTTTTCCCTTAGATTATGTAAATACTCTGTAGATTAATTAGAAATTTTCTATTTAAATTTGATGCAAATTTTGTTTCTTCTTAAAAAACTTATTATTTATTATAGCAGTAGTTTAGCTAGGTATTTTGAAAACATATCGTAAGAGCAGTTAGTTTTAGCTTTCTAAACAGTGCATTTTGTAATGTAAGCGAGAAGATTCTTTTGTTTAATTAATTGTTTATTGTTTGACTACTTGTTGAAACTGTTTAAGGAAGTAAAAATGATACAATTAGTAAAAATTTTTGTTGACGTATTTTATTGATTTGACTTTATTTACTGATTTTTGTTCGAGTAAGTGTGAGATGGCTAACTTATGTTGTAAAAGATAACACACTGTACGAATGCCTTAGAATCCACAGTATGACGAGGTTATATGACTGTTAATAACCGTGTATTATATCGAAAGAACCCAACTTAGAATTGGCACGAGATCATTACCGGTGAAAATCAAGTAGCCGGTGAAATCAAGATGTTTTAATGTGTTTAATGTTTAAAAGTTTTGAAGTGTTATATTGAAATTACTGAATTTAACTCAAAGTGACAAATACAATGATGTCAGAAAATTCTAAAAAAAATCAAAATCCGCATCAAGAGCCTTTAACATCTCTGTACTATCGAAAGTTCATTTACAGATTAGCCAGTTGTGTTGTATAGGCTTCAAAATTGGATCAGACTTGACTGATGGTTTATGTTGTCAAAAATCGTTATTTCTAAAAGAGAACAATCGAAAAAATTAATTCAACGGTAAGTAGATCTCAAGATCTCAGATCTCGGAAATATGTCAGATTTCCGAAATCTAGGACAAAAAAAAAACTTTGGTTCAACCCCCTTACATGGTCGAATGAATCAGATTAAAACATTTATTGAACAATCAAAAGTGGAAGAATTTGGATGATGAACAAATCCAGTAGCTGATATGACTAAGTATACAAATTATGGATAATCAAGAGAGAAAGACCAAATACAACAGAAAACAAAACACAATCGGTAATACTTGCCACAGTCTTAAATTTGAATTTTATTAATTTCTTTTCTTTTAATTAAAATAAATTTTTTAAAAAAATAGAAACCAGTACCTGATACTACTAATTGTGGATTTAATCATAATAAATAATATTCTTATGATATGTGCTGTTTCACCAAGAGAATCTCTCAACGTTTGAATTCATTCGGTGGCAAATTTCTTGATTATAGAGATGGAACATTATGTCCATGTAAGTAAATAATCTCTAGAAGTAATTAATCTAGACACAGCATGTTTAAGATAGACCTGAAATTGTTATTCTTAAATCGTCTGTCACGGATTTCCAGATGCTTCTACCTTATTTTAACCTTTATGCTAAATTATTATAATATAGGGGTAATTTTCGATAAATGAATTACCATCAAATGCATAAATAACGGTTAAACTGGCTTAAATGTAAATACTGGAATGGTCTGGTGGTGAAAACTTGGAATAATAGAACGGCAAATAAGAGTAGATAGTTAGAATTAGCGGTTTTATTTCAAAATGTCATACAAAACCTGTTATTTTCAACATCATTTTTACACGTAAAATTAATTTTAATTTATTTTATTTAATTTATAATACATAGATTTTGTGTCAGATAAAAAGTTTAATTTCGATTTTGCGTTCTGTTTCTATTTCACAAAATATATTTTGCGTTTAATATGTATGATTAACCGAGTAATTTTTTAATTCATGTTCTGCACAGTAAAACCACAAGGGAAAAAAAATCAACTCTCAACATCGACAGTAAGGATCTTTTTTCAATTCAGTTTAATTAATATGTCATAAAAGTCGAGTCAAACTCAATAGAAATTGATAGCGAATTCATACATTTAATTAGTAAATTTGGGGCGCATGGAAACTTTTTGAAATCTCTCTATTTCTATTGTCTTCTATTAAATCTCGAGGTTAGTAATTTTGGAAAAATAATAATTTTAAACTTAATGCTCTGTACCTCTAATTAATGATTTAGTTCAAATTGATTTGGTCTCACTAGTACTAATACATTTTTCTCTTCTCGACTCGTAAGTAAAATTTCTTTTCAGATCAAGCAGGATGTGTCTTTAAACCTTAATTTTATAAGTATGGATTAAATTGTCTCGGATTACGATAAAAGAAACGTTTATGTGATCTGGAGAATTTTAAATCAAATTTAAATCTTTGCTTCGTATTTGTTAATCTAGTTGGAGTAATAATCAAAAAATAATACATCATTCAAGTTCCATTTTGCAATTTTATTTCATTATTTTTATTTCAAAGTTCCGGATTATAATTTAAGAATGAAAAGTATCGTCAGCCAACATTGAATTTAAAATAGAATAATTTTAGAATATTCGAAATGCAACTAGAAGAATCTAAAATTCATAGACTTTCTGGAATAAGCGAGATTTTAAATTTGATCTAAACCATATAAAATTTGACTTTGTAGAAGAATTCTTGTAGCGGTTGTGAAAAGTTAAAAATTTGCCATCAGAATAATGTCTTTAATAGTGGTTAAATGATATGTAGACCGATGTTAATGAATTTGAAACAAATTTTCTTTCTTTTTCTATGCAATAAGGTTTGATCTCGATCATTTTATTCTTAAAAATAAAAAAACTATTGTAGCGGTTAATTAAGTATCATGTAATTCAAATTAAAATGGCTATTTACAATTTAACTTTTTTTTTGTTTTAAATGTAAAATATTAATTTTGTAACTTTGTAATTGACATTGGTTTACTTTATGGAATACTGAGTGAACAATACGTGATGAAACGTCTGATTGCAATTAAGAAGACGACTGAATGATTCATCAATTTGAACTCGAGGAAGAATAGTATTCTCCAATTCATTTAAAAAGAATGAAGTTGTAAAATAGAAATGAATCACAAATCAAGTATCAATTTAAGTAATTATACGACTTTTAATGATGCAAAATGTGTACTTTTTTTTTTATTGTTTTACTATTTTTCAACACAATATGTATATGAAAAGTTTATTAATTTCGAATTTACATTCTTTTATTCTATCAAAAGCGAATGGTAAATAGCTCAATTCTATGGACTTATATATATATCTATACAAAAGACCCTATTTTCAAAAATACAAAAAAATTATTTCGTATCCATATTCAAGGTCTCATCAATTTGGGTGTTTTAAAATTAAGTTTCATACAAATTGAAAACAGAACTTCATCAGAGAAATAATTCATTCTACAACAAACGTCTCAGATTGAGAGATAGATCAAATTACAATATACTCAAGAGTAAAAATATAATATAATATATTCAAACATTACCAAGATCAATTTGTTGACTCCATAAAGTAGAAAACCCCCAAAAATTGTTCAGTTTTATTTTACAGATCAGAACAGTCTTTAAACAAATATACCCACATACCGTAAGATCATAGGATCAATTTTCTGAAAATTCAGTCTCAGGGATTTATACACAAATTTAAACTTTATAAAAAGACATTTGTTAAGTTTGTCGACTTACTACAAAAGTAATCTTAAATAAGTTTTTGAAAAACAAGGGTCATTTCTTATTTGCAGATTTATATTTATAATTATAGTCATTTATTCTACAGCTTAAAAAATTTTGAAACTTTCTAAATTATTGTTGGAAATTCATAGTGAAGTTTAAACCACATTGATATTTGGAATCATCAGCTTATAAACAAGATATCTGTTCATAAAAAGTTGAATTATTTGTTAAAAGACAAAACTAATAAATATTTCTATTTTTTTTGTTGCAAATTTTTGAGTATCAAAACTCCCGATTTTTAAAACAACCACAATCGAGAATCATAATAAAATAAATAAGAAGGTTAGTTATCAAAGTCATTTACAATTAAATCTTGATATCAAATCACAATAATCGAAATTGCATATCAATTCATTAGCTACTACGAACCTTCATCAACATATTTTTTGAAGCTTAAGAAATTATTAATCAAATTTTATTTTATACTCCCGTAATTAACAGGTTATAAATTTAACACAGACCGTTATCTCGAGCATTTATTCAACAAAAGTTAGATCCTTTTATACATAATTAATCAAAAATTCATAATAAGTTAATGTTTTATCCTATCCAACAAGTTATTAAATCAACAACAACAAATAAAGTATGGTTAGAAAGAATCCAGATACTAAATTCAAACGAAAAAGATCTGGGTGTTTAACATGTAGAGATAGACATATAAAATGTGATGAACAGAAGCCAGTTTGTAATAATTGCATCAGATCAAATAGAAAATGTTTAAGTGGAATTAGATTAAATTTTACACAATACACTTTTGCAAATCCATTGAATGATATACCGAATAAAATTTTGAAAGAATTAAAATCAAATTCAAATTTGGAAAAATTTAGATTTTTGGATCATTCAATAACGGTTGCATCTATATACAATGGAAAAGATAAATACAATTCATATTTACATCTACATTCATCCGAAGAATTGAAGGAGTCAGACATGCAATTTGAAAATGATACTTATTATTCTCAAACTTTGAATCAACAATTACAAAAAACATCAACAAAATTTATAATGTCACAATCTGAATTTCATCAAAATCCTATTAATTCAGATCTACGGTCTCAGATAGTAGGTGGTAGTCATCACTCAAACATGCCCTTCAATAATATACAACCTGATGCTGATTCAAATCAATATGAATTTTTCAACTACATGGGCTTTTTGCAACCAAATTATATAAATCAACAACATTCGCACTTTTTGCAACCACAACAACACATAACTTCATCATCAAATGATCAATCTCAATTACAAGCACAAGTTCATCAACAACAAAATTTTTTGAATTTTCACCAAAATAACTCATCAATTTTTCAACAATTGAGATTTAGTCCGCCTATTCAAAACCTTCACAATTTACAGCAACAACAACAACAACAGCATCAACTACAACCTTATCATGAATTTCATCAACAACAGCATATGATTAATCCACCCAAACAGACCGGTTCAACAAGTCAACTTTATACATCTAATCAACTCAATCTGGACACATTTCCATCTACCACATTATCTCAAATTCCCACTTCAAATGATTTACAAATGCTTATAAATTCATTGGAACAAGAAGAAATTTATTGGTTTTTGGATTTATTCAACGATCAAAGAGTATTTCAAAATCTTATACCTACAATTTGTTTTAAGAATTCAATTCACCAAAATTTATTGATACCAAGTTTGATGAGTTGTTCAAAATTTAAAGATATTAATTTGTTGGCATTAACTAATTTACAAACTACTCATTGGAATCAAATTCCGAAATCAGACTTTAAACAAGTAGAGTCAAATTTAGATTTGTTTCAAAATTTAACTATTAGTATAGTTTTGATATTGTTTGGGATTTATATAAAATACAACAAATTCATAGTCAAAGGTCACTTAAGATTTGTTTTACATTCTCAACTTAATTTATTTGAATTAATTTTGGACAAACTTGAACACCATTTGAATTCATATAGTTCATTCGATTTATTATCAAATGAATTCAAAGTGATCATTCAATCTGTTACAATTTTAAAATTTTTCATGAATAAATCATTCGATTTTGCATTTGAAGAAGATAGACAACAAAAATTAGGACTACAACAACAACAATTTCCACACTTACAAAATGATCAACTCGATTTATCAAACTTTAATATTTTAAATAAATATGAAACAACATTATTAAATGTTTCATATTATGAAAGTAATAATCTATACTCCATGGAATCACAAAAATTAAAACATTTAACATGGCATTTAATTAAATTAGATTGTATAAAGACTAATCCAATAAATCAAATTTTTACAAATATGAACACTTATCCAATTGATAAATCATTACCTAATCTTGAAAATTTACAACAATATCAATTAAAATCACAACCACAAATAATTATAAGAACAATTTTACAAAATTTTTATTTAAAATTAATTAATATTAATAATACTCAAAATTTACAATTTATACAACATTTAAATTTAAAATTAAATTGGTTTTTTAATAATTTAAATCAATTTTATGATAATAATGAAATTAACGAAGATGATGATGGGAATAATAATGAAATTATGATTTTTTATTGGCATAAATTTTTTGAATGGACTGAAAGATATATTAGTTCTTAGAATTTGCATTTATTGGGATATATACAATTTATAACCATTTCTTTAACTCAATTGCATTTCTTCCAGACTATTTATGAATTTCCAATAGAAATTCTACTCTAATCCCCCTTTTTTTTTTTTTTTTTTGTCATTTGAGCTAAATAAAAATCTCATGATACAACCTCCGGTTCAGAATATCTGAGAACATCATGGCGAACTGAATTCTCCTACACAAATTAGTTAGCGGAATTAAATAAATTTATTTGACTTCTTGACAGAATCAAGCATGCTATCACTGATGTTGCAAAACGAATGCAGCAACTCGTACTTTCAATATTGTACTTCAAAATCCCTAAATTTACTCGTCTAATGAGCTTATAGTCACATTTCTTACACTTTGAAAATGGATAGAACTGGCAACCAATTAATTATGTCATTACACCCCATGTACTACTAACACTTGATGATGTTAACCTCAAATCTGTATGTTGTGGATTAATCACACAAAATTTGGTAGCATCTCTTACTAATTGAGATCTCAAGTGTTTATGTTCAATAACTTAACTTTGGCAAAAAAAAAATTTTCCGTTTAAATTGCATCATCATCTATTACAACCAAAACTCAAATATGTCTTTAGGAACTTTATACGTTACTCAACAAACTAGAAGTTGGGTTCCAAAAGGAATTGTTAAACAATTCAACTTAGATGTTAAATTAAGTGATAAAGATGAAACTTATCACAATAGTTTTCCATTAAATAAAATTCCAGCTTTTATTGGTCCAAAAGGATTTAAATTGACTGAGGTTATAGCTATTAGTCTTTACTGTATGTATAATTTTGTTTATTCAATTCAATTGACTACTTCAAGTTACCATTGAGAATTGGTTTTACATTACAATGATGAGAAAATTTTTCATATTATTATACAGTTATCCCTGTCTTAATAAATTATGTCGAGAATTTATAATCTGATATTTACAATTCATGAAATCAATTGATTTAAAGTAAAAATGATTTACTAACTTGTTTTGATAGTAATTAACATTGCCGATCCGAAATCAAAATTATTAGGTAAAAATGCTGCTGAATACGCTCAAATTCTTAAATGGTCATCACTCGCCAATACAGAATTATTACCAACCGAAGCTAAGGTTTTTAAACCATTGACTGGTCAATCTCCATACAACAAAAAACAAATTGACGAAGGTAATGCATACTTAGATACCGTGAATGGTATTTTTGAAGAAAGATTAGCTAATTTTACATATTTAGTTGGTGAAAGATTAACTGTTGCTGATCTCCTCGCTGCTACTTTCTATGTTAGAGGTTTTGAATTCTTATATGGTAAAGAATGGAGAGCTAAATTTCCAAGTATTACTAGATGGTTTACCACAGTTCTTGACTCTGATTATTTGAAATCAATTGTACCAGAAGTTAAATTCAGAGATGCACCAATTGAATATCAACCACCAAAGAAAGAAAAGAAAGCAAAAGCTCCAGCTGAACCAGCTGCTAAAAAAGAAGCAGCCCCAAAAAAAGCTGCTCCAGCTGCTGAAGAAGAACCTGAACCAGCTGCTGCTCCAAAACCAAAACATCCATTAGAAGCTTTAGGTAAACCAAAAGCTCCATTAGATGAATGGAAAAGAGTTTATTCAAATGAAGAAACTAGAGAAGTTGCTATCCCATGGTTTTGGAAAAATCAATATGATCCAGAAGAATGGTCATTATGGAAAGTTGATTATAAATATAATGATGAATTGACTTTAACATTTATGTCAAATAATTTAGTAGGTGGTTTTTTCAATAGATTATCAGCATCAACTAAATACATGTTTGGATGTTTAGTTGTTTATGGTGAAAATAATAATAATGGTATTACCGGTGCTTTCTTAGTCAGAGGTCAAGATCATGTACCAGCTTTTGATGTTGCACCAGATTGGGAATCTTATGAGTTTACTAAATTGGACGGTTCAAAAGAAGAAACTAAAGAATTTGTTGACAATATGTTTGCTTGGGATAAACCAGTTGAAGTTAATGGTGAAAAAAGAGAAATTGCCGATGGTAAAGTCTTTAAATAGGCTAATCATTGATCTATAGTTGATTTTCATACTTTGATAGTGTAGTTCTAGTTAAATGTATAGAATCAATTGAATTGATATGTCCCTTTATGAAATGAATACGTTTTAATCTCTTAATTATAATAATCTAAATTTGACAGGAAAAATATTATTTCAATGATTTCGAGAAAAAAAAAATAAAAAAAAAAACACGGTTCAAAGATTAAGATCAAGATAGTTAAATCTTTTGAGTCGTACATTGAAAAGTCATTCGATCTTACCATTCACCCAAGCCTTTCATCTTAGAGACCGAATCATTAACTTGGAAATCAATTAGAACTATCAAAGACTACTTTCATTTATCAATATATAGACTTAAAAATGGTACATTATAAGAACTCATATATAAATTACATACGAAGAAGACCATTAGCCCTTCTAGCTCCAATCACATTGCTAGTTATAATATATTTTTATTTTTTCTCAACAGCATCTTCATCATCATCAACAAAACCCAAATATAGCTACAATAAGAAATCAAAAGGTTGGTTTAATAATAATAAAGATTCTGTAATATTGAAAAACTTACCAAAAAATCATATAAAACATTATGATTTAAATAAATTAACCATATCAAAAGATGCATTAGCTAAAAAGGAGGAAGTATTGATCTTGACACCAATGTCGAAATTTTTACCTGAATATTGGGAAAATTTAAATAAATTAACTTATGATCATTCATTAATATCATTAGGTTTTATTTTCCCCAGAAATAATGATGGTGATGAAGCTTTGAAAAATTTAGAGTCTTATTTAAAAATTGCAAAAGCAAACAATAAATTGAATTTTAAAAAAATAACATTATTAAGACAAGATTCAAATTCTTTGACTAGTCAATTAGAAAAAGATAGACACGCTTTTAAAGTTCAAAAAGAGAGAAGATCAATGATGGCATTAGCAAGAAACTCATTAGTTTTTACATGTTTGGATCCTTCTACTTCTTGGGTTCTTTGGTTGGATGCTGATATTGTGGAAACCTCACCAAATTTAATACAAGATTTAACATCTCATGATAAAGCAGTATTATCAGCAAATGTATATCAAAGATTTTTTGATGATAAAATAAATGCTGAATCAATAAGGCCGTATGATTTTAATAATTGGGTTGAAAGTGAAGAAGGTTTAAAAATTGCAAAAGGTTTAGCTGATGATGAAATAATTGTAGAAGGTTATGCAGAAATGGCTACTTATCGACCACTAATGGCTCATTTTTATGATGCCAACGGAGACAAAAATACAGAAATGGCATTAGATGGTGTTGGCGGAGGAGCTGTTTTAGTTAAAGCTGATGTTCATAGAGACGGGGCCATGTTTCCATCTTTCCCATTTTATCATTTAATAGAAACCGAAGGATTTGCTAAAATGGCCAAAAGGTTAGGTTATGAAGTATTTGGTTTACCAAATTATTTAGTCTTTCATCATAACGAGTAAATATGGATTTGAGTCGGCAATTAATAAAATAATTTAATTTATAACTATTTCAGTTAAAACTCTAACTTCAACAAGACAAAAATACGATCCCGCTATATGGCCAGTTACTATCATTGGAAGGAAACAATCGAGAGTACTGAATACTTCGTAGTGGTCAAATCAAATGACAAAACCAAACAAAGAGGCATGTTGGACTCGAACTTAAAACAATGAAAATAACACCTTAAGCAAACGTTTTAGCTTGTTTTGTTACAAGATATTTCCGAGAACGTCTTTTTAATTCAGGTCGAATCAACTTTGCTACGAATAACCGATAGATTCTCTTTAGTTACAAAAAAAAAAATGGCTGTGACTACGAACTGATTCCGCCCAGGATCGAACTGGGGACGTTATGCGTGTTAAGCATATGCCATAACCAACTAGACCACGGAACCAATCTACAGAATTTAGATAGCTTAGAAAAATGATATTGTTAGAGTAATAGACGTAAAAAAGGAGCCAAAAAACCGAGTTCCTGAAGATCTGAAACGGTTTACATTCTTAGACATATACCAGGTTCTTCATTTACCAAATCTTTCAATCGCACAACGAAATGAAGTATACTGCCGCTAACAATGAATCAAATCCCAGTTAGTCTTACTATAAAAAAGCAAAGTGTTAGTGGATATTTAATCAAAATTTTCAGTGATGAATTGTGAATTGAGATTAATATGTGTCTATTTTTACAAGTCCTATTCCATTACTATATACTATCATTCCAGATTGTATCATCAACAAAGTAAAGCCACGAATACCCATTCCAACTACTTATAACTCCTACCCCACTATATACACTATATATCATTAAGTTTAAAAATTCAAATCTTTTTAATACTTGATATTTGTTTTTGAGTAAATCTATTATAGCTGTTATGGTAATTACCAAAATGAAAATCAAAATATATCCATTGACTACTCTATCAACTATTACACCGGTATTTTTCATTTTCGGTATTCTTGTCACTTTTTTAAAATTGAAATAGAATATAATGTACCATAAGGATGTATAAACGACTCTAATCATCCATTCATTACATGTGAATATCAATGGAAAAAGTGAAGTATAACCACAAGCAACTAATAAATTGTAAGCTGGTAATAACTTAACATCACGACACACGATTAAAGTCATTGGGAAAATGACCAATAATATTGCTTTTTCATGAACGTGCCATCCAAACAAAAAAGATGCATAACCACACAACGTTATTGCACCAATAAATCTTCTGTAAGTGGGTTGTAGGAATAATGGTATCAATGCCATGATTTGATAAAATAATGTTAACAAAAATGTTAATTTTGCAGTGATTTGAGGTAGTATAAAAAATTCAATGTCACCAACAATTCCTCTGGTTGAAGTTTTTAGCAATTCATCATTTTGCAATAATGTCGAATCAAATTTGAACACTCTTTTGAGAAAGAACCTGGTCACAGGAATTCTTTTATAAACTTGTATCAACACTCTATCAACAAAAGAATAAATCGCCCACATATTAGGAGCCCAATAAGCATGAGTCAAACCACGACTAAATGGAAATAGTCTATCGAATAATTGAGGTAAGGTATTGTAGAATGGTAAAAATGCAACAGCGAATACTGCGATCACCACTGTCCCTAACTTTACTGAGTTTTTCCACTTCACTAAGTTCACTAGATTGATCAATGTGTTCTTCTTTTTACTCCATTTCAAATTCAAACAATATGTTCTTAGTAGAAACACAAATACTGCTGGGGCTAAGTACAAGTAAATGTGTTTGAAACATAACAACACAGCAAACCAAAATCCACATAACAAGTATTTTTTCATTCTAGCACTGTTCAAGGAAAGAAATAATATTCCGTACATCATTCCATTATATTGGAAATGAATATGATCAATTATTAATAATCCAGGAGATAATGCAAGACTTGCAGCTGCAACATACATTCTTCTTTTCATTGCATAAGATGAAGAAGTATCAATAATCCATTGTAATGCAAGGAACAACACAATTTCACTAAGAATCACAGTAATTCTTTGGAAATAAATGGTAGGTAATCCATATTGACCTTTTGCAACTATATCTAAACATCCATCTCTTTTAACAATATTAGGTACAAATTGTGATAATATCCATTCAAAATATGCAAAGAATGGAGGATAATCTAATGTCCATTGTGAAGTATTTTCTATATACCATTGAGATATTGGTAAATTTTTAGTTATAGCTAACCAATTTCTATGTACATCAAAATCTGTAGAATGATATCCAACCATTAACAATAGTTTTAATACCAATGAACATATCCATATATTTTTCAAACTGTATTTCCGTTCCTCAATTGATGAAGAATTCGTAGTTGAGTCATTTTTGACCATCTCAATTGCTTCGTAGTTTCAGATTTGGTTCTACAGACTCGAATATTCAGAACTGAAAAAAAAAATAGTACAAAATTAGACGCGTTGACTATCCAGACTATCTACAAGCAAATTATTTACCAATCTATTTCTTCTAATACTTTGACTTTCCTATCCAATAACTGTCTTGATTCTTGTTGTGCTTTCACCTTATTAAAATAAACTGAACAATCTCTATTCACACAATTATTTGTATATTGACTCATTGATCCACCAGGTAAAAAAACATTTTGAACACATTTTCTACAAAGGTTTTCAATTTCTTTAGTCTTTTCATCAATTTTTTTATAACTCATCATTACATTTGTTGCTAATTGTTCCTTATCAAATGAACAATTCAGACAAACATATTGACCACCATCTAATCTGTTTCCACAAACTAAACATGAATCATTATATATACTTACTACATTTGTTCTTGTAAATTTTGGCATTTCTTTATACCAACCTTTCACATCAGCTCCCAACAAATTGAAAATTCTTTCTAACGGAGGTATTAACATTCTGGTTATATAATATTCATAATCTAACATCAAAGGTTCGGATGTACTTAATGTTTTAATAAAATCTTCAGGAAACATTACACGATCTTTAATTCTAATTTTGGTTGAATCTCTAATAACTAAATATGGTACTCTCTCTTTATATTGAGGTTCTTTTCTTGGATCTTCTTCTGCAGCTTTACTTGAAAGTAATGCACCTGGTGGTAAATATCTTTCATCTTTATAATCACCATACTTTACAGCTTTAGCAAAACAAAAATCATTTATGGAAATCTTATTAAAAAATATTTTATAAAATTGTTTTAATGTATAGTCTTTAACTTTTGATAAATCTTTAGTTTCAAATAATATTCTTAATGCCTTTTCGGTCATTTTCTGTTGAGCAGGTACACCATCTCTTCTAACTGTTTCAATACCCTTTGCATCAAATTTTGGAACTTTTTGATTTTCATATTCATAAGAATATCCAACATACCTCTTTTTAGCTAATAAAACACATGGATGATAAACTTTTTCAAATTTTAATTGTAATGGATCAGGAAAATAATCAGTTACAAGTTTAGCAATTTTTCTACCCAGTGAAAAAGCTTCTGCTTTTGACTTACCTGGAAAATAAACAAACAATGAATCAGTATCGCCATATACAACTTTAGCTCCAAATCCACCAGATTCAATTAATTCAATTGATGTTTCTAAAATCTCTCTACCACTTGCTACAATTGCATCAGCAATATCTGAATTTGGCATTCTACCACTAAACGTTGCTGAAGTATAACCATAAGTAACATTAGCAATTAATTTTAACGCAACTTGTCTAGAATTATATAATTTAGTTAATTCTGTATCATCTCTAAATAATTTCATAACTGATTTAGTTTTAATTCTTATATTTAAAATTTCTTCCAACATTTTAGCTAAGATTGATTTTCTTATATGACTTTTAACAAATGCAAATCCATTAGGGGATATGTTTATAGCATCATCATTTTTTAATAATTCTACTATTCCTGGTGGTAAGTCTAAATTTTTTAAATATCCAATATTATTTTTTTTAGGTTTATAATTATGTAACTTTCCAATTAAAGTTGAATAACAATAATTATAAGCAATCATAATTGATGGATATAATGATTGAAAATCTAAAACTATTAAAGGTGATTTATAAAAATTTGCTTTTGGTTCCATAACTAATGGTAAACATTCTATTGGTCTTAATTCATGAACTTGAATTTTAGAAGGTGAATTTAATAATATACTTTCAGGTTTTGAAATTCTACATAATAAAGATTCAACTTTATATTGAGATCCACGATAATAATTTGAATTAAATTCTATACCAATTAATCTTGAATGTTCAACATTTCTTGTAATTAATTCTTGAACAACTATGATCTTTAAAGTTAATTCAATTCTTTTAATATAATATGATAAAGCAACATATAAATCTTGAAAATTACCACTATTTAACCAATTTGAAATTTGATGAAGCAGATATCTAGGTAATGATTTATGTAATAAATGATAACAAACATTTTCTAAAGTATAACTAGTTAATGATAAATCAGATTTAACAATTCTCCAAACATTTAAAATATGTCTTCCACTAATTTCTATATTTGCAGTATGTGTATATCCCCATCTATCACCAAATTTACCATTACTTCTATGAGATCCTCGACTTAAATCACTCATTATATTCATTTCAAAAACATCTCTAAATCTTTCAACTATATAACCCCAAGACATTGAATTTACTTCATATCCAGATAATATATCAGGATCGAAAAACTGTACCAATTCAATTAATCTTTCAATCATTGATTTTTCATGTTCAAAATATTCAATATGTTGACTTAAAGATTTACTTAAACTTCCTAATAATTTTAAATCAAATTTACCAAATACTAAAATTCCAGATTTTAATTTTGAATCATTAAACATTTCATTTGCATCATCAAATGAATAAAAAATAAATGATATTGGATCTCTTAATGGATCAGCTGCTAGTTTTGAATTAGGAGGACTAACATGAATTTCAAGATGAAAATCAGATAAATAATTAAATTCATCTGGTTTTCTTGCTACTTTTTCTGAATTATAACTAAATTTATAATCATTTGATTGAGTTATACCTGGTTCTATTTGTGATCTATATTTTAATTTTTTTTTAATAACTTTTGATTCTTCATTTTTAAGCCAATTGGAAATACTAGCTTTACTTGGTGGATCAATTTGATATTGCCAAGTTCTAGTAGAGTTGACGGGATCTAGTTTTTTCAAATTGTTTGGGTCAATTATATCAAGTTTAGGCATTGTCTCTTCGTTCTTCAATTGTACATGCATTTTTTGATTTGCAAAAATAAAAGGTCTTAATGGTATATCATCTTTTTTACTATAATATGGATCTGTATAATTGATTTCTAGTATTCCAAAATTTTGAAACAGTTTAGAATAGTTTTCCTTTTTCAATTGATCAGGTACAATCACTTCATATTCGTTTTTACCTGGTTTCATATTGATTAAAGGTGGAGAAATATTTTGAATTGGTGTAGGAGTAAACGAAACATCTTCAATTTGTGATAAAATATCAAAACTTGGTTTTTTCACAGCCTTTTCAACATTATTTTGAGTCTTCAACTGAGTCATTGATCTCATTAAAGTTTCATCAAATTCTTCAGCTGAATCATAATCCTCAATCTCATCATCTTCATCAATATTAAAAACATTCTGATTTTCATTTCCATTTTCTTTTTTATCTTCATCTTCTTCAAAATTTATATTCCCCGTATCTTCTTGATCTTCAATTTCGTTTATATCCACTCCATTCTCACTAAATAAGTTAATCTCACCCTTCTCTGTATCTGTATCAGAATCATTATCATAAATTTCTATTGATTTTTCCGGTATTGCATTTAATTCAGGAGATGATAAACTTGTAATCAGTTGCAGTAATTTAAATAAATCATTATAATCTCCCCAAATTACTAAATTATCAACAAATTTCATTTTTTCATTATGAAATTGTAAATTTTTTTCAATATCAACTGTATCAAAAGAAGTTTTAAAATCTTCTAATATATCAAAATCATAATCATCTTGAGAATGTCTATCTTTTATAATTTTTTCAGAATATATATCAAATCCCATATTTTTCAGTGATCCATTCATTTGTATTAAATAATCTAATAATTCATCTAATTGTTTTTGATTTGACCATTTAGTTGAACCAGTTCCAAAATAATTTCTTGTATTTGATTCTAATACATCAACAGAAACATCAAAATTAGAATTTTTTAAATGACATTGATATTTTAAATCATTATAGATATGTTTTAAAGATGATATATATATTTTTGGATTACCATCTAATTCATGTTTATAACCATGTTTTGGATAACCAAAAATTTTTAAATCTCTTTGATACTCATTAAATTCATTTCTTTCAGTAAAATCATCATGTAATTCCCTTGCTGATAACCAAGATCTATTAACGATGGCACTAGTTGTTATATCCATTTCTAACATTGTTTTACCTATTCTTGTAAATGATTGTAAATTACCTCCATCAACTAATACATTATCTGCTGTTATATATCTTTGTAAAAATTTAGTAAGTGAATAAATTTGGGATTGATTGTAGGCTTCTCGACTTATGTCAGTAAATAATGGAGTTCTAAAATATAATCCACGTGTATTTGGTCCTTTATTGATATGATCAGTATCAACAAATAACCAACCGCACCCAAATAAATTAAAATCAGTTAAAAATTGTAAAAGTAATGGAATATGAACTTCATAAACATATGAATATGGAGGTTTTTTCTTTTTTTCATCATTATCATTTTGATCAAATCTATATAAGCTCACTTTATTTTCTTGAAACATTCTTGCTAATCTGTTCTTATAAAGGGGAGATAGTAATGATATTTTATAAAATAATTTATAACCTAATTGGAATCCATATATCGAAACACCTTTACATATTGAAACATTTGCAATGTATTTTCTTAAAGTTTTTGATTTCTGGTGATCATCTGGTTTTCTATTTTGATCATTTTTCGCTTCTTCATTTGCTTCTTCTTCTTCTTCGTCTGTTTCCAATTCCTGTTCTTCAGTACCTTTCCTACCGCGTCTTTTCCCAAATGATTGTTTAAGTAAATTTTCTAAATATGTTATAAGGCTATCAAAAAATTCTTGACTTTGTAATTTATTATAATCAGTTTCATGACAATCAACATAAAAATAAGGATAAAAATTGTGAACATGAATTACAACATTAAATACTGATGATTTATTATTATTTGAAGAAATTTCATTATTTAATTTCCTTCTTTTATTTGGAGATAATTCAAATCCCGGTGATTTATGTTCAACATTAATTGAACCATAAATTCTGATAATTGGAACTTGAGAAACTTTTGTGTATAATTGATCCAATTTGGTAGGATAAGATTGATAAGTATCATAGTCATTAATTTGTAATTTGATTTGAGATGATGAAGTTGAATGATTTGACCAGTTGATTGAACTTACGTCAAACGTTGTGTTTTTATCGTTCAAATCATGACTTTGCTTGGTAATCATAAATCATTTAGTGGTTGCCTATGTAGTTATTATTGTTTGGTTGTAAAATTATTGACTTCAAAAGTCAAATGGCAAACTTAAATTTTTATTTTGTTTTGAAATTGGTTTTGTGTTTTAGTTTTTTGTTAGTGGGAGATAAATGAAACTTTAAATTTGTACGTTGAAATTGACTGGTAGACTATCTGACAAGATTCAAGGTCAAAGCAAATCGTCTCTGTGAATTAGGGATTTATTTGAATAAACGGATAAGAATATCCAAAGCAAGAATGAGCAAAATACAAACACACAGAGTCCAATCGAACCAATGAAATTTTTTAACTTTTATCAATGAGTTTATTACACACTGGTACCGAATTTTCTAGATAGAACTACGAAGAACTTGATAAATATATCTTGGCAAAGGTTCAAATTAAAGAACCAAGAGATTACTGATCGTTATTGTTTACCTTGAATTTAAAAAGCAGAGTAAATGGATCCTGATGTTGATTTTTTCATCTTAGGGGGTAGGACTACCTTCAGCAAAAAATGTTTTTCTAGATCTAATCAAAAAGCTGTTCCTACCTACATTAGGAAAAAAACCAATTCTGAAACACATAGGCTTGTCAAAGATTTGGCCATCATCATTTACTATAGATGGATTATTCTAACTTTGAGAAGACCATGACATCAACAAAAGTAGTTTCTTCAATTTGTATAAATACCGTTCTTAGACACGTATACGTCAGAATTGACACATCTCCCGCAAGACCAAACTAGAAGCTTAATCATTCATTAGCTCATATAAACCAATACTCAGAATTGAGATGTCAAGGTGATAAATTGTTTTCCACCAAATTATAATTTCTTGATTTATCAAACAATTCTGAAACCCGTTAATTTACACAAAATTATTCCGAGACAAATTTCATCTTTCTACAACGGAATTCGGAACTGCTCTGATTATCATTTCTCGAAGTCTCTAGGTTAAAATAGAAAGAATATTTATAAACAAGGGGAAGGGCCAAGTTTGTTTTTTAAAAGTAATTTAGTCACCTATGCAGTTGTCAATCTTATGATGATAACGATATTTAATCAAATCTAATTTTGAACGGATTTATTGAAATTGACCGACATTGTACAAAAATTTACCGTTCAAAATAGCCCTGTATTCAAGTCAGAATGTTTAAATTCACAAATAGTCTACGAAAAAAGACCTGATCATATAGCTAGTACATTTCAAATTTTGGTTTCGGTAGAAAATTTAATCAAAACAGATGTTTTAATCTAAAAATTTCGTCTTTAAAAACAAATTTCGACTTTTATATTTATATCCGAATTTCAATATTATATCCTGAAATCTGAACATTTTCATAATCAATTATAGATTTCGATCTCGAGTGAGAGATCTCAAGATATGTCATAATAACATTTCTCATTTTGTGATGAATTAACTACAATAAGTTAAGTTAGTTTCATACATCTTTTTGCTAATTTCACCTAAGGCGGTTTTTTTTAAGATGTTGTTTGAATAAAAATTTACAAAGAGAAAGATGGATTGCTTTGAATCCCCTCCAATGGAACCTGTCAAATATGACATACAACAAGTATATAGAATAGCAAAATATGTAGGATTAGAGATTATATTGGTTTTAATTTTTACAGATCGAATAGTTCAAAATTAATTTGCCTCAATGTTTAAAATTTATTTTAAAGTTTTGTAACTTCCGATTTCCTTTAGTTCTGTTTTTTTTGATTATAATAGTAGTAATTTATTACTAAGACCTCCTGCTATTATTTACAATTACTTCTGAATTTCTTCAACCTTCAAAATTTAAGGTTTTAAGTTGATTAACGCGCGGTTTTGAGTTGTTTCAAAATCTTTTTCTATGAATATCTATTACAATTGGATGGAGCTAGTCAAACATCAGTATTTTGAACACTATAACGGTGATGGGACCATAGAAATAATAAATTATCGAAAGGACTTCGTAAGTGTAATTGTGAAATGTTTGTATTGTATTTTTCTTTAAAGAAATGTATAATTCATTAAATCTTTTTAATTAGTTTAAAGGAATTTGATTTTCTTACTAATAAGTAAGTGTAAATATTCTATTGTTGTTTTCTATAAAGCTATTTATCCAAAATTGTTATAAAATAACTCATCTTCATTCCATTAAATACCAACAGATACTCTCTACTTAATCATAATACAAATATTTGATCTAATTTATACATTTAAAAAGGGGATTTACTATTATATTATATAAGGAAGATAGCGTACAATATTTTGAGAAATAAAGAAGAAAAAAAAGAATTAAGGAAATCAAGATATAAGAAATTGACTATTATTATTCCTTTAATACAATCATTCAAACGTTAATTTTGAAGGTAATTTTTTCAATAATTCCATCATTAAGATCGTACTGATTTTATTAATCTAAATAGAGTCATAATATCTAGTTATTTTATCACATCTATATCAATATTATATGACTTTATAGATTCTTTTTTGTTCAAAATCAATCTATCCATTCCTTATCAAATACCAAACCTTACTACAAATACCATAATTCTACATACTTAAGAATATAAAAATACATCAACATGAGTCATACAAATAATAATAATTCAAGTAAGAAAGATATTGAAACTCAATTTGAAAATTTTCATCTTGATGAATTTTCAAAATCAACTCCTTTATCATCAAAACCTTCAAGAAATAACTCAACATCTTCAACAAATTCAGATAAATCTACAACAACAGCTCAACCACCTTTGGCATCACCACCCATAACATCAGCATCAACAACTAATACCTCAACTGTTCATACTCCTATAAATAGTGATATTCAAGCAAGATTAATGGCTTTTCAACAAAAACGTTCAAAACCAGCATCTGAACCTTTGAACGTATATAAACCTAATAATACTTCAAAATTATCACCAGCTTTGCCTGATTCCAATCAACTAAAAGCTGGAGTTTTCAATAGTGATTCTCTAATAGAAACAATTCATAATCATAAATCAATAAATGGGAAAGAATTGGATATAAGTCAAAAGGAAATTACTTCTTCTACAAATACATCGAATTTATTTAGTAATCCTAATTCCCATCCATCAATAGTTCCACCACAATTAAATTTACCAAATAGATATCCAATGTCAAATAGATTTGCTTCAATTAATGGATCCAACCCCCAATTAAATCAACAAGGTCCAGGATCTCCACAACAAATATCTCAAAAGAAACCTTCTTTATCTCAAAGACGAGGTATGAAATTAAATACAAATGCATTACCATTAAATTCATCATCGTCACCAAAAACTTCTGCATTATCATCACCTTCATTACAACAACCACCCCAAAATACTACTGGCTCGTTAAGCTCAGCAATAAATTTTGAATCAAGTGCATTGAAATCACCAGGAGAAGATACTCCACAATCAACAAATCAATTATATGCAAATCAAATAAAACCAAAATTAGGTACTCCCAATGAATTATCAAGAAGATTATCAGAAAGAAAGAAAAAACCAAATTTAAAATTAAATTTTGATTCTTCAAATAGTAATTTACCTTCAAGAAATAATAGTTTAAGTAAAAATTCAACACCTGGTTCAATAAATTCTGATCATAGTTTTGATAGTAGCAACAATAATAGTACAATAGATAGTTCAAATTCTGAACCACAGCTACAAGGTTTATTTGCAAATTATTCAAAATATATCGATATAAAATCTGGTCAATTAAATTTTGCAGGTAAAGCATCATTACATTCAAAGGGAATAGATTTTTCATCAGGTTCATCATTTAGAGTATCATTAGAAGAATTTGAATGTTTAGATGAATTAGGTAGAGGTAATTATGGATCAGTTTCAAAAGTTTTACATAAACCAACTGGAGTATTAATGGCAATGAAAGAAGTTAGATTAGAATTAGATGAAACTAAATTTACTCAAATTTTAATGGAATTAGATATTTTACATAAATGTGATTCTCCATATATAGTTGATTTTTATGGTGCATTTTTTGTTGAAGGTGCTGTTTATATGTGTATTGAATATATGGATGGTGGTTCATTAGATAAAATATTTGGTGATAATATAGGTGTGAAGGATGAAACTTCATTAGCATATATAACAGAATCAGTTATAAGAGGATTAAAAGAATTAAAAGATAATCATAATATAATTCATAGAGATGTTAAACCAACAAATATATTAGTAAATTCTCAAGGTAAAGTTAAATTATGTGATTTTGGAGTTTCAGGAAATTTAGTTGCCTCATTAGCTAAAACAAATATTGGTTGTCAATCATATATGGCACCAGAAAGAATAAAAAGTTTAAAACCAGATGATGCAACATATTCAGTTCAATCAGATATTTGGTCATTAGGTTTAACTATATTAGAATTAGCTGTTGGACATTATCCTTATCCTGCAGAAACTTATGATAATATTTTTTCACAATTAAGTGCAATAGTTGATGGAGAACCTCCAAAATTAGATTCAACAATTTATTCAAAAGAAGCTCAATTTTTTGTAAAATCATGTTTAAATAAAAATCCAGATTTAAGACCTTCATATTCTGCTTTATTACAAAATCCTTGGTTAATTAATTCAAGAGGTAAAGAACATCATTTGGATAAAATGGTACAAGAAAGAATTAAAGAATTAAATCAAGTAAAAGATGGATCTAGCACCACTAAAAAACCAAATACTAATGCTGCTGATATACCACAAAATGCAAATAAAAATGAAAGTGTTAATTCATTATTAAAAAATAAAGTTAAAGCTCCTGCATTACATAGAGGAGGATTACAAAAATTAAATAAAAATTTTTTAAACAGTCGATAAATTACAATTAAGTTTTTAATTCTTCAGTTCAAATTATTTTTGTTTTGATTCTTTTTTTTCATCATTTGCATTAGGTATTATATTTATAGACGTAATTAAACTTTAACATTAAATAAATAAGAAAATAAATAATTTATTGTTAAATACTTAATTATACACACCGTTTTCCCATTATTGACATTAAATTTCATTACTACTACTCTCTCTTAATTAAAGCATTTTTGACATAAAAGGTCCATCTAATTCATAACCTAATTTAGCATAATAATTTCTTACCCCAACACCCGAAATTACACTTATTTTTTCAGATCCATGTTCTTCTTTTGCAATTCTTGCTGCTTCTTCCATTAATAAAGTACCAAAACCTTGATGTTGAAATTTTCTTGGATCCCTTGAATGTAAAGGAACAACAGATCCATAAACATGTAATTCTCTAACTATTGAAGTTTGTTGTTTTGTAAATTCTTTTCTAAAAGTATACTTTTTACTTGCTTTTCTTAATCTTAGCAAACCAATTAAAATATCTTGTTTTGGATCTTCATAACTTAAAAAAGTTTCCCAACCACCATTTGCATAATAATCTCTTCTTATTAATTCAACTTGATCAGGTACAACTTTATGATGAACTTCTTGTATACCAACTTCTCTTGTTCTAACATCTCTACATGATGTACCAAAATCTTTCATTCTTGCTAATGCTAATTCTCTTAAATTCCCATTTTCAACACCAGAAGTAACTAATGGCATTGGAATATCTCTTTGAACTCTATAAATTCTTGTCCATGGTGGAACTAATGCTAATATTCTTGCAATTAAATCAATTAAAGCATTTGCATTATAACTTTTATATAATCCTTGTTTCCATAATTCGTAAAGACCAGTACCTCTAATAACTAAAGTTGGATATAATTTTAAACCATCAGTTCTAAAATCTGGATTTTCAAAATATTCTTTAAATTGTTCTAAATCTCTTTCCATTCCAACATTTGGTAAATCAGGCATCATATGACTTACAACTTTATATCCTGCATCCTTGGCAACTGCAAATGTTTCACATACTGATTTTACTGTATGACCTCTATTTGTATCTCTTGCAACATCTTCATATACTGATTGTACTCCAATTTCTAATCTTGTACAACCATATTTTAACATATCACTTAAATGAGTTTCTGTACAATAATCAGGTCTTGTTTCAATAGTTATACCAACACATTTAGTCTGAGATTGTTGAGAAAATTCAATTGCTTCATCTATATTTTTACCATTAAATCCAGTTAATGCATTATGTAATTGAGTTATAAAATTTTCTCTATATTCTATTGGTAATGACATAAATGTTCCTCCCATTATAATATATTCAACTTTATCTATTGAATGACCTAATTTTCTTAATTGATCTACTCTACCTCTTGCTTGTTCATAAGGATCATATCTTGCTCTTATTGCTCTCATTGATGTTGGTTCATATCCTGTATATGATTGAGTTGAATATTCAAAATCTGAATCAGGACCTCCAGGACAATAAACACATATATTTCCAGTATATGCAATATGAGGACATCTATGAGGTTTACACATTACTGCAACAACAGCTATTCCAGAAGCAGTTCTAACTGGTTTCGCTTTTAATTTAGGTATTAAATATTTTTTATGTTGATCAGGTATTGATGATATTATATCAGTTAATCTTGGTTGATTTTTTAATTTATATTTTTTAGCATATCTTATAATTAAACCATTTAAATTTATATCTTTTGATGATTTTAATGATGATACTAATTCTAATGATATATCTGCACAACATTGTATAAATCTTTCCTTTTCAGGTATTTGTTTTGTTTGTGCAGGCATTTTGAGGTTTTTGTTAGTGAAATAGAAATGTGGATGCTGATGTATATTAATAAATAAAGGACAGGGTTTGTTGTGAGTGTAAATTGTGATGGTATAGTGAATCAGATCAATGTAGTTATTATCCTAAAAAGATAAGTCATCTTGTGTCTACTGTATAGAAAAAAAAATATAATAATTCAATAACATAAAATAAGATTTGGCGACGTACTATCATGCGACAAAATCTGTTCAGTATATTATGTTCTACTACTAAGAAATCAGACCAACACTCTGTTACTGATTTATTACTTTGATTAATGAAAGCGTGGATTGTATTATTTTGAAGAGTTTTATTATAATTTTGCTCTGTGTCCTTGTAGTTCATGTTTGTTCTTTGGTATAAATCAAATTACTGCAAAAAAAAAAAAGTTCTACCGAAGGAGAAACGATATAATTTTTCACTTACAAGATCAAGATCAGTAGAAAAGATGATCGGTTTAAGAACATCAATAAGAATCCTCCCGAACCTAAAGTCCCATTTTATAAAACCGTGCTCATCAAAAACACTAATACGTACATATGCAACATCAAACACAGAAAATGATCCTCCCAAAAAGAAAAAAAAACAAATGAATATAGCACAAGTTCCAATATCATATATTGGAGTTATGTCAGATTTATATGTTCCACCATCCCTAATTAAATATTCTCCATTAAAATGGCCAAAATTAATTTTAAGAAGAATAATGGTATTTGCATTTAATACATATAATGTTATAAAATTTAAAAGAGAAATTGGTCAACCTTTAAATTTTAATAAATGGAAAGATCAAAGCATTGAAAATTATATAAAGACAAATAAGATATTTGCTCAATCATGTACAAAATCTACTGCTTTAACTAATTCCGAAAAGAAATCATTGGAAATTTCAAAATTTTTAAATTCAAAATTAGATCAATGTTGTGGTAAACATCTTATTGAAATATTAACAAAAAGATCAGAAAATTTTAAAATTTTAAATGGTAAAATAAATTGGGAGCTAGTGAGTATTGATTCAAACCCAAAAATTACAATGTTTAATGTAATACCTGATCAAGATGGTATTGGATGTTATGTCCAATATATAATGAATTTAAAAACAACTCAAAAATTAACAATAACAAATAAATCAAACAATGAAATTATACAAGAAAATGAAACAAAAGTGAATGACTACTTAGTTTATACAATGAACCCTTTCAACGACAAAATATTGTTGGTTGGTAAATTATTTGAAAGTGATTCTGAAAGAGGTTTAAAACCCGAATTAGATGTTTTTAATCCTTCTGAAATGCAAAAATTTGTTTTAAAATCTGCAGATATTTATAGAGAAGATCCAAATTTAAAAAAAATTGAAAATGTTTGAGGGCGATCGTTATGAATGTAAATAGAAATGATTCAATGTACAAAGATTCAATAACTCGATTTTTGGTATCATTTTGTAGTTCAAAATTTGGACTATACTTGATTTTTACAATCGGTGTTTAAATTGACCCTTAATATTGATCTTAAAGAAATTTAAAGTAGCTTTTAATGTAATATATATTTTAATTTATAAACGATAACCAAAAACTACAAATTGAAACATTCTAATAAAAAATTAACCGAAGTATGAAATAACAGACAAAACACAATCTGAAACAATAATAGTCAATATCCAGTAATGACTATAACATAAGTTGAAAAATACAACTTCCCTTTTGCCTTACGTAAAGAACCTTAAAACCATCAATAAATCTTTGAATAAAAAACAAAACCGGTATAAATAAAACCTTTATAAATTAACCAACCAACTAACCTTTGTAACGTCTTTTCTTTTTAACTCTATTATAAATTTTGAAAAAAATCATTTTATAAATTTTGATTTCCACCCGAAAGTCTGATAACTTTATAAATCTAACCCAAATACAACATTTGCAACAGATGTAGGTAAATAATCTCCTTTATGATCATCATCATCGTCTTCTTCCTCTTCTTGATCTTGTTCTTCGAATTTTTTTGGAAGTTCATCATCTTCATCAAATACGGCTGTAGTGTTAAATAATTGTTGATGTTGTTGTTGGAAAGCTTGCTGTTCTTGCAATGATCGTCTAAATGAGCAAAATTCGTTACTATGACTTAAAGAATTAAATGAATGTCTTGTACTAGGAATATAATCTTGAGATGATTGAATAACAAATGAATTTTGTTGTTGTTGTTTGAAAAATTGATGATTTGGTGGTGAAATTGAATTTGGATTTGTTAAATTTGTTGAATATGATCTATTCAATTTTGTAAATGGTTGATTTAATTGGTTTATTTGACTATTTGAAAAAGAACTTGAGTTTGAATTTGTCAAGTCATTGCTGACATTAAAAGCATTTGAATATGAATTTGAACCAAAAGGTTGATAATTGCTATTTTGATAATTAATTGGTTTATATTGACTTACTGTAGTTTTTGTTTGATTAACTGGTGAAGAATTTTGACTATTAAGGTCCTTGTTATTCGAAAAACTTTTAAAAGAACTTGATCTTGCAAGACTATCATTTGCAATTGAATTTAAAGTTATTGGACCTTGATTTAAAGGTTTATCTTTGAAATTTGTAGCTTGATAATTTGAAGTTGGTGATATTATAATTGAATTTTCATCATCTTTTAACGATGAATAATAATCCGGTGAAGTACCAGTAACAGATTGTTGATAACTATGTTGTCTTTCAAGAGATTGTAGATGAGGTTGATTAGGTTGATATTGTTGTTGTTGCAGTTGTTGTTTATGAGTGTAATTATCATTATTCAAATTTTGATTAAAAATAAAATTTTTTGGATTAACTCTTGTACCATCAGGTAAATAATGAGCTAAAGCACATTTTAAACCAAATTTACAATTTCCCTTTAAAAAATATTTACATGGTAATTTATCTGCTGCTAATGCACCTTCAATATTATGACTAAAAGGACAAGAATCTCCAGCTTGACATATTCCTTGTTTAAAAAATTTACAAGGAACATGACTTAAATTTTTATTATTTGATGAGTTTATACCATTTGTAATTGGAACTGAACCTGGTGGACCTGTATTTGGAGGTAAATCAGCACTTAATGAACTAAGATCAAAAGATTTTGATGAACTATGGCGAGGTTGTTGTTGTGGAGTATGGTGCTGTTGTTGCTGTTGATGTTGATAATTTTGATGCTGATGTTGAGGTTGCAGTTGTTGTCTATAATTAAGCAAGGTTGAGGTTTGATGTTGTTGTTGTGGTGAAGTATCAAAATTGTGGAATTGATTATCTTGATAGTATGGCGTTGCTCTCATTTTATATTTATTGTACTGATAAGGGAAAACTATAATGAAATTTGTTTCAAATTGAAGGATGAAGGTTCAATACCTTCAGTAGTAGTTACAATGTCTTTTAAATAACTTATTAGGTCTATCTATGATCTATATTGGTCTCTAATATCTTTGATTTGGAAAAAAGGAAAATAAAATTAATAAATCTAATCTTTTTATCTTTAAAAATTCTAGAAATGAAAAAAATGTATGGAATTTTATAAAAGCTTTAAACTTTTTTATTGATTAATTTGATAGATCTTTGATCAGATATGAATTAAATGGTACAAAAATCACTGAATATCTTCTCAAATTATAGAAGAACTATGAATGAGTGACTTAGGTCCTGGAAAAGGTATATCGAAATATAGTTTGATTTAGATAAAGATTTTGATAATTAAATTAGGCTTAAGGAGGAAAAAAATTAAGTACTTTAGTATTAGATAACAAATATATTACTTACATTTATTACATTAATAATAGTTACCTGAAGTCTAATGAAATTTAGTGTATAAAGTGTTAAAAATGTGAAGTATAATACGATAGACTAACTAAACTAACTAAGTAATTCATTAATTAATTCATGAGTTATGGTACACATATTGTATTTGAAATTGAAAAAAGATAAGGAATTGTGGATAATATTACGTAAGAAACAATGTTTCATTACGTAAATAGAAGTATTTTGTGTCACTTTTTAATAGATAAGATAAAGATTGTTGATCTTGACTCATTAAACTACAAAAAACGATAGAAAGTTTGAATTCCGACTCCCTCAAGGGTTGTGCTAAAGCTTATATTACTACTGTGAGATAGAGTTACAACAATGTTATCGAATTAGACAGACCTTAGGTAACAAAATATGCAATACAAAAACTGTGGGAGATAACTTAGGGGGTTGTATTTTTTTCAGATTTCAGATTTCTTTTTTTTTTATTTTTTTGACTTGATCTGTGGATCTGAAAAATTGGTTCAGATCTGGAGAAATCTTAAGCGATTAAATTCACTTTCTATATTTGTCTTTTCAGCAGTTTGCAGTTCATTTTGAGTTCTGGCTCTTACTCGAAGTGTTCTTGAAATTTGGTGAAGTCTTGATTTTTAAAATAGAATCCCACGAAACCAAAAAATAGGAGGGGAAAAATTAACGTTCCCAACCATTGCATGATAAAAGTCGAAAATCTTGAAATAAAAACGGCCTTCTAATAATTCAAATCCAGATGCATATCCTTGATTTTGCAAGACCATTTGAGCATTTCCGACTCAAACTCGGGGATACCATTAACTTCGCTGTAACTTTGAACTCTCAGGGAGTTATATTGCAATTAACCAAAGCAAAACTCTCAGAGGAAATAATAGACATAGATCTAATGCTTGGATTGAAAAAATTTCATCTTTGCTGCTGGGGCTTACCGTAAATCAGAATCTTCAAAAAAGTCTACACTTTAAAATAAAATTTTCAAATTAATAATTTTTTATTGAATCAATATACTTTAACGACGATCACTTGATCCAATACCTCTTTTACCACTAAATAAATGTTTTGGTAAAGCAGCAGTAGAATGTCTATCACCTTCACCTTGTCTTGCCATTCTATTTCTTTCTCTTCTTTGTATTTTAGCTAATCTTTCTGCTTGAGATCTTAATGCACCATCATTAACACCATCATTTAATCTATCTGTTTGATTTACAGCTTGTTTCTTTTTAGCTAATTTTCTTGATTTTATACCTTGATTTTGTTTTAATATATCAACACCTGATATACTTGAATCTTCATGTTTCCTTTTTTTACCAATTTTTAATTTATCAGTATCATGACCTATATTATACATATGTTCTTCAAATTCTCCAAAAGATTTTTTGATTTGATCTCTTGGCATTATAGCTTTATTTTTTAAAGATTTTCTATTTCTACCTTCTATTATCATTGTTTTTTGTTTATTCCTTATCCATTGAGCTTTATCTCTTATATCTTGTAATTCTTCATTATCCATATTTTCATCTTCTTCTTCATCTGAATCATAAAATCCTTCTTGTTCTAATCTTTCTTCTTCTTCTTCTAATGCTTGTAATTTTGCAGAAATATCTGGATCTAAATAATCATAAACATTTTTACCATCTAAAAATTCTGGCATTGTATCTTGTTTCCATTCTTCTTCATCTAATATATATTTATCTTTTAAATTTATATTGAAAACACCAGCTCCACCATTTTCAAATTCATAATCTTTTGCTAATTTTCTTCTATCTGGATCATTTATATCATATTTACTTAAATCTTTAATACCTTCAGGAATATATGGTAATCTTTCAACATCATCTCTTTGTTGAGGTTTCGCAACATGAATTTTATTTAATACATTATTAATTCTTGCTGTTCCTTTTAATTTTTGTTCAATTCTTGCAGTTAATAATTTTTCACAAGCATGATTACGTACTTGCATAACATTTTCTTCTTCATAACATGAAGTTTGCATTATTTCAACTCCTAGAACTACTTTTAAAGTATCTAAAAGATCTTGTTTTTCTTGATCTAAATCTTCAATTTTTATAATATCTGATTTATTCATTACAATCATTACTGATTTATTTGCAAATAATGGTTTTATTGAATGAAATAATTTAACTTGTGCTTCAATTGAAAATCCACATTGTTCAGATAAATCCATAAAATATAATACACATGATCTTAAATGTGCTATAGCATATATACTTTGCATCTCTATATTATTCATTTCTTCAGTTGGTCTATCTAATATACCTGGAGTATCTATAGCTTGAAATCTAAGATATTTATAATCAAAATGTCCAACATATAACGATTTAGTTGTAAAAGCATAAGGTTGAACTTCAACATCAGCTTTTGTAATACATCTTAAAAATGATGATTTACCAACATTTGGATATCCACAAATTAATAAAGTTCTAGTATTTGGATCAATAGATGGTAATCTACCTAAATGTTGTCTAACTTGTTCTAAATAAATAAAAGGATCTTTTAATTTTTTTGTTATAGTAGCCATACGACCTAAAGCAGCTCTTTTTAATTGTTTACATTGATATAATGATTGACCAAATTTTAATAATCTATTATAATCTCTACTAACTTGTTCAATTAATGTTTTAGCTTTTGATACAGCAGCTAATGAAACTTTATAATGATTTTTTTCATATAATGTATCCATTAAATCACGATGAAAAGGATGAACATCATTAATATTTGGAAATCCACTTAATAAATCATTAAATTTTTCAACAAATCCTTCAGCTGTAAATTTAACTTTTCTCATATAAAAAGCTCTGATACGAGTTATTTTGAAACCAGGTCTTATAACTGTTGGTGTTTTTCTTTGAGTTCTATTTAATATTATATCCAACATCTCATTTGATGTTGGAACAGGAGGTATATCCTTCCAAGATAATTGCATCTTTACTAATTATATTTGTGATGTATATTAAGGTTGTATAGTATGTAATCTGGTTGTAAAGTTTAAAATGTAGTATGATAAAAATATTAGAGATGAGGTTCAAAAAAAATTAAAAAATTATGAAGAGATAAAAAGTTGATAATGGTGACAAATCTAAACGAGAGTGAGAACAAAAATTTTATTTATTTTTAGTCGTGCTCAACAGATCTGGGTGCCTGCTCAATAAAAATTAAAAAAAATTGGTTCCGTGGTCTAGTTGGTTATGGCATATGCTTAACACGCATAACGTCCCCAGTTCGATCCTGGGCGGAATCATCTGCAAAAACATCATTCAATTTTTTTTTTGGCTTTAGCAAACTCTTTTTTACTTTTTCTAAATCGAGGAAAGATTATATCAACTACATGTGTAGCCTTTGTGATTTGAGTGGATATAGTCTTGTTTTTTTGTAAATTCGGGTCAACTGGAATTTCAAATAATTATGCTTTTCAGAAACGGCATTAGGCGGCTTGAACAAGTTATTATATAAAAAAAAAAAATGAGAATGTCTACCTCGTATCAGAGAATGAAATTTCCTAAACTATTTTTAGATCAATTTCGAGTCGCCTAGCAACGGGACTGTAATTTAGTGAACAGGACATCATGGATAATCAAATGATTAAAAGTGGTTATGAATGGATGAAGTAACTATTAGAACTATTTATTTAGTTTTATTCTAAAATTTTGTTAGCAAAACTAAATTGATAGCAATCTTGTCTATTGTTTATAAAACATGCGTTAGGAACAATTTACTCCGGAGTTATATATGATTAAAATTATAAAATTCCTTTAACATTCTAAATATTTCTACTATGAATCTTAAATTTTTCAAGAATTTAATCAATTCTACAATCAATTCAACAATCAATTGACCAACCAAAAACAATGTCAGAAGAAACAATTACATTAGGTAGATATTTATTCGAAAGATTAAATCAAAAACCAATAAATATTAAAAATATTTTCGGAGTACCAGGAGATTTCAATTTAGCTTTATTAGATAAAGTTTATGAAGTAGAGGGTATGAAATGGGTTGGAAGTGTTAATGAATTAAATGCTGGTTATGCAACAGATGGATATTCAAGAGTGAGAAATGGTCTTACCCCTGAAGGTTCAGCAATTGGTGCTGTTGTCACAACATTTGGTGTAGGTGAATTATCAGCAGTCAATGCCATTGCAGGTTCATATTCCGAACATGTTGGTTTAGTTCATATTGTTGGTACACCATCAGTTGATGCTCAAGCAAATGAATTATTATTACATCATACTTTAGGTAATGGGGATTTTACAGTTTTCCATAAAATTGCATCATTTATAAGTGCTACAACTGCTGCATTAAAAGATCCAAACGAAGCACCAAAAGAAATTGATAGAGTTATAGAATCAGCTTTCATTAATCAAAGACCAACTTATTTAGCATTCCCATCTAATTTATTTAATGCTAAAGTACCAAAAAAATTATTAGATAAACCATTAAATTTAACTCCACCACCAAATAATGAAGAAATACAAACTGAAGTTTTAGGTGAAATTTTATCATTAATTTCAAAAGCTAAAAATCCTGTAATTATTGTTGATGCGTGTTGTGCAAGACATAATGCTACTTATGAAGCTAATAAATTAATTCAATTAACTAAATTCAAATTTGCTATTACTCCAATGGCAAAAGGTTCAAGAGATATTGATGAAAGCGATCCAAAATTTGTTGGTGTTTATTTGGGAGATTTATCATATCCAGAAACCAAAAAATTGGTTGAAGAATCTGATTTAGTTTTATCATTGGGTGCTGTTTTATCTGATTTCAATACTGGTGCTTTTTCATATGCTTTACCTTCTTCAAAAGTTGTTGAATTTCATTCAGATTATACTAAAATTAAAAATGCTCAATATCCAAAAATTAGAATGAAAGAATTAGTTGGAAAATTAGTTGAATCACCAGAATTGAAAAAATTTGTTGAAAGTTCAACTCCAAAAACAAATGATTGGGAACAATTACCAGCTGTTAAATTAGCAGATGATCATAAAATCACTCAAGCTTGGCTTTGGTCTAATTTAAGTTCTTGGTTAAAAGATGGTGATGTTGTAATAAGTGAAACAGGTACATCAAATTTTGGTATAATTCAAACTAAATTTCCTAAAAATGTAATTGGTATTTCTCAAGTACTTTGGGGTTCAATTGGTTATTCTTTACCTAGTGCTCAAGGTGCTGCCACAGCTATTCAAGAAATTGACCCAAAAAGAAGAGTAATCTTATTTGTTGGTGACGGTTCATTACAATTAACAGTACAGGAAATTTCAACAATGGCAAGAAATAATAATAATCTTTATATATTTGTTTTAAATAATAATGGTTTTACAATTGAAAGATTTATTCATGGTAAAACTGCTCAATATAATGATATTCAAGAATGGGAATATACAGATTTATTAAAAACTTTTAAAGCACCAGATTTTAATACATATAAAGTTGGAAAAGTTGGTGAAATTTCAAAATTATTTAAAGATGAAGAATTTAATAAAAATGATAAAATAAGATTAGTTGAAATCAAATTGGATACTTTAGATGCTCCAGAAAATTTAATTAAACAAGCTGAAATGTCATCAAAAGTTAATGATAAATAAAGCATTGAAGGAATATAGTTTATAGATATTTAGGACGATTGTAATAAGACATATTAATTAATTCTAATTTAATTTTTACTATGAAAAATGTAATCAGGGAATAATGCTTCCCAATCCTCATTAAATAGGTCTGATGTCATCAAAACTGGTGGACCACCAAGGAAATCAATATTATCATCCAATAAAACATTTGTGAAATTTTGTGAATCAACACTAGAAACAGGAGAAGCTTGATAACTTGTTGTAGCAAGTTTGTTAATTTGTAATACAGGTTCTGTCTTTATAGTATTACCATTTGTATCCCCAACATAATTTTGTTTTAATTTATCCTTGATTAAATTATACGATTTATCAGCTAGTTTCCATGTTTTTGAACAACCCAATAAAACACTCATAAAAAAATGAAGCCTTTCCTTATGTTCATTGACTTGAGAAAAAGTTGAATTAGTTAAAAGAATAATTGAGATTGATAAAATGGATGAATAAACAATAAATATTGATGCTCTTCTATAACCATGCTCTGATTCGAATTTCCGTATAGATTCATATAAATCTTCAATCACATTTAAACATATTGATAATGATGAAAGAACATTATTTGCATCTGCTTCGAGCCCGACAAAGGGACGGTTTAAACAAAGTAGTAAAATATAATAGTAATATCGTATACCTGAATAAGTGGGATTTTCTGCATTTCTCGACAATGTATTTTTATCCCATTTCAAATCATCAGGTAAATTTTGTTTCCAATTCATTATTTGGGAATTATATTCATACAATTTATCTAATCTTGATTCAAGATTGATTTCTTCATTTGATTTATCATCCACGTCAGTTTTAGTGAAAATGTCATTCAATATGTTGTCCGATATATTAATTAAATTAATTATTTGATTTAACGGATCACCAATATAAGATTTATTTGACTCATTAGTTATTTTACCATTCTTCTTTTCATACCCATTATAAGTGAAACCATCAATCCATTCTAAATCAGGTAAGTCTTTAGTTTCTGGAATTGATGCATCTGACATTTTCAAAATTGATGGTCTTCCTAAGACTAAACTTATAAAATGATCAGCCATATAACAACCCCAATAAATTCTTGATCTTATTGCAACATCCAATTCATCCAAACTTTCCTTTGATTTTACAAACCAAACTTCAGGATTTAATTGAAATCCAATATCAAACCCCATTCTCATTGCATTCCCCAGTAGCATCCAACCACTTGAATTCAGTCCATTACATATATCAAAAAATGCTAAAAGCATAAAACTTTGTAATGATGTTATTGATGGTTGACTTAAAGATTGTAATAATAATGCTTTAGCTTCTTTATAATATTCTTTTGATTTATTATATATTGAATCTTTGGCCATTCTTGAACCTAATGCACATATACTTAATATTAAAATTTTTGAACAATATAGACTTAAAGCAGTTGGATTGAAGAAATCTATTAGAAATGCTTCTCTGAAAATAAACATATTATGATCTGGATATTGCCACGTGAAAAATAATTGTATACATTTTAAAATTTCAGGATCTTTATTCATTTTATTTATTACATTTATTTCATTTTCACGTTTCAGTGAATTTGTATTGTTTTTTATAATGTTATTATCATATACAGATGTAGGACCGTATATTGCTTTAGTTTCATCAACGTCATCATTGTGATCCGCTATTGCTGAAGTGCTAATTCCAGATTCTGTCTCTTCATCATCATTAATCAAATTAGTCAAATCTGTATTTTTTAATAACTCTGTTTGTTTTTCACTATCCAATTGTTTCAACTCATTGATGAATGCCCTAACATTTTTCAATTGATTTTCTATCTTATTTACATAAGTTAATGTTGGTCTTTTCTTCCTCATATCCGAAATTGTTTGAATACATTCAACTTGAGCTTTTAAACATCCAGCACAAGGAAGTGTACCATCACATTTCACTTTTTTACTTCGACATCTTTGACAACTTAGTTTTTTGATGGGTTTTAAATGTGAACTTGATCCATTGTTGTCCTCCACTTCTTTGCTTAGTTTTCTCTTTTTAGATTCTGGCATTAATATGATTGAAATATTTTGAGTATAATGTTTACAAATTCGTGTTTAGATGAAATGTTTCACATTTTGTTTTTTCGAAAGAGATAAAGAAATAATATTTACGAGAAATGTTTGAAACATCAATCAAGACCTAAACTTCGTTTCACATTGTAATATTTGTCCGATTTGAATATTCCTCAAATCAAACAGTTATTAAAGCAAAGCATATCTCCCTTATCGTTTTCGTCTATTTTTGTCTATTTTCTCTATTTGTCTAAATGTACATAAATTTAACCGATTCTTGAGTACAAATTCAACATTCGATCAATGCAAAATAAATATAATTCCTAAATGTAATTGATTATCATATAAGATTGCAGCTTTAATAAGGTTTCTGCTTCAATTATAATATAAAGTTTGATAAGTATTATAGATAGTTGCAATAACACCAAATATAGCTACAAAACAATCCAATTTTCCAAACCAATATCTTTTACGTTTATCTTTATCGCTTAAATTACCATCATTTAAATTACAACAACTTCTATAATGTATCATGGGAGCATAAACATATATTAAAGGAATACATGAAAGGTTACCATTTAATGAGCTAGAATTATTAGTTAGTAATTGATGTTTTAAAGTTTCTCCTTAGTGTCACAAGAAACAGATAAAACTTATCATAGTGTGATATCATTACCATCTTGCTTATAAAAAGGGAAATTGTTCTGGTGAAACCAAAATTTTTAATACATACGCGAATTTATCAATATTATCAGCATTCATGTATGCAATAACACTGATAATAACAACACAAACAGCTCTAAAAGCATTTTTCAACCATTTGACTTGAGGATTATGTTTACCAGAATGATAAAGTTTACCACTTCCATTTTTCCCCTTATGTCTAAAAATTATTGATTCTCCAATTTTAACAGCTGGGAATAATTGTAATGGAGCTGATAAAAATACTGCAATTGAATATAATACAAGAATAGATTGAACTGCAAGGTTACCATGTGGTAAATTTAATATAATAATTGATTTAACTTTATCACCAAAAGCAGTATAACCTATAGTTCCAATAGTTACAAAAATAGCAGTTATAGTAAACATACTTACCAGTAACACCATTGTAAATTTTTCAGGTTGAGCCATTGAAGCTTCAATTGGTAATATCAATCCAATGGCTTCAAAACTAATAACACTTATTCCAACTAATAAAGTCCAACTACTTGAATTAAAATTTGCGATATTTGGTCCTAATCCATCATAATAAATTTTTAAACCTGAAAAATAAAATATTATTAATAACCCAATCACAATGAATCCTGAGGAAATTAATGATACAACTGAAAGTTTAGTTAAATTTCTTATTAAAGTTAAAGGTATTAATAATACACATTGAACTAAAACTGCATTTGCTCTATTTAACCATTCTGGTCTTGTTGATAAAAATCCATCAATAAAAGCTATCATATTCTCAGCAGTGAATAAAATATAAGTAGCAACAAATCCAATTTGACTTAACATAATTGAAACTAGTATACAATATTTTAAAGTATTCCCATAAGTTTTATAACCCAATTCACCAAATGAACTTACTTTTAAAACTCTTTTGGATTGAATTAATACAATATAACTGAAAAAAGTTAATAATCCAAATGCACTTAAAGTTATCATTGAAAATGCTAATCCACCATTATAAAAAGCTCTTGGTAAAAATAATACTCCTGATCCAACTAATGCTTTAAATAGTAAAAAGTAAGTTTTCGCCACAGATGCGGTCCCCTTTGGTGGAATCTTTAATCTTGGTAACTGTTTTGGTAAATACCTTCGTTCATTTGGTAATAAACTTGATTCTTCATCAAATACATCTTCATAATTTTGATTTGTGTCATCTTCATCTCCATCATTATCATTATCATTTTTTTCTTCATCATCTTCATCATTAAAATCTTCTCCAGCAAAATGTCCATACATACTTAAAAATTCCATAAAATTTCTTGATAAAAAATTTGGAGGTTCCTCATTTTTCTTTATAGATTTTTGTATTAAAAATTCTCTTCTAAATCCACCTGGAACATTTATATCACTTGCTGTTGAACCTCTTCTTGCTTCTTCTAAATATGTTGAAAATGATGAACTTCTTGCTCTTCTTTTTGGATCTCGTATACTAATTTCTCCATTATTATGATGGTGATGATCATCAACATTTTCCATTTGATGATATAATCTACGAGTTATATCCCCACCTTGTTGTTTTAGACTATCTTCAGGACTTACCAAATGTTTACCAATTGTTTTCAAATCAACATTTTTATTTGTGTTTTGCTTTATTTGAGATATATGATCATCATAACTTTGAGCATTTGAACTTGAAGAATCAGTTGAATTATAACTTTGCATTGAAGGACGTATAGTTGAGTCTAAATTAGATTGTGAATTACTATTACTCTTGTTAATCAATAATGGATTACTACTTTTATGTTTCGGACTTGAATAAGATGGTGTGGGCAGTCTGAAATTTGGAGATGCTCCATAACTTGCCAAATTTGTATTACTCGATGAATTCTTTATGTCATTATTTTGAAAAGCGGAATTAGTCGGTGCCATTTTTTAAACCTAATGAGGAATGTAAAATTTGGTTTATATCTTTCTATATACAATGATTTAAAACTATGGCTTTTTTATAGCAAAGTGAAAAATAGATGATATGTATTCCACATACTTTTGAATTTATGTCACAAAATTTTGTTTACTAATCAAAAAAATATTTTGCGACAATGTGCCAACTCATGATATGGCAATTCAAAACCACAATAATTATACTCACAATAACTTTGAGACGATTCTAATGAACCGAGTAACATATCAATACTCTAGTCCTTCCTTCAAATGAGTTATATAGGGATCAAACCGTTCTCTTTTCAAAGACAAAACTGGAACATTTCTAAGTAAGAAATTTAAATTGAATTTTAAAAATTTGGAGTCGAATTTAGGTCGAAAACTTCTTCCTAAAATTCTCTCAATTTTTAAATAAAACATTCTATAGAAACAACCCTGAAAAAATGCAGCCAATTACTGCTCTTGAGGAGGTGAAAGCGGATTATACATATGTGTATTATTCTTAGATATATTTAGTGTGCTGGTGAGGCATTGAGTATGGCTATAGTTCCATTGAGATTAACAAACAAATTGGTAGCAGTTTTTTAAAAATATTTTGCAGCCAATTCATTTTGCAAATCTTGAAAGTTGATGTTTCCTAATTCTATAAAGTAATTTTACAAATCCAAATTTAAACAAAAAATTGTAAAAATTGTAGAATAAAATTGTTAAATAAAATTTCAAAGTAACTCATCATTATCAAACGATTCAAAGTTTTTTAAACCATGGAAAAGATAGTATATTTCCCAACAGAAGTGTTAGAAATGATTTTTCAGCAAATAAATCATCACCAGGTATTAAACTTAATACCATTACATTCCAAATTTTGTGACATTGGTCAAAAAAAATTATATAAGTTCATCCATATATATTTTAAATACTATAAAATTAAAAACACCTCTTCTGGAGCAAATGAGCCAAAATATACAATTTGCACTAATTGGAGAATGCATAAGAACGTTGTAAATGATTTCACAAAAAAATTCACCGTTATTCAATCTTATAACTTTTATTCAAGCCTGATCGAGAATAAAATTGATAGATTTCAAAAAGTTAAACATCTTAGTATTGAAACTAATGATTTTTTGAGTTTCATAAAAAAATCATCATTTGACCATAAAACAGCAGCATCAGCATTATTGAAAAAGATTGTTACATATTTCAAAAATATAGATTATATTAGTTTTGCTGCAGTAAACAACCAACTCGAACCAAATATTTATCGATCTCCTAAAGACGCATTGGATGTTATAACTTTTCAAAGACCTAAAATACATCACGAGTTTTTTTATCGAGTTTTGTTTTACGATCTGAAAAACCCACTATCATATGATTTCTTCTATGATAACCTTAGAATTTTCAATTATAACTTTGGAGGATGTTGTCACTTCTTGAAAAGATATCATCATGATGATCGTGACCTAGGTAAATGTATTGATGTATTTAATAAAATCAATATGTTCAAAAAACTTGAAGAATTAAAACTTACGTTTATCGATCTTATTGATTTAATGGATCCACTATTGCTTAAAAAATTGCATAAGATTAATTGCAAGTTAAAGAAACTTCAAATATTATTTTGGGGTAAACACAAATATTTGAGCGATATTTGGAACGAACGTGAACTACACATTAAAGCAAAACCAAGGAAATGGTTGTTAACCTTGGATAAGTTTTTTAATACAAAAGAAATTCATTCATTAACATTAGACCATTATAGTGAAGTAATTTAGAAAGATGTATACAAGTTTGAAAATTTTGAATTCTGGGAATACTAGAAAATGCAAACTTATTAAAATTGAGAAACTTATATTTATCTTCACATTATTTGGACATGAAATTGATTGATGTATCAAAATTACATAAACTAACAATAAGTACTGGTGTTGCTAATGATAATCTTGCAACTGAAATTGCCAAACTATATTTTATTAATCCAAGTTTAAAATTATCTTGGTGGCCACAATTTACAACAGTTTATGACCATGGCAAATATGTTAATCCTGATAATATACTAATGTATACACCAGATTATTTTCAAATAATATCTTGCCAATGGCCACTATACTTTTTCAAAAGCACCGAAATTTTGATTGAAAAAGAAGAGTTGGTTTCTCACCAACAAGGTAAACTGGGCGAGAGTAAAACACCTAAAAAATTACATATAATATTAAAAAACGCGTATCCATTGGAAGAACTTTGGGAATTAGATCTCCTTGATGAAGATTGGGTTTGCAAATCGGTCATGAAAGTTTTGCGTAAAGAAGAATCTGATTGGATATAAAATTCTTTAGACTTTTCATGTTTGGACAAAACTATATTATTAATTTATTTTTTTAAAATTTTATAAAATATGTGGCAGCTTGACTTATGATTAGCTATCATACAAACACCAATAATTGAAGAGAAAGCTCGTGTTAAGTATGATCGTATACGACGAGTAAACGGCTAGGTTTTACTTTTTTAATAACGGTCATTGATAAAGGAAACGAAATTGATTAGATCAGCTTGTTTCAAATTGTAAGATAAGATAAATTTCAGAATGCACAATACCCCACAAAAAGATTTGGTTTCAAGATTTATTTACAAGTTTTAGTAAAAAAAACCATATATAAAAATTAGTCTATTATGAGTCTAGATTAGAAGAGTTCTTTATAATAAACTTTCGACATACGCCTTTTAAGCGTTATAAAATCATCATATCATCTTTAAAGTTTAATTCAAAATAAACGGTTATGAGTAACAATTTAAATACAATAGTTTAATATAAAATTAATTTTGAATTTTGCCGTTTAATCAAAATTTATTACTTTTCTCTTTTTGTACTTTTAGATAGTAATTGATTAAGTACTTTTTTTTTTTAAACTTCGGAAAAATATTTAAACAATAAAGCTTTATATGCAAAAGAATTAATTGAAAACGAAGAGCACAAAGATGGGTAAATTCTCAAATAAAGTTCCAGCTTGTGTATGCTCAAATGAATCTTTTCTGTAGACATGAACGTAAGTGTTTATACAAATGAAATTTGAAACCAATCATGATCAAACCATAGACTTTTCCTTCATTTTGATCTAGATCTGTGAAAAACCTAGATTTACTGCTTAACTGTTCTTATATCCACTCGAAGATTTCAGAATTGATTATAAGTTAATAATCAATATACAATCTTGATATTGGCTCACTTCCACATTCACAAAAAATTTTGTGTAACAGTTTCAATTATTAATTATTATTACTTCTTTACGAATTATCTATTATAATCAACATCAAACACAACAGTTAAATAAAAGCAGAAAAAAAAAGAAAAGAAAACTGACCATAAAACGCCACTTTGAAGTTATTGAATAAATCATCAATTTACTTGCTCGCATGATTATGATGTGAAATCGATAATAATAGATCCACGTTGAATTTCAATTAAAGTGGGGAAGTAAAATTGTATAATTCTTATTGAAATTTTTTGTTGGTTACATAACCAGTGATTAACTAAATAGAACATGTTGTAAATTATAAACAGTGAAACAACAATTTACAACATTTGAACTTAGTATAGTAACCCCATATTTTTTTTCACTAGTATTGACCTTCTACAAGTATGTGTATTGATGTTTGAGATCGTTCGCAAAATTTCAAAGCTAAAAAAAATATTAATCAGGCGGTAAATTTTTTATGCGAAATTAAACATGACCTAAATTTCTTTAAGCCTAATGAAACAGTTTTGATTTTTATCAAATTAACTTGCCAAGTTAATGATTATTTAAAGCTTGGTTATTGCAACCACTTGAATATCTTTTTATTATAGAGGTTATACTTGCATGAATTAAATTTGTAATTTAATGAATTTAACAAATTAAGAAAGTTCTCCACTTGTACTAAAAATTTAAACTTTAAGACAAGCTACATGTATCGGATTAATTAATTTTTTTTTTTATTGTTTTTTTTTTCTACATCCACTAAAGTTGATTGTGAAACGAATGGTATATAACGTTTTAACTGTTTTCGGAGAAGGAACAATTTGATTCCTTGCAAGAGTAAAATGCTCTTGTCTTTACAACGCCGAAAAAACTTGTGAGTATTACAGTTTTTGTAGGTGTAACATTAGTTTTTCCACCAAATTTTGTTCAGTGAGATAGACTCGATATGATTTTGTTTCTTCGCCTAAAAGTTAAAAATCCTCTTTAAATTAAGTTTATTTCTTTACTGTTTAGCAAGCTAGACTACTGATTTAATAAACAATTAGTTTTGAAAAAAAAAAAAAAAAGTATGGAGTATGGAAGTATGAACCTCCTACAATAGATACCAGTATGCGAAATCCCTAAGACAGATAGAAAAAAAAATTCCTTATCAAGATAAAGGTTATAATATTAAAGTTTTAAGTTGAATATTAGAATTTTATACACAATAAGAGACACAAATATTTCTGTAATTGCGAAGAAAAAAAATAATGTCTTGAAAAGTGTGTATTAATTAATGGAATTGTGGGATCAAAGCACGAAAAGGGGGAGAGTGAATCCCGGTTGATGAATAACGTCAGCTAATTTTCAAAATATTTAAGAAGAGATACCCAATACGAGTGGACGGAATAAAATTACATTTAAAGCCCAAATGAACTGATTGTTGACTGGCTAGAATTTATTATAGTCCGTAAATAAATATGTTGAAACTTAACCTAATCAAGATTAGACCAAAAAAAAAAAAAAATTAAATAAAAAAAAAAAAAAGAATTGCACAAAAATGAGCTGAGATCTAAGATTTCAAATTTCAGATTTCAGATTTCAATAATAAATCAACTCCACTATTGCAATCATTTCTTAGACCTTATTCTTACTATATTTGATTACAAAATAGTATAGTCTTGATTGCAAATAAAATGTGTCATCAATTCCAAGAGTAAGTAGAGTACTTTACAACAAGAGCAAGGCATGATGTACTGATTTCGTTTCTTTTTTTCTAGTCATAGCGCTTTCTGGGTGTATACGATAAGATCAGATCTTTTCAAGACAATCACTACGATAGCACAAAGGATGATAAAAAAATTGGTAGTAGAAAATTAGTACATAGATAACAAAATTGATTGCTTTACGAACTAATATATTGAATGATGTTACTTTTTATCACTTTTCCATTATTAGTAGATTAATAACGAGAGAGAGACTAAAAAACAAAAAAATTAAAAATGCAATGTAGCTGTTGTCATATATCCATACACCCGTATCGATTACTAACATAAGTAACATGAACAAACAGATAGAAACGAGGATGATATAAAATTGGCTTGTATAATATGAAGTTACAATATGATCTACATATTGACGAGGAGGTAGTAGTATACAAATCTAAGGTGATATATAAAATAAATAATAAAACAAAGAGAAAGATGTGTTATCCTTAAACTCATAACGATACGAAATATTATAGAAGTAATGATACATTTAAAAAATCAAAAAAATAAAACCAATAGTAATTGTAACAATAGATTTGATGATTAGTTACATTTACATATATTAGATGGTTCTAATTTTTGTCCAATTTATTTTTTTTTTTTTTTTTTATTTTTTCCTCATTTTTTATTTTTTTTTTTTTTTTTTTTATTTTATTAATTAAATTTGTGTAACATTTTATAACTGTACTGTACATTAAACTTAGATAAAATAAATAAATAAATAAATAGGAAATGGCTCTAACTTTTTGAATTTATATATTTAAACATAAATTACCATTTATATTATTTCCTCCATTTTATACCATCAACCATAGATTAAAAGCTCATTAAGAAGAAAGGAAAAGTCAAACAAAACACACACAATAGAAGAACACATCAAAACAAAAGACATTATCAAAAACTATATAATCATTCACCTTTTGAAATATAATTAAAATGTTTTATTTTACAGATGATACCATACTAAATTCAAAATTGTCAAATACTTATTTATATACTAAATTTGATCGTAATATAGACTATTTAGAATATGTACCCTCGACAACATCAACATCAACAACCACTTCCACAGACCATATAAATCAAATAAATTTCACTAACTTACAAATAAATGAAAAAAATCATTATTTAAAAAACAATCAAAATTTAATAAATTTTATAAAATATTTGAATTCAAATCCAGATTATAAATTAAATAATTATTTTTATCATAAAAGATTACAAAATATATGTTGGAGAAGAATTTATCAAAATTATAAGAATTTAAAAGTTTTAAATCCTTTAATTATAAATTGGGATAAAAATTCTGATATTACTTGGTTATATGGTCCAAAAATTGAAAATGAATATTCTAATATATCTAGTATATCATGTAATGAGAAAAGGAATAATAAAAGTTTAAGAAACGATGTAATATTCGAGGACGACGAAGAAGCATTTGAAGATGAAGAGAACGATAATCATACTATAACAAATGAAAAATTAAATCAATTAAGTAACAATATCATCAGCAAAGACGATGATGAAATATCGGTGTCTTCATTAGATTCAGATTCAACAATTACATCAAACTATAGTTTAAATTCATCATCAAGAAAAAGTTCAACAACTTCAAATTTATCAAATTCATATTATGAAGAAGAATTAAAACAATCTTTACAACAAATTGATAATGGAATTGAAAAACCTATTAAATCATGTTTAAAAAATTCGAATAAATCATCAACATTCTCACAACAACAACAACATCAAGAGTTTCAACAAGAATCACGAAAAGTATCTTTTAATTACATCATTAATATGAGAGAAATAATAGATAATATATCATTAGATTATAATTTTTTAGATAGAAACTGTGTTTGAAATTCAAATTAAATTAATCAAATGGGGAATGAATAAAAAAGAAGCAAAAAGTCTAGAAAGATATATGCAACATTTGTCATAGACTCGAGTCTTTTTTGTTACATTTACATTGTTCATCAATCATCGATCATTTATTGATCAAGCGATTAATAATCCAAAAGAGACGAGTATCAAGGAACTCAATAAAGCAACACACAGCACAAACAATTTAATCATTCATATATAGCTGGTCTATATCTACGAATAAATCATCATCATTTCGGAAAATAAGGGGTGGGGAATTAAAAAAAAAAAAAAAATGTCATTAAATATGTAATAACAAACATTATAATAATTGTATTTAATATATAAATAAACAATATAAATAAAAGTTAATCATATCATAGCAGTACTTAAACTTTTTGTATCTCTTTGAGTGAACGTTTTAAATTAATCTTAAGCAATTTAAATCAAACTACTTATCCTCAAATTGATTGAAAAAGAAATTTCAAATCTAGCAAAAAGAAAATAGAAAAATTAGAGTAAAATGAACCTAGAACAGATCTACGTAGATTTTTAAATCTTTTACTCCTTTAGATCCTTAGATCCTTTTTACAAGTTTCATCTTTTTTTTATTTTTTTTTAGACGATAAAGTGATGAATTTTAGATTCCAAATTCATTTCTTCAAAAAGTGGATCTTAAATGCTTTGAAAACACTTGGGGTTGTCATTCATCATTAGCGCCTCTATCTTCCAAAGAAGTATTTTTGTCTCAAAACGAAAATACAGAAGAAATCAGAAAGCAATAGCCCTACACTTGTTCATGAATGACAAAACATACTTCCATATGTATCATGCATGTGTATTTGTAAGTAAAACATAAGTTGTTTTTTTTTCTCATAAGCTTTATGATCGTAATCTTAATCTTCATCTTACATTCAATTGCTATTAAAAATAAAAATTAATTTTACCTAATTGAGAGACGCGATCAGATAGAATAGTTTGATTTAAACTTCAACAAATCGTGTCGAGCAACACCTTAAAGTCTATAATTGGCAAGGAATTAATGAAAAATAAATAAGTACTCCGGTATCTATTTTGTTGATTATTAAGTAGGGTAATTTATGTAGATTGTGTAAGATCCCGGACCAGTTGTTCAACAATAATATTTAACACACAAAAATAAAGATCTACTTCCCCCCTATTCCCCCAAGCTAGAATTCTTTTTTTATTTATTTTTTTATTTACTAAAATGTGCGGGAAGTTTCACAATTTTTGTGTAATATAACGATCGTACAAATAGTTATAATTATTTTGACATATTTTTCTTCTCCAACTAAGACCATCGTTTCATTATGTACTTATCCTCAAAAGTCCACAGGAAAGCAATCATCTCAAGACATTGGACCAAAGTGTTCCTGATTTTTGTTACATTTCTCCTTCGGGATTTATACAACTGAGTCTGAGCGTTGTAATATTTTGTTTTTCTCTGAATCCAGCGAATTTTTGAAAGAAATGTTGAGTTTTTAATCAGACTCATTGTTTGTAATGTCCGACTTGTTTAAGTAGTAAAGCACATATCTCAGTGTATTTTGTTGGTTCAGCTATTTTCGAGAAATTATTTAGTGATATAAAACTTTTAAAACACTCCCCTAAATACCCCTTAATGCAACCAGAAGTAAAATTGAAATGAAGTTGGAACAAATTCAGATATTACTATTTCCGAATTGCGATGATATTGAAATAAAAGTAATATTATGATGTTCAATTGATCATTCTCTCAACAAATTAAACTACTAATTCACCCTGCAACCGTCTCACCCAACTTCACAAAATCTTTAGTTCATGTAAAAAAAAAGATTCAACACCCACAAAATTTTCTCACTAGGTCTAATTAGACATAAAGCAATCAAAAATGAAGTTCACAAACAATCATAAGTCAACGCAAGAGAAGAAAATTTTTAATTCAAACGTTTAGATATGCTTTATTGTTCAAATATACAATGTCGATAGGTACTTAACACTGCATTATTACGTAGTGTTCAATAAGTATTGTAAAATTTTTTCAAACGTATTGATGTAGCACAATAAGTTGAGGCTGATTGAGTATTAACAGTGACTTAGTGGTGAATTTTTAAAAAACTTAAATGTTCTGGCTCAAGTACCTACATGTTTGTTTTTATTTCCCTCCGCAAAATTTGTATTAAATCAGCAGAGTAGCTCGGGGAAAACTTTTCCGGCTGAGTACGTCGAAATCAATTTAGTTGGAATAATGCTTTGAGATATTTGCTGATATCCCCATTTTTAAAAGGGATGTTAATTTGTTACAAGTCCAGATGTTGGGCTTTTATATCTGGAAACAACTAACTGCCATTAGAATTTAAAAACTCGACAATGAAATACCAAATGATTGGAAATGGTCTGTGATGGTAGAGGACCGTTACAAAGTTTTGGACTTTTGCGGTACGGTTCATCATGAATACTCATAAAACAAAACAATTGCTGAAATGAATAATTATCCTATTTTGGTCCAGTGAGGGGCTAATTGAAAGGCAAGGAGAAGCATACACAAGAGCTTTGTTACGAAATACAGGATTTTACATACAACGTTAGTATTTCCTAAATTATTGTAGGGATTACTTTACAGGTTCGAGTTAAGTTCCAACGAATAAAATAGTAAAAGTTATTATTGAAACATTACCAAATTATATGAGTTCAATAGTTTTGAAAATATGGAAAGGCTTGTGTATTTCCCATATGAAGTATTGGAATGGATCTTCCAACAGATAAATCATCACATGGTAATTGCCTTGATGCCATTACATTCTCAATTTTATAAAATTGGCCAAGAAAAGTTATATAAAAATATTCATCTATATTCCAAAGGTTAATTAATGAAATTTCCACTTTCTGAAGCAAAAAAGCCAAAATACGAATGGGACAATAGGTGGAGAGCTCATAAAGTTATCTTGAATGACTTTACAAAAAAGTTTACTGTGATTTCAATATGTAATTTTCTCGACAACATTATTAAGAATAAAATAAATAAATATCAGCGAATCCAACATCTCAGTATTGGAGATGAAGAGCCTATATTCACTGGAATACATTCTTCACTTAGAGAGAGGAAAGATGTACGACCATATTTAGGGAAAATATTGAAATATTTTAGAAATTTAGATTATGTCAGCTTTGCTAAATCAAACAACCAACTTGATCTAAAAGATAAAGACAGTTCTTATGATGTAATGAAAGATATAGATTTTGAAATCCGAGGTCTCCGTTCTGATTTTGATGATCATGTTTTGTTTTTGGACAAAAATTATCAAGGTTCATTTGATTTCATGTATAATAATCTCAAAAATTTGAAATTTCACTTTAAACCATCTCATAATACAATATGTAAGTTAAATTGTGAAAATGATGTATTTAAATCTATAAATTTATTCAACAAAATCAATTTATTTAAAAATCTTGAAGAATTACATCTTGCATTTGGAGCACTCATTGATTTAACGAATCCATCATTGATTGAAAAGATGAAGAAGATAAACTGCAAATTGAAAAAGCTCGATATAACCTATTGGGGAAAACTCAGATTTTCAGATGATTTCTGGGAGGAAAACAATAAACATATTAACCCAAAACCTGGAAAGTGGTTATTTACTTTAAACAAATTTTTCGATACAAAAGAAATTATCTCGTTGTCATTAAATTATCAAAAAAAAACATTTGCTAGGGAAGAATTTCACTTTCTGAAACTCAAGTTTGAAGAAATATTGATCAAAACAAATTTACCAAAATTAAGAAATTTAGTTCTATCATCGTCAACTTTAGATTTAAAATCGATTGAGGTATCAAAATTACATAAATTGATAATTTGTACTGAATTTGCTAATGACATGTATGCCGCTGACATAGCTCGACTTTATCTATTGAATCCAAATTTAAGATTATCTTGGTGGCCCCGATTTATGGAACAGGATGATTATACTAGGTTTTGCATTTGGGATAATTTGCAAATGTACACACCTGATTATTTTCAGATAATATCCAGTCAATGGCCATCATACTTTTTCACAAGTGATATTGTTTCAATCAGAGGAAGAGGTTCAATTTCTCATAAAAAAGGTGTCTTTGACAATGTTGATGATTCGAGGAAACTAAATATAGTTTTGAAAACCGAATATTCTTTAGAAGAACTTTTTGGAATGGATCTTTTTGATACTGCAAGCATTAACAGGTCTGTTCTTAAAGTTATCAAGGAAAACGACAATTCTGTTCTTAGAGTTCTCAGGGGATACGAGCGTAAGAATATTTAATAGTGGAATTACGACTTTTACACGTGAATGAAACTATCTATATCATCATTTAGTTATTCTTAAGTTTCTACCTTTTGACCTAAATTTTTTTAGTAAAAGAGGGAATCCATCCTTAGTCAAAAGGATTTTTCCATGTCATAATGAGTTGTTGATGCAACAGCATTGTTTGGTAGTTCATAAGTGATATTTGTATGAGATAGTATCACTTAGACTAGTTTTGTTTAAATCATCTTGAGTTACATGGATGAAACTCTATTTATTCTGAAACAGCACAACAATGAGGTACAAAAAAAAGGTACGCTATAAATAGAGTTTTTAAAGTCACACAAAAATTTGGGATGAGTACTTGAAATTCTTAAACAAATTTTAATCACTTTAAATGCTCCCAACTAATCGAGATTACAAAATATGTCTTGTTACCTCATACAAAATACATTTGAACCGCTTGAAAAAAGAAACTGATGGTATTTTACTTAAACATCAATTAATATTAAAATTCAATTTTTGGAAGATGGTCGATTTGAAGGATATTAAATTGTCCTTTCAACTGTGAGCTTGTGACACAAAACACTATCTAGACTGCTACACAAAATAATATGTTTCAACATGCAAGATTACTTAAAAAGAAATATATATTACTAGAGTTGTTACAAATTTGCAAAATCACAATGATTGGACTAACAACATCGTAAAAATGAATACTAACCACTGACCGTGCGATGCAACTGTAATGAACTTTTGTGAGTTCAAAAGCCAGTAATTACAAATTTATCAAGAAATTAAGAAATGTTTTCAAACAATGAAAGTTTTGCGTTGCAACTACGGAATATCAAGTATAAAAAAATCAAAAAACACAGGTGACGTTAAACGATATTAGTGTGAAACTAGTCTCACCAAGTTTAACAAGCAGTGGTAAAGGTGCTTTATGGTAATTAGACGATTATGAGTACCAATGTCCAGAAAATAAAATTGTAGTTATCCAGATTCTGGCTCAATTCAACTAATCAGCGTATCAGCATGTGGAGCAAACATTTAGTTCGCCATCACACTAGATTAAAATGCTGCTGTTCACTGTTTTTTTTACCAGCACATGTTCGAGCAAGTTATGGTTTTCAAGATATATTTGCAATCATTTTGAGCAATTGGAAATCATGTTATCCCTCTAACAAATTCATCTTCAATAATTTTTAGACCTTTGAACTTCTTAATACGCTAAATAAGCCAACACCTTGAGACGTCTATGGACAGAAAATGAATTGAATAAAGTGTTTGTGAAGTTGGTAAATGGAACTATTTTGAATGTCCAAAAAATACTAAACCCACAGATTGAGTTATAACACCTTGTCTTCAACAATAACTTTACTTACACTTATACAAATTACATTCAGAATTTAACAATATCTAAGATTGTTTTCAAATGAATCCGACATGAACAAAAATAAATTTTCATCAAGACGGATGCATCGTGAATACATTAGAATCCATTTATGGACCTTTCAAAAGTCACATTTTTATACCAAATTGATTTGTTTGATGATTCAACAAATAATTAATGTTTAATTGTAAATTTTGAATGTTATTTGTATGAGGTTTATAATACCTAGAGTTTGATTAAACCAGATATTTGCACTAATATGTAATTTTTTTGAACATTAACAAACTTGAAAATGCGCTATAAAATGACGCTTCACTTAAAACGAGAACTGCATTCGATTTTTTATTGAATTTGAGACGGATTGACATTTGCAACTTCTAGAGCTCATTATGACGTTAGTTTTCAGAATTGAAAAGTTGCCGCTAACAAAGTACACTTAGATTGATCTACACAATAATTTGAATGATATTTTGCTGCCCAAACAGAAGATTTGAATTTTTTGACTGTTGAGGACGAATTATGGTACATGTTCACTGCTTAAGGAATTTACCATAGATATGAGGCAGACGAGAAATGAGGAAAAAAGAAACTAAGTGTATACGATCTTGTACCAGATTTACCTTCATTTAGCATTTGCAAAAGCTTTACTTAAAAGTATAGGTCTGTATCAATGATAATTCTACAAATATTACATCCAACTCGTTACCACTAATCTTAAACTTTTCAAGTAGATGTTAAAACCTTACTTGAAAGTTGAACTGTCGTTTCGGTTTTTTGTGTACGATTTGTTTTAACTCCGGAATCTTAATATCACAATTATTACACTAACCACATAAAGTCGTAAATTACATGTCAAATAAACTCAATATGTGACACTGCAAAATTAACCGAATTTGAAAAATTTAAACTTCACTATTCTGTACTAATATAATCAGATTGCATTTATATTTTTGAAACGAATTTTTACTAATGCTATGCTTTAAACAACCTATAAGGATTCTACTATGTAGAAGGAATATATCAACCAGCTTACCTACCTTAAATCTATTCGACAAAACCCCATCTCGTACTGAAAGACCATCAACTAAATCATCTACAACTTCATCATCATCAATATTTTCATCAAATAGATTTCAAGAACAATACAATAAATCCAAATCAGATAATTCAAATCAAATAAATTATGATGGAAATAAACGAATTCCTAGACATTCTCATCAAAATTTAAATAATCGATCGAATAATCGTCATCAACAACAATCACCCAAATTTAAACAAAAACCAAAATTTGATTTACAAAAAGTTTTAGAAAAAGGATCAGAATCATCACAAAATGCAATAAAATCAATTTTAACAAAATTATATAATTTAAATACAAATTATGAAGTTGAAATAATAACAGAAACAGGTTTAAAAAAATGTAAAATTCAAGAAATATTAGCTGATTTAAATTTACAAAAACAAGGTATACAATTAATTTTAAGAGATAATAATCAATTACCAATTATAAAATTTATAAAAATTCAAGAAATGTTAAAAAATTATAATGATGAATTAGCAGAATCAAAAGAATTAGAATTATTAAAAATTGGGTCCATCAAAACAATAAAATCATTAGATAATAAATTAAAATTAAAACAAAAACAATCAATGGATAAAAATTTTTTAATTAAATGGTCTATTTCAATAAATGATTTAATTAATCAAAAATTTAATGAATTAATTAAAACTTTAAAAAAGCACCAAAAATTAAATTTATTTATTATAAGTAATAAATCAATAAGTTTTAATAATAATCCAAATATAACTAATTTAATTAAAGATAATGATCAATTAAGTTTAGAAATTAAAAAAAGACAATTAATAAAAGATAAAATTGAAAATTATTTAATTAAATTATCTGAAGATTCTAATGTAAAATGTAAATGGAATTTAATTGATGGTGATATAAATACAAGATTACATTATAATATTTCATGTATTAATCAATCATCTATTGAGAGCAATTCTAAGGAGAAGATTGATGTTACTCCGGAAGTGAAACCTGTTAAGATTAAAAAGGCTCAGACTCAGACACAAGAAAAAGCAAAATCAAAAATAGATGAAGATGAATTAGATTCTTTATACCTGTTTAAAATTGAAGATTAAACTTGTAGATAGCTTTGTAAATAGCAAATATAATGAATGTTACGATTAAAAGTTTTATAAAATTACAATTAAGATTAAAAAATATTAACAAATTTGAATTATATATCATACAATACTACCATATCTATAACTTTGATTACTCAGTAGAAGATCACTATCTCTTCTTTTATTACCATTATTATTATTTTTATTTAATGATTTGTTATTTAAACTCTTCCTACTTCGCTGCTGTTGTTGTTGTTGTCTTTGTCTTCTTAACTGTTGAACTTTATAACCATATAAATGACTTTCTAAAGTTTCATCAACAATAGGATAATTTAGAATTTTTTTAATTTGAGGTTCATTTAATGAATATATCTTGATATTATTTAAAGAATCTTGATAAATTTTTTCATCTAAATCAAAATTTTCTTTTGAATAATCTATTTTTGATAATTGTTGATCTGAATTTATTATATTTTGTATTGAATCTGTATTAGGGATGGTGGTGGTTACATCAATAAGATATTCTGAATCTGATATTTCATCTTCTTCTCGTATAGTTATTGGTGATCCAGGTGGTGTTGATTTAGGTGATTGAGGATATAAACCTCTCATTGATGTATTATTTGATAATATTGATGCATTATCTAATGCATGAACTTCTGAAGTACTTGGTATAATATTTTGTGATGCATTAATACTTGAATTATCAGGTAACCAATGTTTATGTTTTCCATCATAATGATATCTTAAACCTTGATGAATTCTACTCATACGACCTTTTGAATCAGGATGAGCAACTAATGCTTCAACAGAATCAAATTGTCTATAATCTTTATAATGATCTCCCTTAAATGTCTTTTGAAAATCTATAATTAAATCTTTAAAACCAATCCAATCTTTTAAAGCATATTTAAATTTATATCTACCCCAAGGTAAATTTGATATAGTAAAAGGTATATAACTAAAAGATAACCAATGACCAATAGCAAAAGCAATTAATTCAACACATAATAAAGCATTTTGTATACATATACCAATACTTTCACCACTTTTATTTTCATTTGATCCAGGTAAAATTTCAAAAAAATTTAATATAGCTAATATAACTCCTTGCCAATAAGAAGCAAAAATTATTAATTTAACACATAAAAATTTTCCAACTGGTTTAAAAGGTTTTAAATCATTCCATAAAATTTTCCAAAATATTGCTAATGAATATAAACTTAATGTAACACTTGCATTATAAATTAAAGTTAACCATAAATATATTGATTTATAGCTCATATCATTAACATTATAAAATCCAGTTAATTCTCCTATAATTATTGTAATACATATAATTGGTTTTAACCAAACATATTGTAATATACCTCTTTTAATCATTAAAAAAGTTTTTGGATCAGAAATATCTAATGGTACTAAAATATAGCCCAAAATACCAGGATGTCGTACAGGTTCTCTTCCACTTGTCATTATAATAATATTTCTTTCACCTCCTAACATATCATTAAGTAATGAAAAAAAAGTATAAATAACAAAAGCTTCATAAACTTCTCTTATAGGTTCTAATATAAATTTATTGAAAGGAGATGTTTGATTAATTAACATTGAATAACATGTTAAAGCAAATAATGGTACAATAATTTGAATTCTTATCATTAATCTTTGTTGAAATGGTTTTCTATAATTTATTAAATGTAAAAAAATACTTATAAATATTATTATTGCTGATATTAATGATGAATATAATGATATTTTAATTATAAAATTAGGTAATCTTGGTCCTGTTGGTGTTGGTGATGGTAAATTATTATTACCGCCATCATTATTATTGGTTTGATTGATACTATGTAGATTATAGTAGATGTTTTGTAGCATATTGTGGTAAGTAAGTCATTTATGTGTGTGTTTAATGCAATAATGGAGTGAGATTAGTGCTAGGATATAGATGATGTTAGTCGTAGCTTCTAATTGAATTGACTTATTGATGGTGTTAATAGAAATTGTTTAATCATTCCAAATGATTGTTTTGTATTTTAAATGACACAAAGATTAATCTTTGGTTTTTGGTACCTTGTTGCTTTTGTGTAACATGTATAGAAGTTTTGTAATGTTTTAAAAGACTATATGGAGAGATCAAAAGATTAATGCTCTACAAATGTTTTAACAATGAGTTAACAAGATGTGAAAAAACTTTTATGTATATTTTCTTGCAATGTAAATGAGTGTGGAAACTTTTATGTGTCTTTCCTAATGTAAATGAATGTGGATAAGAAGACTAAGTTAATCCAGCTTCTTTTAATCTTTTTGCTCTATCTCTTTCTTGAGTTATCTTTTTTAAATCATCTTCAGTAATTAAATGATGTTGATGATTTTCAGATTTTATAGTATGTTCATCAATATTTTTTTCACCAATTACTTTACATTCATAAATACTTTGAATGAAAGGATCATTTTTAACATCACTCATTAAATATCTCTTTTTTGGATCTAATATTAACATATTTTTAATTAATGATCTTGAATCTGATGGTAATAATCTTAATAATTTTTCTGGTCCAACTGTTATTGGATGATGAGAATGTCTTGAATCTATAGTTAAATTATTCATATCATCTTCTATTGTACCATTTGTAGTTGTTGTTGAAGGATTTAATTGTGGTCCTGCGAACGATCTATATGAAGGATCACTTAATTTTGGTAATTTCCAAGGAAATCTTTTTAAAATCATACAACAATATATTATAGCAATTGACCAAACATCAGCAACTCTTGGATCATAACCAACACCTAAAGGTTCAAATACTTCAGGAGATAAATAAGGATCTGAACCAACAACACCTCTTGCTCTAATTAATTTATGTTTTGGACTTAACATTATATCATTTTCAGTTATATAATAACCATTTGGAACTTCTTTTCTAAATTGAACAGCAGAACCAAAATCAATTAATTTTAATATCCCATCATTATTAACAACACAATTATCTAATTTTAAATCTCTATGAGCTAAACCATTTTCATGTAAAAAATGAACACCATTTATAATTTGTTTAAAATAACAAAAAATTTCATTAGTATTCATTAATCCTGACATAACTAAATTAAAAAAATCAAATGAACAATATTCCATTACTATATAATAATCTGGATCTTTTATATATTTGGTGGTGATTGAATAATCTTTTATTAATTCATAAGTATGAATAATATTTTGATGAATTAAATATTCTCCAACTTTATATTCATTTTGAACTTTTGTTTGATAATCATTTTCTTGTTCTGCTGGTAATCTACTTCTAAATTTTTTTACAGCATATATCTTGTTGGGATCATCTTTTGAAGTTAATAAATTAACTGATCCACTTGCTCCTGTACCTAATAATTTTCCTGGTGTACCATATTTTTTAAATAAATCAGCTGTTGGATGTATAGGGTCCGGTTTACCCATTTTGGAACTTGGTTTATGTTTATGTGAAAGACTTTCGGAACTATCATTATTAATGCTACTACTACCCTTAAATTTTTTTAAAAATCTTTTCAATGATAAATGATGGTGTGTATTTTGATTCCCACTTATATTTGAATCTTTTGAAATCTCACTACTTGATGATGAAGGAGAATAATTATTATTTAAGGGTGAACTATTGTTATCATGTTGATGATTTTGATTATTATTATGAAGCTTTGATGAATTTTGACCATTGATATTAGAATATCCGTTAATGTTATTACTGTTATTATTTACATTGATTTGAGGTACTTGTTGCTGTTGTTGTTGTTGTTGTTGTGCATTCTGAAGTTTTGAATTTATTGAGCTTGTTGTAGACAGAGGGGAAATTGATCTACCATTTTTCTCTTTTAAAAATGCTCTATGTGATTGCGGCTGTTGTTGATGATGATGATTTTGTTGAAGTTGTTGCTGCCTCTGTTGTTGTGAAGATTGATGAATTGGTTGTTGTTGAGAAGATTCACTAGCTAAAGAAGCTGATGAAGATGATCTAGAGCTGAATAAATTCTTAAACGGCATATCATGGATCTAGTTATATTTTAAGGTATTTTGAAAAATTTGGTAAAAATGTAAAATGGATGATCTCTCTCCAATATGATTTAATTGAAAGTAATGATATGAAAAGGAATGAACTTTTGATTAATGGTGTGAATGTATAAATGTATAAGTTGTTGTGTTTATCGATTATCTATTGAAATCTATAGATAATATCTTTCTTTGAATTATTATAATAATGGATATGTCAAATCGATCAAAATCATAAAAAAATAATAAATTTATTTTTGAAAGTTGTTTTAAGAAACGAGGGAAAATTAAAAATAGTGAACTAAGATACAAAGTAATACAAAATTGTAATTATTTATATAATAATATACGAACTATAGATAAGTAGTTAGTTTATCTACTATTTGAAACTGATTTTGAAGTGTAAGTTCAAACACGAACGAAAATGTACAAGGATTAGAGTAAAACTTTGAAATTGATACCGAAGTTATAAGATTTAACCGAAAACTTATTTTTCTTTTTTTTCATCAACCGGTTAAATAAATATTACTCTAGGTTATGGCAGTAAAAGAGTACTGTAAAGCACTATACCAACATTTGTAGAGTAGAAGAGCAAAGTTATTGCTGTCCATCGTTGGATAACAGTAATCCCGAATTTGAAGCATGATGTGGTAGGTAAAATCAGATGACATGGAGTTGAATTAAATGGCTTTGAAAAAATAAAATGGAATGTGAATTCTGGTTAGTAACATATTTAAATACTAAACTAAGTAATATGATTGTTACTTGCGCAAAATATTTAAAGCCCTATTTAAATAGAAGAATACCATTCTTTAAGGCAAATTCCACTTCTTCATTATGTGTCAAATTTTAAAAAGTTTGGAGAAGTTTGAAAAAAAATTACGAGAAAATAGAAAGGGGTTTTTTTTTAAATCCGATTTGAACGTTTAAAAAAATAATAATGATATCATTGATTAATAACTGAAACATTTCATGTTCACATTAAAAATACAATACAACAATGCTATTGGCAATATGTAAATCAATGCCCTTATTTATAACAATGTAAAAAACGTTTAGAAGACCTCTTTACGTCCGGTAAGCAAATTAAATTTAAAGCCCATTTGAGGCTTTGGAATACGACTGAATAGTTTTATTTTCTTTGAATTTCTCTGAATTAAGTAATAAATAATTTTGCTACTTGTCTTGAATACAATAGGAATTGAAGACCATTTAATGAGTATGAAAATATCACAACCTAGGGTATTCATGGAATTAAGAATTCTATTGTATTTCCTACATTCTCAAAAACGCTCGTGTAAGAAAAACTTTAATAAAATGAGTTATCAAAACTATAACAAAATTTCTTAGATATTTATTTATAAAGTACGAACATGTTTAATACCTTTTCTTACTACTACTAGAACTACTATTTGAATTTACTGATGAATTTCTACTACTTGATCCTTTATTATTACCATTATTACCATTTCCATTTCCACTCAATAATGATTTATGTTCTTCATCTTCTTCATTATCATTAATAATACCACCAATATTAATATTACTATTTAAACTAAAAGATTCAGATCTTGAACTTGATGATCTTTTTCTCTTTTTTTTAAATTTTTTATTATTAGTTTTTGTTGAAATTGATCCATCAATTAATAAATCTTGATCATCTTCATGATCACTTACATTTTCAATAATAGTTTTATGAACTCCATCAACATTTATAACACTTTCTATAATCCCACCAGTTCTGTAAGATCTTGATTCTTGTTGTTCTGGTATCATAAATCCTTCATTATCTCGAATGATTGATGATTTTGAATTTGAATTTGGAATTGCAGTTGATGATGTTGATGGAATTTTAACTTCATAATGACCATCTTCATAATGTTGGTGATCTTCATCATTATTATTATTGATTGTTTTTTGATTACCATTTGAATTTGAATTTGAATTATTTATTTGTTCTGATATATCAAATGATCTCTTTTTAGCTTCATTTATTGCACCTTCTTCTGTTGAATGGATTTGTCCAACTAAATTTATATTATCATGATCCTTATTACCATCTTCACTATTATTATTATTTGTATCTTGAGATGTTGGTGGTGCAGGAGATGCAGCTTTTGCAACTGATTCAATAGCTCCTTGATCTGGTCTTTTAATTGTAACAAATTTTTTACTAGTTTCTAAAGGATTCAGAGCAGGATTTTTGATTTTCCATTTTGATGCAGCATTGGTTGAAGTACCTTTGTTATCTGCACTAGTTGAAATTTCAGAATGATCGTTTTTATTATTATCTCTACGGGTGTTTGGAGTAGATGATATTACAGTAGCTTGAGAACCTTGTCTTGTTAATCTTTCTCTTAAATCAGATGGTAATTGTTGTTGTTGAGAATCTAATGAATTTCTTTTTGAATTATTTCCACCTCGTTGATATAAATTATGTAAATAAGCAGTTAAATTTCTTTTTGATAAAGGTCCAGGTTGTTTTCTTTTTATATTTTTATTGATATCAATATAGACATCAGATTCATCAACAATTTCTTCACCTATTAATTCTTCAATAACATCTTCTAATGTTAAAACACCTATAGCACCAGTTGGTTCTCCAGGAGAATCACTAACAATAATCATATGAGATTTACCTTCTTGAAAATAATTTAAAATATTTAAACATGAAGTATCAACTCCTGTTTCAGGTAATGTAGCTAATGGGAAAGAAGCAACTGGTAAAGAATCTTCAGGATCATAACTAATTAAAACTCTAACTAATAACATTCCAATAAAATTATTTGGTTCATTTGGTAAATGTATAGGAATTCTTGAAAATCCTGCATTAAAAATTTCTTCAACTGTTTTTTCATCTAATAAAGTATCTGCACTCATTGTATAAACTCTATCCATTGGTGTCATAATTGAACTAACTGATTTTTCTTTTAAATCTAATACTGCACTTATAATAGTAACTTCATCTTGATTTAATCTTTCAACTCCCATAGTTTTATGTAATGTAACTAAAGTTTTTAATCCTGATTTTTTATAAACTGTACCATGATCTTCACCTAATATATGATCTAATAATAAAGCACATGGATAAGCAACTGGATACATTACATACATTAATACTAAAACAAATGGTGCAAATAATGATCCAACTTGTAAACCATATCTAACACAAATAGATTGAGGAATAATTTCACCAAATATAACTATTGAAACAGTTGATGTAACAACTGCTGGCCAACCACCACCAAGACAACGATCTAATACAATAGGTAAAGATTCATTAGTTATAACATTTGATAACAAAAGAGTAACTAAAACCCAATGTTTACCTCTACCAATTAATCTTAAAACATTTTTAGCATGTTTTCTTTCATTTTTATCACCACTTGTTGCAATAACTTTTAAATAAACTTCATCTTGACCCATAAGACCTAAAGTTAAACCAGCAAATACTCCACCAGCTAATACTAAAAACATTGAAATCAATAAATTCATATAAAATTCTTCTGGTGTTAATTCTTTATGTTTTTCAACATTACTTGTATTATCATCTCTTGCATATATTGGAATTGAATGAACTAATTTAATTAAATTTGAAAAAATGAATAAAATTTTCCCAATTCCATTAGATCCAATACTATTTGAATTAAATCTTGAATTTGAACTTGTGGTTAAAGATCTTCCTTTTGATGATGATGATAAGGAAGAAAATGATAAATTGTTTTTATATTTATTATTTAAGGAGACGGTAGATCCATATTGAGATAGTGAAGATAGTTTATTTTTTGACATATACGTATATAAATAATAACACTATTGGTTAGTTTTAATATGTACACTGGAGTTTGATTTAATAAAAAGTAAAAATTAATGTTGAAAATAATTAGTGATGATATGAGATCTCTAAATTAAAGTTGTAAAAATGCGTTGTTGATGTAATTTGAGAGCAAAAAAATAATGGAAGTAGAAAAACAATTTTTGTGAGATAAAAAATTCGATCAAGATAGAGAAACTAACGGAGAGAGAATTAAAGGAAAATAGGGAGAAATACTATGTTTAAATTGGAATAGAAAGCAATGTTCACTTGAAATTATAAACTAAATGCCCTTAGTAAACAACCTGTTGAAGTACTATCATTAATGAGATTATTGGAATTGGATCTTTATTCATTAAGCTCATTTCATTGTCGTGAAAAATAGGGTTACATTTTTAAATTTAACTAAAAAATCTAAAATTCAAGGATATGGACCAAATGAGATCGATTTTGAAAGTAGATAATTCAAATTTACAGTGTCTTTCGAACAAGATTCGAAGATTCTATATCTGTATCTGATTCATAAAGTATTTAATTTAGACCATATGACTCTATCTTGCTACATTAACAATTTTCAAAGATTTAAAGAAAATTGGCGTTCAAAGAGAGGCGACAATCTCAAGCCTAATGGTTTTGAAATCGCTATAACGCAAAGCATTAAGTCGATTAACTGACTCAATCACTATCTTTTTCGAGGTGACACAGCCGAATTGTTTCAAAATAATTGACGCCATTCGAGAAAGGCAAATAGCGCAAATTATAATTTTTAGTCGATATCGATTTTAGTTCACTTGACAAAATAATTTAAATGACTATTTTTCTTAGATCGATCATTGATAAGGATCTAATGCGGTACAGACTTAAAAAAGTTCTTTAAAACTTTGTTTACGCAGTAGGGGTACATTAGATCTAATTCTAGTTGAATACTTTAAAGTGCATTAATTCTTGTTTATTCAATATTTAAAAATCATAAGTCATATAAAATTATACATTTTACTCAGGTCTTGAATATTTTAAAAAACCATCTTTAACACCAACTTTAGTATATAATAATTGAGCTCTATGATTTTCAAATTGAGTATGCCAATAAGTTTTTCCACAACCTAATTTATCAGCATCTTCATAAACTGAATTAATTAATTTTCTACCAACTCCACCTAATCTATTTGATTCACAAACAAATAAATCATTTAAATAACATGAATCTTCAATAGTCCAAGTATTTCTATGAGTTAAATAAGTTGCAAATCCAATAATTTTATTTGTTGATGAATCAATTGCAACATTACAATAAGTTGGATCATTGGAATCTAAAAATCTTTCAAATGTTGTATTTGTAATTTCTGGGGTAATTTTATCTAATGATTTATAAAATTCAATGTAACCACCTGGTCCTGTCCATAAATTTACCCATTCTTCTTTATCTTTTGCTTCAATTGGTCTGATAACTACTGACATTGTATGTTCGATATTCTATAATTGATTTTACAAATTAGAATTCCTCAAATCTAATGGGAGTTTGTCTTCATATATAATTTTCAGATTTCAATATCTTAGCGGCTAAATTTTCTCGATTAGGATTTTGAGATCTTTATTATTTTTAAAAAATAAAATAGTTTCATATTTTAAGGAGGAGATCTTAAATCATAAAATCTCCAACTTTTGACTAAATAAAACTCTCGTATACATTAATTGAAGATTTGTTGCATATTGGAGCTTAGATGGGACCCGATTGCCGAATGGATCGATTACTTGACGTTTCTTTTAGTTGTATAAAGCTATGATAGCGCTACTTTAGTTTTTTTTCTCCCCTTAAAAATTATCAGATCAATAGTCTAACTTACTAGGTGGTAAAAATTGTTTTTGAATTGTATTCGAGATGGCAATTCTCAATTGGTTGGACCGACATATCTTCCCTGAGTTTGATAAGCAAAATACAGATTTGGTAGAAAACAATTTTGCTCATATTAGTATAAAGATATGAGTTTAGTTGCAAAATAAATGAAATTTGCTTCCAATCGATTGCAGTTATTTTGTGAAATTTTTCCAGGACTACGTTTCTCTTCGATCACCACTCCAAGGACTGAAAATTACCGATTTTAAAAGTTGTAAGTCAAACTTGAGTTAGTAGTTACGCTGTTGATACAGCCGTTCCATATTTTGAGTTTGAAGACGTAAAACATTTGACATTGTTTACTTGTTGCGACATTGGTCCAAACATCTACGTAATACGATATTAGCGTTTTGAGTTGTACTTTAAATTGACAAATCAATCATTCTATGGTTCTAAAACTATCTCAATGTTTTGAATCAGTGATTATAAGACTCGTCATTACCATACTACTACTAACGTTAATATACTATACAACTTATATCTTCATCAGCAAATTTGTTGTTGAAAAATATCCATTCATTGATAAATTAAAAGAATCAACCGATATCAAAGGAATCAATCCATTACCAAACAGGCAACTCACCAGAAGTACATTCTATCAACAATTGAACAATAGTTCTCAATATTTACGAAGAGATTCATTTTCAATAAATGAGTATAAATGATGGTGGCTCTACGACTACTTCAATCCAAATTTACTTTCCAAATGATTTGAGGAGGTATTTCAAACAAAAACAGGTATGTTTATTGGGGTATAAATTGAACAATGTATACATTGTACTTGACTGCGTAAAAGATAAGACAATTGAAGTCAGAGATAATGAACTTAAGGACTTACAACTAATCGGGTCAATCAATGATGATGATTTCAAATTCCACATAAAGCTACGATATGACGAAGATAGTCAACTATTAAGTAGTTCAATACCATGTATGATCATTAATTTTGATCCTCCAAATTTCAAAAATTTAGAGTATTTTTCAATAGAACCAATTTTATTACAATCAATGGGTGGTTTTAAAAGTAAAACAAATGCATTAACTGAGGATAAATTAAAATTTTATCAACCTGAACATTCAATTGATCAATCAAACCTTTCAATTTCAAATAATCAAGTACTTGAAAAAGTCAATCAAATTTGCCGTAATAGATTATTATACCATAGAAAAAATTACAACAATACAAATATTTTCCAGTTTGTTTTGAAAATTATAGTCACTGGGTTAATTATACCATTTGTAAAATTATTTCAATCATTTATAATATCAATTATAAATTTCATAAATACACCCATTTTTGGAATATCATTAGTTCAAATTTCAAAAGTTTTTCGACATTTAGATTTAAGATTAAAACAATTTAATTATTTTCCTATACAATTTTTATGTTATTATGATAGAAGAATATTATATCAACAAGATTCTCCAATAGTTAATGAATTAAAATTACCAATTTTTAATACAAATCTTAATATTAATAATTCAAATTATATAAATTTATATAATTCAATTTGGCTTATTTTTAATGATTTATTATTAGGATGGTTTATTTATTCAACTATTTTAACTTATCAAGACAAGATTTTTTGTTTTATTGATACAATTATATTAGAAAAAATTTTATTTAAAGATATGATGTCCCTTATTACATGGATTTCGGTAAAACATCCAGCTGGATTTAAATTAAATACAGATTTAGGTCAATTTTTTGGTGAGTTATATACTTGGACAATAATATTTTGGAAAAATCATGTACAAAATTTAATAATTTTTAAAAATAAATCAATATTATTATTTTTACTGAAAATTTTATGTTTCTATGGTGGAGGATCATTTTTTATATGTTTTTTAATTGATTGTATTAGTATTTTAACATTTCATATTTTTGCATTTTATTGTTGTTCAACAAAAGTTTATAAAAAACAATTAGAAATTATTAAATCTTTATTTCAATTATTTAGAGGTAAAAAATATAATGTCTTGAGAAATAGATTGGATAATTTAAATAATTATGAAACTGGTGATATTTTTGAAATTGATCAATTATTAATTGGTACTTTATTATTTATGATTATGATTTTTTTATTACCTACTATTTTTGCATTTTATTTAATGTTTTCAATTATTCATATTTTAACATTAATGATTTATAATCTTTTGGAAAATATTACAATTATTTTAAATTTTACACCTATTTTTGTTTGTTTATTAAAATTAAAAAATTCAAAAAGATTACAAGGTGGTATTAAATTTGAATTTTTAAAAAATGAAAATAATATAAATTTTTTAATGTTATCTAATATTTCATTAACTTATCTGGAGATTTTTGTGAATTACATCAAATTATTTAAAAGAGCTAAAAATTTTAGAGAATCAATACTATTGAATTTAATTTGTGGAGATATTATTAGTTTTAAATATAATTATAATTTAAAATTCATGTATTTAATGTTGCCAGAAGAATATACGGAAACGATTAGTGTATGGAAATATGTTAAGTAGATAGGAATATATACAAATATTTAAGTAATTCCCTGATATATAGAACTAGACTCAAATAAGAGCAGGGTTAATAAACGTACCTGTACTTTGTCTTGTCATACTTAATTTTGCAACCATTCCGAAATGTGTTTCAGATTGTTTACAATTTTGCATCACGTGTATATTTGTTTTTGTAGGGTTATAAAAGTCCACTAGTAGTGCAATTCTGCACAGGATCGATTTATTAACAGAAAAAGTATTAACTCGCGCTCAACTACGGTCGAAAGTTCAGTGCTTACGCTCCGTGGCTACCATCTTACTCGCAGTATATTCGTAATGTTCTCGTTACTCTCGCTTCAGCACATAGTGAAATAATTGACACAAAAATTCTATTATATGTTCCACTATAATTTTAACTATTGTCTACTAACTTAGAGAGAGAAAGTAATACACAGAAAAAAAATTGTAATTTTTCAAAAATTTTTCAAAGTATAAAGATTTGATTTGAAACTTTGATAATACAACAATAATAAATAGTCATATAAATCAAAGATGTCATTACCAGCTTCATTTGACTTAACTCCAGAAGATGCTAAATTATTATTAGCTGCCAACGTTCATTTGGGTTCAAAAAACGTTCAAGTATGTTTTAATCGTGATTAAGAATTAATGGATCGAATAAGAATTGATTGGGAGACACAGTATAGTTGCGGATATCACCATGAGAAAGAACAAAGCATGTATGAGGGATGTTATCTGTTGCATGAACTTTTATGTAATGAATAAAAAATTGGAGAATAATAGAATAAAAAGCCAGGAAGAAACTACATAAAGTATACAAAATTAGGTGCCTACCAGATATTAAATTCTCAATAAACTTTCATTCCAAACCAAAATTGATTTATACTCCTACTACTTTTACAATCAATCAGATTGATCCGTCACGAATTTCCGAGTTATTGAATACTAACTTTTCTTATTAGGTTCACAACAAACCATATGTTTATAAAACCAGACCAGATGGTGTTAATATCATCAACATTGGTAAAACTTGGGAAAAAATTGTTTTAGCTGCTAGAATCATTGCTGCTATTCCAAATGCTTCAGATGTTGCTGTCTGTTCATCAAGAACTTTCGGTCAAAGAGCTGTTTTAAAATTCGCTGCTCATACCGGTGCTACTCCAATTGCAGGTAGATTTACTCCAGGTAACTTTACAAATTATATCACTCGTTCATTTAAAGAACCAAGATTAGTTATTGTTACTGACCCAAGAACCGATTCACAAGCCATCAAAGAATCATCATATGTAAATATCCCAGTTATTGCTTTGACTGATATGGATTCACCATCAGAATATGTTGATGTTGCTATTCCATGTAATAACAAAGGTAAACATTCAATTGGTTTAATCTGGTGGTTATTAGCAAGAGAAGTTTTAAGATTAAGAGGAATTATTACTGATAGAACTTCAGATTGGTCAGTTATGCCAGATTTATATTTCTACAGAGATCCAGAAGAAATTGAACAAAATGCTACTGAAGATGGTAAAACTGAAGAAGTTGAAGAAACTCAAGCAACTGAAGGTGAAACTGAATGGACTGGTGAAACTGAAGAAGTTGATTGGGCTGAATCAGGAGCTACCCCAGCTGCTGAAGATGCTGCTGCTTCAAACTGGTAAATCATTTAACAACAAAACAACCAAAATCAAAAAACCAACTAAGTCAATATATCATAAACACAACCAATTACATAAACTATTATTGATTATCAAAAAAAAAAATATATGAATATCAAACCAATGATAACAAAATATTTGTATATTAAGTACTAGAGGGGGGCTCATAGTGTATTTTTTACATAGTTTCATTTAAATTAACGTTTAATTATAGCATATTTTAATGTAGTTTTTCGAATACAATATGAATTGAAAAGTATCGACCTGTATTTAAAATATTCAAATTACGCGCGCGAGAATCTGAGATGAACTGACAATAAAAAAATTATCAGAATATAAAAAATATTTACAAAGTAATACCACTCTTTTCTTCTTTTTCTTCTTCAATTTGATTACCATGGATAGTGATTGAAAAAACTTTCAAAATGAATTAATGAAACAACAATATGTGATTAATCATAAAAACAGCCTTTAAAAAATAAAAAATCAGTATGGAAATGTATTAGAGACTCAAGTTCCTTGTTATGAGGAATGAACACTTAAAAACTATTTTATCTGAAGAATTTTCATGTGAGTTGAAAGGTTTTCTTTCTTTTCACTAAAGTTTATTGATTTGGATCATTTTTATCCCCATTGGATTCTTCGTTACATGTTTTTTTGTTTAAGTTTTGTTTTTGATGTTCCTGATTTGTTTTTTTGGACTGTTTTTTTTTTTTTCAAATAGTGTTCAGAGTTGAAGATCTATGATCTTGATACCTCCATACACCTTTTTTTTTCACAAATGTTTTTTGTTGCAGTTATAACTTTGTTTCTTGACTATATTTTGTTTTTTATGATTCTTCCTAGATTAAACAACCTGGTTTATCGTATTATTCTTTATCAATAAGATTTTTTACTTCATGCCCAGGTAATATTTTACTTTTATATGGTGATAGTCTGTTAGACTATATTGATTTTATCTATTTTAAGTAATTGAAATATTGTAAGTAGTAAACGCTACCAAGTAGAGAAATGTAAGAAAAACGCGTTATTTGATTTTTGTAAATAATCTTTCTTTTCTTTATGTTTCATAATAAAAAGTGAAACCAATTAAATGATTAAATTATTTACATGAATTGACTACTATATCTGAAACAACAAACACTAAACCTTATCATACATACATATACATATTCAATAAATCAACAAATTATAAACTAATATCAGTTGCAGTACACTAGTTCCTTTTCAAACTTACACACTCGCTATAACACTAGGTCACAACTCGTCTAAATTTAACCTTTTCTGTCAAAATTTATTAATAAAGTTTTTACACATTTTTAAAATTTTAAACCTCAAGTCATGTCCAAGTCCAAATCAAGTATTGGTCAAAAATTTCAAGAACTTCTATATTATTTAAGTACTGATGATAAATATTCAGAATATGATTCAAGAAAATCTTTTAATAGAATTAATAAACCAGATTCAGAAAATTTATTAACTGTATATTCTCAACATAGTACTTCATCATTAGAATTAAATAATGTAAATACAACTACAACAACCACAACCACAAATTCAAATGAACCAAATGATAATCCTGAAGGTATACATGAAATGAAATTAGCATGGAGACATATAAAATCATGGTTATTAAAAAATGCACCAGATATGAATAGTTCATTACTGAGTAAATGTACAAATTCAGATTTAAAAGATTTTCAAAAAGATTTAAATATAAAATTACCTAAATGTGTTTTAGAATTTTTTAAAATTACTGATGGTCAATCGAATTTTGGTAATAAATTAAATATTGAAACAAATGGTTTAATATTTGGTTTAAAATTAATGTCATTAGATGAAATTATGATTTCAACAGAAAATTGGAGAAAAGTTGCAGATTTTATTCATTTAGAAGAAAATAAAGAAAATCAAAAATTAAATGAATTAAGTAAATTACCAATAAGTCATCCAAATTCAAATCAAATTAAAAAAAAATTAAGTTTAAATACAAGTAGTGAATTATCACTGACAAGTAATTCATTTGATTTATCATTAGAAGAAAATTCTCGTAAAACTTCAGTATCGTCACATGATTCATCATCATCTTCATCAAATAACAATTATAATAAATCGAATAAAAACTCAAATATGCCAAAACAAAGATGTTTACCACCAGGTACAGTGCATGAAACATTTGCTCATCCAATGTGGATCCCATTAGTTACAGATGAAGTTGGAAATTATATTGGAATAGATTTATCACCTCCAAAAGGTGGAAAATGGGGTCAAGTAATATTATTCGGTAGAGATTTTGATTTTAAATTTAAAATATCAGATACATGGGGTGATTTTTTACTAATTTTTGCAAATGATTTAGAAATTGGAAATTGGGAAATTAAAACAAATAAAAAAAATAATTATGGTGATTTATTTATTGGAAATGAAGGAGAATTAGTATTTGTTGATAAGGAAAGTAAAATGGAAATACCATATTTAGAAATGTTAAAAAGAAGAGCTGTTAAAAAATGGATGAATACTTTGGAGAATGAATCACTGGATGATATTAATAAAGAATTACTACAAGAATTAAAACAAAATGAAGTATCTATACTATCTTTAAATAATAAAAACTTTCAATCAGTTGATAGTTTTATAAATAATAATTTAAATCTTATAGATAATGTTAAACCACAGGAGAAGGTAGAGGAGAAAATATCCTTAAAACCTATATCAAGCATAAAAACAGCACCCTCAAAGTTACCATGTAAAAGTCCATTATCTCAAGAAGTAACAGAGGAAGAAATTGAGGAAGACGCTGGAGATGAGGATCAAACAATAACAAACATTGAAAAGACTCTAGACGAAGTAGATATTAAAAATTAATATAAATTTAAACTTTTTTACTCATTACCATATTATTCTCTGAATATTATTAGGCTCACTTACCCATTTAAATTTGTAATTGAAAAAAATATAGCTCGTTATGACATTAATAAAATTGAGCCAAATAAATTCCACGAAATTTGAATAAGAATAGCTTGGATTGATATATAACCTGAATATTATCAATGGTATTATGTAATATCTAGGTTCAAATAATGGTGAAGGTACAATTGTTAATATAATCGCAATTAGATAAGCTAGTATTGTAATTGGTGATAAATATATTCTTTTAGCTTTTGATAAGCTGTTTATAATATTATAAGTTGCAAAATGATATAGTGGAACCGCAACAATGAAACTATATTCATGATTTATTAATTTTCTGAAGATGTAAAATGTATAATGTCTATTATCAGCCAACAAGAAAGGATGAACAATTGTAAACTTATCAATTATAAGTTTAATTAAAACAAAGGAAAATCCATTTAACAAGGCATTTATACCCCAATTTCCAAATAAAAAATTTAAATAGTTTTTGAATGTAGTTTTATTTAACCATACTGGCCATGTGAAAAAGTTAATAAATGTAAAACAATAAAATACTTGAACTAAATGTAATTGAACTTGATGATTTTCTTTATCTCCAAATGTTATACCACCGTTAACTTTTAAAAAGATAGCAAATAAAATTACATTTACCAAATAACCAATCAATGATGTCCAATTTTTTATAGCCAAGGTAATAAATTGATAAATTCGATCAATCAATGAGTTACTTCTAGTAATTTTCCTATCAATTGAAACAGCAGCGATGAAAACAATCCAAATCATATTAGTTTGTCTCATCCATAAACTTAAAAATCCAAAAAATGAACTTAACAAAGGCCATTGATTGATTTTATTATTAATCAAGCTTAATGAAATGATTATAAATATAGTTGACCAAATATCAGTATAAAAGAAATAATAAAAAGTGAAAATTAAAGGTTGTGATAACATATTTATATTCCAAAATTGAAATGAATTTGATTTTTTGAAAATGGTTAAAAATATTGGTAAAATTATTAATCCACCAAATAAATTAATTGATCTTAGCACATTATAATTAAAACAAGTTAATTCTCCATTTGTTACAAACAGAATAAATTTCGAGTATATAAATCCCAACATATATAATCCTGGTGGTGTTGTTATTTTATTATCCCAGTTCTTAAAATTATATTTACAATAAGTTTGACATTGTCTTAAATGAAAAATTTCATCAATAAATGGTTGTTTGATATGTTGTGTTGTTTGAAGAAAGATGAAACCCGAAAACCCAATAAATACTAATGTACATAAATATTTGAGTAATATTAGCTTAATATAGGAACTGTTCCTTTGAATTATCAATGGCATATAAATGTGTTGAAATATTGGATAAGATTGAGTATCAATTTGAAGATCACTTATCGATTTCAAAACAATTACACAAAGATCGTTTTTCGTGGAATTACAAAAAAATGAATTTTGGTTGCAAAAAATCCAAACGTTGGCAAAACTTCATATTGGCAACAGATTTGATTAAGATTGTATGCCTGGCAGAAGTTAAAATACTGTTTGCTATATAAGAAAATCAAATTAAATGACAAAACGAAAACCTTTGATAATTGGAGATAGATATATACCCACATTTTCTTCCATACAAGCTTATAAAACTGATTCGATATCACCAAGTCATTCAATAAATCCGCATAGTAATCAAGCCAGTCCAAATAATTCCTTGATTGATAATTCCACCATTTATCCTGTTAGAGTGTCATTTGATAGCACACACTCTTCAGATTCCTCATCATCTTCAAGTATCACTAGTTCTTCTTCCTCAAATCAATATCCTAGTAATGCACATCAAAAAATAGTTGCTGAAGCATTAGATTTTAACAGAGACTCAAAAGTGTTCCAATATAATCAAATATATACTCATGAAACAACTCAGAATTTATTGCTGTCTAAAGTTGATTCATTAAACTCTGGTTCTTCTTCACCTCCCAAAAAAACTCGAGATCAAATTAAAACAATTCTTGCTTCTGATATTTTACAAGCACCAGGATTAAGAAATGATTATTATTCAAATTTAATAAGTTGGTCACAAAAAACAAATAAAGTTGTAGTCGGATTAGGCTCAAAAATTTATCTTTGGGGTTCAGAAGGTATAGTTACTCAAATAAATTATAATATTGATGAATTAATTACTTCTGTAAGTTGTTCTTTAGATTATTGGATTTTAGCTGCTACTGCAAATGGTAAAATTTTATTAATTGATCAAAGAGAAGATAACAATGTAGTCTTAGCTGAATATAAATTAGATGATGATAAATGTGTTTTTTGTTTTGCTTGGTTTGGTGATTCTTTACACTTTTTAGCTGGTGATGATAGTGGTGAAGTTCATATTATGAGAATTAATAATCTATTTACTGTTCAAATTGAAAATCTTAGGGGGTTTAAATGTCATCAACAACAAATTTGTGGTAATTATATACTTTGTTTCGATTATAGTTTTATAGCATCTACTAACATTCTTTGTAGGACTTGCTATTAATTCAAATAATGATGAAGTTGTGGTTGGCGCAAATGATAACTGTTGTACAATCTGGAGTTTAAAAGATTATAAATCACCAATTTTAAAATTCATTTTACACCATAATGCAGCTATAAAGGCACTTGCTTATTGTCCATGGACTTCATCTTTATTAGCAACAGGAGGAGGTTCAAAAGATCGTAAAATTAGATTTTGGCATACATCAAGTGGTACATTATTAAAAGAATATTATACAGATGGTCAAATAACTTCATTAATTTGGTCAAGATTTAAAAAAGAAATTGTTGCAACTTTTGGATTTGGTGGTTCAACAAAATCAAATTTATTAAGAGTTTATTCTTATCCTGATATGATACCAACTTTAGAAGTTAATGCAAGTGGAAATTTAAGAATTTTAAGTGCTTGTTTAAGTCCTGATTATTCATCAATTTGTGTTGCAACAAATGATTCAACTATAAGAATTTATCATATTTGGAATAAATCAATTGAAATAAAATCAAATTCAAGTAATGATTCAAGATTAGTTGGTGCTTATGGTAGTGAAATTATTGATTTAATTGAGGGAATTACAAAAAGTAATCCTGTAATAAGGTGAATAAATAGTTGCAAAGATAATCTAATAAAATAGCTTTTGTTCTAATACCCATTTGCTTGTCTTGACTTCTAGCTGCTTGTGGACCTCAAGTAAAAAGGCAATATTATTCAGGTCTATATGCAATTAAGTATTCTATTTACAAATTCTCCTGTATATTTGGCCCAGTCATGGATCTGCTTCACTAATCCCAATGAAAACTTAGACCCAAACCTGCCATCGATTATAACCGAAGAGTCATTTCATCACAGAAACCAATTTTAAATTTGCACTAGCATTAGTACCCACTACCACAGTAATTACAGCATCAATGCTTTACTAACTACATCAAGTTGCTCTATGCAACCCCGTACTATGTAGTCCTTTGTTATTAATTTTATCAATCACAGTGTTATTGACATGATGTGATCGATAAAATTAATAACAGTAGCTTTATGGATTGCACAAAAATGGGCTACACAATAGAACAATTTGACGTGGTTAATGCTTCCCCTCTTTAGATGGTGAACAAATAACACATGTTAAGCCTCCAAGGAAATCAAACCATCCAATGAATAAGCGAAGCTAGCATCAAAAACACTAGCAATCCATCCAAGCGTGGTGTATCTGATCGAAAGATGTTAAAACATTTGCCTAGTTTTCGGTCAACAAGGTAGGTATAATCTCAGTCTCATATCAAAATGAAAAACCAATTTGCACTTATCCACCGTTTCATATAAATTCACTCTATCACTCCCTTGAAAACCCCTTCAAAGGTTCGCCATCATATATATAATGACCACTTCTAATAATCAGACAAAAATTAACTTAATAATATTGTTGTCGAGGAATGAATACTGAATGATGGACTCATTGATGTGAAATAAGTCTACTTAGCCTCGATATGAAACAAATTATCATTTTTTTTTACTTAAAGTAAGTATAATCCTTTTTAAAAAACTTACACAAAATTACATATTATGTAACAGTACATAACCGATTTATTTCTAATTATATCCTGAAAATAGTCATAATCATCCTTATCCTTGTTTTATTTTTAAAGTTTCTGAAACTATCACTTTTCTTAATTTAATCTGGTATCAAATTACAAATATCAACCAGCAAAATGTCAGCAGCACTAGTCAATAGATCATTAACTACAATAAGAACGGAATTAGAATTTTTGAAAGATTCTGATGTAATAACGGATGCTTTATACGATCAAATAGTTGATTCATTACCTCAAAAATATTCAAAAGATAGTAAACCAAAAGATGTGGAAGAAAAAGCAGAAATACCAAAAATATCAAAATCTGAATATTCACCATCAACACAACAAAATACCAATCAATCATTCAAAGATCAAACAAATAAAATAGCAGAGGAATTGTCTAAAACTAGTTTAGTAGTAGCCCCACCAGCATATGAACCACAATCATCGAATAAGGAACCGCTTGCTCTTAGCTATTGTGTGGCCATATATGATTACAAGGCACAAGAAGCTGATGATTTGAATTTAAAGAAAGGTGAAAAATTGGCAATAGTAGAACATTTATCTGAAGATTGGTGGAAAGGTTATAAATCGGATGATTCCTCGTTCAAGGCTGGTGTATTTCCTTCAAATTATGTTAAAATAATATCGGAAGATGAATTTAAAAATTCAAGAAAAGCTTTACAACCTCCACAAATTTCTTTACATAACTCCTATAATTCAAATTATGGTCCTTCAACACCATACGGACAATTACAACCACAACCATCATATGGTGGATATGCTCAATATCCACCTCCTACTTCGAACTATTATCCTCCATCTCAACCACAACAACAACAACAACAAGTACAGATAATACCGGGTGATCAAAATCAACAGGTACAACAAGCACAACCATCTAAAGGTAATGAAAGAATGAAAAAATATGGGGAAAGATTTGGAGATGGTTTAGCAGTTGGTGCTGGTATGGGTGTAGCTCTGAGTATTATAAACGGGATTTTTTAATAAGGTTTGGGTTGATATTTTACATTAATTAATGTTATATATATATTTAAATTGAGTTAAATGCTATGTACAACGACAAAATTCCCCTCTTTACTTTCTGTTATTTCTACCATCAGCAACGGTATTCAATAATAAAGTATCATTGTCTAATATTATTCTATTTGGTGATGAAGATAAGATATTTGCAATTTCTCTAGCTGTATCTAATCTTTTCAATTCAACATAATCTTTTGATTTTTTTATAGCTTCACCAATCAATTCAGCAGATTTAGCTTCACCTTGTGCTTTAACAACCAATTGTTGTTTTTCTTGAATTGCTTTATCAACAATAAATGCAGCTCTTTGAGCATCTTGTTGTGCAATTTGTTTTGCTTCAACTGCTTGACTAAATTCTGGTGAAAAAGTCATATAAGTTAATGAAACATCATCTAATGCAATATTGAATTTTGAAGCTCTACGTAAAAGATTTTCTTTTACTAATCTTGAAACTTTTTCTCTTTGAGTAATTAATTGTGAAGCATTGAATTGAGCAACAACTGATTTTAATACTTCATTTACAATTGATGGCAATACTTTTTCTTCATAGTTTGTACCTAATGTTTGAAATATTGTTGGTAACTCCCATATATCTGGTTTATATAAAACTCTACACGTTATATTAACCATTTGTAAATCTTTAGTACCTGTTAATGATGCGATTTCTTTTGGTTTAGCTCTGACATCAAATATTATAGGTCTTTGAAACCAAGGTATAACAAAATGAGTACCTTCTGGATATATTTTATTTTGAACACCATTGATTCTTGAATATAGAATGGCCCTTTGTCCACCATCAACATTAAATAATGCATTTTGAGCAAACATGGCAACCCCTCCTAAAAGTAAAACTCCTCCAATTCCACCAAAGATGGCTAAGGGACTTCTTGGTCCACCAGCACCACCTGATTGACGTGCTTGTTGAGCTCTACGTCTCAACTCATTGGATAAGTTCTTCCAATTCTGATCGTTCATGTTGTTGAAAGTTTAAGTGATTGATATCTAATTTTGATGTGCTTAAGTATGAACATCAATAAATCCTAATTGAATGCGCAAAATAAAATTCTATGCAGGTTTTTAAGACCTAGATTTTCAAAAGTAATTTAATCCTTAATTAAGGTCTATAAAATCTATAAAATGCATGTTAATTACTTTATGATGGCACTCCTTCATAATCGTTTTTAGAATAGTACTCAGTCAATTTCTTCTTCCAATACCGCTTTCTATTCGCTTGTATATGATTAGTTCTAAATATCTTCTCCATTAAAATTAAAATCAATACAATAATACAAATGACAGAAGCTGGAGCTATCATTCTAGCAAATTTTTGACTTGTAACAGTTCTTTGATAAGGACATTGAGCATAAGGACCTCCTGAAACAAAACACGTTGAAATGGTAATATCATTTAGATCGATCCAAATCGGGAATGTACTATTTTGTTGTCCTATTGAAGTTAATAGTGAAAGCATTTCAATGTTCAGTCTAGGTAAGCTGAAATTATACCCATCAGGGCAGTCCTCTGCTCTGATGTCAAAATATGTTTTTTTAACTCCTGATGGAATGAGCCAATCATTTGGTGATGATTTATTTTGACATGCTATTTCGTACCTTTCGTAACAATCTCCTACATGCCAACCATCATTCCTCAACATCACACATTTATATGCAACATTTTCTCTTTGACCATCATTATCGGTATTATTGGTCGTGGAATTGTCGACGGTCATTGGTTCACCTGGACCCCAAGACCAGAAAAAATATGGAGCATAAGATTGATAAACTTCTTCAACATCCAGCGAATTCGAATTTGAAGAATTAGTGAAAGTTTGATTTTGAACATTATATGAAGTGGCATTAAAGACTGGTGATAATCCACATCGTACGTATTTCCTAATTTTTTTTAACGAAAAACGATCGGAATCACTATCGAGTATGTATCTAAAATTCGTTGTAAGTGACAAATTATTGAATAGATCAAGTCCATTAGTTGGTTTCAATACTTGATCACAATAATTATCGGCATTTTTAGGAGTCAATACTGTTGTTGGCAAAGTATCGTTAAAAAAAATCAATTGCTTGTCAAGATCATTAACGGTGTAAGCTCTTCGTGATTCCACAACATCATTTGAAATGACATTCACCAAAAGTCTTCTATACTGATTGAGTAAAACTGTTCTCAATGTCGGCATAACTATACTTGATCTATTATAAAATGATACTTCATTCAAATTTTCAGAATTTACTTGGGATCTATAATCGTTCAAAACCAGTGGATCAAAAATATATTGAGAAAGTTTCGAAAATGTTTCAGTTAATGTCGAATTACCAACGGAAGTTGATTGTGCATTTGGCTTATATGCATCTTCTAACAGAATTGTTTGATTTGATTTTTCATAATGAATGGATTTTAAATTGAGTAAAACATGTATAAAATTAGCTTGATAATCGGTATTCGTTGACATAATATACGAACTAATCATCGACATTACATTATCAGTTGCAAGATTTAAATCACATTTATAAGTTTGATTATTCCATGATAAGGATGGCGTGGTATCGGAAGATGATGAAGCATTTTGAGGAAATGGAGCAGGACAAAGTTGCCAGATTGAAGTAAATTCATTCCAATATAAATCAATCATAATAACTTGAGAACCTTTGTTTAAAGCAGTGACTAAGTCTGATAAACTGTCAGTAGTATATCCTTTTTCTTGAAAAATCGAGCTTAGTGATAAGCCAGTAACTGACAATTGATCTATAGGAATGGGTTTTGAAACATCTCGTTGAGTTCTTAAAGCAACTTCTAATGTTTCATTGGTAGGTGTTTGACCAAAAGGATAGTCTGACAATGTTAAATCAATTAGGAAAAATAAAAGACATAAAATCTTTATCACAAGTTGCATGTTATATATTCATGTTAAGTTTTATGCATATGTTTGAGTTACTAGTTGGTTGAATATGATAGATAAATTCGACTAAGAAATCACAAACAGTAAAAAGTATATTCGTATTAATCTATTAATTTTTAGCAGATTTTGGTAGCACATAGTATTGTTGCAACCATAAAGTCACTAACCTCTAGCAAAGAGCCTAAATCGTGCTTAGTCTACTTAATTATTTACCGATCTCATTGACCTTAATTCGAAGGGCTAAAGCTCAAATAAGAGATCTTTTTAAATTTTCAACTTGAATTTTTTTCAAGTTATGCAAACATCTTTTTGTCAAATATGTTGCAAATTTAGTCAAATTTTGATTTAACAAACAATTACAATAATGTTTAAATAAGATAGGGATATTGAGGCATTTAGTACTTTATAATATCCGATAACATTTTTGCAAAGTATCGATGTTATGAATCACCTATCGACATCCGCCAAAGTTAAAATTCCCTTAAAACCAATATGAAACACAAAAAACCAAACACAAAACCTATGAGGTACAAAATCAAATGTAAATAAAAACCTAAACTGTGTTACTTATCAACTAATAAAAATGAAACACATCATTTACAATTTATTCAACCCTTATCATTTTCAATAAGAAGAACTTACAAATATAATTTTTTGAATGCCACTTTCAAGCTTCAACCAAAATGTCCTTTTCAAGTCATAACAAGATGAATTTCTTGAAGAATTTGAATACACAACAATTAAAAGCAGTTACAGCTCCAGCTAATGGAATTTTACAAATAATAGCAGGTCCAGGAACTGGTAAAACTAAAGTTTTAACATCAAGAGTAGCATTTTTATTAATTTCAGAAAAAATTAAACCTGAACATATTATAGTTACAACATTTACAAAAAAAGCAGCAAATGAAATGATTGAAAGATTAGAAAAAATTTTAGAAAATACAAATATTGATATAACAAGATTATTAATTGGAACTTTTCATAGTATATGTTTTAAAATTATTAAAAAATATGGTTTTAAAATGGGATTATCTGATTTTACTATTGCTGATGAAAGAGATAAAGATCATTATATAAAAGAAGTATTAACTAAAGAATTAACTAAAGCAGTATTAAATTATATTAATAATACTCCAAAGGAACTTGATTTGATACGTTCAAAATCTTCAAATGAAAAATATCATGATATAGATTTAAATAAATTGAAAAGACAAATTTCAAGATTAAAATCAAGTGGTTATTTACCAGATGAATATAAAATTTTACCAAATTCAAATAGAATATTATATTTTATTTATGAAGCATATCAAAGAAAATTACAAGAAGTTGAAAAAAAATTAGATTTTGATGATTGTTTACTATATTGTCATAAGTTGATAACTAAATATCCATTATTACATTTCATTAAACATGTTTTAGTTGATGAATTTCAAGATACAAATAAAATTCAATTACATTTAATGTATGCATTTGCAAAAGGTCATATAGCTGATACAAAATTTCAAAATAATGTTACAATTGTTGGGGATCCTGATCAAAGTATTTATGGATTTAGAGATGCTCAAACTATAAATTTTAAATCAATGAAAGAATATTATGCAAACAAAGATTTAAAGTGTGAAATAATAACTTTAAATGACAATTATAGATCAACTAATGATATTTTAGATTTCTCAGAATTAGTTATGAAACAAGAACCCGACAGAGTTACAAAACAATTGACGTCTCAATTTACTACATCTATTAAACCAGTTTTCAAAAGTGCAAACTCACCAGAAAATGAAGCTAAAAAAATAGTTTATGAAATAAAATATCTATTATCATTACCATCACAACCAATAAAACCAAATGATATTGCAATACTTGTAAGATCTGGTTTCCAAAGTAGTGTAATTGAAAAAGAATTAGTTTCTCAAAAACTTCCATATCATATGATTAGAGGTCGAGCATTTTGGGATAGGAAAGAAGTTGTAGCAATTATGGATTATTTAAAAGCTTGTGGTGATCCAAATGATAGAATATCAATAATGAGAACTTTAAATTATCCAAAAAGAGGTATTGGTGCTAAAACTTTAGAAAAAATTGAAGATGCAATAATTAAACTGAAAAAGGATTTGAAAATGACACCAAGAGAAACTTTAAGAGCATTAGCTGATAATAAACATAAAGTTGAAAAATTAGCACCAAAAGTTAGATCAAGTCTTTCAAGTTATTTAAATGTAATTGAAGGAGGAGAAAAATTGTTACCTGAAAATAATACCGATAGTAGAAAACCCAGTGAAATAATTAATCAAGAATTATTTGATTTTGTTTATTCTCAGTCGGGACTTGAAAAAGAATACAAGAGTGATGAAGAACAAAACAGAATTATGATTGAAAATATCGAAGAAATTAGACGTCAATTCAATGAGTTTAAAACTGGGGATGATAGATGGTATGACGCATCTTCAGATGAAGAAGAAGAAGAAGAAGAAGAAGTTGAAGAGTTGGAAAATAGAAATACAATCATTCAATTTATTGAATCAATTGGTCTTTATGAATCATCCGATGGTGGAGCAAATGAATATGATGAAAATAATGAATCAAAAACTCCAAAAATTTCATTGAGTACAATTCATGGATCAAAAGGTTTAGAATGGCCAGTTGTTTTTGTACCTGGATTAACCGAAGGAATATTACCTGCAAAATATGCACTGGGAGAAACTGCTGTAGATGAAGAAAGAAGATGTTTTTACGTTGCTGTAACTAGAGCTAAAGTATTATTATATGTTACAAATTATATTGAGACTTCCTTCAATATGTGGAGACAAAATTACGATCAAGCTTCACGATTTATTAAGGAATTGTCAAGTCAAAATTATTTTGAAGAACGACAAGCTTGCTTTGAAAATTCCAAAAATTTAGAAATTCTTTATAAATTATTAGGTAATGATGATCCTCAATTAGAAGGATTTGATTGTGTAAACTTTTTCAAAGGTTATAAGAAAAACTGGACATCTTTCGGAAGGGGTGCTCCATTTCTGACTGATTATGGTGGATCTTCATCGAGTGATCTTGGTGGTTTCAGTTCAGCTTCATCTAATTTATCTTCCACTAGCAAGAACAAAAAAAGAAAATTTTCTGCTTCAACAACTGTCCAGCTTTCAGATCGGCATTCCGATCCAATCATTGTAACGAGCAATAATACCAACCAGCACGTTATTAGACCTAATTCAAGTTCAAGTTCGGGTTCAAATGATAATAAAGCTCCTGCTTATACACCTGTTAGAAAGGGATCATCCAAAAAATTGGGTATGAAACGTTAGCGAACTGAACATGAAAAAATCATGGTTTGAGAGAATTAGCTAAACTGGAGATGAGAGTATAATGTGTTTACGATTAATAACGAAAAAGTAATGAAAATTTCTATAATTCCATAATTCATGTAGCATACATTTTAGTAATTCTACTCGATAGCTATACTCTACTCTATAGTTGTTTTAATTTTATTTAACAATTGCAAAACTCCAAGGTAAAGATAAATGAACATTTTGATCATCATCAATAAATTTAGATATAGCAGAATAATTACCTCTTGCAATTATACCAGAAGGAGCTTCAACTTCAGTAAATTTTTTAACATATATTGGATTTTCATTAGTATTTGGAGCATAACTTCCTAAAGGTTCTTCAACTTTATCAACTCTTATACCACCTCTTTTTACAGAATGTAAATATTTTAATCCTGTTATAATTTCATGTTGAATTTTAAATTTTATAACTAATTGATATATTGATTTTTCTTTAATTTCAAATTTAATTTCTTTATTTGCTATTGTGTTTCCTTGAGAATCTTCTAAATTTATAGTTATTGGTTTTAAATTTGGTTGTTCTGGAAATTCTAATGATAATTCTGTTACAACTACTTTTCTATTATCTCCCGCTTTAACAGGTAATTGAGTACCAGTGCTTGATAATCCTAATGATGCTTTCCATTTTGCTAAACTTTCATCTTCTGCATCTAATTTATTATATTCATCAATTGTCTTTTTTTCACCAACGTGATATCCTTCTACTTGTTCTGGAACTAAATCGTCGTCAATATTGTTTGTTGATGACATATTGTTTGAATCGAATGATGATATAAGTTTAGTTTGTTTTAGCAATTGGGTGTTGACTTAGCCTTTAACGGAAAAGTTTGATAAAGTTGGAATAAATCAATAAAAATAATTACACGTCAAATTTATTAAATTTAATAGACGAGTGTATTCTTTTATTATTATAATATTTATTTTTTTTCCGCTGTACTTTTAATTGAAAAATAAAAATTAATTTTGATCTGAAACACCGCGTAAAAATTTGGTACAGGTGTATAGGTGCACAAGCCGATTTATAATCAGAGCTAGAGATTAGCTAAAATTTGAAACTACAACAAAACCTAACTGACCGAAGTATATTCAGACTTGATTCACAAATATTCAACACAACTATAAACGAGTAAGAACTAATGGTCACTGCTTTGTACTACCTTTATTAAACCCATTACGATTTCCATTTGAATCTAAGTTAGAATTATAAATCTTTTTTGATTTTTGTTGATTTTTATAATTATTTGATCCATTTGTTTTATATTTATCATTTGACCCATCATCACCTGGTAAAATTATATATGGATTATTTAAAATTCTTCTTTCTGTTTCTTTATCATAAGGTGGTGGAGGTTGATGATGGGGCATAGTTGGGAAAGTAGTATAAGCAGCATAAGTTTGTGGAATCATTGCTTGTGGTTGATTGGGGAAATAAGGGTTATATAGTATTGGTCCTTGTGGAATTGTTGGAGATAAACCTTGGGGTGAATACATTTGTGGATATGAGAATTGTATTGGCATTTGATATTGATGCTGATGTTGTTGATGATGATTGTTTGTATGACGATTATTGTAACTGTTTTGATGATTAGAATTGTAATATTGATTATAGTTACCATTCTTATATCGCTGGTTATTTACATTGTTATATTTGTTTTTAAAGTTATTTTGTTTCGTAAAGTTTGGTACCGACTGTTTGTACTCTATCTGATGAGAATTGTCTTGTTCAATCTCTTCTTCATTTTGATCTTCTTGTTCTTCTTGTTCAACTTGTTCATCTTCTCCGTCTTCTCCTTCTTGATCTTCATCTTCTTTCAAAAATATCTCTTCCCTCAATTTTTTATACAATGCTTCTTTTGATGCTCTTTGACTTTCAATGGTAGATTTCGTTGTTGAGTCAGTTGTTGAAGAAACATCCGAATCCTCGGATATAGTTGCAGTAGCTTCATTATTGGCATTTTCATCAATTTTCAAATCTGATAATTTGTTTTCTATCTTACTAGTGTCTTGATTGTCTTTTCCAGATTGTGATGATGGTTTATTTATTATTTTTTTGACGATAAGCTTTGGTTTTGTGGTTTCATTTGGATTGACACCATTATTTAAATTATTCAATTCTTCACTATTGTTTTGAGGGTTATTATCAATCTTCAGATTCTCTATTATGCCACCATTTGTAGTTTCATTAACATGATGATTATTATTATGATTATGATCATGATTATGACTATGACTATGACTATGTGATACGTTTGGTGAATGTTCTGCTTGATATTCATGAGCAACATCACTTATTCTTTTAAATTCACTTTCATTATCTTCAATCACCAAAACAAAAGATTTATAATCAAAATTCTCAGAAGGTGTTACTACAATTTCATTTTGTTGATTATTCCAATGCTGTAGTTGATAATATTGACATAATTGATGACTTAATAATCTATAATAAGAATTTTTTAAATATTGAGCTTGTATAACATATTCTGGTTGTTTTATATTTCCTAATATTGAATTTTTTATAAATTGGATTAAATCTTTTTCAAGATATAAAATAAATGGTCTATCTTGATATTTTGTTAAAGCTGTTATAATTGATTTGGGAATTTCAGTCATTTTGGTTTCGATTTATTGATGCTACGACTTGAAACTGAATGGAGCCCAATGTTATAGAACTTTATGCCCTTCAAGCTGATTATAAATTTGAAATTTAATGGTATGTTAAAATTTGAATCAACTACTGTTTAGTTTCAATCTTAATTGATCATATAAATTGTATGGTATCAAAGTTTCAACTTCATATAGATATCTATATGGTATCTTAATCTTAATCGATTTGACTTTATAAAAAAATTTCACACAGATATTAACACACACACACTTGATTTTACTTTCTATTTAAAACTTGGTTAGAATAAATTTGAATTTTTATTTTTTATTTTTTTTTACTTTTTCTCTCTAAAGAAATCTCTATGTTTTTTTTTTTCTTTCTTTTAATAAAATCAAAAATTCTTTCTATTATAATTCAAAGTTTTTGGTTTATAATAAGAAAAAACCTAGATCAATAATCCAACAGTAGAGCCAATGGCTTGACTTATCTTAAATACAATTTAAAAAAGTAGTTGGAAGGAAGAAAGAATATCGATTTTGTGGTGAATTCTTTTAATATTCATTTTTACAATTTTCGGAAAATTCTAAATTTTGAATGTCGGGGTTTTGCATATTATGACACATGCGACATAGATTGCGACAATGATTTTTCTCTTACGTAATTAACTCTGATTTAAAACAAATCTATGATCTTTTTTACAACCATTTAAAACAAACTTATCGATACCCTTACTTATACTATTGCAAATCGTATATGAAGTATTCATTATGTCTGGTACGGATGATGTATGTTTTTGATCTACATAGTTTTTCGTGGAAATTTTGATACTAACATGAACATTTAACAGATTAGGGCAAAAAGATTAGCTAAATTAGCTGCATTACAATCAAATAATAATAGTAGTAGTAATATCAATGAGACATCAAGTGGGTCTAACGACCAAAAATCAGCATCATCAGATACAACGTCGGAGCCTGTAAATATAACAAATCAAAACGAAGGTGTGGTAAATACACCTCAAACTCGAACTCAACCACAACCCCAACAATCCTCTAAACCAGTTGCCACAAAAATTGAAAACACCCCAAACCCATCATCTACACCAACAATATCAAAAGAGGAACACATATCACAATGGATGATCACACAATTAAAACATTTATTCAATGTAACTTTGGATATCACCGATAAATCAAATAAATCACTTTATTTACCAAGTTTATGTCATGATTTAAAAAATTCAGAAAATAATTTACTTGATGGAAACTTATTAGATTCAATATTTATGGAAATTTTAACTGAAGTTGGGACAAAAAGTAAGAGACCAATTGATTATTTATATTCCATATATAGATTAGCTTTTAAAGAAAAAAGATCAATACCTGTTAAAACTCCTTATTATCAAGAAAAAATTGAAATTTTAAATCAAATTATAAAATTATCTGTACGATATGGTAATATGGGATTACTAATACCAGATATGTTTTTATCAAATGATTTAAAATTAGCATTAGATTCATTTATAAATCAATTTGGTGATATGTCACCATATTTAATTGATATAATACAAGTTAGTTATGAAGAAGAAACATTATTAGATTTATTAAATTTAATTTTTCCATATATAAGTTCAATTTTAGTTAAATGGGATTTTAAAGATCAAAGATATTTAAATTATTTATCAATAATTCAAACTTTAGTTTCAATAAAACCTGTTGCTTCAATTTTTTCACAAATTGAAGGTTTTAATCCACTTGATAAATCTCAAGGTTTAAATTTTGAATATAGATCATTACTTGGACCAATTTTAAGATTATCTCCATTAACTGACAGTTTAAAATCTTATTTCGATGATGATATAACTAAATTATCTTATCCACAATTAAATAATGCATACCAATCTATTCAAAATGAATATAAAGTTGTAATTGATCAATTGTTTATAATAGTAGATAAATTGATAAGAGGTTCAGCTAAAACTAGACAAGATTTATTGACTTGGTTAGCTGAATTAATAAATTTAAGTCATTTAAGAAGAGGTAGTCATGTACAATTTAATACTGTACCTGGAGATGGAATTATGTTTAATATAACAATAATATTAACAAAATTAAGTATGCCATTCTTAGATTATCCGGTTTATGCTAAAATTGATAAAATAGATGTTGATTATTTTACTAAAAGCACTTTATTAGATATAAAAGAAGAATCAAGAGTTAATTCAACTATTCAAGAAGCTAATGAATATAGTGAAAATAGAAAAAAAGAAATTGGAAATATTGAACCTTCAAATTTTGTATCAGATTGTTTTAATTTAACTTTAGCATATTTACATTATGGTATTGGTGGTATATTTATTAAATTTGATAGATTAAAACGTCAAATTGATCAATTTGAACAAAGAATTAAATTAATTGAAGCAGGTAGATCAATTCCTGGTATGGAAACAGCTAATTTAGAAATGATGAGAAGACAATTACCAGCATTAAGAAGTCATCTTGAAAAATCAAAATCTCAATTACATTGTATTAGTGCAGTTTTTAGTTATAGAGATTTACAATTAGAAATATTTGATTTTATAATTGGAGCAACTGTTTTTATAACAAGATTAATTGATCCAAAACATTCATATCCAAAAGATACATTATCTATACCAATTTTCAAAATTACTAAAGTTTCAGAATTAGATGATCATGATTTTTTAAAAAGTAAAACTCCCGTTCCTTGGAAATATTATCCAGAATTTTTATTAGAAGGTATGATAAATTATTGTAAATTTTCAGCAAATTTTAGAGGTTGTCCATTGGTTTCAAATGAAGATAAATTAACATTATTTGTTGAATTTACAACTATATTATTAAGATGTCCTGAATTAATAGGTAATCCTCATATGAAATCTAATCTTGTTGAAATCTTATATATTGGATCAGTTTCAAGACAAGATGGATCACTGGGTTTTATGATTTCAATATTTGATAAAAATAAATTAGTTATGAAAAATTTATTATATTCATTATTAGATTTTTATGTTATGGTTGAAAGAACAGGTGCATCATCACAATTTTATGATAAATTTAATAGTCGTTATTATGTTTCAGTAATTTTAGAAGAATTATGGAACATACCTGAATATAGATTACAATTAAAAGATTATTCTGAAAATAATGTTGAATTTTTTATAAGATTTATTGCAAGAATGTTAAATGATACAACTTATTTATTAGATGAAACTTTTAATTTATTAAATTCAATTCATAATTATCAAGTTGAACAAAATCGTAGAAGACAAGGTCAAGAACCAAATGAAGAATTAGGTAATGATGAATCATTAAATGATAATTTAGAAGGTGAAGAAAGAAGAGTTAAATCTTTAATTGGATTATCAAATGAAACAATGGAATTATTCAAATTATTTACGAAAGAAGTACCAAAGGGATTTGTATTACCAGAAATTGTTGATAGATTAGCAGGGATGTTAGATTATAATTTATCAATAATGGTTGGACCAAAAGCATCAAATTTAAAAGTTGCAGAACCTGAAAAATATAAATTTGAACCAAAAAAGATTCTTAGTGATATATGTGAAATATTTGTTAATTTATCATTACAAAAAGAATTTGTTATAGCAGTATCAAGAGATGGTAGATCTTTTAATATAGAAATCTTTAAAAAGGCAGAATCTATATTAACAAATAAAACATTTGTTGATAATAAAATTATAAATGGTTTATCAATTTTTGCAAAAAAAGCTGAAGAAAATAGATTAAATGAAGCAAATGAAGAATTAGAATTAGGTGAAGTACCAGATGAATTTTTAGATCCTTTAATGTTTACTTTAATGGAAGATCCAGTTATTTTACCATCTTCAAAAATAAGTATTGATAGATCAACTATAAAAGCTCATTTATTAAGTGATTCAACTGATCCATTCAATAGAGTTCCATTAAAATTAGAAGATGTTATTGATGATGTAGAGTTGAAAGCTAGGATTACTGTTTTTAAACTGCAAAGTAAAACAGGTAATGAAGACGTTGAAATGACTGAATGAAGTATATAGCATATATAGCATATAATTAATACTCATGATATATTTTTTAAATTCCCCAAATGTGCTGTATTAAGAAATTATACAATATACAAAAGTCTACCGAACATCTTGTAAATTTAAAGTTGTCTCGTAAGTTGATGAAATTTTTCATTAATTCATACCAAAAATATTACTAAATAATTGATTTCCAATTTTTTTAAACATTTTTTATTATTTTATTAATTTACATATTCTATTAATTCACCTAAATTATTTAAGCTTTAATAGCATATTTTCTTTTTGGATTTGAAATTCTTGCTTTTCTTGCTTTTTCAGTTTCTTGAGAAGCTTCAAATTTAGTTAATTTTCTTCTAATTGCTCTTGTTTTTTTAGCTCTTAAATCTTTTGGTTGATATTTTTTACCTTGATAAAATTGTTTAACATTATCTCTTTGATTTAAATTAATTATTGTTAAAACTCTTGCAATATTTTTTCTAACAATATGAATTTTTGGTAAACTTGGTCTTTGTAATTTTTGAACTTTTAAATTAGCTAATTCCTTTTTTAAATCAATTAATTGTGATTCTAATTGTTCTTTTGATTTGGTTCTTAATTCGTAAGTTTTGACGGCGACCTAAATGAGAAATTACTGTTAGTACAATGTTCGTTTTGTATTCGGGGTTTCACACTTTGAAATTGTTTCACGAAACTGACGGAGGTGATAAATTAAATCCTTCCTTGCGAATCATGTAATTTAAATTAAATCGAGGTGATGAGGGAATGGTTTTTATCGTAAATAATCACTCGTTCACTTAAGCTCCAAAAGTTATTGACGAAAGAAACAGTTTTTATAATATCGAGCGTTCTTGATATGACTTGATTGTTGAGTTACAGTTGTCGTTCTGATGATCGTGATTACATGACTATCTCTAATCTATTATTGTTTCCTCGTGATCTTTGCTCTATAAAAACTTGCTGGCTAGACAAATTTATGATACAATCCTCTCCAAATAAGTGTGTTTTCATTCGTGGTGATGAACATACCATTGTGTATGTGATGTGTTATTGGTTTGATGAACTATATTTCGTTAAGTAAGATACCTTTTGTCTTTACATTTTATTATTGAAAATTTTAATTTTGTTTGTGTGATTTTGTTACTACTATTGAAAAATTAACTATGAGTGCGGATTTAACGTATTAAACTCTTCGTGTTTATAGCCCTAACATTTATGGAGCACGTGAGGTATATACTGAATCCAGTTGATAGAGTTTATAGAATGGGAGATAAATTTGTTTATGGGAGAATCAGAGGAAGAATACCTCAGTTTGTGCGATAAGTCTCACTGTTAACGAGCTTACATCGTTAAAAATGGTTGCTGGAGAAATTTTGTCTAACCGTTTTAAAAGTCCACGTATGATCTACGCCAATATAAAGCTTCAAGTAATGAATTGTAATCAAGTAAGTTTTTCTTATTTAAAATTGATCTCTGCTCTCGCTCAAGGACGAATCAATCGTGATCTTTGAATTAGTGGGGTCGAGCAATGGAGAATATTTGGAACAAAAAGCTCAAATTTAAGCGAGGCTTGATAGCAACTATTGTTAGCACTGGTTTTGTAATATTTACGAGAGATACTCATAGATCAAAAGATAAGAATCGAAAAAAATAAATAATAGATCAAACTTAAGTAGGACTAACTACTTTTTAAAGAGAACATATATCATTATTGATATCTAAGATTTTTAAATTAATTGAATTTCGGTTTTATTAATATATTTTTTTTGTACAAATGATTTGAATTATTATGTTGTAATTATTGCAATATATTATTTATTTCTTATGATGAATTTTTTAAATTTGTTGATAACCATTCTAAACCTTCATATAAACCATCACCAGTAGTTGCACAAGTAGCTTGAATATACCAAGGTCTTTGTCTAATTGAATGTAAACCTAATTTCTCAGTTATTTCAGCAGCATTCATAGCATTTGGTAAATCTTGTTTATTAGCAAATACTAATAATAATGCATCTCTTAATTCATCTTCATTTAACATTTGTTGTAATTCTTCTCTTGCTTCAGCAATACGATCTCTATCATTTGAATCTACAACGAAAATAATACCTTGAGTATTTTGGAAATAATAACGCCATAATGGTCTAATTTTATCTTGTCCACCAACATCCCATACAGTAAATGAAATATTTTTATATTCAACTGTTTCAACATTAAAACCAATTGTTGGAATAGTAGTAACAATTTCCCCTAATTTTAATTTATATAATATAGTTGTTTTACCAGCAGCATCTAATCCAACCATTAATATTCTCATTTCTTTATTACCAAAAAGATTGGCAAATAATTTTGAAAATGATAAACCCATATTTCTATTTAGTTATTTGATTCTATTATTTGATTAGGTGTAAAGTGTAAGATGATTGATTAAATTGATTGATTGATTGATTGATATGTAGTGAGTATATATATGTATCTTATCTGGTGTTGATTATTAAAAAAATTGTCTAATATTAGAAATTTTCTTAATTAATTTTGTTTGTTGAAAATTTGGAATTATAAAAAATGCAAATTGTTTTCTATGACGCGACTTAATTTGAATGATCTATTGATTGTATAAAGTAAACGTATCAACAAAAATTCAAATGTTTTGTAATGATAATAGTTGATATTGATATAGTCAATTGAGATTTAATGAAATTCAAGTGATTAAGTGCAATATTATGTATTGAAATTTTTAAATTATCTGATTATTATTAAAAAATTGTAATCGTATATCTTTTAGTGATCTCTTTATATTCTTCTAATATATGATCTTCAAAATTCGATTTTACCAATTGAGTTTTTTAAATGTGATTGAAACTCAGTGTTCTTCGATTGATTAATCAATAAAGCTCTTAATTATACAATTTAATTGATCAATGAACTTATGATCTTGTGATTTTTAAATAGGAGAAAATAACAACAAATCAGTTTTTTTTTGTTCTCTCTAAATTTTAATTTAATTCGTTGACTCGTTTGGTAGCGATGCTATCACGAACGGAATATGAATACGACTCTTATCAAATACATCTACACTATGTCGTTTCAACCTGAAGGTTGATGTAAATATTAACAATCGTAAACCGGGCTTCAATCTATAAATTCTCATAAACCTGACTCCAGTTATGTTTATGGTTGAAAGATAGGTGCGCCGAAGTCTAGTTCTTCAAATTTGGACACCTCACTCTAACACTGTGGTAGAAGTTGAGAGATAAATATTGGTAATCAATTTTACCCTACAACAGGTTGATTTGTTTGTTATAAAATTTATTAAATAGCCCAATTAAAGTATAGTTCATTGTTAGATATTATTATGAAAAAGGTATCTCTAGTAATATTATCTTTTTAATGCAATTTGAATTGAAATATGATATAAGTGAATGCAAATTTTGTATAAATAGGTACTTTTCTTGAACCAAAGTTAAAATGAATTAGTGCTTATTTCATCATCATGGTAAATTTTCCCCGTACTTGTGAGATCTCGATTACTTAGATTATTATTCTTCCTCTCTTTACTTACCGACATTTACTTTACAATTTGAAAATTTCTTTAAAGCACGAATGAAAACAGCATAATTTACATCTTTATTTTCTGGTTCCCAATAAATTTCAGATAATCTTATATGCCATGGAGGATAATCTTCTAAATTTAAACTTGGTCCAAAACTTATCAATAAATCTGGTTCGGGTCCAACTAATTCAATTAATTCTTCATCAATTAATTCAATTGTTATATCATTTACTGATAATTCTTTATTTTGAGCTAATTCACTCATTGTTTTAGTTAATTCAACTAATGTTGGTTTCCCATCAATTCTACTTAATAAATCAATTTCCAAATCAACACTTGTACGACCATTCACATTATTATTATTATTATTATCAATAGCAGTTCCATTAACAGCATCTGAAGTAGCAGCATTCGAAATTGATAATGATTCATCACTATATAGAATTAAATTTTTATGAGGAATTCTTATTGAAAAAGTTGGAATTGATTCAGAACCAAAATAAGTTTTTAAATTTTTTATAATAAATTTATTTAAATCAAATAATGAATCACTATTCTGATTTAATGTACCAGTATATTCATAAATAATTAATTTTGAAATTCCTGAACTTATACACCAAGCACTTAATTCACTTATTTGATTAATTAATCCATCTTTACCACCATTTTCATCATCTGCATCTTTTAAATCCAATATACATGATATAGATTTTGGAATTTTATCTAATTTATTAACATCTTCTCTTATAACTTGTGGTGATTTATTATGATAATAAATTAATGTTAAATATTTTAAACAAATTTTCCTATAAATGAATAAAAAATTTTTATAAATTGCAATTAATAAAAATAAAATCATTAGTATAAAATGAATAATATAATAATAAACCATTTTGGCAACTGATGTTGTTGTTCTTGATGATAATGAAAGAATTGATGGTATAAGATTATATGTAAATAATCTATGAGTTAATTGAATAATAATTGTAAAAATATTAATAGTTCTATTTGTATGAGGTGGTGATAATTGTTTAATATTTTCATTTTGTTTTCTTTCTTTTACTTCTAATGTAATATCTTTTAGTTTAACTTCTCCTTTATTGTTGGTCCGAACATCTTCAATGATTTTCGGTGAATGCATTGTTGTTGAATAGTGAATGTGATGTAAGTGAATAATGGTTGTAAAAAAGAAAAAGTGTTGTAAAAAAAATCGTGATAATTTTACTTTAATTTTGTTACCAAATTATTATAAAATTTTACGAATTTGACACACAACATAATTTGAACGTGCTTCTTTCATCGCTCACTAAAAATTGATGGATTTCACTTGGAGAAGATCACAACTCGATCAAATGGCTCATTGCGAATAGAATCGATGCTAATAAATATTACAGGCTCAAAATATACGTGTTTTGAGCTTGTATCGTTTCTCCAGGTTTAAAGATTACAAATGGACTATTACAAAAGAGACACGTTAGGAACACTATATAGTATGAAGTAAAGAGTACCTTTTGATCACTATCTTGTTTGAAGAAGCACATTTGTGGAGTCTTTAGGTGGGCGATTAAGGTTTTTGACACGATAATAGAAACGTTAAGACACTAAGCTAAAATTTGTATCTTCTTATCGTTTATGTCCGAGTTTTTGCAACCAAAATTTGTTTCTCATGCTTTCTCATGATTAATGTCAGAATATATATAGATTAGATACGATCATCTATACTGCTCATTTCCTCTAAGACCTTATAACCCCATCAAACTACCACTATCTATCCGCGACTGGAGCAAATTAAGACATTATATAACTACTTTCAATACTTATGTCAAGAAAAATAGAGACAAGTCTTGACTCACAAATTCTTGAAATTATAAGCCTTCAAAATACTACTTACTTTTTCTGGGGATTTAACAGACCTATTGATTACAGCTCTCACCTCAAACTAAGTACAAATTTTTCTGTTTATCATGACCAATTTTCACTGTGAAACAACTTTGTTTCCTCTCTGATTGTACTAAGTTGTAGACAATAAGATTATGATAAATTATACGAACATCTATTATTATAAGGCGATGTAGTACAAAAACCTTAAATTATTAAACTTTTACGTAATACAATACAATACAAAACTAGAGGAGAAAAAAAAAAAAAGATTAGATCAACACTTTCTTTAGCTTAATTATAATAATTATAATAATCAATATCTTACCCCAGATAATTAATCATAGATATATTTCAACATATTACTACTAAACAATACTTATATTGCTTAAGCAGTTAATACAACTACTAAAATAGATACTATTCATTACATCTTTCTCCTACTAATTCATACAAAAGTTTCAATATTTTTACAACTCAACAAATTCATCAGAACTTTATCATAAACTTTTACAACACTTCTAATGCAACTAATCATATAACCAACCACAGAAGAACGTAAAATAGAAAGAAACTCCTCACAATGAAGTTATGGTCATTTCTAGATCAACTATTGTATGATAATACAATAGAAGAAGAATATTATAGAAAAATGCGACAGAAAAGTTCTTCAAATTCAGCTTTAATTGTTGGTTTAGTAGCAGCAGTTGGTGGTTTCATGTATGGATATGATACTGGATTAATAAATGATTTATTAGAAATGAAATTTGTTTATACTAATTTCCCAAATAATGGTATTGGATTTTCAACTCATGAAAGAGCTATAATTGTTGCATCATTATCATTGGGGACATTTTGTGGTGCATTAATAGCTCCTTTAATTTCAGATAATTATGGTAGAAAATTTTCAATCATTATAAGTGCTGGTATCATTTTTAATATTGGAAATATTTTACAAATAAGTTCTATTGAAATTGCTCTATTATGTGTTGGAAGATTTGTTTCTGGTATTGCTGTTGGTATATTATCTGCTATTGTACCATTATATCAAGCTGAAGCTTCACCTAAATGGGTTAGAGGTTCAGTTGTTTTTACTTATCAATGGGCTATAACTTGGGGTTTATTAATAGCAAGTGCAATATGTCAAGGAACAAGAAGAATGACAAATTCAGGATCTTATAGAATACCTGTTGGAGTACAATTTTTATGGGCTATAATTTTAACAACTGGAATGTTATTTTTACCAGAATCTCCAAGATATTATGTTCAAAAAAATGATTTACAAAAAGCTTTACAATCATTATGTAAACTACGACGTTTACCAGCTGATGATGATGATTTAATTGAAGAATTAGTTGAAATTAAAGCAAATTATGATTATGAATTATCTTTTGGTAAAACTACTATTTTAGATTGTTTTAGAAGTGGTGGTGGTAGACATAAACAAGGTTTAAGAATGTTAACAGGTGTAGGAGTACAATTTTTTCAACAATGTTCTGGAGTAAATTTTATTTTTTATTATGGAGTTAATTTTTTTAGTTCAACTGGAGTACTGAATTTTTATATAATGTCATTAATTACTTATGTTGTAAATGTTGTATTTACAATACCTGGTATTATATTAATTGATACAGTTGGTAGAAGACCTTTATTATTTTGGGGTGGTATTGGTATGGCAGTTTCTAATTTTATTATAGCAATAGCTGGTGTAAGTGTTAAAGAAGATCATGTAAATGCTATATTATGTGTTTCATTTTCTTGTGTATTTATATTATTTTTTGCAAGTACTTGGGGTGGTTGTACTTGGGCTTTATGTTCAGATATTTATGGTATTTCAATAAGACAAAAAGCTGTCGCATTAACAGCTGCAACAAATTGGTTAGTAAATTTTATATTTGCTTATATAACACCATATTTAATTGATACAGGATCTCATACTGCAGCAATGGGAAGTAAAATTTTTTTTATATGGGGAAGTATGAATGCAATTGGTACAATATTTGTTTATTTTACAGTATATGAAACAAAAGGTTTAAAATTAGAAGAAGTTGATTATATGTATGTTCATTGTAATAATGCAAGAATTTCAAATAAATTTAAATCAACTAAAATTCATTATGATCAATTAGATGATAATTATAATCCATTAAATTCTTTACCACCTGTATCAACATCATCAAATGATTTATCACCAAATGAAAAAGATCAAGATTTAGATCTAGATCATGATCTTGATCATGATAATGAACAAGCTCAAGATTCAAGCAATCCAATGATTCAAGAATATAAAGATGTAACAATAGTTCCATATAATAATATATTATCACCATCAATACTGAATTCATCAAATGATTCAAATTCAAATACAAATTCAAATTTAACTGCTTCAAAATTTAGAAAACAATCAATTATATCATCATCAATAAATTCAACAAAATCAAATTCAAATCAATCACAAATTTCAAATGATTATCAATTATATTTAGAAAGTTTACAAAAAGAATATTCTCAACATTATAATAATTCTGCAAATTTAATAAAAAAAATTTCATCAAGTCAAAGTGGTAAAAAATCACAAACCATTAAAAATAATCATAACAACAATAATAGAAATAATAGTTTTAATGCTCAAAATCATAGTTTAGATCAACATAATTTTGATCAAAATCATCAAAATTCAACCAATATAACAGTACTAAATCAAAATGATTTTAATCAAAATCATAATATTAATAATGAATTAACGAATCCAAATAATAATAATAATAATTTAGAAAATTTAGAAAATTTAAAAACTACAATTATTGCAACTCCTTTTTTTAATCAACCACCACCTGATTCAGATACAAGTTCTGAAGAATCCATATAAATATCAAAAAGATTTAAAAAATAAAATCAAATTCAATTGCTTTCGTTGATCGAACAAAACCAATAATACCCACTAACGCTATCAAATCAAATTGAATCCTCATCATCATATCTTCAAAAAGTTGATTTCAATCACCATTCTGAAAGGAGAAACTAAACATTAAAGTACTTACTTTCTTACTCACAAAATTAAAAATATCTTTAATTCTTCTTATTTGAAATTGTTATTAAAATGATAAATTATATATAAAATAAAATAGTAATAAATGAATGAACTTTATGATTCTTTGTATTTAGTATTTTGTAAAATTCAAAATCTTTGATCTCTATAATTTTGTGATTGATATAGAACATACGATTTTGTAGAGTAATTAATTTTCAAACTCAATTTTTTTTAAATTTAACAACCATTCAATTTGCCACCACCAAAACTACTATCACCATCAATTAAGAAAAAATGGATTCAAATATTAATGATTTTCCCATTCAAAATGCAATAAAAGAAAATAATATAAATCTAGCAAAACAATTAATTTTAGAAAATCCCAAAAATTTATATATAAAAGATTTAGATGATAGAACTCCATTGCATTGGGCAGTTTCAATCAATAATACCGAGCTAGTTAAATTTATAATTGATTTAAAACCCGAGGTCAATATTGATGAATATGTAGATTTAAGTGGTTGGTCACCATTACATATATCTTCATCTTTAGGAAATATTGAAATTTTAAATTTATTTATGAATATGTCAAATCCACCAGATATAAATTCAAAAACTAATTTAGGTATAACTCCATTACATTTATCTATATCGAAAAATCATTTATCTTATGTTCGTACATTAATAAATGAATATGGAGCAAATTATAAAATAAAAGATAAAAAAGGATATACTCCATTAATTAGAGCTTCATCAATAGGTTCAATACCAATAGTGCAAGAACTACTTGCTCAAAAGAATATATCAGTTAATGCTACAGATAATGATGGTTGGACAAGTTTACATCATGCATTAGCTGAAGGTCATGGTGATTGTGCAGTATATTTAGTTGAAAAAGGAGGAGTAGATTTTAATTTAACAAATAATGAAGATTTAAAACCTATTCAAGTTAGTGTTGATGAAAAAGTTGCAAAATATTTTAAAGATCATGTTGATTATAAAATTAAAGAAATTGAGTAACGGATCGAATATCGATTGGGAAAGAAAATATCGGTTGTTTGGATAGGATAAGTTCACCTCAAAGAGACCAATATGCTAAGAACCGATGGTGCTGACCCAAAACCTCGATCAACTTGACCAAATCAAATACTTTCTGGCCCTGAAACTCATATAACACCATTTTAAGATTGATGCCCAAATTGAGATGATAATTCTTTGATCTTATCAAATTTGAAGTTTGTTCTGAAGGGTCAGTTGACTCAATATGATAAAATAATTTATATTTATTCTAGAATGATTCAATACGTCATTTAAAAGTAACATGTAATGTATGTAATTTAATAATAGTAATTTTACGGCTGACTTGAGTATTACAAATGTAAAATTACTTAAAATAAGATTTATTACAAAACTTTAAATTCGGATAAAAAATTGTATAAACTATGAGATATTTTTTAAATCGATTGTAAAAAGTTTGAGCCATTGAGTCAACCCATAGACCGTAGACTCATATGAGGCTAATATATAGCCGTATGATAATAATACATACATGTTATGGAACATGTTTTGTTTGAATTTACGAGTAGAATTTTAAAGTTGTATTCCTGTACAAGTTGAAATTTTCTAGCCGATATTAGAAGAATCTTCGATTCATTTAAGATAAAGGTAGAATTATCAGGAGTATCAAGAGGGAACCGTTAGAGGGTCATCTTTTGTCTTGGTCCGTTGCGAAAGGGATGAAAGAAGAAGACTTTTGTTTGGAGCAATTTGAACAATTGAGAAAGGATAAAATTATTCTAGCAAATGATGAAAATTCTCGAATCTCGGTAATGAGAATTCTATGACATAATTAATTACAAATATTATTTTTTTTCAGTTCAGGAACAGAGTAAATTCGAATGATTAGGTTAATTCCTGTCCTTATACTAAGTAAAAGCCGAACTTTTTCAATAAATTGCTATAATTCATACCGTATAGGTTGATACTTTGTGGTAATGAATGTTATGAACATTTCTTAAGACATTTATCGTTTGCTTGATTTTAATAGTAGAAATTTGTTTCCGTAAATATGTAACTCATCTTCGAGAAAAATGAGTTTTTCAAAACACCACAACAAATTTCAAAATTAATTGATAGATGGCATCAAATACTTCTTTTATCTTTCATTCATATCTTTTATACTTATATATTCTTTTTGAAAATTTCAGGTCTACACGATATTCATTCATTTTTTAGTCTAATCTAATAGTTATCTTATTTAGTACTAATAATTACTATTTTCGTAATTTATTACTAGTATACCATATATTACTTTTGTACTACTTTGTATACTAATATTTTTAATTTATCCTAATTTGTAATTAAAATTTCTTAAAAAAGTTATAAACAAAACAAAGACATACAAAAGATTTGTCACATATTACACAAATGTGACATTGACAATACTATAGTGATAACAGACTTATTTAAATACATAGAATAAATCATAGAATAACTTGTATCAATGGAATGTAGGAATTGGCGAGATAATGAATATCTTCACAATGAAAGTTTATATTATCATGAGAAAAAATTGAAGTTTCAAAACCGTTATTTTTACTCAAAAAGTTGATATTAATAACATGACAACTAAAATTTTGAAAAAATATTTCAAAATAAATTTTTGTTTCAGCCGGTTATAAATTCGATTTTTATTTTTGGTCTAAGAAACAAACTGAGCGATTTTTACGTCAATTGATTTCAATAAGGAAGGAAAGTGGTTTAATGTCAACTGGTGAGTGTAGTAATGAATTATACATTTACATGATCGAATGATTCATCAGTTATAGTAATAACCGATTGATCCAAATTTTCAGTGACTACTATTTTTTTTTCTCATAATTAAGCAAACATAATAAAATTTAAAAACTCTTAATAGGTCATCTTTCTATTAGTGTACCAAACTGAAGTAGTTAGAATTAGTTTAACATGTACTACATGAAGTCTAATACATAACTTACATACACAATTTTCCCTTTTAGATTTCATCCAAAACATACTTTGAAAAGTAACACAAAACAAATCCCATACTAAACTTTTTAAAGTAGCAATTTAAAATTTCCATTAAAAAATTAAAAATCCCTTAATAAAATAATTTATTCATGATGTTTTCTGTAGGTTATATATATATATTAGTAATTGGAACCAATAACAATTTCACTTGTAATTTTTCTTTCTTCTTTCCTTTTTTTTTTTCACATAGTTTTGTATTTCAATTTCAATTTTAATCTCATCTAATACTCAATTAAAGAAGAAGATTTTCATATCTCAGATTTCGAAATCTATATCAACCACAATTGAAAAATCCATATACAAAAGTAATTCACTAATTACCTTTTGATTCAAATTTTTCAAATACCCACTACAAAAGAATTCAATTCTAATCTAGTCAAATTTTAATTATTTCATACATATATACCCAACTACTCAATCAATTAACAAACAAACACAGCAAAAATGTTAGCAATTGGAGACGTTATTTTAAGAGCTTTTAATTTTATCTTTTTAGCAATTGCTTTAGGTTTAACTGGTTCATTAGCAGCAACAACAAGATATCAACATAATCCACAAGTTAATTTTGCTGTTTTCGCATCAGCATTTGGTTTATTAACTTCATCATTATATGGAATATTTGCATATTTTATTAGTGCTTTCGCATGGCCAGTTATATTATTTATTTTTGATTTCTTAAATTTTGTTTTCACTTTTGCTGCTGCTACTGCTATTGCTGCTGGTATTAGAGTTCATTCATGTGGTAATGAAGATTATTTAAATGATAACAATATTACTCAAGGTTCAAGTGGTAGATGTAGAAAAGCTCAAGCTTCTGTTGCTTTCTTATATTTTTCAACTTTTATTTTCATTGCAAGTGGTATTTTTAGTTTAATTGGTTTATTTAAAGGTGGATTATTTGGTTCTTCATCAAGATCAACTCCAAGAACTGGTGTTCCAACTATGTCACAAGTATAAGAGTTTTGAAAATAAATTATAATTATCAACTCATTTGAAGAAAAAAGAGCTATAAAAGCTTCTGTAATGAAGAATATATATACCTATGACATACTTTATGATCCATTTCAACTGCAACTAAAAGAACAACTACAATTCAAAGATAAATACTAACGAAATCAATGTATAATTAACAAGAGAGAGATAAAGTAAATATAAAGAAAAAGAGAAAGAAACAATGAAAAATTGATACCCAACAAATCTATTCAATTCATTCAAATCAAAATCTTTTCATTTTTTATATTTCAAATCTTGCTTAAATTCAAAACACTTTATTCAAATTCAATAAAAAATCGTTATCTCATTTCATTTTAAATCTAATTTTTTTATATCAATAATAATTAATCTTAATATTTATAATAATTTTTTAAATTTATTTTTTTATAATTTTATAATAAATATAACAATCTTATCCAAACGACTGTTTTAACTCTTCTCAGCATCTCCTAGAATACATGTTTCATCGTTGTTTGACCTTTTCGAAATTCTTATGTTAAAATTTATCGGGATGCGAGCTAGATCGGAATGGAATGTTCGGAATGTAAATGATAGTAAAAATCGATTTTGTACGATTTTCTCTGACTTACAATAAAATTATTTCGCAACCAAATACTTGTATCCTTATTAAAGCTCAATATAGTATTATTCATGTCTAGATCATACCTAGATATGAAAGACAACAAATACTTGAGATTTAGAGATTAATTGGACTACAGAAAATAGCAATATCAGATCGGATTCATCCCTGATATCAAAGGGTTGAAAAAAATATCTGCTGCAATGTTTGATAATAATACAATTCTATCAAGTTATCTATAAACAAAGCCCAACCAATAGACCTAATGATAGACCTGATATTAATTAATATTTCATCTCCTGACTTACTTACGTTGTTTTCTTTGTTTTTTCTCTCTTTCATATTGATTTTTTTCATTACCTTCAGAAGATTGAATAGTATTAACAATATTAGACATCTTTTTATGATATTCATCATACATCTTGGTTTTTTCAACAATAGATTCTCTTGCAATAAATTTATTCTCAAATCTAATATCTTTAAGAGCATTTTTGCGTTCTTTCTTGTATTGTTGTTTTAATTTTGAAATTTCTTGATTTGTTTTATTAATGTCATATGATTTTTTATCTGGATTAAAATTTTCTTCAAATTTGGGTGTTAATGATGGTATTGAAATTTGTTTGTGGGATTGTAATGTGAGAGGTTTTCTTGATAGTTCTGATTGTTTTAATAATTTTTCAAATTTAGGGAGGAATTGATTTGATGGGATTGAAATATATTTAATTAAATGTTTTTGTAATGATATAAAAGATTTCAAAATTTCTATAATTGATGAGTTATCTTTCCATATTGTAATACATTTATCCATTATATAACATAATTTAACTAACAAATTTGTTGCTAATGATTCAGTAGATGACTGAGAATGTTCTTTAAATAAATCTCGGATTGAAATTATTGGTTCTTTATATTCAATAATATTAAATTTAGTAGTTTTTAATAAATTTAAAGATTCATTAAATTTATATCTTTTTGAAATTAATAAATCATTTTGATTTAATAATCTTGGTTCAGGACATAATTTTAAAAATGAAACCTCCAAGAAATTTAAAATTTCAGGATCAAATCTTTTTGAAAATCTTTGATATTTTAATAGCACATCTATTATAAATATTCCTTGACCTAATTTTTCTATTGAATTTAAATGAAAACTTAAATAACTTAATATTTGATTCATTAATATAATACTTGGAGTTACAATTAAATGATAATGATCAGAAGTTGAAAATAAATAACAAACAATAACAAAAAATATTAAATCACTTGGTTTTAAATTTTCAATCCTATTGGAAATTTCCGAAATATATAATCTCATACTTTCAACTAATTCTTCATTATATGAATTGGATAAATTTTTTAAAATTTTTAAAAATGGTTCAAAATTTTCAAATTTATTTGATAAATATAGTATATATTTAAATAAAATTGATACAAAATTTTGCATTTTTTCTTTATTTTCTTGTGCTAAATTTGGTTTATAAGTTTCACATATTTTATTTATATGATTTGATTGTTGATCAGGTTCTATGTTTGACATTTGTTCTATGAAATTTTCAATTGTTGATGGCATTATTATAGGTAGAGTTTTGGGGATTTTAGGTCTTCCTCCAACAATACCATTTCCATTTACTTCTTCTTCTTCCGATTGCTCTTCCTCTTCTAAATCTTCATCATCCCCCTTTATAGTAAATCCATCTTGTTCATTTTCACTTTCATCACCTCCCCAAAATCCATCATTATCATCCAAATCATCTCCTTCAGCTTCTCTATCATTATTAAACCCTTCCATTCTTTTTAATCTATCTTGTTCCAATTTTTTTAATTTTTCATTATGTTCTTGATTTAATTCTTCATTTGTTTTTGTTCTATCTGCTGGTTTTGCTCTTCTATCAAAATTTAATTCTCTTACTTTATTATCATATTCAATTTCTTCATTTGATTTCGATGAAAACTGCGTTTGTTTTGGAATTTTTGTTTGTACTTGTCTTAGATCATCCATTATATCACCAAAATCTTCATCTAATTCATCTATTTGATCTTGTTGTTTAGCAAATGTTTGTTGTCTTTGTTGTTTGTAAAATTTGGATTTTGCAATAATTTCTTTCATAACTTCATTTTTAGATTTTTTTCTAGGTGGTTGTTCCACTGTTTCTTCTTGATTAGGTAATGAATCTTCATCAACATATTTTATAGTTTCTTCATCATCTAATGATAATGCTTGTCCAGAATGAGTTAATTGAAATCCTCCATTATCATTTTCCTCTTCAAAATCCATGTTTTCATCATCATCACTCTCCAATGAATATATTCCTCTTTTTTTACCTCCTGAATTTTGTCTTTCTCTTGTAAATCTTGCCAACATTTTTTCTTCTTGACTTAAATGTGAATTATTTTCTCCAAATCTTTTATCCAATATACCACCAGTTTTACCTTTTCTTTTTTTTTCCATTTCATATTGTAATTTAATTTGTTTTTGCATTGCACCATTTTTAGCAGCATATTCATTATGTTGTTTTGATCCAATTTTAACCATTCCTTGCTTTGTAGCTATTGATATATCATGTTTTGTTCTATTTATTCTTTGATCAAATTTATTAAAACCATTTCTAATTTCTTGTAAATTTTGTTTTTGTAAATCTCTATTTACTTCATTTCTTCTTGATGTTTTGCCCTTTGATTTTTTACTAGTAGTATTTGTTTGACCTATTAGACCCTTTTCTTTTAACGCAGCTTTTAGCTGTTTTAATTGTGATCCAGCCATATTCGTGTAAGGGTATCGTGGTGGTAGTTAAGGTGCTGTAATGGTGAAATAGGGTGTTGAAGTGGTAAGGCTATTGGTTGTAAAATAAATTTTGTAGAATAAAATGTTGTTAGAGATGAGAAATTGGATTTTGTGCAACAAAAATATTTGATAGTATAGACCATGTATTAAAACATCTCTCGAGGAATTATGACTGATTGAGTTCAAAGAACCATTCATAATCCGTTGATGAGAGTATTGGTTACTGCTGGAGAAGTTTGCATGAAGAAGAAAGTTGTAGATTGAGTAATCCCTGTTCAAGCTGGATAGTGAAACGCGCAAAATATGTTTTAAATTAGCCTCTATTAATTCTGTTTTTTAAATACCCTATATCTAACTACTATCATTTACAACTTCAATTTTTAGTCATCATATTATCAACTCTATAAGACACATCAAATTTACCACCAATAACTTCATAAAATTGTAATTTATGATTTCTATTTTCAACATTGACAGAATCATCAAAAAATTTATCAAATTCTTCAATATTATTTAATTTTATTGAATCATGAGTTTTACCTTGTTCACCACCCCAAACATCTAATAATTTAAACCATTTCCAATTTCCACATATATCATTATATGGCCTTGTTGCTCCATTTATTTTTCTTTCAATAGTATAACCATCATTATTTAATAAATAAATTTTTGGTTGAATTTTTAAAATTGAGCTGTATCTCATAAAACTTGATAATTCTTGAATTGTCATTTGTGCTCCTCCATCACCTTGTACTAATAAAACTCTTTGATTAGTACCTAAATCATTTAATGCTACAGTTGCTCCAAAAGTTGCTGGTAATGCATAACCAATTGAACCATAATTCATCCCAGTTATTAATCTTGTATTTTTTGGGAATTTAATATCAGTTAAACCAAATGCAAATGACATTGTATCAACTATGAAAATATCATTTTCTTTTAAAGTTTTTGAAAAATGATCATTTAAATAAGATTGTGGAATATATGGATATTTATCTTTTGATTCAGAATATTGTTTTGGTTCAAATTTATAATGAGTTATTTCATTTGATGAAGTTTTAAATTGTGATGTATCTAATTGAGAATTTAAAAATTCAATAAATTCGGAAATTGTAAATAATCTTTCACCATCTGATTGTTTAGTTAAATAAAATGAATCATTAATTTGAATATAATCAGGATGAATAATACATTTAGTTTTAGCATTATTAAAATTTGATGAATGACCACCTGTATTCATTTCACCATCCCAATATCCTAATACTAAAACAAAATCTGAATTTTCAAATAATGATTTAGTTGTTTTATCTGATGATGCATTACCACTATAAACACCAATAAAATTTGATTTGGATTCATCAACATTTCTTGAAAAATTAGTTGTAAATAATTTAACTGAATTTGGTAAATTATTTATAAATTCATTTAATGGTTTTGTTGCTCCAAATCTTGTTGATAATGCATCTGCTAAAACTGAAGGATTTGATGAATCATATAGATTTGTTAATATAATATTAGAAATATCTTTCATTAATTTTGTGGACTTTTCAGAACCTTGATATTTTGATTTTGAACTAAATGGAGAGTTATACAATTTATTTGAATCAATTAATAAATCAGGTACATCACATGGTACAAATAAATAACCAGGTCTTCTTTCTTGAATAATAGTTTTTAAAACATTATCAATTTTTTTTAAATTGGAATTCATATCATAATCTAAACTTTCTTGAACACATGAAATAGCACCAACCATTTTTTGATAAACATGATGATCAGGACGTTTAAAACAATCATGATTTGGAACTAAATGATGAGTATTTAAAACTTCATTAGTTTCATTTTGTTGAATTTGAGATTGAATTGAAGTTGATCCAACAATATGTAAAACTGGTCCATATTCTGAAAATGCATTACTTATACCATTTAATGCAGATAATTCACCAACTCCAAAAGTTGAAATAAATACACTTAAACCATCAATAACTTTTGAATATCCATCAGCAACATAAGCACCATTTAATTCATTACATGTATTTACTAATTTTAAATTTTTTGAAGTTAATGATGGTGAATAAGCATGTTCTAATAAATTTAAATTAAAATCTCCAGGTATTGCAAATATACTTTTCAATTTGGGATTTGATTGCATTATACGATGAAAAATATATTCACCAATTGCTATTTCTGATGATGGAATATCAATTGGAGTTGTTGGTTGATTAATTGGATTTGTTGATGTTAGAATTGGAGATGTTGTTTTTGATTCTATTGGAGTAACAGGTTCAGAAGATTTTAATTGTATTGGAGTCATTTTGAATATTAGTTTGATTAATTGATTCTACTGATTTTGATGAATTGAATTAAAATTAATTGATGATTTATCAATTATTTGATGATATATTTATATTTAAATGATATTTGTATCATCGTTATATATTTTGGTCTAGATTATGAACCTTTACACTTGTATCAACAAGTATAATAAAGTAATATATTATAAGAGAATGATCGTCTCGGTTATAGGTGGTTGTATAATTTCCTTCCCTTTCTCTTTCGCGCTATTCACGGCAATAAATTTTTTTGTAGTGTAACCACAATTTTTTTAATACTAATATTTGTAAGCTTACTGAAGCACTTTCTCTATTTATTCTTCTCCACTATTCGCTTGCTCTTCGTATGAGTTCAAATTTCGAACGGAATGACACTACAAGGCCGTTATAAATTTGGGTTTATTTATTTGAAGAATAAGAGGGGGTTCGGTAAAACAAGGTCTATCATTTCATATTATACATGAATTATTTCTTCTGCCTACTTTATGAACACGGACTGTCATTTCTTTATGAAAAGTCTGGTCAATGTGTAGTCACAGATAATTCTTATCAATTCCATATTCATGTCCTAGTAAGAGTTTTCTGGTTGATGATTGTGTAGATCAATAAGGAAACTAAAAATTTATTTGATTCCATGTTAGGGGGTAATAATTCGGAGTTTTAAAATTTATATTTTTTTTATGAAAATATTTTCAAAATAATTTCCTCAACTTCTAATAGAAACCTCAATAACCGAATAGTTTATGCATAGAATCGAATCTTTCAGCAAAAACACGCGAATTTGTTTTTTCAGACCCACAACACCCTATATAAGATATGTTCATAACACTTACGCTATAGGTTATCGACGGGAAAGGGTTACTTACAGTATTTACAAATTTGGATAGCTAAGTAACTTAGTTAGTTATAATCGTAAATGATTACGAAATTTCACTTGATTGTTATAGATTATTCCTGATCTTAGTTAATCCGGTTAATTGTTTATTCTTGTTTGTTTGATGTCTCAATCTTTTTATTCTTCTTGTTTTGACGCTATTAAATGTAGTCTTCAAAAAACATTCGTATTGTTTTATTTCATGTTAACATATTCTTTGCAGATGAGTATATCTCAATTCTTTTTATAATCAATAACTAATTCAGGTATCTATTCATACGATATACGATTGGTATCAGAGAGAGTTACGTTACAATGTCACGAAGATTATACCTTACGTAAAACTCTTTTAATCGGATCCGAATTTTTTGATAAATGCAACCCCGATCACTTTGTAAACTCTTAAAATTAATATTTAAAGTGAAAAATTTTAAATTAATACACTTACAGAATAAAAACCCAACAGAATGAATGCTTATGTTATACTACTCTTATCGATTGTGCACACCTCAGCATCCTTTAAAAATTCATTTAGATTTCATGTATTTTCCAACAATTTAACGATAAATTGGTCGTCAACAAGTGAGTACAAAAGCTTGACTGAAACATCAAAGCTATATCGGAAGGGACATAGTTGAATTTAAAATTGGGGTAAGGAGATATGAGTCAGGCGTTGATAACCAAAGCACGCCAAATGCAGAAGTTACTAACAGGAACAATTCAACAAGCTGAATTTCTACTATCAATCAATTAAAAATATGTATCAATTTTGAATATAGCTACTAGAGCAAGAAGAGAAGTCTCAAATAACATTAATATTGTCAATGGTGCAACTGAAGAAGTATCTTACAATTGGGATTACATCAGCAACTCAAATTTTAATTGATTGACCTTCTTAGGTTGATAAAGGTCAACTTATTTGAACAAAAAGATGCCTTCAGCGGACAGGTGCTTTATACTGACAAAGAAATTATACACTGGACTTGTTAGGTCCACTAAAAAAACATATAATTTTTTGGGTTCAATAAGTTATATTTTTCTTCAAATTTTGATGTGGAAGTTTCTGAGTTAAAGATTTTATAAAATTACAAAATTTACAATTCAGAAACTTCTACTTCAAAATTTGAAGAAAGTTTTTACAGTTTGGTGAACCAGCAAGCTCAGTCTATAATTTATAACCTCGTATAACTTATTGTACAAGAAGATGACTCAGATGTTGATATGAATGAAGTTGGTGATACTGAAATAGCAAAAAAGAGGAACAAAATTTTTTGAAGAGGTTGTATTATCGTCTAAAAAGCAACAAATGGATTTTTACACTCAAGATTAAAATATAATTGGAAAAGCTTTTGAAAAAGCCTTTAAAAGACTAATGCATGTGGAATTAAACAATACTTTTTGCTTCACCCACTGCTTTTAATCATGTTCTCAATATTTATAATGGATTATAAAATTCTTTCAGCTAGAGAAATAAGTCCTTGAAGGTGGTTGATTGAATCAATTTGAGGAATGAATAAATATGACCATATTTGACAGGTGTCACAGGTTTTGAAGTGTTACTATCAAATTAAGACCTGTGATACTGTCAAATCTGGCTATTTGTTCATACCTCATGATATAAAATTTCAATTATTTCTGTTTTTTGGCTAATGTGTTTTGATTTTAATTGGAATATGTGTTCTTTAAATTTTTCAAAAACATTCCTCAAAATCATTTTGTTTCAAAGTCCTGGTATGAACTATGGTATCATTATTATAATCATTAACGTTGTTAATAACATCCAACAATTTTTGATACGTTGTTTGCAACACAATTGGAGCATTTTGATAATCAAAACGGCAAGACATTAAAGATATAATTTATTTTTCCACAGCATAAATATTCCAAATGTCGATTTGATGTTGAAAGAGAAAGTAGCAATACTAAAGCCTAGCGGACTGAGAGTATTAGAATTATTACATTGAGTCTGAGCCATCAATATACAAAAAATGTTACTAGTCTTATTCCATCAAAAATTTTATGTAAAGGATTAATCTATCATAATTTTTTTAAGATTGTATTTTATAATTTAACTCTACCGATCAAATAAATATTGATCTTAGTTCAAACAAAATTGAAGTTGGATAATAAAATTAGGAATTTTAGTTGGGTTGTTTAAAATATTCAGCCCATTTTAACATATTCATAAATTTTTAATCTAGCAATATTACATAAAAGAATCTGATAGAATGAGTCACCTTAGATTTCTTCTGATATATTCTTTCCTGTTGACATTGAAGGATATCTTGATGATATAGATGTTCGTAGCTTGATTGCTTAATTTATCTATTTACCAATCAGATATAGACCCTGCAAGCTACGAACATCTATATCATCAAGATTATATGTGGTTCATTGTTATATTCACTCCCAGTGTATTACATCTCAACAAAATCAATATATTTTTAAAATTCATCAATCTTCTTGATTGAACTTTAGGCAATCTCTTTTCATTTTATATTCTAATATATAATTTATCGACATAAAACAAGATTAATTCGTTAGTATATACAATCGTATATAAAATATAATAAGTAAGTAGATCTAAGCTCATACTAATTTATTATTGTGCGCAATAAATTACCTTTTTTATAATTGAGGCTAATTTATATAATAGCACATAATCATCATCACCAATTTAAACTTTAAACTTTACGCAAAATAAGGTTCAAAATTGATCATGTTTTAAATTTCAATTTCAAATACAAGTTCAAATTCAGTAGAAGTAATTCATCTTATTTTCATCCTTAGTCAACATATATGGTTTTCTCATCGCTTTAAAGTTTATTGTTAATTTGATTACTTTTAATTCAAGTGCTTTTGAAGAAACATATTCTAATAAGAACTATACACTAACGTATCAATATGTTTGCTATATTTGATCCCGCCTTAGATTTTTGCAATTTATTTTTTCATTAATCTATGGGAATACGTTTTGTGTATAGAGAGAAAGATGCTTAATTTTGTGTCATATTGAAATACCCGAAATTATCACCTTGTAGAAGGGAGTTTGGACCATAAATGTCCAACAAGAAAAAGAATCACTTGCTGTACTTTAGATCAGGATAGACTTGAAAAACAAGCTTATTCAGTAGGTTTTGGGAGTCCAGTTTCAAACAGATCAATGATAAAATTTGAAAATAATATTTTTTTTTTTTTTTTTTTTTTCTTTCTTAAATTTAATAAAATAAAATATTTACGAAATTAATAATTTTTTTAATATGGAGTAAAGAGATTAATACTTACAAGTAGACTAGTAAGATGATGAATAATTTTAACACTACGGACATCAAATAATATTGGAACAACAGGAGTTAATTAAACAATATCGAAAACAAGCAAAATTAAACGCAAAAGAAAAGAAAAAAAAATAAAAAACTGTTGGGAGATCCAATTAGTTAATTAGGGAGTTGAATTTAGTTTAGTAAATCTCAAGGAGTATTTGAATCTTGGTTTCTTAGAACTATGGCATTTATAGTAGTACAGTTGAACACATAAGTTCTTGGTCTTGACGCTGTAGTAGTAGTAGTAGTGGTATTAGTTACTGTATACTTAACTCAAAAAATGTTTGCCTTAGTTGAATGCCTTACTAAGTATTGTAAGTAATATATTTCTATTTTTGTACTCTAATATTAGATCTACTGTATCTTATTATTATTAATATTATTATTTATTATCCATATATACACTAACATACACTAACACAACACAAACCAAATTTATTAAATATCATCATATATACTTACTAGACTAATATTAAATTTTTATTACTTTGACATTACGCCTACTTTTTTTAACATTATATTTCCATTCACTTCATTTCTTTCATTCATCTAATCATTTATTTCACCCATTCATCGTCTTTAATAGACATCATACTATTTTTTTTTTTTGCAGAAAATAACGGAGTTAATTAAAAGTTGTAAAGAAGTATCCAAAAACTTTTACAACCAACTTAATATTATTCATTTTTCAAATTATTTAGCAACCATCAATAGCTGTCAAAAACTACTACTCACAGCTAGTGTCACATTGTACAATACATACTATACATACTATACATACCATACGTACTAAACACTTCCTTCAATTTTATTATATTTGACAATTATTATTATATTTGAAATATTATCTGCATGTCAAAGTAAGGAACCAAATCTTGTGAAAATAATATTATTATATAAGTAAACAAGTTATTTTTCATTTAGAATTTAAAAGGGCAGATTTCATTTGGAAAGATTGATTTTGAAAGTATTCTAATTTAATTTGGAAATCTTAATCTTAATCTTAATTATAACCAAAATCTTAACCAAAATCTTAATCAGAAATTTCAATTTTGGCTTTTACATTTGCATACTTATTGTCCTTAAGAAAATTCCTTGGGAAACTCAAAATAATAAGATAAAAGGGTCTTTGAAAATTTTCAGTATTTACATTTTGTAATTGCTTTATAAACAATTGAGTTCATATCATCACTGCATCATTACCATCAAAATTCACTCACTATTCATTATTGCATATTCATACTCACAATACAATGAAGTTCAAAAGACTAAAAATTGGTATTAGACCTCAACTAATAGGTTTAGTATGTTTTGCTTCATTACTATCTTTATTAATATTAGGTTTAGTTACAGGTATATATTTTAGTGATAATTTAAAAAGTCTACGAAGTGAAAGATTAGCTGTTATATCACAATTAAAAGCATTACAAGTAGGACAAGCAATGGGATTTATAGATTTAACAATAGGTTCATTATCAACAGTAGATACTGTTGTAAAACCTTTAATACAAGCATCAAGTGGGAATAGTTCATCCGAAATTTATGATGAAGTACAAGATTTATTTAATCAATATATGTCAACTGATAATTTAATATCTGCAAGATTATATGATAAAGATTTAAATTTAGTTACAACTTCATTAAATGAACCAGTACAATTATCAAATGAAACAAAATCAAAATTATATCCAATACCTAATGGAGGTCCTTTAACAAGAATGGTTGATGAATATTCAAGAGATGGATTTTATTATAGTGGACCAGTATCAAATGAAACTGTAAATCAAAATACAACTAAATTTTATATGGGAGTAACAACTACAATAACTTCATCAATTGATAATAATGATACTATAGTAGGTTATATATCAGTAATTGCATCTGCAGATGCTTTATTTACTGCTTTAAATGTTTCAACTAATGATTATTGGACATTAGCAGTAACTCCTGTATTTAATGATAATTCAACAGATTATGATGATAATATGCATATTAGTGATATAAAGGGGTTTGAAGCCGTTTTTCCAAATAAAGGAGGAATTATACAAGCAGGTAAATATTATCCAATAGGTTCATCATCATTAATAGGACCAGCTTTCAAATCAAATGATACTGATGGTGTAACAACAAATGTTCGATCAGTAACTAAAGTAAGACTTGCAACAAGTTATTATAGAGTAAGATATAGTAATTGGATGTGGTTAATTATGACTGCTCAAACTTCAAAAACTTTTAATGCACCAGTTACAAAATTAAAAAAAATAATAATTGGAGTTACTTTTGGTATTGGATTTTTTATGTGTGTTCTAACATTATTTTTAGCTATATGGTTTATAAGACCCATAACAAGATTAAAAGTTGCAACTGAATCAATTACACAATATAAAAAGGAACAAATCATACTGGAAAAGAAAGAAAAAAACAATGGTGAATATGATAATGATTTAGATAAATATCCTGGTGGTAGTAAAAGAAGTAGTGTTCATACTATTTCTACTAATGGATCAGGTTCAGTTCATTCAACAGGTATAAGATTACCTTCAAGAATTCCAAGATCAAAAGCTTTATTTAAAGATGAATTAACTGAATTATCAGAAGCTTTTAATATAATGACTGAAGAATTAGAAAAACAATATATGCATTTAGAAGATAGAGTTAGAGTGAGAACAAAAGAACTCGAGGCTTCAAAGATAGAAGCTGAAGCAGCAAATGAAGCAAAAACAGTATTTATTGCAAATATATCTCATGAATTACGTACACCCCTTAATGGAATATTAGGAATGGCATCAATAGCAATGGAAGAAGAAGATCAAACAAGAATGAAAGAATCATTAAAATTAATTTATAGATCAGGAGAATTATTATTACATATATTAACTGAGCTATTAACATATTCAAAAAATACATTAAATAGATCAAAATTAGAAAAATCAAATTTTCAAATATTAGAAATTGTTTATCAAATTCATTCAATTTTTAATAAATTAGCTTTGGATCAAAGAGTTAATTTTAAAATTTCAGTAAAACCAAATTTTTTTAGAAAATTAATATTATATGGAGATTCAAATAGAATTATTCAAATTATAATGAATTTAGTTTCAAATTCTTTAAAATTTACTCCAATTGATGGATTTGTTGATGTTAATTTTAAATTAATTGGTGAATATGATTATGAAAAATCTGAAGCTTGTAATTTTGAAAAAGTTATTTGTGTTGATAATGATTATTATGGTAATGAAAATTATGATGAAAATCCTTCAAGGCCAATTGCTCCAAGATATGGAACTAATATGTCATTAATTAGAAGAAATAGTAGACAACATCTGCAGAATGATAAGACCTCAGTTAAAAGATCTTCTAAATATGAAATACAAGAGCCACAACAACAACCACATGATGCATACTACAATGATAATGATGATAATATTAGTATAACCACCTTATCAACTCAACAATACGAAAAAGTCATATTTAATCAACAATTTCAAAATCAAAATCAAAATCAAAATCGTGAATTTGATAAATTAACACCACTTTCACCAAGAACTTCATTTGATGATTCTTCAGATACAAAAAACTTATCATCATCAAGTGATGATGGTAAAGGATCTAACTCTTCAATTAAATTACAACAACAACAACAACAGGAACAAGATGATGATGAAATTCAATCTGAATTGAGTAATTATATTCTACCACAAGCAAAAGGTTTTAAATCTCATCCATCAATGAATAAAAAAGAAGAAAATGAAGGTGATAAATCTTTTAAAATAAAAAATATTTATAAACCAAAAACATGGGTAATTCAAATTGAAGTTAAAGATACTGGTTCAGGTATTGAACCAGCATTTCAAGAAAAAGTATTTGAACCATTTGTACAAGGTGATCAAACTTTAAGTAGATCATATGGTGGTACTGGATTAGGTTTAAGTATATGTAGACAATTAGCAAGAATGATGAAAGGTACATTAACTTTAAAATCAAAAATTGGTAAAGGTTCCATATTTACATTAACTTTACCATTACCACAAACTGGAGAAATGATGATGTCATCAAAAGATTTAGAAGAATTTTGTGATGATGAATTTAATCCTTCTGCAAAAATTAATAGAAAAGTTGTATTTAATGATGAAGTTGAAACTGTTGGGACAAAACCAAGTAGAAATACAGAAACTAAAAGTATGGATAGTGCAATATATGCAAAAAGTTCAACAGGAACTGCTCGTCATTCAACTGATAATAATTGTGAACTTGAAAATAATAATAATATTGAGAATAATAATAATACTAATGATATAATAATTTCACAACGAGAAATTAATGATAATGATGAAGAAAAAATGCCAATTGCTTTAACAACTGTTACAACTACTCCAACTACAACAACTAAAATATTAAAAACTCCTACAACTACAACTACTGAAGTAACAACTTTAACTAAGACCGTTACAACATCACCAAATTCTAATTTAGAAGAAATATCATCAGATTTAATTGAAAGTCAATTACAACCAAAACCTACAAATGGAATTCATACAAAAGTATCACAACTTAAATCATCAAATCAAAGTAATAATTTAAATAAAGAATTACACAAAGGATCAATGTCATCAACTAAAACTACTTCAACCACAGCAACCTATAACTCAACATCCACAACAAAAACCAACTCTTCATCATCATCATCAACATCCACAATTCAACAACAACAATATTCAGATGAATTGAAAAATATTAAAATATTAGTAGCAGAAGATAATCAAGTAAATCAAGAAGTTATAAAAAGAATGTTGAAATTAGAAGGATTTTCAAATTTAACATTAGTTACAAATGGTAAAGAAGCAGTAGAAATTATAAAAAATTCAATACCTTCCGAAATATCTTCATCTATATCTCCACAAGAAGAACAATTTGATTTAATATTTATGGATGTTCAAATGCCAATAATGGATGGTATAACAGCAGTAAAAATTATCCGTAATCAATTACAGTTTAAAAATTTGATAATTGCATTAACTGCATTTGCAGATGAAAGTAATGTTAAAGAATGTTATAATTGTGGAATGAATGGGTTTTTAGCAAAACCAATCAAAAGAAATTTTTTAAAAAAAGTATTTATTGAATTTCAACAACAATTGAGACAACAACAATTAAATCGAAAACAACAACAACAATTAGAATAATAGATCATGAATTAAAGACTTACCAAAATTTAAAAACAATTAACGAGATTATAAAAAAGTGTAAAATATATTTCAATTCTTAATTTGTATTAAAATTTATACAAAATTTCAATTATATTATTTGGGTATTTTTATTTACTATACAAGGATAATTATTTAATTTAATAGATAATATTTTTTTTTTTCTAACAAGTGTTTGATTAAGTTATGGACTAGATCAAATTACAATAGCTACTCTATTAATTTGGAAATCATCAATATTGTTATCAATTATAATTCATTGAATCGATAGATGTAATATATTGAAGAAAAGATATCTATAAATTTGAATTTAAATCTTGTTTATAAAATTGATTTAACATACCTAATACACCACCTTTTCTTTTCGATTTAAAATTTAAATTATCAATTTGATTATCATTCTCACTGGTGTTTGTATTATTTAAATTATCAAATAAGAAATAATTTTCTTCATCTATTATATTTTGATTATTTAATATATTAGATTGATATTTTGTTGAATTTGATTGATTTGTTGATTGATTTTGATTTGCAACCTGTTGATAACCGCCTGCTCCATAATTTTCTAAAAAATTCATATATGATTTTGTCATTTTATCATTATCTTCATTTCTAATTCCAAACCCAAATTCATCATCATCATCACTTTCATCACTATATTGATCCGATTCACTACCAGATTCATTAGGTGTTGTTTCATTTGATTTTCTTCTTGTTCGCTTATGCTTCTTTTTATCTACTCTTTTCTTCTTTATCTTTTCTGATTTATTCATATTATTTAATTTTTTTTCAAAATCAAACATTGCAAAATAACAAACATAACCTAATCCATCAACATGAATACTATAATCTCTAAAAAAATCAATTAAATTACCAGAATTTTTTGAAAATTTATATAATAAAAATGGAGTTAAAAAAACACTTAAAATTTCATTTATTATAATAATAATTTTTAACAGATATAATTCACAAAATTCATTTTTAATTTGAATTGTATGTAATTTTTTATTCCATTTTTTTGGTAAATAATGAGTAAATTTTGATACATAACGAATATTTGATTCTGGATCATATATGATTTTATTTGATGAAAAATGTTGTTGTGATTGTGTTTGTTGTGGTGAAGAAGAAACAGATGATGATTCAATTGATGTATTTGCACTTGTTGATGAAGGTGATGATGTTATTGCCCATAATGTACCAAATATTGATATATAAAATAAAACCGATTTCCCCTCAGTTATTTCAAATGACCAAAATGAATATTTTTCATTTTCCATATATATTCCCATTATAACTAATATAGCTAATATAGATCCACTTATAAAATTTATTAATTTCATACCATTTATAATTAAAAATCCTTTAGGAAATTGATCAATATAATTATTTGCAGGACCCATTGACATTTGTAATCTTTTATTAAAAAAATTAGGTAATTCATTAAATTCTCTTAATTTCCATTCTGCATAGGGAGTATATTGTCTTAAACCAATTATTGAACTTGGATTTGATTTATATTCATTAAAATATTTAAAAAAATATAATAAAACAAAATAAATTACCAAAAAGGGGCATAATATAATATTTATAATTGAAGCTAATTTAAATCTTGAAGTTAATTCTTTTGCTAATAAATTTCTATTATATTCTTTTAATATTGAACCATTAATTTGTCCTTGCTTGTTGAAAATAAAATTATCAATACATAATTTTAAATTCCATTCTAATGTTTTAGTTAATACTGTTTTTTCATTAAACCATAAGATTTTAAAATCTAAAATATCTTTATTTAATAAAGCAATCATATAATTTTCTTTTCTCATTATTCTATTTGCAATATCATGAGCATTTAATCTAATTTTTGATGATAAATCATTTATATAATGATTTTCAATAGGATTTGATGAAGTTAAATTATTATAATCCTTGAGTAACATTAATTTTTCTATAATAATTTTCCAACTTATTGTCATTAATTCAATATCTTCAATACCTAATAAATAATTATAAAAATTTTGAATTTCTTTAAATTTTCTTGTATAATCAAAATATAATTGAATAATTCTTAATAAAACATAAAAAAAAAATCCAAATACTAGGAATTTTATAAAAAATGGTAAATTCCATAAAAAATTTGATATAATTAAATCACTAAGTACTAAATGATTTTGATCTTTTGAATAATCTTTATTCCAAAATTTTGAATAATCTATCCCCCATTTTAAAAAAATTGAAAAAATTATTATAAACACCAATATTATCAAATCTACAATTCTTGAAGTTACTATATTTAACAATCCTTTACCAAGATAATAATAATAAATATCAACTAAAAATTCATCCATATTTGTTATATTTGCCCAAAGATATAATGCTCTTTCTTTTGGAGGTATAATATATCTTCTATTTGTTGATGATAATTTTGTTGGTTTATAATTAGTATTTGCATATTGTTGTTGTTTTGGTTTTCTATATTGTTCATTATATAATGGAATTGTATCGTTGTTGTTTGAGCTAGTTGTTCTATTTACAAATGATTTAACTCTTTGAGGTACTTGAAATTTGATTTGAGGTCGTTTAGATGAAGATGTATTTTGTTGTGATTCAACGGGATTGGCTTGACCAGTTGTTGATGGTATTTGTTGTTGTTCTTGTGGTTTATTAAAACTTTGTCTTTGTTTTGGTAATTTATGTTTCGGTATATGCGGTCTTACATAAGAATCGGAACTTGATGATAAATCAGAATCAGATTCTGAATCTAGGAGGCTATTTGAATTGATATCTAATTTATTCTTATTTTCATTATCATTATCATTTGATTTTTGATTTTTTAAATTATCCATTGGTATTTGATCATTTGGAAATAATCTTTCATCATCTTCATCTACGTCATTTTCATGTAAATTTAAATTTCCACCAGGATTAACATTTTCATCATCTTCTAATAAACTTTTTCTTTGTTGTTGATGATAATTACTATCATATTCAGGATCATAATATTGATAATTATCTTGTAATTGATTATATATTGAATTTAATCCAAATATTCTTGATAAAAAAGTATCTTGATTTTGTTGAATTATTTCATGATCATCATCTACATCATAAGGTAAAGATGTATTTAGATTAGTTGTATTTGATTGTTGTTGTTGTGGTGGTTGTTGCTGCTGCTTTTTATCAAGTTCCTCTTCTTCTTCTTCTTCAGTATATAGACTATTTAGATAGGGATTTGATGATGATACCATTATTTAGTTCATATCATTCGTGAATTTTGAATGCTATTTTGGGATTAATAGATGTTTTTGATTAGAATGGCTAAATGTGTTGCCGTTCTTATTAATGATAGATGATTGTTTGTTAGTATGTTTTTATTGTGTTACTAATTAAATTCGTTATCTATCTTATTTGGTAGCAAGGTGGTAACTACTTAATAATTTTATTTTTAAGATCATCTTTTTATCTTTAATATTAGGCCAATTTAGGATGTTAGTTAATACGCCCTAAGTAATTCGGATTCTCGTGGTAGGGCTACCAGTATCAAACGGTTGATTCTATATCACATACCATAAAAAGAATTCAATAGCTTAGATTAACTTACTTAGGCCTAGATATAATAATAGAAATAAATTTACATAGTGAAAGTAGGAATTATCATCTATTTATTATTTAGATGTTTTAGCAGCCAATAAATTTTCAATATTGCAACAATTGTTTGTCCACGCGAATCAGCATAGATTAAGATCTGAACTCACTTCATACCTACTCATCAATTTAAAAACTTCGATAATAAGTCCATGAAGGTTTGTTTAACTTTTGTTCGTATGTTGTATAAAATCTTGATTACCTAAATACGAGAAAAAATGTGGGGATGATAGAATCTAAAACTTTAATCAGTTTCTTCTTTGTTATTTTGAAGTAAGTTTAGGAGATTACATATGAATTGAATTGGAGGGGAGTGAGAGAGGGGAGTATAAGAGGGGAGTTAGATTGTAAAAAGGAATTGAAATGAAACCGCTTAATACCTTGAATATTATTATCTTCAATTAGTTAAAAAGAAAAAGTAAGGCTTTCATTACTATAAATGTCTAATTTTGTATGTTATTCCTACTAACTTTGATACAGTCAAGGTCTTTAAATACAGATGTCTTGTAAATTCAAAACTGTTTAAGTAACTACATTTGAAAATTGAGTTGGTAAATACAAATATGAATATCATCAAATCATATCAAAACAAGTTTGAATTTGAATCCGTACATTATTTAGACGAAAGTGGGTTTTCAAATTCTTATTATATTGGTGAAGCAATATCGGTGGAAAGGAAAACTTTTCTTATATTTATAAGACTAATAATTGGTTCAGCAAACGTACAAATTTATTTACAACATCAACATTTATTAACAAAATGAATTCCATGTTTATAAAGAAAGTCATTCCAATCCATTTCTTAAGAATTTCTTTCATTCTAGTCCCCTCTCTTCTTCTATTGACTGATTCTATCAATCTTTCAACATAGAGTTTTTCTCCATTTATTCAAAATAGATTTCAAATTAGTATCAATGATCGATTTGTATGCATACTATTGAAACTAGTACTGCTATTAATGATAATATGATATGGTTGTCAAAAATCCATCAATCATCATGAATTTCATTGGTTGTAAATATTGTATTGTATTGAAAATTATCATATGGTAATAATAATAATAATAATAATGTATTGTATTGTGATTGTATTGTGATTATTAGTAGAAAATGGTTGAATGGAAGTATTACATAATATGTTACGTAATACCTAATACACTAACAAAAGTAATCGGATCTTCCCCACTTTATTTATTTTTTTTAGAAATTTTATTTTCTTATAGAATGGTAAGTACTAGTCATAGTCAAACAACAACAACAACAACAAGTGAGTAGTGAAAGCAGTTTGGACGGGATAAGATAATTGTATGGTTAAGTGACACTGATGCAGAACTTGTATGAGCAAGTATTAGTAGTTGTTGCGGAATCAGTATAGTATTGAGAGTGATTCAACTGATGTATAAGATAATACAATACATTACACAAAATGTAAGTAAATATTAGTAGATTTATATATAATAATGCATAAATCTGAAACTACAAATATTTATAAATATTTTTTACTTTTTTTATTCATTTACCAATACTTTTTATTCCTTTATTAAGGATACTCATCTATGACTTCACCAACTACTATTCCAGTAATATCAAATCTAATAAGTAATACAAATAATACAAATAATACAATTAATACAAATACAAACATACATAATAATCATTTTCAGTCTTTACCACTAACAACAACTAATTCAAATTCTTCAGATTCTTTATCAATATCAAGTATAAACTCAAACTCGGAATCTGAACCATTATCCACCTCATCCTCAACAAGATTATCAATAACTTCAACTAATTCAAATACTTCATCAACATCAATGACTTCAATAGATTCAAATGAAAATACCAGCACCACCAACACCACCAGTAATAACAAAGATAATAATTCACCAATAATATTATTACCAAAAACTCTTAAAATAACTCAATATGGAACAAAAACTCCATCAGGTTATTCAAGAATTTTTAATTGTAAAATTTGTTCAAGAGCTTTTACAAGAGAAGAACATTTAACAAGACATATTCAATCTACACATAATAAATTAAAACCTTTTTTATGTGGTATATGTCAAAGACCATTTTCAAGAAGAGATTTATTATTAAGACATGCAAAAAATTTACATAAGGGAAGTGAAAAAGCAATAAGTAGAATTAGAAGAACTTATAAACAAAATAAAAATAATAATAATAATACTAGTAATAGTAGTAATAATACTGTTGAAAATAATGATGGTAATCATATTGACCAGGAGCATGAAATACATCAAGAAAATGAACAAGAACTACAGCAACACTCACATCAAGAACAAGAACAAGAACAAGAAGTTGAACACAATTATGAATCAGGTAATAGTAATGATGAAAATGATGATGATGATGAAGAAGAAGAATCTAAGCAAATGAACAAACTCAATACATTAAAAGAAACTAATCCAATTGCAAATTATATTAAATCAAATAATCCAACAACGTCAAATTCTACTTCAAATCCAACTTCAAATCCAAATTCTACTTCAAATACTAATTTATCAATTAAAAGAAATAAAAGTCATGAATCTTTACAATCAAAAAGATTAAAAATGTCAGTAAATATGTTAGTCAGTTAAAAAAAAATTGTACTATTACTAATTACTGATCAGAATAAAAAGTATTTAGAAAAGTTTGTTTTAAATGAAGCTCAATTGTTTTGGACTAATTTTTAATTTAATGTAACGATTAATGAATGATTTAAAAAAGTTTAAACCTACAAGTAAATTTAGATTAGCTCTAGACAATATAAAATCTCTCTATTCCTTTCTTCATTCCTAATTCTTTGAAATTTATCGCAATTTTAGTTTACCTAACAATAGTAAAAGAAAATAAAACGTTTTTAAAAAAATTACCCCATATTTTATTATTATTATGTAAGTTGAATCATGCATATTACATAATACATAGAATATGACTTACGATGTCTATTGCATAAAGAGCGGACTTAAAATCTAAATCTTTTGGATTAGAAAAAGAGGGTAAGATAGATAAAAGAGTTGATAAACTAAATGATTAATCTAGCCTTTCCCCACCTCTCTTTATATTATAGATCTTATTTGTTTTTGGTGTTTGTTACATTTTTTTTTCTACTTTCTATGTAAGATGTATTTTATCGGTATCAACTTTTCATTACAATGAAATATATAAAAAAAGTTTGATAAACACGGTGGATGAGAAAATAATGAATAATAATTTAGAAAAACTTCTGATTGATGATTCCATATACTAGTAATTCGAATTGATTGATTTTATAAGTCCATTATTTATTTCTTTTTCTTATAATCTTTGACATACATCACAAATAAGATATTTTTCTACTGCACAATTTTTTCAAACCCCGGATTCTTATTATTTCTTAGATCTACATTATTCTTTCTCTCCATAATTGCATTTTGAGACTTTTTTATATCTTCGTCGTATTTTTCATAAATATTGTAACTGCTGATAACTAAGGATTACATGTTTATACTGATTTGAAATAAGCTGCTGATAGACCTATTATTACTTATCAAGTCGAATGTATTAGAAAAAATTACCCATGTGGTAGCATCACTCGGATTTAGTTTACATTCTACAGTTTCAAACACCGCTCGATTAAGTCGTTATCTCAAAATAACATAATCGATCGATTAATTTTTGAAAAAGGGAATAAATGAGACCAAAATTTATTTATAAAATTCCAAAAACAGAATGGTTTATAATTATAACTAATACACAACATCATTTTTATTTTAATTCCAATGATTTAAATTCATTCTGGCAATTAAGTGATATTGAAAAATTTTATAATAATAATATTGATATTAATGATAATGAAGTAAACGAAAATGAACAACATATTTCTAAATTAATTGAAAATATTGAATTTAATGAATTAGGTTTATTATTTGCTAAATCTAGGGGATTGGATGTTAAAATTCTAGATGAAAGTGAAGGAGATTTGAAAAATCAAGCAAATCAAGAAATAGATGAAAATGAGGAGGAAGAGGTAGAAGAGGAAGAAGAAGAGGAAGAATTCATTTATGAAAATAAAGATCCATCCACTGAAAAACAAACTATAAGTACATCTGTTGAATCAGAGAGTGAGAAGAAACAAGAAGAATCAAAAAGTACGGGTATTTTAGCAGGTTATTCATCAAGTGAAGAGGATGATATTGAAGGAGAGGAGGAAGAAAAAGAAGAAGAAGAAGAAAAAGCAAAGCCAACTTTTGCTCAAGATTACGTAGAAATTGAAGATCTTGTTTCAAAAATACTAGATCAAGAACAAACCGACGAAGAATCATCTGATGATGGTAATGATGATAATTCATTAGATTTATCACTAGATGATAATGATGATGAAAAAACCAATGATATCAACGAAGAGTTCAAACAAATTTTAAATCAATATTCGGACGAAATTTCATCTTATGAACCATGGGAATTAGTAGAAGAAAAATTAAATTCCGAATTCTTAAAATTTCCATCATATCATTCAATTAATTCAAATAAACAAAAAGAAGAGATTTTTAAACAATGGTTAAAAGAAAGAGACTCAAAACCAAATGGTGATGATGAGAATGAAGAAATTGATGAGGAAAACTTATCTTTTAAAACTTTTCCGACTCCAACATTGTTATATAAATCATTACTACAGTCAAAAAAAGATGAAATAAAATCAATGATATATCCAAATTTTTATACAAAAAATTATCTAGAGATTAATGATATAAAATTAACAAAATTAGAAAAAGAAGAAAATTTTAGAAATTTTAAAATTTTTTTAAATGAATTTTCAAAAGAAGAAAAAACGTATAAGAAACAAAATCCATTATTCAAAGATAATTATAAAGTATTTAAATTGAATGAGTTTTTAAAAAATCAAAATTTAACTTTAACTACTCAATTCGAGGTTGATTCAAATTTATCATTTTTTGAAAATTGGATTAATTTACTTAATAATTTAAATGGTTTAGATGAATCTATTGTTGAGGATAATATTAATTTTATAGTTGGTGATGAAAAAAGGTTAAATAGTTACCTTCTAAATATAAAGTAATTTTATTGCATAATGAGGTTTTGATTCGAATAAACTAATCTCCACAAAATCGTAAATGTAGAAAACGGAATTGTTTTTTTTTTTCTCATTCATTACCTTATTTGCAACAATCAAAACAATGATATGACACGGGTAGTAGTAACAGGAATTGGAATAATATCACCATTAGGTGTTGGACTAAATCATAATTGGAAAAGGTTAATAGCAGGAGAATCAGGTATAATATCATCTACAACATTACAAAACTATGAAAAAGATGGTTGGGATAAAATTCCATCAAAAGTTATTGGAAAAGTACCCCAAGGTTCAATTACAGAAGGTAAATGGGATCCATTAGAACATTTAGATAAATCTGAAATTAGAAGATTAGCTGATTTTAGTCAATATGGAACTGTATGTACTGAAGAAGCTTTAAAAGATTCAAAACTAAATTTAGACAATGAAGACCCCAAAAGAATTGGAATTGCAATTGGAAGTGGAATTGGTTCATTTCAAGATATTTATAATAATTCAATTGAATTTTCCCAAAATGGTTATAAAAAAGTTCAACCATTATTTGTTCCTAAATTTTTAAATAATATGGCAGCTGGAAATATTTCAATAAAATATGGTATAAAAGGTCCATTACATTCAGTTTCAACAGCTTGTGCTACTGGATTACAAGCAATTGGTGATGCTTTTAATTTTATAAATTTAAATTATGCTGATTTAATGATTTGTGGAGGATCTGAAAGTTCAATTCATCCATTAGCTTTGGCGGGTTTTGCAAGAGCAAGATCTGTTGTAACTGATTTTAATGATGAACCTACGAAAGCAAGTAGACCATTTGATAAAAATAGAAATGGATTTGTATTAAGTGAAGGTTGTGGTATAATGATATTAGAAAAATTAGATCATGCACTAGCAAGAGGTTTAACAAAAGAAGATATTTATGGTGAAATATTAAGTTATGGAATTTCTGGAGATGCTCATCATATAACTGCTCCAAGAGAAGATGGAGAAGGTGCTTTTAATGCAATGAATCAAGCATTAATTCGATCAAATTTAAAACCTGAACAAATCGGGTATATAAATGCTCATGCAACATCAACTATAATTGGAGATAGAGCAGAAAATAATGCTATAGAAAGATTATTTCCTTCAACTACTTTGATATCATCAACAAAATCTTCAATTGGTCATTTATTAGGAGCAGCAGGAGCAGTTGAATCAATTTTTACAATAAATTCAATAAAAACAAAAAAATTACCACCAACTTTAAATTTAAATGATATTGGTGGTAATGAAAATGATGATAAATCTAAATTTAAATTTGATTATATTGCAAATAAATCTAGACATAATGTTGAATTAAATTATGCAATGAATAATTCTTTTGGATTTGGTGGTGTAAATAGTTCTTTAATATTTGGTAAATATGAATAAATAATAAATAATACTCATAATAGCAATTAGCTTAGCCTAATAATATGTATTATTATTAGTCCCTTATTTCGTTTCGGGTAGGGTCGCTTCGTGTGTAACATAAACTTCGGAATTGTGACACTTATTGTGGATCAGAAACTGGTAGCTTTTCCTATTGTACATTATTAAATTAATTAATAATTTATCTCGCTAATTTATTTTTTTTTCTTTGGTTGCAAAATACATTTATTTAGCCACAGTTATGGTTAAAGAACAATTGAACAATTATATACTTATACATACACACATGCATGAATTAATAATTGATGGATTTTTTGGAAAAGTTTAAGAAGACAAGGGTCTCTTCCCTTCTTACAATCTCTTATTAAATCACAAAACATTCACCTCAAACTGGAGATTATCATCAATTGTTTCAAACTTCAACACAATGACTTATACTGAAACTCAAGAAAGGTCTAAAAAAAGACTTAGAAATAGTTATGAATTAGCACCAAGTTTAAAAAAATTGAAAGCAATAAATTCACCACCTCCAAAACCTGAATTAATTGAACCTTTACCAGAAATTACATTCAATCAAAATAAACAATCAGTATTATCAATAACTAATTTAAAAGAACCATTAAAATTACAATTAGAATATCCAATTCCAGAAATAAATGAATATGAAATTTTAGTATCAAATAAAGCAATAGGATTAAATCCAATAGATTGGAAAGGTCATAAATATGGATTTATTAAATTAATACCAAGAATTGATGGTAGAGAATCTTCTGGTATATGTGTTAAAAGAGGTTCAAAAGTTGAAAATTTTAAAATTAATGATAAAGTTATAATAAGTTCAACAAGTTATAGAGATTGTAGAACTTCTACATTTCAACAGTTTACTGCTATTGATTCAAGATTATGTTGGAAATTACCTAATAATTTTTCATTTGAAGATGGTGCAACTATAGGAGTTGGTTTAGTAACAGCTGGAATAATAATTTATAATTCTTTTAAATTTGATCTAAAATTAAATCCACCTATTCATAAGAATAATCAAAAAACATTATTAATCTGGGGTGGATCAACAATTGTTGGAATTTATTTAACTCAATTAGGTAAAATTCATGGATTAAAGATTATATCAATTGCAAATATAAAATATAAAAATTATTTAAAACTGATTGGAGTCGATTATGTTGTAGATAGATTTAAATCAAATAATGATATAAAAAATGAAATCGAAACAATTTCACCAAATGGTATTGAATTTGCAGTTGATTGTATATCTAAGGAAACTTCACAAAATATAATAAATATAATCGATGAAATAAACAGGGAAACAACCAATGAAAACAAAACTAAATTTTCAAGTATTGTTGGTATACCAAAAGAAATTCCAAATTCAATAGAATTAAAAGAAGTTATAATAAAAAAATTTCATGAAGATAAAGAATTTGGTTCAAAATTTATTGAAATTACAACACACTACTTGAATAATTTTAAAATTAAACCAACTAGATATAAACAATATAAAGGTGGGTTAGAAAAAATTACTGATGCATTAAAAGATTTAGAAAAAATTGGTGCAAATGGTGAAAAATATGTTGTTACTGTGTAGGGTGTTTAGCATTAATGTCGTTATAAATTTCATTATAGATTCATTATATATTATTTATGGGATGAATTTTTGATTGTAGATTTACTATCATTTGCTTCTTCATTATCATTAACATTCTCATCATCCTCTTCATCGTCATCATCGACTTTAAACTGAGAATCAACTTCTGGCATATCTCCCAATTCAAAATCACCTGCTATAGTTGTATATTTAGCTTCATTATATCCTGGAGTTAATCTATAAATTTTTCTAAATCCAGTTTTAATTTTTGTTATAAATAATGCTCTATTTCTACCACCTAACATTAAATAACCAATAAATCCTAATAATACAACAAATATAATTAATCCATACCATCTATGAGGTTCAATATTCCATATCGATTCATTATCAGTTTCATCTTTTAATTCATAATTATAATAATGAGATTCATCCATTTTTGATTCATCAAATAAAGGTCTTGATTCAATATTGTTTTGTTCAGCTCCATATTGATAAATATTTTCAGAAGTACTATGATAAAATCCAGGTCTTTGAATTGAATTGTTTGTTAAATTATTAAAAGCTTGAATATATTCATCATTTGCATAAAGCACTGCTTTCCCGAGAGCCCAAGAAAATGACGAACCATCTAATGTTTCAACTAATTGTAAAGTTTGAAAATCTTTATTATTTGGTTCATCTATTCCAAATCTTGGAAATCCTAAACCTAAATGTAAAAAATTTAAAATCCATGAACTTTTAAAACATAATTCTGATAGTTCATCTTCTGTTAATTGATTCTTGTATTCTTTTTGTTTATTTAATTCTAACATACTTGACCAACTTTGTGAACATACTTTTTGAGTTTTATTGAAAATTTTTTTATAATCATAAGTATTTTTTTGATCTTTTAAATCTCTTGAATCTATTTGTCTTTTGTCTTCTTGTGATAATAAATCTTCTATGGCATCCCAATATCCACTAACTCCAATAAAATGATTAATATCAAAATCAAAAGAAGGAATTAATTCATTCAATAAACATTCACTAACTTCATCTCCATCACTAAATTGTTTACAATTTTTAGCTTTTGGACCACCTCCATGAGTTGAATTTTGTAATACGGGAAAAATATTTTTTAAACATTTTTCAAAATTAGATTCTCCAATAAAATCATATGAATGATCATCAATTAAAGTTGAAGTTGTAAAACCTTTTGGTATACAAGGATCTGGTATAGGTGATTTTGTAAAACCCCAATAATGATATTGTTCATCTTTATCATCATTTTCAACCAATGCCTTGAGGTATCTATTTCTTGCTTGAAACATTCCAAATCCTAGAAAAGAATCTGAATATACATTATATTCTTGTAAATTTGGTATTTCATAATTTGAATTATTTAATTGTGGAACTTGTCTTAATTTAATATGATATAAATTATTTTGATGTTCATCAATTTCAGTTATATTAGGTTGAAAAACAACTTGAGTTGAAGCACCTCCCATATCTAATAATCCATAAGTTGTATGATTTTTCCCATGTTGATGTGAATTTGGATCATCAAATGCTCCAATTAAAGTATTTATAGATAACCAACCATAAATTCCTTCATAATCTCCATCAATAACACTTACATGAGAAGCACAATCTGGGAAAAAAAAATCAGATTGATTTTCAAAAAATTTACAAATTTCTTTTAATATTTCTTTTTGTTCTGTTGGTATTAATAATCTCATTCCTCCTGTTGCATATAAAAATATTGGTGTACGATATTGAACTGGTTGAGGTACAATTTTTGAAGCTCTTGATAATAATTTTGCTAAATGATGTTTTCCAATCTTATGCGGAGCTTTATTGAAAGATGATACTCCTGGTATTATCTTTTTATGCCATTTTGATTTTGTTTGTATTTTGGGAAATAAATTTGGTAATTTTTTTGGATTATCATCATCACTTTCACTTTCATCGTCTGACAATTCATCTTCTAGCTTATTTCTTTTCTTTATCGATTGGTACTGACTTAGGTCTATTCCTTTTTTCATTGATTGATACGCGTTGAGATAATTATATACATGTAATCGGCTACCTTTGGAACCTGCGTCTATTATAACTATGTAATCATATGGTATACCATCTTTTGAATATAAAGGTCCTGGTTTCAAAACTTTCTTTTTGCTCTTCTTCCTTTTACCTAATGAATGATCTGACATTCTAAGATGGTGAATAGATATAAATTGAAATTAAGATGATAAGTTTTGGTTGTAAATTCGGACTAAAAATAGAAGGGAAATTTTTTTGCGGTTTTTGTGTTATGACTTATAAAACCGAGTTTTTCATTAGAGTACCATAAATAATTTTGCAACTAACTGGCGTTAAAAATCTCATTGAGATGGAGTAAACTTAGTTCTTGAAACTAAGAGAGATAGTTAGATCTTTCAAGAATACTTTAAAAAAGGAAAAAAGGTCATTGAGGGACCTTAGATCAAAAATTACCTAAATTAAAACCTCCTGAAATTACCGAACTTTCTTCTCGCACATGAAAAGCCTGAAGCAAATATTATCACTTACCATTTTGTCTGATTGATGGGGATCGCTAATGAGATAATCATTACCTATACTTTAGTAGAGTTCTGAATATCAGTTTTAGGTATGTATTATCAAGATACCGAAAGAAAATAATTGTCCTTTGGTAGCATTAAGGGGCTGAAATGCATAAATGGCAGAATTTCAGGTTAAAATAAATTAAATATTTCGTATCAGGTGTCCAACACACTCAGTAATTAATCAGGCTTAATTCAACATGTTTCCAGGACAGGGACGTCATTCATATCAAGGTAATTATGGTCCTCCACAAGGACCACCTCCTAATCAACAATATAATAATTATGGTCCACCACAAGGTCCTCCTCCTCAACAATACAATTATCAAGATAATTATGCTAGACCAAATCAACCACCTCCTCAACAACAATACAACAATAACTATAATAGACAACAACCTGGTTTAAATGGAGAACCAAATTATGGCAATCAGTATGGATCCGGAAGTTATTCAAGACCACCATCAAATCAACAATCTTTTGGTGCTCAAGATTATAATTATCAATACTCACAATGTAATGGAAGAAAAAAAGCATTATTAGTTGGAATTAACTATATTGGTACCAAAAATGAATTACGTGGATGCATAAATGATGTTGGTAGAATGGAACAGTTTTTATTGAATCATGGTTTCAATAGTGATGATATAGTTAAATTATCAGATGATCAAAGAAATAGAAGAGCAGTACCACTTAGACAAAATATATTGGACGCTATTCATTGGCTTGTCAAAGATGCAAGACCAAATGATAGTCTTTTTTTCCATTGTATGTATTTACCTCATGTAATATTGTTCTCATAAATTATGTAATATTGATACTAACTTTAACTTTCAGACCTGGGGCATGGCGGAAATACTCCTGACCTTGATGGTGATGAAGAAGATGGCTTTGACGAAGTAATTTATCCCCTTGATTTTGAAACTGCTGGATTTATAGTTGATGACTTATTACATGATATGATGGTGAAATCTTTACCTCCTGGTTGTCGTTTAACGGCTCTTTTTGATTCTTGTCATTCTGGTTCAGCATTGGATTTACCATATATGTATTCTACAAAAGGAGTTTTGAAAGAACCAAATATCGTAGCTGAGGCTGGTCAAGATTTATTACAAGCAGGAATGGGATACTTAACAGGAAATAGCCGTAATATGATGAGTGGTTTAAGTTCTGCTTTTAAAAGTGTAATGAATCAAGGTAAAGCATCAAAAGCTCAACAATTAAGTAAACAAACCAAAACGGCGCCATGTGATGCTATATCTTTTAGTGGATGTAAAGATGATCAAACAAGTGCAGATGCTCAAGAACAAGGACAAGCAACTGGAGCAATGAGTTATGCGTTCTTAACTGTAATGAATCAAAATCCAAATCAATCTTATTTATCATTATTACAAAATATGAGATCAATTTTACTGAGTAAATATTCACAAAAACCTCAATTAACTTCTTCTCATCCAATTGATACCAATTTACAATTCATATTTTAATAAACTTGGTATATAGGATAATGCAAATATTGTAATACTACTCAATCATGTATATAAAAAATTTGTAGACTATAGGGAATTTTGATGCAAAAAAATGTAAATTTTACTTTATTTTTAGTACGATGACGTTCGCGAGGAAAGAAACAAAGTAGAGAATACGACACCATCGAATGAGATTTCCCCAACTTTTAACAAAAAGTTTGGTTGAATAGCGTGAGTTTACATTGTCAACAGAAATTTGTATCAAAAATTTGCGAATAAAAGAAATCTTACACTTATTTTCAAGAGAATAATCTGTCTGATTATTGAATTCGTTCTCAATCATTACTATATTACAATACAACTAAACTTTCATAATCTAATCTTAAAAATATTCCATTACCCTTTTATCATTATACTATTACACATTTTTCTTCTTTTTTCACAATAGGTGGATTATGAATTTTTTCAATTTCTTCTATTAAAGTTTCAAAAGATTGATTTATATTATAATTTTCTTTAACAGAAGTTTCTAAAAATTTACATTTAAATTTTTCTGATAATTTAAATCCATCATCAAAAGAAACTTGTCTTTGAAAATTTAAATCATTTTTATTACCAATTAAAACTAATGGTATATTTTCATTTCCAATAGAATTTAAAATTTTATCTCTTATAATTTCAATTAATTCAAATGATTGTCTTGATGTTACAGAATAAACTAATAAATATCCATGAATTCCAATTAAATGTTTTTCATTCATCATTGAATATTCATCTTGTCCTGCTGTATCTAATACTTCTATTGCATATTCTTGATTTTTAAATTTTAGATTTTTACTAAATTGATTTTCTATAGTTGGATAATAACTTTCAACAAAATGATCTTCAACAAATCGAACTGTCATTGATGATTTTCCTACTGACCGGGATCCAACAACTGCTATATTACGTGTTTTTACTGACATTTTATTATTATATAATGGATGATTTGTTGATGGAGTAATAGTTTGAGTTTATCTTATTTGTTTCACCTTATTAAAAGAACGATTTGACTGGAATTTGTGAGATAAATTGTTGTTGGTAAAAAAATTGTTTCAAATATAAAGAAACGTATTGAACAAGCCAATCCGTACTTTTGAAGTTGTTCTTATCACGTTTGGCCAAACTTTCTAAGCTCCTTTGGATGTAAAATATAGATTTATTTGTCACTCCAAGCTTCTGGTGGTGTTTGATTATGACCAATCTTTAATTTGAATGCACGGTTAAAATTATTCAAAAATTCGAAATTTTTGTATTATTTGGTTTAATTTTATGAAACAAACTTTGTTTATAAGCAATAAAGCATCATATATTCAGATACCAGATAAAACTCTCTATCGATGAATTTGGTTTGGTTAAGTTGTTGTGTATGATTAGTGTTTCAAGATAATTAAATGAAAAATATGAATTTTTTTTTTTGTTTTATCAAAGCTATTTTTTTCTCTCTCTCTCTTTCTTTACTATATTCTTTATCTATCTATTGTTTTATTATGTAAACTACTAGCTAGATACGATATTGATTTTCAATTAATGATCTTTTTTATAAGCTTAAATTGCTTCAAGAGTTTGAAGAGATGAGAGACTTATAAATTGATGGTCATTTAATATATTCTTTTTTGATTCGATTTGAGTTGATTTTAATTCAAACTAACGGAATTGCTATCCCATTAACTTTAATTTTAAAATGCCTCTTTAAATTTGATTGATAGGTCCTTTAAAAGCAAAGGAGTGTATTACTCAAAATTCAAGCACTGTCTAGAGATTTTGTGAGAGATCAAATAAGATCGAAATTATATCATAGGAGTAGAACTAAGATTGAAAAAGCATGGAACTAATTGAATTATCTATCGTTTTAATTCGTTTTTGAGATTTGACACTTGAACCGAATTTGAATCTTATCTTATGTAAAATTTTAGAATTCACTCTCGATCTCCGATTTAGTAGAGTAACTCTTCATTTTGAATTGTGGGGTTAACAACAAGAAAATAGTCTATGAGTTATTTTGACTACTGTTAAAATTGTAATAGTATGATCAGAGTCCCTTCATAATTTAATTCGGTTTGGGAATCAACATGATTTAAACTGAACTGAAAACTATTTATAAATGATGGAAAAATTTTATTCAAAAATTATCCACAATTAATCTTCTTATCAAACGTTTGAAAGTCTTTAATTAATGAAATACATTAAATGCAAGCATTTCAATGTCAAAATATAAATTTGTACTTTTCACATATAATTCTAAATTTTTTACACTTTTCGCTTAGAGATCTACAAAAATTTGGGGTTTAAACCAAGTTTTGACAACTAAGTTAGTTCTAATATTAAGATTATACTTGAAATTTGACAGGATAATAGAAGTTAAATTCATCTTTGTTTATTGTAAAAAAATCATACGATTTATTTATTCATTCTGGTGTAAATCTATGATTTTCATTACTACATATACTTTTAAAACACTTACCCTTTGAAACTGTAAAACTTACATTAATAAGTTAGATATATTTTTAAAATTAGAATTAATGGTAAGATTAAGAGAGATAAATTTGAACATGAAAATAGGTTTTTAGCCTAAATCATGCATTCGTACGTACATACAGTATTTCTGTATAACTTTGAAAAAAAGAAACCAATATAAAAAGAGATAAAACCAACTCAAATGAATCATAGATTAGAAGGGTTTGTATAAAATTTTGTCCGACGTACTATCTGTTGAGTATGCTGAAGCAAGTTTTAAAGAATATTGCATTAAAACTGAATCAAAAATAATTATCTTTTAAGAATTATGTAACTACAACGCCTATTTCAAGATTTTCGATTCAACTTTTAAATTCTTTCAAGCCTTTATGAAAAATGAAGCAATCAGAAGAATAAAAAGCTACTACCTCAGCAAAATTCTTCATTGTCTGAACTTTATTGAATCAAACTATAATAAGTAATTGAGCGTAAATTAGATGTACACTTAGAGTTGCAGACATACACAAACCTGGTTTTATAAGTTGATTTGGTCAAGAATGAAAATTGTAGAACACAAAGTTTTTCTCATAGAATCATAGAGCGATGTTGAAATCGCATTACAATAGGACAATTTATTCATGAATTCCAATTCTGAAAATGATTTTCAACCTCAAATATTCCTAAATTATTCTAGATTCTGTTTCTTAAATTTCTTTTTATGAACTATTATCGAATTTTTCGGATTAATTAAATCTCAAATCATGTGAAATTCAAATTCAAAACGTTCCACTGATCCCAAGCTAGAGCTTTTTGGCCAATGTTCAAAATTGTAAAATCTGAAATAAATGTATTCAAATCCTAAGGTTTTAGTCTTCTGAAAGGATTACACTTATATTTGTTTTTGACCAATAATTCTGAGTCAATAAAAGTAATTCAAAATCTCAATTTTTAAACTTTTTGGTTCCTTAACTTTATTATATTTTTGATAATAATTAAATGATTAGGACAATTGAAAAAAACGCAAATATATTATTTGACAAAATTAGACTGCATATAAAAGAATTATGGAATATGCTTTTTGTGTAATTAAAGTTTAATTTTAATTCTGTACTTTAATTTTATTAAAAGCATAAAATCATTTGATTATTTTAAACAATAAGACTCATAAACCAATAAGAATGCTTTTACTTTAATAGGTATTTTTTTTTGCTATTGACAGTACCATGTTACGAGGTCCAAGAACGGAATTCTCTTAGTTCTGGACTGATTTAGGAAAGGTAAATATATAAATATATTTTTGCTTTTGCTTTAATGTTTATAATAACCGTTTTTTTAGATTTCAATTTTGTGTTTCAAACATATTTTCATTTTCAATGTTTTGAGTTTTTTGTTTATGTTTTTATATAATTAAGAAATTAAGTTTTTATAATTATAAATAAAATCAAAACAAAACAAAACCAATTTCCTCTTTAATTTTTGATTGTTTTATAATACAGGATTGTTTTTAGAGTTATAACGTGAAAAAAAAAATTGAGATTCTCTCTAATTTACAAATTTTACAAATTATTATTACATAAATTCATTATATTCATTACATACAAAACAAAACAAAACTATGTACTTTTAAGAAATTGCAATAGTGAAAACTCAAATATATAAGTAGGAAAAAGTCTACTTCAAACCCAAACTTACATCTCAAAATCTTTTATAAAATATCAAAAATTCATAAATTTATTGTGGAAACATTGGTAAATCTAAACTTGTATCTCTAAATTTTTTCTTTTTTGATGAAGAGTTATTATTTTCTAAATTTTCATAACCTAAACATACTTTTTTCAGTCTTTCACAATTATAACACATTGGTTTCCTTTCATCACATTTTATTCTTCTTTTTCTACATGTTAAACATCCAGTTCTTGTTCTTTTTTTTATAATTTTTCTTTTATTCATTAATGCATTATTTTCATCTTGAATTAATAATTCTTCTTCTGCCATCATTAATTGATTTTGTTGTGGTGGATGATGTTGATGTAGTTGTTGAGAATGATGAGATTGTGGTGGTAATGGTATATTATGAGAAGATGGAGGATGTATATGATGAGGTTGTATAGATAAATTTTGAGATGTATAATTGTAAGGATAATTGTTGGGAGGTTGTTTTTGTAATTGTAATTGTTGAAAATGTTGTTGTTGATCATAGGAATTAGATTGATGTGGAAAGGGATGAATATTTGATTGTTGATGCATTTGTTGATTATAAAAATAAGGTGGTGGTGGTTGAGGTGCAGCTGTTGATGATGATTGTGAAGCAAAAGGTGGAAATTGATGAGGTGCCTGTTGCGGTAATTGTTGGGAAGCTTGATAATTTGAAATTGAAGTTGGTGTATTTGATTCCGTTGGAAAATGTATACTGTAACGTTTTTGGTGTTGTTGTTGTTGTTGTTGTTGTTGAGACTGTGAATGAGAATATGAGACAGGTATGTATGAATGACGGTTTGTGGAAAGTCGATTAGAATGATCAATACTGGCTTGACGGCTCGAATGGTTGAATTTTGTCTCATTTTGATGCTGCGGTTGATTGAAGTGGTGTCCAAAATTATGAGATGAATTTTGACTAAAATTATGATTGGAGGAGATACTATTATAAGAAGTGGAACGAATCATTTTATGTTGATTAATATTTCTGAAACTTTCATTTGTAATATTTTCAATTGGTGCATTTTGCTGAGGTATTTTTTGACTTTTAGGTGACAACGTTATTGGACTTGATTTTTTATATTCATGTTGATGATTAGGTGGTATTGTTGTTGTTGGTGAAATTTGTGGAATATAATCATTCGAAGTGGTATGACCATGAAATTGAAGTTGAGGTTGTGGTTGAGGTAGTATTATTTGTGCATGATCTTGATTATTTGAGGTGATTCCCTGATGAATTGAGCCAGACCCAACAGTGCCAATGGATGGTCTTTTGTTGAAATTGGTACTTGAGGTTGATGATGAATGATCATAAATTGCGGATTCTGTTGATCTCCTCAAAGGTTGTGAAATAGTACGCGAATTATCATTCAGATTTGAATATAATGGTCTATTTGAAAACAAGTTATTGTTAGCAGATGAAATATTAGAAAGTTGATATGGTGAAGGGTTTGGAAATGCAGATGAAGATGTCGATGAAATCGTATTTGAAACTGAAGGTAGTCGTTGATGGGTAAATATGGGTTGGTTAGGTGGTTGTGAAGGGGAAGGTGGTTTGTTTAAATTATCTCGGAATACTTGTCCATTATTGACATCATCATTTATAGTATTTGGTAATTGCCTTTCATTTATAAAAGTATTATCAAAATCTGAATTTACTTCTTTGTTTGAAGAATTCTTTTTGGTTGAGTGTATTAATTCAGATACAGAAGGCAATTGTGTCATTTATTTTCTAACTTATTCAAATGCAAGGATTTTATTCGAAATTTCATGAAATTGATGCAAAATACAGGTTGATACAATTCAATTCTTTTTAAAGAATATAATTTGAGTTGATTTTTGAGGTATGAATATTTGTTGGTGGTATAGATGATAGTTTGGATTGTAAACTCGTGTGTGTGATAATGAAAATTTGGCTAAACTAAACTTAAAGTAGAAAATGAATTTAGTTGTTATATTAGTCCTTTAATTTTTGAAAAGTCAATGCCTGTTATCAATGTATTGGTATATGAATCCCCGAACCCCTGTAATAAATAAAAACAAGTTTTTAAATAAAACTAGGTTACCAATTGAAAATTATACACAATTGTTTGGCCTTGGTATAATTAAAATGAAAAATTATACCCAAAATTAATCAAGTATCAAGTAATCAACAATAAATGATGTAGTATAATTAATAATCACCAATGATTAAGTAATATCTAATTTTCAATTCAATTAGCCAGTAATTATTGTTTTAAACTTTTGAAAAAACTCTAAATAATTTTAGTTGTTTATATGTTCTGGAAATGTGAATAAATTAATCAAAGAAAAATTAAACTAAAAACTCTAAACTTGGGTAACTAAAGTTTTAATTTTAAAAACAAACTTTTAAACTTATGGTAATATTGTAAATTCACTATGATTGAGATAATTTTCTTTTATTTATCAAATTTATCTACTAAAAATTTGTTGTATTATGTCGTATCTGAAAGTTGAATGATGAAACGTTGATTTTACTGCCGTGATTTTGTAATAAACTTTATTTTCAAAATTTTGTGAATCAGAATTTTTTAATTACTTATATGTGTAAGACGCGATTATTGATTTGACTATTGGGACTCGATGAATTGAAAGCAATCGAACTTGAAGGTTCACTTTTTAATTTGTTTTGATGATGACTGTTTTTAATTCTTTGAAACCAAAAAAAAAAATATATTACAATCTCTCCACAAGGTTATATATGTTGATGAAATAGTTGAAGTTACGTCGACGAGTGAGGTTTAATTCAGTACTTGAGGGATCTAGACACGTTGAATTATGTCGTTAATTTAATTTTTGTATGAGGTTGATGATTATGGTTTAAGTTTGAAATTTGAAATTTTGAATGATTCTTGTTTTAAAGTTTTTGAGGAGGAATAAGCACAAACTTAATTTAACATTACTTGGATTTGTGTATATATAAATATATATATATATATATATCCCTGATTGAATGAATGTATGAGTATATGATCAAACTCCTATCTTGATATGGTTCAGTTGTCAAAAATTAAAAGAAGGAATTAGATCTTAAATTGTGTGTATGTTTATTTAAAAATTTAATTTTATAATTTAGGATCAATTTTAAATAAAATTTATAAAAAAATAAAAAACTTTTTAGATTTAAAAAAAATAAAAATAAAAAAGCCCCTTTGTGTAAGTAGTTAAAATATACAGTTGAAATTTTAAATTATTATGTATTCATACTTAACTTTAGTAGTAATAGATAGGATCATAACCCAGAGTTACCCACCTAGTAATTATCGTATAATGTATGATTTATTAAAACTCAAATTTAATTTAAATGAAGTTGGACGATAATTTTTACATAACTAATTACTATGAATAAAAAAATGTTTGAGGAAAATGAAATCTTTAAATCATATTTTATCAAAAAATCATCATAATCTTCATTTAAAAACAAAACTATCATAAGCATTGTCAACTCAATAGAATTCGAATATACATTACTTATTTCGTAAGTCAACAAAGTACATAAACAATTATTTAAAATTATATAATTAATATTTGTCAACTCATACACTACTCCCCTCATTTTAATTTTATTGTGTCTTTGAGCTTAAAATTTTTGCTTTAATGTTATTCATACTCTTATTCTCTCGTTCTTTAAATTCAATTGAGTTTTTGGTTTAAATTCAAACATATGATAGCAATCACAGATTATCACAAAACCTTAAACAATAATATCAATTTTACAAAAGGAGATTCAATTTAATTTCAACTCTTTTTTCGTGGTTGATCATTCTAGCCTGTCGCTTAAAGTAAATTGTTGAAAAAGTTAATTTCTTTGACAACTTCGTATCGGCTCTTTTTTAAGTTAATGATAATTTCAATAAACTAAATTGACTGGATTACATTTGGGAATGAAATTATAAATGAAGAATGTGAAATTATACTATGTCTTGAAATTTTGATGTAAAATAATACTCAAAAAATAATCCGGAAAATAAATTATTACATACCTTGTTGAAACATCATGACTTCCCATAGTTTTACGTGTTTTTAAGAAGAATTGGAAATTAAATCCAAATTATTGTTGGCCCACTAATTGACAACTGTTTGTTTAAAATTTAAAGCCTAAAATCTGAAATCTGAAATCTCGATCTGACTTTCTTTTTTTTTCTTCTATTTGTTTTGCTTTTGCTTTGAATGTTTTGCATATAAAATGTGAAAAGGGGTAAAATAAATTTGGTAACTATACATAATTGGGGAAACATGGGTGAAATTCACATTTTCGGGAGTAAAATATTTATAAGTATAAATGAAATAACATTCACTGACTTCAGGTATTTTTGAGGTATAGTTCAAAGTCGTAGTTGTCACTGAAAAAAAAAAAAACAAACACGACAATTATGAATGTAAGTTATAGTGTTCAATTTCCATCAAAAACATAAATAAACATGAGACAGTCCAGATTTAGTGAAATTGAGTTTAAAAGCGTTAAGGTTATTAAGACCAATTGCATCATCTTAAAAGTTTAAAATTTTAGTTAATTTTTGATAACAAAATTTAACATTTTTCACATTTACTGAATAGTTATAAATATTATTTAAAAAACAATAGATTATTTAGAACAAAGCCGAAATTGTTGATAAAGAATGGTTTAAAATTAATTTACTCTTCTGAGTTATATATAATTTTTTTATTGACTTCTTCAATTTGTTCAACAAATTAATTTGTATCTTTCTCGTACCTGACAAACCAAAAATTTATTTCATACATAACAATATGAACAAATAAAAAGATGGAGGATAGAAAAGCCTCATGTAATAAAATTACATGTAATCACCTGAATTTAAAATTGATTTTCATAATAATAATTTTAACTTTTTAGTCCTATATAATAAATTTGCAAGCCAATATTTCTAAAACCTAAAATGTTGATCAATACATACCTTCAAAAACGTCTACTTTTGATGACAACATAGTTGTCAAGTGGGGAAATAATATGTTGAAAAAATCGAAATTAGTCTCTCGGGTATTGAACAAATATTTAGCGCTCAAAAGGGTCTAAAAAATTAGACTAATAATTCAAGTTTTCACATTTCGATAATTTTAATTGAACAGGTTATAAGATTGGAAAAAGAAAAGATTTTGAAAGAATAAATTTTTGAAAAGTACAAAGTCACTACTCATATTTTTTGCCCTAGCTTATATTAAATTTTGTGATCCCAAAATTCAACATATTATTTTTAAACGGTATTTATGAGGTTGTGGTTTGTAAATCATTGATTTAAAACGTTTTTTCATCACTTAAATTCTTAACAATTTTAAATTATACTCTGATTTTTTCTTCAATGTCTAGGTTTTACAGCTGTAAGCATGTTATCTCCACCAATAGAGCCATTGTATGCTGGATAATCAATTTTAATGACTTCTTTTAATAGTGGGGGATGGACTAGAAAGCAAAAGATATCCCAATCATTTAAAAATTCTCCTAATATCAAAAAGTAACAAAAACTATCACAAGTGTTTTCATTTTTACCATAATAAGAAACTGTACCTTATATAATATTTCAAGGCAAACAGGAACAAACTTTTATTTTAAAATTATAACCTAATATCTTAAATTTGCATTTATGTCAAATCAGTGATGTAACTTCAATAAACGAGCAGATTTGTTCAAAATTTGATAATCATTCACATTGTTTCTGTTTATACCATATTCACTCTATAAAGGATTCAATTACGATTTGACTTTAAAATAGTTTATTTTGTAAAAGAATTTCATAGATTTGAATAAGCAATGGTTTTCTAAGTATATAGTAAAACATTAAATACAGAGTATACAGTAAAAGATAAGAATGAATTACTCGCTTGAACTTGAATTGCTTAACTCCAGCGTTTTAGCGAGTCGAATCGAAGGGAATCAAAATCCAAATCTGTCTTACAATTCACAAGACCTTGATGAAATTGACACAAAGCATTATCTATACTTTGATAAACTTTTATATAATTCTTCCGAGACCTCTTTTATTTCTTTTTTCATCTACAATTGATCATCATTTCTTAGATACTGATATAATTTTGAGTATGTACTTTAAACATGAAATTTTGAAAAAAAAAAAAAAATTAATTTATGAGTTGTACCTTAAAAATCAAATGTTCGTATCTTGAAACTTTAGATCTGAGATTTCGGCAAATAAATCTGGTACTAAAACATTCCAATCACATATAACTTTTTTTACTATCGTTTCTAAGTTTGAAATTAAAGTTTACTTTGATACGGCATTGATTAAGAAGATTACGTTATTTCAGTCTAAATCTCGAATGGTTATTCCTGAAATATCAAATTTTGAATGATTCAAGCTCAAACGTATCGGTGACACAAAAAAAAACTTTATCACAGAAAATTTGAAATTCACAATTTCGGAAAATAAAATACATCCGTTCTTGATGTAATTATCAAATTGACTTGTCTGAAAAATATCTCGGTAAGCTTTAAGGTAGAGGGTAATAAACTTTTTTCAAACCAAATGAAAAAGCGTTATCATATACTAGAATATTTGATCTAAATTCCACGATCGTTCAAAATTGAAAATTGAAAGTAGAGCTAGACTTGATATCGATCCGTTAAGATCAGTAAGTAAAACGGAATACATCATGAACGATATGAGAGTCTGTAGGCAAATAATTGCGGGCATTCAAAATTTTTCATTTTGATGAACATCAATAACATTTGAAGATTGAAAAAAACTGAAATTTTGTAACGTTGTGGCAAGTAATTGCATATTATTACATAATTAATTAACTTGTTTAGACTTTTAATGTAGATCAATGATGATGACATTATAGGTTATTTCAGATACTAGACAAGTATTTTCTTCTTAAGTTCTTATAGCTTTTTGGTTATTCTTATTCAATTTAACTCATTAAGCATTTACGTTTATTATTTCTGGGTTGTGTTTTATATTTGACGAATTGTGAAATCTCAATCACAAATCATATCGCTAAATTTAGATGACGATGATGATACAAAATTGGTACAATCAATTAAATGAGATAATTTGGTTCGCTTAAGCTTTATGTACTTGAAGACCACCCCTACGTTACATGGATTTTTCATCAATTTAAACAAGAAAAGAGGGCCCTTCCAGATCTCTTACATTTCATATTTAGATGTTGAACCTCATCAAAATTATATCGTATTAGACGAAAGCTTAAAAATACCAAGTTGCAGCCGAAGATCTAATACGAAACTAAATTAAGGTTTTTGTGTTAGATCTGAACCTGCTAAAAAAATCAGATCAAGAGGGATGCTCTCAAAAAAGCCCAAGTTTAAGTAACACAAAAATAAAACTGTCGACCTAGCAGACATCCCCATCCGTGCCATTCTCATCCCATCCGCACGAGAATTTATGTAAAACAGATCAAATTTGTGAAAAATTCAGAATATACGATCAAGAGGATGTTTGTTTTCTTAATATCCTTGAGGATTTACATATCATGAAATTTACATATGCTTTTACTTCGATATATGTTGATTGATATTCAATATAATATTATTAAAATGCCATTCAGAGAAATTTTTATATAAACTAAAAAATATATATGAGTTACCTTTTTTAGCATCACAGATTGAAGATTTTGAAAACTTATTGTTTCATTTACCCAAAAGTTTTAAGTCACTTCCTTTTTCGTTTCAATCTTTACGGTTTGGATACTTAAGTCCGTCAAAAAGTTTATTTTTTAATAAATTTGAACGTTGAGAGAAATACTCTTAGCTATTCAATAATTAATTAAGGGGTGATGTTTCACGTTTTATTATAATTTCCCTTCATATCTAAATGGTTCGTATACTTTATTTCAAAAGTTAAGTTTTTCTCAATTACTTACTATTGTTGACTGATTCGGCTTAACTTTAAAGCCCTTATTGCCGTTGATAGCCTTTATTCTAAAAATTGAGGATTCCTATAAAAAAAATCGCTAATTTTGATTGTAACTTTCTTAAACTTTCAAATCGTTGCACTTGGTCTAACTGACTATGTTCATAGAGCAAATGTCACTTCAATAACTTATTGTTTGAACATTATCGAGAATTGGGTCCAATACTAAGAAAAAATAGTTTCCTTGATTGAACGGTCCGAGAGTTGGAGTTTGACTTAGTTTTAATATCACTTTCAATACTGAAAAAATGTAATACTAATTATCTATGAAATATACAAGCCCCCAAGCAGCACCCGCAGCAACAGAACCAACTGCAACCATTTGAATCCCTTCTGCAACTTTTTTATGATTTCCACAATCATCACCTAAAGATATTGAAGTTTTTATGAATCCAAATATAAATAATGTAATTAACATAACAATAACTGATACTAATAGACCAGTTTTAACAACATGTGTGAAAAAATATGGTAATAATGGTACAAATCCACCAAAGAAATATGATAATCCAATAGTTAAAGCAGAAGTAAATTCTCTACCTTCAGCAGGTTCTTCTAATCCTTTTCCAAATCTTATAACAAAATCTATTAAATTTTTAGGTTTTGAATCTAAATCTTTTAAAAAACTTATTATTGTTGTATCACTTGCTCCTAATTCAAACATTATTTCAGCAGCATCTTGATTTATTGATTCTGGTTTTTTAAAAAATTCTAATTTTTCCTTTTTAACTTGTGAATGATAATATTCTGATTCTGATTTTGCTGCTAAATAACCACCTAATCCCATCGATATTGCTCCTGATACTAATTCTGCCATACCACCTGTTATAACTAATTTTGAATCACCTAAAGATGATAATCCTGCAGTTAATGCAAATGGAACAGTTAATCCATCACTTAATCCAATTATTATATCTGACATTACTCTTGGATCAAATCTATTAAAAAAATTTGTCAATACGTTTGAATTAAATTCTTCTTCTTCTTTATTTTCGGATGATGATGCAATTGAAGCAGCTGCATGAAGTACAGCTTCTTCTCTTGCTATTGCTGATGCTCTGTCGTCTTGATTTCCATTATTATCCGTTGAGCCATAGGGATTTTGGTTGTTATCTAATAGTCTATTAACTCTTTCTAATTCTTCATCTGATTTATTATTGTGGTTGAAAACTTTAGTAACTCCATTTTTTAGAGCAACTAATGACATTTCTGAGATATGAATTTATAAATGAATATGATATGGAATTTTTAAATGTATGAAAATAGTGAAGTAACCCTGTAAACCTGTCTATTAAGTTGATATTACTTGTTTATGGACTTTTTCAAAACTAAATGAAATATAAAGTTGTGTTTTTTAACCGTGAGATGTCTATGCCTGGTTGTTTTTAAGATCTAAGGTGTGGAATGACTAAAATAAGTTCTATATATAAATTGAAAAAAAATTGAATAATATAAAGTCTATATCCTATGGTGGCAATTTGATAAGAATAAGATCAAATAAAATTAAATAATGTGGTTGTTTATTTTAAAATATAAAGTAAGATATTTAAATTATTATTATTATGAAGAGTATTTATTTATTTATAAAAAATGATTACAGTATTAATATTATTATCTTTATGTAATAAAAAATACAATTATAATAATACTAGAACTAACTTATTACATAATAATTAATATCTCTAATTTAATATATTATAAAAATATATAATATTTGCGTTTTGCCATTTAATCAAATTGGTTATGTGGTTTTGATTCATTGAAATTGAATGTTTCAATTATCAATTATGGCTAATCAAAAGGTTAATGAAATATTTCATTTCGTCGCAAAGAACAAATTAACACACAAATTTGAACTTGAAACAACTTACTGATGAGAAAATTATAACGAAAGTATTAAAGAGCTTAATTTTTCAACTGTGTTTCAGCAATCCATCTCTACAAAATTAGCTTCAACGAATGAACTTAATAGTTTAATTTATGCTGAACAATCAACCTATTAACATGTTTAATTATTGAAAGGTTAGTTATTTTCAGAATTTTCTTGTGTAGCTTATGCTTACAAATTACTTTGTTTTCATTGGCTTAATTTTGCGCGTCAATTATACCACACAAACTAGGCAAAATTTAGAGAGTGCCGCATGTCTTGCTTTATTTTCAAATTTTCTGACACTGAAAGTTATGACAATCAAAGAATTCAAAATGCTGAAACATAGTCTAAGGTTACTATGAAAATATCATTTTACAAACAAACAGATACGAGATTAAAAACGATGTTATCCACGCCAAGACAAACGATTTATATAAATAATATCAATGAGAAAGTCTCACTAAATAAACTACGATCATCTTTACAACTTTTGCTTCAAAATTATAACCCCAAAAGAATTCTACTACAAAAATCATTAAAATTAAAAGGACAAGCTTTTGTAACATTTGATAACGTTGAAGATGCATCCAAAGCAGTCAAGGAATTAAATCAAAAACCGTTGTTTGACAAAAATATTAACATTGAGTTTGCTAAGTCTAACAGTGATGATGTTTACCTTACTGACAAAAATGAATTCAATGCTAGACGTCAAGTAAGAAGAGAACATAAAATACAAAAAAAATTAAATGAGTCAAAATCAAAATCAATCAAAAAGAAAACAAATAAGAAGAATTCAACTTCAAGTAAAGAATCAGCTTCAGCAAATTTGAAAAGTTGGCAAAACTTACCACCAAATCATGTTTTGCTTTTACAAAATATTAATGAGACATTAAACATAAATAAAACTACAATTGAAAATTATTTCGGAGATTATGCTGGAATTGAGATTGTAAGATATATTAAGCCTAGAAATCTATCATTTATTGAATTTGAAAATGAAGAATTGGCTACAAATTGTCTACAAAGTGTTGATCTATCTAATTTAAAACAAAATTTTGGTGATAATACAATATTCTCATATGCTAAAAAATAATACTGTGAATATAATGTGTATAATAATGAATTAATGATCAGAAATATGTTTAAAATTGACAAAAACCAGCTAGATCAAAATATGGATTAGCATACATTTCAGTAGGAAGAGGATCCAATGTAGGCAGAACTTGATCTTCTCTATTGACTGGTGTAATGTTTTGTTCGCTAGTTTTGGTACATACTGGTTCTTGAACAAGACACTCAGATTCACCAAACATATTCTGAAAATTTGAATTTTCCATGTTATTACTCATATCGTTTTTCATTGCTACTAACAGTAACCACATTTGATCTATTATGTCACTACTGGGTTTTGTATTTTCAATTTGATTGAAATTGTTGGTTGTTGTTACTTGATTCTCATTAGGCATAGTTTCAACTTTCCATTCATTTTGTGGATCTTCACTTGTATACTCTTTAATATCATTCAAATCTGTAATTATTGAAAAATCAGGAGTAGGTTTATCTTTTGAATCAGTATAATGTACTATATTTGCTACAAAATGTTTTAATTTCGAAACAATCAAATCAAACTCATCCAATTGATCAGGGGTAAATTGAAAACATTTTATTCTTTTCATACCACTACTTGATTTTGCCACAAATTCTGGGTCTGCAATAGTTCTTAGTAATTCTGAATGAGCTTTATAAGCTCTCCAAGCTGAATAATATCTGGAGCTCATCCTTTGCATTAATTTTCGTATTAGGCTTTCAGCATGGGTTAAATTTTGTCCAATACTATTTAATTTCTCAAAGTAAGTTCTATAATTTTCATCATTTGTAAGCTTTATTTTATGTTCAGGATTTGTTGTAAATGAATGAATCCGAAAATTGATTCTAACCAAACATGACATGATAAATTCATTACATTTATGCATTGACAATTGAAGATTGTGATTTAAAGTGAATCCAACAGAACTTAAATACCCAGTTATTGCATCACCTAAGTATGGCATGATGTCATTGGTGACGATTAAAAGAATTTTGAGTAGGTAATAAAATGTTAATTCTGTATCCATCAACTTCTCATAATGCAAATAAATATGTATATAAAATGAAGTTATCGCAGTTTTCATAGCAAAAAAAATCTTAAATTTCACCAAATATGTGAATCTACCTATTTCCGGTCTATTATGTTTTGACATGGTTATTTCTTCTTTCAAATCAGAATTATTCATAACATTAAATCTTGCATCCAAAATCAGTTCAAATTCATGTAAATCTTTAGTAATTGTTTTCATTTTCACACCATCTTTCATATCTAATGAATATCCTATTAGTCTACGTAATAAATGTAGTTCTGAATCTAAATATGTAAAAGTCTCAACTGCTGCTCTTTCCAATTCAAGATCTTTTATGTTACTATTTTGTTCAGTCATGTATGGTCTTTTAGCATCAAAATGTTGTGAATGTATTGAAGTTGGATTTCCAATTGAAGCACAATGTAATATATCTTGACGAAGTAGATAAGCCCATATCTTACGTCCTAAATGATTTGTTTTTTCATCCTTTGGAAGGTCAAGATTCGTTGGTTCTCGATTTAATCCTAATGAATAAGCCATTTGTACTAGCAACGCAGTTGCAGTTTGTGAATCACCTCCACTTATATAATCTTCTTCTTCAGGAGCATTATTTCTATAAATTCTCATAAATAAAATTGCTTGAAAAACGGTTAAATTTGATTTTCTTGTAAATTGAAAACATTGAATACATGAATTTGCAACATCAATACAAGATGCATTTATTGGATTCAAAAATAAAAATTTAGTATCTGAATCTTCAACTGATGACATTATATCGTGATTAATACAATCTCTATTTGAATAAAGTGATAAATATGTCATTCTTAAAATAATGAAACATATAGCTATACTTGCTAAATCCAATTTCTTACTAATTTTAACATCAACAAAAGGTTGATATTCATAATTAATTGTCCCAACTATTTTTTGAATATCTTTCTTAAATCTTTCTTCGTCTATGAAAGGGAAAAAAGGGTATACTTTTTGAAAAAATAAATCAATCAACATCCAAAATACTTTCTTTGCAGGTAAAATCTTTTTAATTTTTTCAATTAATTGTAATTCTGGGTTAACTCTTCCATCAAATATTGTCTTTGCAAGACTTATTTGAGTAAATGTCATTTTCGATTCATTAATTGGCATCATTCCATTTGTAGACCCATTTAATTTTAATTCATATTTTTCTAAAGATTTATAAGGAGCTATTTCATCAAATCCTTCAAGTTCTAATAATTTTCTTCTAAAAAATTTATCCATGTTTATTGAAATACCTTCAGCAGGAACAGATGAATTCAATAATCTAAAATTTTCAGCTGTTAAAGGTTGATTCCCAACAGTCATGAAATTAAAATAACCTTTGCTTATAAAAAACTTCCATACAAGACTTAAAGCAGGGTCTCTTTTCAATAATGCAAACCATGATAAAGGTCCAAAATTAATACGTCGTATGTTTCCTTTAATATGTAATGCTGTGTAACCAGTATAAAAATTTAAAACTTCATCATCATCGTTTAAGGGATTGGGCCAATTTGAGTCTTTCGGTGGTAGTATTGGATCCCTAACTTCTGGTTTAATACTTTTCTTTTTGGAACTTGATGGGACTGACTGGCTGATTTTGAGAAGTTCCTCCAACTCTTTAATCCTATTTTTCATTGTTTCCAATTCTTTGGTTTTTAATGCTTGTGATTCCAAATTACTAGAACTTTTCTTTCCACTAACTTCATACAAACATGAGTATCCAAGGTTAAGTCTGACACATGATGTACAAGGCGTTTTTCTATCACATTTGATTTTCTTCCTTTTACAATTACTGCAAACAACTGTTGGTTTATTCCTTTTTCGAATTTTAGATTCTGACATTAAGATTAATATTCAGGTAATCGAACTATGAAATTGCATCAAGAAAGTATCAGATATCTATGTTTGACATCTTGATGATACAAATATGAAAAGTTTAGTCATAGATTTTAGATCATTCTTATTATTAAATCTAAATGAGAATTCTTGTGTTTTAGTTATTAGCGAGTTGTTTAAAGTGCGGCTTGTAGTAAATCCAATGTTAAACAACGGGAATAAAATATTATTTCCGTAAAATTTAATAATTTGGTCTAGATTTTATCGTTCAAATATTATATGATACCGAGGCAGGACCCGAAATAATTTTGTAGAAAGAAAATAGAAAATTACAAAAAACCATTGCTAAATTACATTATATTTGACTCTTTATTAAAATTTAAATATATAACTCTAAACACTAACTGACTATTTATTTTTTATGTTTTTTCTCTCTATTACCTTTTGGAACTCTTGCTAACCAATATAAAAATGTTGTTAAAACAATATTAATAGCTATGAATGAAACAACTAAACCAAAGTTTCTCCATCTTTCACTATATCTTGCATTAATTGAATTTAAAAATGTATCTGTTGAAGTCATTGCACAATAACTACATTGTCCATTCCTTACTTCAGCTTGTCCACCAGCTGCACTAGCAAAAGCATCTAAATATTGACTACAACTAATTCCTGAAGGTGGTTGAATCTTAAGCCATTCAGCATCATTACAAACAACCCTAGTATGAGCCAATCCTGTTGCTAATATACCTTGAATCAAATAAGTAAATGGGTTAGCACGATACATAAAAATCCAAAATCCTGGTAATTCTGGACCTGGAACTAACACACCACAGAAATTCAAACACATTGTAAATAATAATGTAGCTAAATTAGCAGCGTTATCTGGTAATTCTGTAAATGATTGACATAATTGACCCATAGTTGAAGTATAAACAAAAAATGAAGTTATAAACATCCACATCAAAACACCTCTTTGATTAACAGAATCTGTTGGTTCTGCATTTCTATATAAACCTAATGGATAATACCAACAAAAGAATGCAACAGTACCAACAAAAATTTGATAAGGAATTTCTGAAGTTATTTGACCAGTTATAAATGCAAACCAACTAAATGTTCTTGAAGGAGCTTCTCTAACTTCATAAACATCTCTTTGTCTACAGAAGTAAGGTAACATTTGTTGAACCAAAGTATTGAATGGAATGAAAAACATGAAAATTGAAAACATTTGATTTTGTAAACCTTGTTGAGAATTCTTTGCTTTAAAAAATGAAAATCCGTTGAATATTGATGATGAAACAACTAAAAATAATTTAGCATAAATATAACCTGGTGATCTCCAATCTTGAACAATTGTTCTCCAACTAACTAATAAATATTGTTTCCATAATGGTGCAGCATATTTTAATTTTGAATCTGGATCTTCATCTCTTGGCAATTTAGATAAATCGGTTTCCATTCTATTTAATTCAGCTTGAACATCTTGAAAAGCTTTTGAATTTCTCCACACTTCAAAATAATCTTGTTTAGCATGAGAACCTGGAGCAGCTCCAACAACTTCCAACATCCATTCAGCAGGATTAGCATTAGCTGGACAAGGATCAGCACCTTCACTTTCAAAATAATTAATAAGTGTTTGACAATTTTCACCTAAATCCCCAAAATATACAGTTTTACCACCTTTTTGTAAAAATAATAATCTATCAAATTCTTTTAATAATAATGCTGAAGGTTGATGAATAGTACATAAAATAGCTTGACCATGATCTGCTAATTTTCTCATTAATTTACAAATTGACCATGCTGTTTGAGAATCTAAACCAGATGTTGGTTCATCCAAAAATAATAATAATTTAGGTTTAGCAACTAATTCAACACCAATAGTTAATCTTTTTCTTTGTTCAACATTTAATCCTTCACCAGCAACACCAACTAAAGCATCTGCATATAATGTCATTTCCAATAAATCAATTATATAATCAACATAATCATCTTTTTCCTTTTTTGACACATGTCTTGGTTGTCTTAAATATGCTGAAAATTGTAAAGCTTCTCTAACAGTTGAAGTTGGTAAATGTAAATCTTGTTGTTGAACATAACCAATTGATCTTTGAAATGAAGAATCTAATGGATGACCATTAACCAATCTAACACCATCTGTAATAGTACCAGTAGTAACACGTTCTGATAAACAATTCAATAATGTAGTTTTACCTGCTCCGGATGCACCCATTAAAGCTGTAATTTGACCTGGTTTAACCCATCCATCAACATGATTTAAAATAACACGATCTTCCTTTTTAATTTTAACTTGATATGTAAGATCTCTCCAAAAAAATATTTCTTTGTTTTCTGGTAATGGTGTTGAAGAAACTGATCCTGATTCTGAACTATTTTCAAACTTTCTAGCTTCAGTAGCAGCTTCGATTGATACTTTTTCATTTGGCATTCCACCATATTCTGAATCATGAGCTTTAGCTTGCATCTGTTTCTTATGTTTCTTTAATGAACCTTTTAAAAATAAAACAATTTCACCTTTTTGCATAGCTCCTTTATTGAATTCTGTAAGTGCAACATAAATAACTAAAAAGAAAACAGCAAAACCAATTGTAATACCTAAATTTCTCCATTTATGACCATTAACATAATTATAAGATTCTTTTAAATAATCTGTACCATTAACAAATCTATTACCTGGTCTAGCACCAACAGTTGCACAAACTTTATTTCCAATTGGATATTGACTAAAATTTGGACCAGATGGAATAAAATTGTTTTCTAGACATTCAAATTCTCTTCCATGAAATTCATTTAACATCAATGATTCAAAAACATAACCAACAGGATTTATATAATTTATCCATCTTGACCATCCCAACATTAAAGGAGTAGGAATGACAAAACCAGTATAAATAACCATAGCCAATAACAATACAGTTGCAGGAGTCATTGCACCAGCAATAGAAGTTGACACAGCACCAATTGATCTAAATAAATGTGACATAACTAATGTACACCAAATACACATTAACCAATAAAAGAAAAATCTACCTGGATTTCTTCTAAAATTAACCATAAAATAAAATACAAAATTAAATGACATTGACATTAACAATTTAACTGGTAATTCACTAACAATACTAGCTAAAGCATCAGCTGATGGTCGATAAAGTGCATATTTCTTATGTTTTTCAACAATTGGTCTAGCTTCAAAAAGTGACATAATTTCTAATAATGAAGCAAATGCATTGAATAAAACAGCAAAAAACATACCTGCACCTCTAAAATAGAATGAATTTGTATTTGGAGGTAAATTATAAAAAACTGATGATAAAATTAAACCCATTACTAATTGACCAAAAATTGAAAAAATTGTAATTGAAGGATCTCCTTTCATTCTTAACCAATTTCTATGCATAATATATTTAACTTGCATATTGAATGAAACAGTATATGGGGATCCAGAATTAAGATGGTTTGATTGTCTTGCTTTATGAGATTCATGATATTGTTGTTTAGTATCTAATGATTCACAATCAATAAAATGTTGATCTATTTCTTGAATTAATGCAGCATATTCTGGTGAATTTTTCCAACGAGCTTCAAATTCTTCTGGAGTTCTTGGTACTGAGTTTTCAAATCCTGGACGTGGTTGTCTTTCTGCTGGATTAGTTAATGAAGTTAAAAAATCTGCTGTAGTTTGTCTTTGAGGACATTCCCAACCTTGATTTAAAAAATATTCTTTAGCATGTTTTGAATCACCAAAAAAGATTTGATAACCTTCATATAATACAACTACTTTATCAAATAAATCATAAGCATCTTGTGAACATTGATATATAGCAATTAATGGAGTTGTATCTAAAACTGTAGCTGAAGTTTTTAAAGCTCTTATAAATTCTAATGCAGTAGCTGAATCTAAACCTCTTGTTGCATTATCCCAACATTGAATATTTGCTCCATTTAATGATGCTTCTGCAATTGAAACTCTTTTTCTTTCACCACCTGAAACTCCTCTAATGAAATCATTACCAACATTAGTATTTCTTGTATGTGATAAACCATACATAGCCATATAAACACTTGCTAAATGTTTTGCATATTCTTCTCTATCAACATGTTCACCTCTATTTTGTGGAGTCCTTAATCTTGCTGCAAAATCTAATGTATCACCAACTGATAAATGAGGAAAATGAACATCAGTTTCTGCTGAATATATAACATCACCTCTAAAATGTTTTTCTATATCTTTTTGAGTTAAACCATCATAAGTAATTTTAGATTCTTTAGCAATATGAAAACCATAAGTATTTACAGCTATAGTTTTTAATAATGTTGAACAACCAGCACCAGGTCTACCTAATACAACTGTTACTTCACCAGGTCTCATTATAGCATCCATATGTTTTAAAATGTTGAATTGTTTTGATTGATCTTCTTTACTAATCATTCGAATACCTTCAGAAGCTAATTTCCATAATGCATTTGTAACAGTTGGTTGATAATCAGTATCATTTGCAACACCATAAACTCTTAAATCTCTATAAGCAACACCTAATTTTGAAGGTTTATAATAATCTCTATTTGAATCAAATAATTTTCTAATATTTTTAACCCAATATTTAGCTTCAAAATTATCAGAATTTGGATCTAATCTTTCATCTGGAGTTTCTGAAACTGGATTAACACCAGGTACAGTTGACATATTTGTTAAATATTTATGTAATTCTGAAGCTGAATTAACATCATTATTTGAACTATTTGTAAAAGTTCTTGCCAAATTACGAACACTTTTTTCATCTATACCATGATAATCATCTATTGAATGTAAATCTGATGAAGAATTTGTTTTTTGATTTTCCAATCTATTATCGGAATCTTCTTTAGATCCCGAAATTGAGAATGACATTTTATTTTGAATATTTGAGTTTGTAAACTGATTTCTATTTGATTTATGAAATTAAGCAATTAATCGAGTAAATGATAATTAAAAGCACTTGGTGAATCAAAACCGAAAAAATAAAAAAAAAAACTGTTAATATTTAGTTATATATATGTATATGATATGATGAAAATATATGAAAAAAGACTTGGTGATAATTGATGATCAAAATAAATATTGAAAAAAAGTTATTGAAATGAAATTTGATGAAAAAGTCTTGAAATATATATTTAGGTTGTTTTTTTTATTTAATTTTATACGGATATCGGATAATCTAATTCTATATTTATTTATTAGGATGAAACAAAATATAATTAAGGTGGTTACATAAATAAAATTTATTAGACAAAAAAAAAACACAATTTTATCAGGTGTGTAGTTCTATGTGTTAACCGTTTCTATTCACTTCCTGCTAAATGGACTGTCTTTTTGGCCAAAAGAACTCGATTCTGGTTTCACATTTATTTTAATTATTTTTTATTCATTTACAAATTAAAAAAATAAATTTTTAACCCCGTAATTTTTAAGATTCTTAGTGAAAAAAATATTATCATTTCCATCCTTTCAAATCATGAAATTGATTCATGAACAAAATTTTAATTACCCAAAAGTCGACTGATGTATCTACAATTATATTGATTACAAGACATGTATAGTTAGTTTTAATTGATAAAAATGTTAAGTTCATCATCGTATCCATTTTTAATAAATCATTTAAGCTTGAAAGAAGTGCGGATTTATGAAATATGACACAAAACTAATATAGATTATTGTAAAAAAAAAATATAAAAAAAAAAGACAATAGCCGAAAAAATATGTATACCATAAGATTCTTTAGCCTAAAAAATTCAATGATTTATATGAATCTATAACTTTTAATTTGAAATAGGTAGTTTCCCAAAAACTCCATGACATAGTTGATTTTCAATTGTAACAATTAAATAACATTCGGCACGTTCTTTTACATTGAATGAACGTATGCAATGCTTTTCTTTAATCAAAATAAAGTTGCTTCTATTTTTATTGATTTTATCCGAAAAGAAAATAAAAGAAATAAATTGATAAAATGACAATAAATTTTTGTTAAGTCGCAATTTTATTTATGTAAACCTATTGACTCAAACTCAGATACGGCTGAAACAAGGTAAATTTATCCTTGCTGTTCTGTGTAAGAACTAAGTGTCTCTATAATTGATGACAAATTTTGATTTCTAAAAAAGATGTTTCGTCATATTTGTTTTCTCATCAAAATAGTGATCACAATTACCTATGTATCGATGATATTTGGACTAAAAAGTAAGTTTCTGCTTTAATTTTGTCGAATTGATAAGAGTTTAATCTTTCAAAAATACCTGCAAAAAGGTCCTTCTAAGCTTCTAAACTAATCGAGTATACTCATCTTTAATAGTTGTAAGCTTATGGTCTAATCATGAAAAAATCAACCTATATGTTCTAGAACAGTTGAGATGGGTTAACGGCTTAAGTAGAATGTACAATTTAGGACTTTTGACTGTAGTTCTCATTCTCTATTGTTCATTATGACTTTTTTTCTTTCTTCCGATATTATAATTCCGAAGACAGTATCACCGAACTTTTCAAACAGACTACAAAATTGCCACATTGGTCTTGATTTTATCGCCGCTTTAGTCAATCCAGGCTTATATGTCATGTGAAAACAATTATCAAGATTTCTATATGTATCTGAAATTGAATCAAATAATAAATTTAAAGAAATGGTAACTACTCAAATTATCCGAAAAAAATAGAGTTGATACACTACAAATCATTTTTGATCAATGTATTGGTAAAAGAATATATTTGAGAAGGCACCTATGCTCGTTTTGCTTTTGTCTTTACTATAACATCACTGATCAGATTTGCATCAATCGTAGTAACAAAAGTTGGCTAGCATCCTCTAGAATTACAACAAACACCAATAAAGTATGCAACAAAACGGTCTTTATTTCAGGTGTTGCACTCATTTTGTCATGAGACATATAGTTGCAACGACTGTATTTGTTTCAACCTGTGAAAATCACTTTCTACAAAAAAAATGCGAATTCTCAACTATTGCAAATATTAAAATTTTGCTGCAAAATACTCTTGAAACTTACAGATTGTAAGTTAGAAAACTAGAAGTATATTTAAATCTTCTAGGTTGGTTTTGTACTACAATAATTTTTGATATCGATTACTGTTAACTTTTTAATAGGAAGTATCTTCTATGATAGACTTTTCTGAAACATATATCAGAGATCTGTTCGTATTATGATTTAACTTCGCTGTCAGATTTTGTGTCAAAGTTTTGAAACATCTCGAATTCGGTTTCATACTCTTTGCTTTTGTGTAATTGATTTATTATTTTTTAGGCTGAGCCAGAGATCCGTAATAAATTACACTATCCGATTAATTTTTTGTTAATCAAAAAGCAAAGATCGAAAAAGTGATGTAATACGAGAAAGACGTAATGAATCTCATTCTAGAAAAATAGATTAAACGGCATGTATACACTCGGCCATAAGATGATTAATCTCATGGTTATATTTCCAATTTAATCAAATCTCCGAATTATTTGAAGTAAGGTAAAATAATTTTCAATCTCAATTGTTGGTCTTGAATCATCTATGATATCTTTTCTAAGGATCACGTCTCATGGAAGACAAACCATTCGTTTGACACATGCTATTACTTCAAGCTTTCCAATAGGTTTAATAGAGTTATCACGTACTAAACAGCTCTTCGAGCTCTGTTGATGGGTATTTCTTCTAATATCACTATTTTATAAGGGACTTTAGTTAAAAACGCGCTTTTATGCATACTAATATATGGACCTTAAAAAAAAAAGTAAACAAGATCTCTATAATAGATGATTCAAACCTAAGCTTGAATGCAACACACAAATATAACATCAAATGTGTCATCAATCCTGTTTTACGAATATGTTCTGGATGTGATTACTTCAATCAATCATGGGACTTGTCGAATATCACTAGATGATGGACTCTTAGAGAAATTTTCGAACAATATAAATCCTGATCTAATATGTGCCGTTAAGGACAACAATGATACAATTAACTTTATAAATGATTTTAAAAAGATTCGACTAAATGATATTGATTTGCTTATAGTGATCATTAAATTCAATGGAATTTTGAATGAAAAACTTCCACTTAAATCTCAATTAAATATACTAAACTTACCCATCAACTCAAAACTCAATCAAGATTTTTCAATTGATACAATAAAATCTACCATAAATTTAGGTTTATTACCATATTTTGAAATTATAAATGGCTCAAATGATAATTCTTCAAATATAATTAAAAAATTCAAAGAGTTATCATCATCTTTAAAATCGGAAAGTTTCAAAATACCAGACTTAATAAGTTCAACTCATCCTAAAATAAAACAGTTTTTACAAGATCAAACACGACTGATTGATATTGAAGATATTACATTTTTAAATGAATTAACTTCCATTTGCAATAATTGGGTTAAAGAAATTCAAACTTTTAGTAAAATCAATCATAATTCAAATATTTTAATTGAAGAAATTGAATTTTGGAATTCAATTGAAATCGCAATTTTATTAATTGAAAAACAAATTGAAAGTCCGGAAATTAAAACAACTTTAAAATTTTTGAATCAAGCAAGAAGGTTTCATACAGTTTTAAGTTTTGAAAATGATACTGGAATTAATGAAATAAAAAAACAATCAAATACTTTTAATACATTTTTTAAAGATTTACCTATTCAAGAATTAATTGATATTGTTAATGATTCAGAATTTTCAAAATTACAAGATTCAATTTCTGATTTATTTTATCATTTAAAATCTAAATTAAGTTTACTTTCAATTGTTGAAATTAATGAAATCATTACATTGTTTCTTAATGATATTTTCAATAAATTTCAAGAAATATATTTATCTTTAAATGTTATGTTATTACCAATGAAAGAATTTGAAAAAATTCAGAAATCAAGTTTTGAAATAATAAATTTGTTAGAAGAGAATTTAAAATTTATACTGAATACAATTAGAGAAGTATCAAGAAGGAGACAAGACAAAAATAAATTATTAATCGATCAACTGAGGCTAAAATTTATTACTACTAGACTTTCTGAATTGAGTCAATTAAGATCTAATCATGAGAACCTAATAAATAATATTAATCAGGCATCTCAAAATGAAGAAAGCCTTACAAATCTAACAAGTTTGGAAAATGCTTATAAATCGTATCTTGTACCAATAAATGTGATTGATTTTTCAAATGAAGGAAATCAAATTTGGCTAACCAACAAAAAATCTTACAATGAAATTTATAACTCGGTATTTACGACTTGGATATCTCGAATTAATTTATATTTTGATAATGCTGAACTGTTCACTGATTATTTAACAATATTTGATAATTTTTTTTCTAATAAAGAATATAATTCTGCAATGACAATTTTGAATGATACTTATAGATTGAAAATATTGGATTTTGCATTTGCTGAAATTCAAACATTAAAAGATTTAACAACTAATATTAGTGTTGATGAGTATTCGAAAATCTTATTATATGTTGAACTAACTTCAAGATTGAAGTTTTACACTAATCATTTACAAATAATGTTAGGAAAAGAATGGAATAATTATTCAATTGGTCAAAAAATAGATACACTTATTAAAAATTTGTTTAAAAAAATTGATCCTAATGTTGCATTTGAAAACTGGGTCAAGACCTTTACGGATATGGCTTCAATTAAAAATATTGGTTTTATTATTAAATTGTCAAATGTGAATGGGAATTACATTGTTATACCCAATACTGATTTTACTCAATTCCAAATAGGCGAAAAGGTTCATGTTCTAGAATCATTAGGTTTCAAAATGCCACTCAATTTTAAGTTAACTCAGAAAAAGATGCTAGCACTTCGAAATATTGCATATGAAATATCATATCAAGTAACATCATTTAATCAGATTTTGCAATCACCAGAACAAATTTTAAAATACATCCCTGATTCAATTGAAACCTTAAACGAATTAATAAAAAAGGTTTCAGTCATTGAATGGTCACATATATCAGATGCAATAGATTTAATAAATCAAAATGATGAAATGCTACTAAGTAGTGAAAGCTTAATTGAAATACAGTCAATTAGGAACTTGCAAGAATTACATGAATATCTAGTACAAATCAATCATCAATTGGCTGATCTACGAAACTTCCATCATTTCATTGAACAACAATGTCATGAATTGAAAACTTGCACATACGATACTAAAACAATTGAACTGATTTTAAAAGTAATTGAACAAAAATTTGAACTTTCAAATTTAGGAAATACAGGTGAAAAAGTGATAAAATCAATAAATGATGAAATTGAATCAATTTTAGCAATTAAATTAAAAACACAATTGAAAATATTTATAAATTATTTGGTACCTAATAATCAAGAAATTGAAGTAGTTGAGTTCGAAAGATATCAAACGAATTTTGAAAAAATTAAACATCAAATTATTTCAATAGATGGTACATTTAATTTGAGTCCTACTATTGCTAAAGGTAAAAACGAATTATACACTAGCTTCAATAAAATTATAAAAATAGTTGCAAAACAAAGACCAATATCTTCTACCAAATTATTTTCAAATATTGCTATGACTAATGAAGTGAATGATACATTTAATGATTGTCTCAATGAAATCAATTCTTGTTATAATGAGGTAGAAAAATATTTTATACGCTGGGAAACATTTCATAACATGTTATTAATGGAAGATTTTGAAAATTTCTTTGTAGAAGGTGATGCTTTAAAATCTTATGAAATACTTAAAACATTCTTTGAAAATGAAAAATTAATGGATGAACCTGAAAAGTTAATTGGTGATTTAATTACAATTGATTCAAAACAAATTCAAGCAAGATGTTCAATCTTGTATGCTTCATTCAAAAAATCAATTTTATTGCAATTTTCAAAAACATTCGAAACCGAAGTTAGGAAATTAAAAGATACAATACTACAAATGAAAATTGAACTTGAAAACCCCCTCGTATTTCATGAAGCTATTAGTCTAATATTGAAACGAATTGGTGTAATTTTTGAAGCGAAAAACAAAATTCAAGTTTGGGAAAATTTAATATCGTCATTTGCAATAATTCAACAATTCATGATGAAACATAAATTCAAGTTTGGTAATAATTGGATATTTGTTGATCAATTGGAATTTATTTTGTCACAATTGAAACATCTATTAAAGGAAAAGCAGACACTAATTTCAAAAGATTTAAATTTCATAACTACAAATTCGGAATCAGAATTTTTAAAAGCAAAACAATCTTTAAAAATTTTAAGAGATGAATGGAATGTTAACAAACCAATTTCTGGTGACTTAAACCCAAGTGATGTGTTGCTTTTGTTAAACAAATATCAATCCAAATATGATGAATTATTAGCTTATATTAAAACTATTCAAATTATTGCTCAAGAATTGAAATTTGAAAATTTCAATTTTGAAGAATCATTGGAACCACTAGAAGATATGAAGAGTTTACAAACGGTGTGGTCGATAGTGAATTCGTTCTGGGAGAAATTGGAGTTGCTCAAATCTATAGAATGGTCAGATTTAAAACCTGAACTTTTACGAAACAATTTGAATGATATCATTACTTCTATAAGAAACTTACCCTTTAATATTCGTCAGTATTCAGCTATATTTGAAATTCAATCATTGGTAAAGAATTATTTGGATATTCATTCTATAATAATTGATTTAAAAGATTCTTCATTGAAAAAAAGACATTGGATTAAATTATTTGATCAATTAGGTTCAAAATTGGAAGATAAACTTACTGTGGGAAGCGTTTGGAATCTTAACTTATCAGTCAATTTTCAATATGTTCGAGAAATTTTGGAACAAGCTAGAAATGAAAGTACAATTGAAGAAAGTTTAATTAAAATTGAAAATAATTGGTTAGAAAAATATTTTGAATTTTTCAATTATGAAAATAAATGTAGATTAATTAAAAATTGGGAAGATTTATTTAATGAAATTGATTTAAATTTAGATGTTATCGGATCAATTAAAAAATCAATATATTATACAAATTTTGATCAAAAAGTATTAGAAATTGAGAACAAATTAAATTCATTAAATTCAATATTAGATGTTTGGTCTCAAACTCAACTGGAATGGATTCATTTAAATGGTGTGTTTGGAAATGATGATAATGAAGTTAAAAATCTTTTACCCATTGAACATTCAAGGTTTCAAAATTTGAATTATGAATATATGACTTTGTTGAAAAGGTTGTATAAATTTGATAAAGTTATTGATATTATTACAATTACTGATCTTCAAGCAACAATGTCGAAATACTTAAAAACTTTATCAGTGATACAAGTGTCTTTATCTGGATATTTGGAGAAACAACGAGATTTATTTCCTAGATTCTTTTTCCTTGGGAACGAAGATTTACTTGAATTGATTGGTTCTTCAAATGATATCACTAGAATTAACAAACATATAAAAAAGATGTTTAATGGTATTGGTCAACTAAAGTTTGACCATGAAAGTCATTCGATTGTTGGTATCATTAGTGGTGAAGGTGAGACGTTTGATTTAGCTGAACCTGTGTCTTTAATCAAATATTCAATGCTTCATGAATGGCTTACTCAATTAGAAAGTCAAATCAAACATTCATTGCTTGAAATTTTCATCACTAGCTATCCGAAATGGGAGAAAATGATAGAGGATGTAGATGAAATACAGTATCTTGAATTATTGAAAAATACACCAAATCAAATATCAATACTTTTATTACAAGTCATCTTCACTGAACAAGTAGAAAATGGATCTGTAGATAATTATTTTAAAAATTCCCAAATTTTACTCCAAAATCTGGCCAAAATCTTGAAAGAAAATAACCTATATTATTTGAGAGTTAAGTTACAGAACATAATTATTGAACTTTTGCATCAAACCGATATTATTGATCAATTAAATTCATCTAAAATTCCATATACCTGGGAGATCCAACAAAAATATTATTTCGAAAATCAAAAAATAACAATGAGACAAGCACGTTGTGAATTTGATTATGGTTTTGAATATTTAGGAACTTTTGAGAACTTAGCATATACACCATTGATTGATAAATTTTTTTTGACAATGACACAAGCTTTATCCTTGAAACTTGGTGGCTCTCCCGAAGGACCTGCTGGTACAGGTAAAACCGAATCAGTGAAAGCTCTTGGTCAAAATTTAGGTAAAATGGTTATTGTATTCAATTGTGATGAAAAATTTGATTTTAATTCGATGGGTCGAATTTTCCTTGGTTTATGTAGAGTTGGAGCATGGGGTTGTTTTGATGAGTTCAATAGGTTAGATGTTAAAATGTTGAGTGCAGTTTCAACACAGATAGAAACAATTCAGCATGGACTTAAGAATGTTAATCAACCTATACAATTATCTAATCGTGAATGTCGGGTTAATCCTGGAACAGCATTATTTGTAACTATGAATCCTGGTTATTCGGGAAGAAATGAATTGCCTGAGAATTTGAAAAAATTATTTAGAAGTTTTTGGATGACAAAACCTGATACTCAAAAAATAATTGAAGTATTATTGACTTCACAAACTTTCAGTCATTCAAATCAATTATCTTATTCAATAGCTAGCTTTTTTGAAGAAATATTATCAAATTTTACAAAACAAAAACATTATGATTTTGGTTTGAGGTCCATCAAATCTGTAATTAATTTATGTGGAAATAGAGCTAAAGAAGTCAAAGAAAGCAATCTTGATGACGAGTCATTGATCGTATCGCAAAGTATTGAACAAATGGTTTTGCCAAAGTTAGTTAATGAAGATGTTGAACTGTTTAAATTTTTACAACTGAAATATTTTTCAAATGATCAAAAACTAAATGATATCAAACTCGAGTTGATTAGTCGGTTCAAACAATTTTGCCAAAGAAAAGGATTAGTTGAATCTTCTGCTTTGATGGAAAAAGGTTTACAATTGTGTAATATTCAATCTTCAAATCATGGTGTTATGCTTGTGGGTGATGCTGGCTCTGGTAAGTCTACAGTTTTAGAGATGGTAATGAATGCACTTACGGAATTTGAAAATACGGAACACCAAGCTATTGTTATTGAACCTAAAGTAATGTCAAAAGAGCAATTATTTGGTAAATTTGATAATTTCACAAAGCAGTGGACAGATGGTCTTTTCACAAGTCAGTTAAGAAAGGTAATTGATAATACCAGAGGTGAATTGAAAAAAAGAATTTGGATTGTTTTCGATGGACGTATCGATCCAATCTGGGCTGAGAATTTGAATAGTGTTTTGGATAACAATAAAGTCTTTACTTTACCAACTGGTGAAAGGCTTGGTTTACCTCAAAATGTAACAATATTATTTGAAACTGATGATTTAACTTATACCACTCCTGCTACTATAAGTCGATGTGGAGTAATTTGGTTTGATAAAGAATTGATATCATTGAAAATGTTATATGAAAAAGTAATATCTAGTTTGCGAAACTATCAACCTCACAAAATGGAGGAAAGCTCTATTTCAAGAATTAATTTGATGAATTTACAGGACCAGATATTTAATCAATTAAAGCATATGTTGAACTTTTCATTAACTGAAGCTGCTTACGCAGAGAGTAAATCATTAGAACACATTATGTCATATCTGATTCATAGAGCTATTACATTTTTGGAAGCAATGTTGAAGACATCTATTGATAAATTTATTGATCATTCTGAAGATTTGAAACTGGTGGATATAAAATTTGATAAATATGCTTCTGCATCAATTATGCTAGCCATGATGTGGGCTTTTGCAGGAGATTGTAATATTGAGGACAAGTTAAAGTTTTCTGATTTCATTAGGTCTCATCCTGCTTTTGACTCAATAAGTCCTCCACCTGGTAACATTATGAATTATGAAATTCAGCTTCCTGATTGTAACTGGGTTGATCTCAATCATAAAATCGAGATGATGGATTTGAACCCACATGAGATCAACAATCCAAATTTGATGATACCAACTATTGATACGATTAATCATGAGAATTTGATTTTTTCAATGCTTAAACAACACACACCAATGCTTTTATGTGGTCCACCTGGTTCCGGTAAAACAATGACTTTGTTGAAAGCATTAACGAAAGCTCCAGATTTAGAATTACTAGCACTCAATTTTTCAAAAGAAACCACTTCAAATTCTTTAATTAAGGCATTAGAAAATTCATGTCAGTATGTCAAATCAAATGGAAGACTCAAATTAATTCCAAAAGTAACAGGTAAATGGTTGGTTGTGTTTTGTGATGAAATAAATCTTCCAATGCTAGACGAGTATGGTAATCAAAGTATAATTTCATTGATAAATCAAATGATTAAATTTGACGGGTTTTGGTCCACCAAACACATGCAGTGGGTTACATTAGAAAACATTCAATTTGTCGGGGCGTGTAATTCACCAAACGATCCAGGTAGACACGTATTAAGCTCAAGATTTTTACGTCATTTAGCCTTAGTGATGGTTGATTACCCAACTAAACCTTCTTTGAATCAAATATATCAAACATTCAACAATGCTATATTTAAATGTGCCCCTGATCTAAAGCCTTTTAGAATTGATATAACACAAGCTTGCATTGTTATTTATGAGCATTTCAAAAGACACTTTTCATTTAAAGCTCCACATTATATTTATTCTCCACGTGAATTGACAAGGTGGTGTAAAGGTTTATATTTTGCTTTAAAAAGTGATAATTATACAGAGCTAAAGCAATTTTTGCGTCTATGGTTTCATGAAGGTTTGCGAATATTTTATGATAGACTAATTAGCGAAGATGATAAGATTTGGACCATCAATTTGTTTCATGAGATTGGTGAAAAACATTTTCCAAACGTTGATTTCAATGAATGTTTTAAACTTCCTGTCTTTTTTAGTAGTTGGTTGAGTTCAAAATTTCAATCATGTGAAAAGACTTCACTCAAAAATTTTGTTAGAGAAAGACTAAGAGTTTACAATGAAGAAGAGAACACTACAAGTTTAATTTTACACACAGAGATGCTTGACCATATTTTACGTCTTGATAGAGTTCTTAAACAACCACAAGGGAACATGATTCTAATAGGACCAAGTTCAAGCGGTAAATCTACCCTTTCTAAATTTGTTGCATGGATTAATGGTTTGAAAGTAGTACAATTGAAAGTAAAAACTGGGTATACAATAGAATTATTTGATAACATGTTGAGAAAATTGCTACTTTGTTGTGCCGATGGTGAAAAAGTATGTTTGTTGATTGATGAAGCAAGTATTGTGGAAGCTACTTTTGTTGAAAGAATGAATATTTTACTAGCTAATGCTGAGATTCCTGGTCTATTCGAGGGTGAGTCACTACGATTACTAATGAAAAAATGTATTGAAAGATCTAAAGCGCAAGGGCTTATGCTTGAATCTGAGTTTGAATTGGTTAAGTGGTTTAGTGAACAAATTTCTCAAAATCTACATGTTATATTCACGGTGAGGGAATCACCAAAAAGTGTAGGTGGTAGTATAATTTCATCACCGGCATTATTTAATAGGTGTGTTGTAAATTGGATGGGTGATTGGTCTGATGACTGCTTACAAGAATTAGCTTCTGAATTATTAAGTTCTATATCAATTAATCCTCCAACTGACAATGCGGTAAGTTCAACGGAAACTTTTAAGGGTCTGGTCATTTCATACTTAATATTTGTACATCGAAATATGTCTGCTGAGAGGTCATTTCCAAAACAATTTTTAACATTTGTAAATACATTCATTAATTTGTACAAACAAAAACAATTGGAAAGTGAAGCTTATCAAAGACGTGTTATAACTGGGCTTAATAAACTTCGTGAAACGATGGTCGAAGTAGACAAATTGAAAGCTGATTTATCTCAAAAACAACAAATTTTACTTACTAAATCTAACGAGGCTAGGGTCATGTTGAATACTATGTTAGTTGATCAAAATGAAGCTGAAAGAAAACATGAATTTTCAATAGAAACTCAGGCTGAATTGGAGAAACAGAAGATTGATATAAAAAGAAGGAAAGACTACGTTTTAGAAAAACTCAAATATGCTGAGCCTGCTGTTCTTGAGGCACAACGAGGGGTTCAGAACATAAAGAAACAACATCTCACCGAAATTCGAAGTATGATTAATCCACCAAATGGGGTAAAATTGACAATGGAGTCAGTTTGTATTATTCTTGGTTATAACGTTACAAGTTGGAAAGAGGTTCAAGCTGCAGTGAGAGGAGATGATTTTATTTTAAACATTGTCAGGTATGATTGTGAAACACATTTAACACCAGAACTTCGTGAATACATGGAAAAGACTTATTTATCAAGAGATGATTTTACATTCGAAGCTGTACATAGAGCTAGTAAAGCATGTGGACCATTGTTGGAATGGGTAAAAGCTCAGTTGGCATACTCTAAGGTTTTAAAAGACATTGGACCTTTGCGTGAAGAAGTTCGCCTTTTGGAAAAGCATACTTTGAAAACAAAAGCTCAATTGATAGCTATTGATGAAATGATTCAAGAATTAGGTCAAAAAATTGAAAATTGTAAGACTGGCTACAGCGAATTAATAAGGGAAATTGAGAGAATCAAAATGAATTCTGAAACGGTGAAAACTAGATTGGAAAAAAGTGTTAAATTAATAAACAACCTTAATTCGGAAAAAGTTAGGTGGAGTAATTCAATTACAACGTTTGAAAAGCAAAACAATCAACTTATTGGAAACATTTTATTATCTGCATCGTCGTTAACATATGCTTGTAGTTTGGATGAAAAGGATCGTGATTTTTTAAAACAAAGTTGGACGAAGAAGTTAAATGAATTAAATATATCGTTTGATCCTGCATTATCAGTGGCAAGATACACTTTAGAAAGGGAAGAGCTAAAAGACTGGTTCAAAAAAGGATTGACTGATGATGAAGTTAGTACATCAAATATTGCATCATTAAAATTTAATCAATATCCAATATTAATAGATCCCACTGGTTCAATTGTTGACCTCATATATAATTATCTTTCAGCTGAATTAGTTACCAGAACAAGTTTTAGAAGTCCACAATTCATGAGTAATTTGGAAAATTCTATGAAATTCGGAGGATTGTTGATTGTTGAAGACTGTGAATATTATAATCCTATTTTGAATAGCTACTTGGGTTCAACCACTCAAAAAATGGGGGGAAGAATGGTACTTGATTTAGGTGAGCATGTAGTTGATTACAATCCAGCATTTAAATTGATTTTAAGCACTAAAAGGTCAACGTTAGTATTGAGTGATTACGTTAAAGCTCGTGCTACAGTCATAAATTTTGCAATAACTGATGGTAGTTTAAATAATATTTCTTTAAATATTGCTTTGAAATTTACAAATCCAAGTTTAGAGAGCAAAAGGTCAGATATTATATATGCCAAAAACGAATTGACTCATAAATTAGAAACTTTAGAGAAAGAGCTCCTACAGCTATTGAATACATCTACTGATAAAATAGTTGATAGTGATGAGGTCATGGAAACATTGGAGAACTTGAAAAAAGATGGAAATGAAATGATTGAAAAATTAGATAGTACAGAGAAAATAATGATGCAAGTCAATTCAGTAAGACTGGAGTATGAAGAATTGGCAGGTATATCAACTCGTGTATTCAACGTTTTAAAAATCATGAGTAGCATTTCAAATTTTTATTATTTATCAATAGAAAAGTTTGTTAAAATTTATGAATCTGTTTTTGACGAGGGTATCAAGGATCCAAAGAAGTTGTTATTTGTTTTATATGAAAAGACAATGGGAAATACAAGTCCCTCCTTGACGAAAGAAGGATTATTGATTTTGAAACTAATGTTAAGTATATCATCAAAAGTTACCATGTTTGGTGAAAATTACAAAAAGGTAGTTGTTAGATTATTATTCAATCCTATGGTTGATAAGACTGAAGTTATGAATATTTGCTCAAATAGTGTTGAACCTGATTTATCGCTAATAAAATTGTTGGAAGAGCATTCAGGTGATGAATTAGACAAAAAACTACCCATTACTAAAGAGAATCACCAAGTCAAGCCACTAACAGACTTTATATTCAATAATCAATGGTCAAATGAGGATAATTTTGATCATTTACTTGCTCGAAATAAATTATTCATAATAACTTCCTCAAAAGATTATGGATCTACATTTAAAATTCATGATCTTGCAAAAGCTGCTAATAAAACTACGATTGTGACATCAATGGGGTCAATCGAAAGTTCGGAACTTGCCAACAAACACATAAAAGATGCTGAAATTTCACCAATTTGGGTTATTGTTGAAAATGTTCAAATGTCATCACATTGGCTTGAATCATTGGATTCACAACATTTATTATTGCATGAAGATTCCAAATTATTTTTGACATGCGATGAAAATTCTCAAATCCCTCAAACATTGATTGCCAAGAGTCAAGTTTTACATTTTGGTGATGAAAGTTCTTTCAAACGAAATTTTTTAGTCACATTTAAACAAATTCCATCACAATTCTTAAAAAGAGCAGTTCATTTGCGAATTTTCTTGTTATACACTTGGTTTCATAACGTCTTGATAGAAATTGGTAAATATAGTCCTTTCACTTTGACTAAGAAGTACGATATCAATGAATCTGATTTTATATGTGGTGTTCATCTGATTAACAAAATCATGACTTTGGTAAATGACGATGAGAGAGAAATACCATTCCAAGAAATTAATTATATGATTTGTAAAATTATTTACGGTGGTAAAATTAATACACTAGAGGATAAAGATTATGTGAACAAATTAGCGGGTTCTATTTTCATAATGGAATCATTAAACCTGGATTTTAGTTTGATTGAAACATCTAAACCATTACAATTACCTAATGGAAATACAAGTGAAGATTATGTTGCATGGATAAACGAATTACCAGACGTAGTACCAACATCGTGGTTGAATTTAGATAACGACATCCAAGAATCCATAGACGAAATAATGGCTAAACGTGCTGTAGACGTAGTTTTGACACATTTAGATAATTTATAATTACTACAATATATGATCGAATAGAACGTAAACCTATCATTAATTATTTGCATTAACCCTATCTATAAGACACAAGAGTGAAAATTTGTTCTGAATTGAACTCCTTTATGAATGTACAATGTTTAATCTTCTTCGTTTTGTTCCAAAGTTTGAGCAGCGATACGATCTAAATCTCTTTGACCGTTTTCTGAGATTCTTCTACCACCTTTTGGTGAGATTTCCAATACACCAATTTTTTGTAAACTTTGAACACATTTTCTATTGATTGAACCTGATGCATCAACATGTTTGTGTGGTCTGAATCCTCTGTTTTTAGCACCTCCATATAATTTATTTAAAGCACCAACACCAACTTGTTTTCTTAAGTAAATGTGTCTAGCGATTGAGGCAGCTCTTTTGTAAAACCAAGTTTCAGCTTCTTGTGGTGGTAAATCATTACCGGCTGATGTTTTGACTAAATCAACGTAACCTGGAATTTCTAATTTACCTTGTCTTTGTAAAAAGATAGCGTAAGCGTTAATAAAATCTTGTGCTGGAACGTCTCTTGAAAAAATGTTAGTAATTGAACAATCCAAAGATGGCACTCCTTATGAAGATCAGGTATGATTCAAAATTTGCAAAAAAGTCTGGTATCTTGGAAGTCTCTTTCAATCTCAGCAATCAAAGAGAAGATCAATAAGTTCTTTGAAATTGAATGCATTATCAATCGAAAAACATTTATCAATGTTCTTCCTATCCACCACGACAGTTTATTTCAAATCACAACACAATCTTCAGAAAAAAGTTGAAACCAATCGCTTATGATAATGGTCCATACCTTACTGAAGTCATTGTTATTGTTGGGTTCGAGTTCTTGATTAGTGGTGAAGATTATAAACCTTCGTATATAATTTTACTTTTTTTTCACTTTGATATTACCTGGTTAGGTTTGTGTAAATTTTTGAGACAAAAAAAGCATAGGGCTTGAGCCCTTAAATTTGAGTGACAGTTTCTAAACTTTGTATGCTTACGACACGACAATAATTTTACATCATACAAGGTTATAATCACCTTTATGACCGACGAAAGTAGTTGTAACCCGTACAAGCAATAGGATATTCTTGAATGGTAAGACAAGTAGAAAACTAAGCAATTTTAATTTTTATTTAGCAGGAAGAAATTTACAGGATGTGATCACCTAAAATAGGCAATAAATCATCGTCCTTGACTCTTCATTTATGAGAATTAATATTTACATATCTCTACATTGGCAAATGCTTAGCTACATACTAACTCACATGACCTGTCTAACAATTTGGGTCCATGATCAGCTCATCCCACTTTATTGTAAATACCTTAAATTTAAAGTTGACCTAAAGATTCAAGCTGCTTCAAGATGACAAAAGAGTCTTTCTTTGACGAGTCGAATATTGTTCAAAGTCACACAATGATGCTTCAATACTCCAGAAGCAATCACCTGCATCGCCATCTGTTTTCGAATCGTTAGAAGTAACAAAACTTGCTTTATCAATTGTTTGCTGACTCGTCCCGATAAAATAACCATTATTATCCATAACAGAAAACCCAGACAGTTTACTATAAAAAATATTATACGAATCTTTAATTTTATATCTAGGTGAATTAAACGGAGTTTTAGTCCAAATTTTAGTCGAATTTATTTTATGACTAAGCTTTCCTGATTCGATCATATCCATCAAATATTCCCTAATTATGGAATCATCCGTATACCCCCAACATTTTTCAATCAGAATCTTTTTCAAACCTAGATACCCTACATTTTTGTTTAATATAGGGTTGACCATCCATTGAACAAAGTCAGTAACAATTTTTAAAACATGAAGGTGACTTTCTTCTAGTGATTCTCCATATTGAAATGAAAATTTTGTAACTCCACAAGACCTCACAACAACTCCTAATTTCTCTTTGAAATCAAGCGAAATTTGAGGTCCAGTAATAGTCCGGTCAACAATTGTCAATTTTTTACTTTTCTGATTTTTATTTTGTAAATTTCCTGAATTTATTGAGTTAGGATGAAATTTGATCGATTTGAGCACTGAAACATCGATGATCAAATGTTGCGGCTGTTGAAACACTGACAATAAGTCCTCTCCGACATATTCAGAGTATACTTCGTAATTTTTATCACAATGAATGGGTAAAGATTTCCTCCTGTTGACCCGAATAGCTAATTTGTTTAGATTTGATGTTTTTATCGATTGTAACAATCGAATAGTATCGGCATAAATGATTGTATATGCATTATCCAAAATTAAAACAAATTCTTCTATTCGAACCTTAGTTTGATTGAGATGATATAAAATTCGTTGAAGACCTTGTCCATTAGGAATGTCCCCGTATGCAACAAATAGATCCAATCGTCTTAAATTTGTCAATGTATTTAACAACCCTTTCGTTGATTGTAATGTTTGAACATGAACTGCGAGGTACGATATAGAAGGGAAATTCAATTCTTGTGAGATCGGTGATTCCACAGCTTCATCCAAAACTTTCAACTCTTTCAAATTAACAAATAATTGTGGTTCTTTTCCTGATAGGAATGAGTTGTCACATTCCAAATATGTCACATAATTGCAAATACACAATAATTCTTGATATTTACTCCTAAAACTTCGATCACCAAAATAGTGTAGCTTATATCCAGATCTTGCCAAATCACTGTTACCGCAATTCTGAATATTTTTCATGATTAACTCCAGTAAAAACTCACGCTGATATGATTTCTTATCGCTGAATAACTCTCGAGATTTGGGGCTGCATAATAATGAGTCAACTTGATTTAATCTAACTAGACTAACATTTCTGAATATCGTGGCACCCAAATATTGTCTAAAATAGCAATTGGTCGAAGAAAGGGATAACAAATCTTGATAACAATCTCCGCATCGTTCGCTATTGACTATATATGTAAAAGCAGGAAACTTTCCTGTTGAATTTGATTCTAAAATTAGTGTAGCATTGGATAGCCAATACACGATCCTGTTTAAAATTTCCACCGGTAGTTGATCAAATTGAATTGATTGTTGACTTGATAATATTTTTGGATCATTCACTCCTTCCTTGATTGTTGTGACCATTGAACATGTATTAGTTGACTAAGCAAGATTAAACATAATCATTTCGGAATAATTGTGAAGTAGAAATGCATATCGGTTAATTGATAGAATTTCCAAAATTAACATCATCAAATCTATCAGTAATCAATTAAGCTCAAAATAGAGTAGTGCCTCAAATCTGATTTGAATAGAAGATTTGTAGTCACAAAGTAATAGAATTAGATTACCAATTTAATATAGTCCATTAAACATTATAATTTATTAAAAGAAAAGTTTGAAAATATAAAATTCTAACGTGTTAAGCATCTTAAACTTTGAAACCTCTTGATCTTCTTCTACCTCTAGCTCTTTCAAATTTTCTACCTTTAGATAAAATTCTTGGTGCTTTTCCTTTGTGTGGGCCGAAACCAAAGTGTCTAACAGCTTCTCTGGCATTTCTTGGACCTCTGACAATTAAGGTATTTTGACCTTTTGGAGCTCTTAAAGCTAATTGATCTAAAGTAATAGCTTCACCTCCATTTTTCAAGATTCTAGCTTTAGCACCTTCGGTGAATCTTAAAGCAGCAACGGTAGTTTTTGGGAATTCCAATAATCTGTTGTCATCAGTAACGGTACCAACAACAACGATAGTTTTTTCTGAAGCACCTTTTTGACCCAAAGCTCTTGAGATTCTTGAAACTGATACTGGTGGTCTGTTGATTTTTGACAAGAATAATGATCTTAAAATAACTTTGTTAAATGGAGCATCGGTTCTACCTGTAAAAAAATTATTGTTAGTATTTTAAACAAAGCAATTCCATACAATATCTGCTCAGAAGACGCACATTCACCATAATTATAGGTGTTTTAGCACTCGCAGATGAAAAGTTCAATCACATTTTCGCAAAAAAAAAATGGAGAACTGATGAACATTCACTTCCAAAACCATCGCCATATGAAAATTTACTGATTTGATAGTATCTTCACTATCCAGAAAACATTCAACGAAATGATCATGAAAGTAAAATAAAACATTCATCGTGCTTCGTATGGGCTTTGCAATTAGCTAAACCTTGATGACATCTTCTGAATAATATTTGTGGTACTAGTATTTTGAATCAATTTACATACGAGCTAAGAATGAATATAATTTGACTAATAATTTTAAATAAACATTGTCTGACTTTGGAGCGGTTCTGTGACCTGATCTGATATGTTGTTTGGTTGTATGATCTCTACCCATGATGAATGTTAGTTATTGATGAAGATGAGGATGGTTGTAATTAAAAAGTAATGTTAATTAATATCTTTAATTAAGAAGATCTGAAAAATTTGTTTAATTGTGTAATTGTGTAACTATTAAAAGAAATGCAATTTCTGTCACATGACCATAATGTGACTGCTTTTTTTTCAATTTCTCTTTGATCATTTTTGTGATACCTTAGATCCTAACAAATTTACCAATAAGTAGATATAAGCACAAATGTGCTAATTAAAGAGCAAATAGTCGGATTATCCCTTAATGTAGTGAGATTTCGATGAGTTCCAAGTAATTCTTGTATAATCAGTGAAAAGTCTTGCCTTGAACGTGAACCTTTTGATTTGCAGGAATCTGAAACACCCTTTTGTCTTCCAAATGCGCGCGCAAAAAAATGTTTATTCTAATCACGTGCTGGGATTTAATAACCGAACTTATCTTATCTTTCTCAAATTGTGTCATTGATCAAAGTGTTATTGAAAGATCATTAAACTCAAACACGATCTAGTGAAATTGTCATGGCTCAATTGACACCCATAAGAGGGTTTACAAATACTCCAGTGACTAAGACAATATGTATTATATCAACGATACTACCTATTTTGTTATCGATTTTATCAATTAAATATTACGTCAATTTAAGTATAGATCCTTATATAATTCAATATCATCAATTTTGGAGGCTTCTAACGTATCAAACGTCAGTCGTAAATGAATCTGATTACCTACTTATTGTTCTATTATGGTTCCAATTTAAAGTATTAGAACGATTTTATGGATCAAGAAAATATCTATCAATTATTACATCATTTGCCATTGCCAACGCTATATCATGTCTATTTATAATGAGTGTTGGACAGTTGTTGATTTATTATTTATCATTTACTATAAAGGTATACCTATTCAGATTTGATCCTGAATCCATTCACTATCAATCAACAATATTAAATTCCATAACTCCTGGACCGTTAGGAATACTTTCATCTTTGTATGTGACTTATGGCGTTAATATCCCAACTTCATATTATTTCAAAATACTTTTAAAGAAGCCAGATGATAAAGAAGGCAATGGTGTTCATTTCACATCATATTCAAAAGAATTGAATTTAAGTAACAAATTTACTATACACGTACTATACATTTTATTAGTCCTAAACAATGGTACCAGTTCAATAATCCCATGCACGACAGGTCTTTTGATTGGAAAATTGTACACATTTGATTTATTGTTTGGAACTTCGTGGTTATTACCCAAATCAATTTTCCAATTATTTATTAATCCTTATAAAAAGTTCATTCAAGTAGGGCAGAATATTCGAAATGTATTGTTCAATGTGAGTTATCAACCTTTATCTTCACGAAATGAGAGTGTTATGATAGAAGAACCAGATGATAACGATGAAGTCTTAGATGAAACACGTCAGCAAGAAAGTCAAATAAGAGCAGAAACTCCTGTCAGGCCACTAGGAAGTCAATTTCTTGATACATTTCGTTCATAAAATTAATACATTATTTAGCTTTTTCTTTTTTCCTTCTTTCAACATCCCAATTGTATAATCTAGCTGTGTTGACTTCCATAGTAGTTATGTTTTCTTTCAAGAATTCTAAATCTTCCTCCACGATTTTCTTTTGCTCTTTATTTTTGTTTAATCTTTCATTCAATAATTCGATTGCTTCATCCAAGGAGTATTCAAGCATTACTTCAGCTCCAAGCCATAAGTATACGGATGATAGATTTTTTACATCAACGGTCGCTTCGTTGTATAACGTGTCGTTTAACTCATAATTGAATGTCACCTCTTTTGTATCTTCCTCTTCCGATTCATCATTTTTACTTTCTTTGATGTGATTTATAACATCTAAATTTTTTTCAATATCAGGGATTTTAAGATTTAAGTCGGCCAATTGTTGTTGCTTCGATAGCTCCATATATTTATACTGCTGTAATCTTTGTTGAAATTGTGACATGGTAGATTGAAACTCATTTTCTGGATCTTTAATTATGTTATCAACTTTTTCAATAAATGGAGCTTCTGGGATCCCACGAGGATTCGTATTTTTGGGTCTTGGTTTGGATTGGTTAGTACAGCTCTCAAAATCAAGACAAAATTAAGACAAAATATGACACTTACTTTAGTATATCGGCCATTTTAACCAACCTTGGTAACTAGTGATGCGTTTGTTTCATCCTCAAACTAAGTTGATTTAATAAATTATTAGAGAGTAAGCATGCTACCAATATAAGCATATTTTGTGTAATTGTTTGCAACACCAAAAATTGGCAGTCAAATTGTCCAAATTAACTCGTAGATGAATAAATTTGAAGGGATATCACAACTGAAGAGTTTTCATTTTTCAATTCTACATGATAATAACAGTTGCGTTTAGTAGTATATTTAAATCGATACTGAACTATAATTTAAAAACAGAAAGCTCTCATAATACAAGGTAATATTAAGATCTTTTACCTCCATAGCATTTCTCATTTTCAGCTCTACGGGCATCAATGACGTTTAAAGCTTCTTGAGCACCTCTAACACCACTAAGTAACATGGCCGAAAAAATCTAAATTACTTGTTAGTATTTTTTAAAGATGAAAATATTTTAAAATTAAAAAGTTAGACATACTGGTCCCATTCTGTTTGTTCCGTACAATTCAGCGACTTCCATACCTACACAAATCAATCCTTTTTGAATCTCAACACTATTTAAGACAACAGCTTTTTCTGCTCTGTTCATATCTAAACCTCTCATTTCACCAATCTTGAATGTTTTTGAAGGTTTTTGATTTTCACCTACTAAGTTAGTTGGTTTCAATAATTCTTGTAATCTACGAGCTGCAAATCCACCATTCATTGGACCATCATGTCCAGTAGCACTAATGATGACATCACAATTGATGGTATTAGGATCCATACAACTTTGAGTTGAATGAGCTAAATTAACACTTGTGTAATTGTAAACTACACCAACAATTCTTAATTCACCAGTTTCTTCATCACGTCTTGTAATTAAATCTTCAGCAGTAATAGCATTAAAAAGTTTGACATTTGGAAATTGCAAGACTTTTGATAATAAGGTGGAAATGAAAAGAGAAGCATGTTTGACAACAACATAATCTCCTTCGTCTTCATAAGGAACTCCAATATCATCTAAAAATTCATGAGCTGGTTTTCTTAATACTTGTGAAGAGCATAAAAGACCACCAATGTTACAGCCTCCACCAAGTGAAACAGAAGCTTCTAAAACTGCAACTTTCAAATCTGGTCTATGTTTAGCGATAATATAAGCTGCTGATAAACCACTTGATCCACCACCAATTATAACAATATCTGATTCTGCATATTTGTCTAAATCTTCAAAATATCTTTTAGTCATAGCTCTTGAAACAGTTGATTCTCTGATCGGAGTGAAATCAAAATTATCCCAATCGGCAAATTTTATATCAGCATTGTTTGCTTTTGAGCTTAAGTTGATCACATTCTTTTTAAGTGAGTTTAAGTCAAAAGTGTCGTATTGCTCAGTTTGTATCAGCGTAGGAGGAGCCATTTTGAGTGAGTATATTCTTTTGATTAAAGGTAGTATATGAAGTATAAATTATGAATTCAATTGATAGAATTTGAGTCCTATTTATAATCTTAATTTGAATTGAACTCATAATCCAATTGATCAACCTTTAAGTGCATAATTGTTGGTTGAAGGTTTACAGTAACCCGTTATGTATATGTATTTGAAACATTGATAAAAAGAACAATCATAATGCAAACAAGCCGTCTATTTAAGATAAATGTCTCAAGGGGGTTTTGAAAATTAGGCGCATATTATATTTTGATTTTGTGCTCTTAAATGTCAAAAGTTCGAAATCATATTCATTTATATGCAAACTGAGACAAATTTAATTAAAGGTTCTATAAATGCATAAGATAAAACCGACCCGTTATATTGGAGAAATTAATATTATTAATTAATTGAATGGACACATATGCTATTTACAAACTTATTAAACTCCCCGCCTTATTTACTTCTATAACTGAACCCCTTAAAATATCTATCTCTAAAATTTTTTATATTCAAATCTTTCATGCCGTTACGTGTTTCACCAACATAAGATTCATCCATTTTCACATATACTAACAATCTTCTAGACCATTTATGAAATTGTTGGACTAAATTGTACTCTAATTTCAATTTTGCATGTTGAGGAAGTACAGTTTCTTGAAATTCATCATCTGCAGTAGGCATCCAAAATGCCAATTTCCCTCCAACAGGTAATCTTTCACTAGCAAATTGTAATATATCTTTCAACATATCGGCTAATTGATATGGTTTTTTTGGAGCTACGAAGTCCCTTCTCAAGTAAGCAATCTCTCCATCAACTATGTTGTTTTCTCTTCCTGCAGCTTTTGCTTCGTCTCTAGCACCTAAAACTCTGAGTCCTTCTCTAACACCATATGGTGGATCACAAATGATGGTATCAATAGTAAAGTTTTCTCTTAATGCATTGTGAGTAAAGTCCATTGTCAACACGTCAAGAAATTGTGGATAAACTCCATAATCTTTGAAATTGGTTTTTATGTTCAGTGACCCATTTTTCCCATTCAACATTCTAACATCAATATCAGATCCAATAGTTAAACCCCCGAAATGAGCGGCTGTAACCAAAAAGGAACCAGTACCTGCAAAAGGATCGTAAACAATATTTCCTGGTTTAACTTGTGCCAAATTACATGTTACGAGTGATAATTCCGCTTCAAAAGAAGTTGTCCCAATATATCCTCTTTTTTTCAAATCATAAACTTCAACCACTTTGTTTTTGGATCTCTCACTCAAACCAATCTCTCTTCCAAACCAAATATATTCTGGTTTTTGAGCTTTTTCTTGATTAAAAACTTCATAATCTTCCAAGACTGTAAACACTTCTTCTGGATGTTTAAGATCTATTTTGCCTTTAAAATCAAGGTAACTAAATGATTCAATCGTGTCTCTTTGTGCTGAATTAGTTTGTCGACCTTTAAAACCTTCAAATTGGAATTTGAAAGAAGATCTCTCATATTTTTTGATTTTATCCTGACAAGTTATCTTTATCTGTTTATGAACTGATTCGTAATCTTCTCCTTCTCCCCATATTTCAAATATAGCTTTTGCTAAGATCGCTCTTGATATTAATTTTTTAGCTTGTTCATCATTCTCTAATTTTATTTTCAAAAATGGTTTGGATTCATTATGATGTGATAAGTCTACCTGAATATCGTGAAGCTCTGCAAGAGACTCTAGCTCTGCTTGTCTGAACTGTGGATATGCTTGAGCTAGTAGGATCAAGTATTCTTTCATGTAAATACGATGTGCTAATTTCGTAATTAGAATTTTTTTTCTTTATAAAGTTGATTTCAAGTTCTACTTTTCAGTTGCAGGTTGTGCTGTAAAAAGTCTTTTTACAAAAGCCCTATGGATCCAGGCATCTATGGATCCTAAGCATCACAAACATCGCCAGTTTCTGTATTGAGTTCTGAGCATACATTTTACAATAGATTATAGACTTTTCGACATTTGCAACTCATCATTTCTTGAACAAAATAGGAAATGACACAAAGCTGCTTGTTTGATAAAAGTAAACATAATTACAGAAATTATTTATTTGCATAATAAATTTAATTTTATATCTTTATAATCATATCAATTCAACATACGTCATGAACAGTGATCTACTAGGTCAAAAGGTCACAGTGCCTGGTGCCGCTGGCTATGGATATATAAAATATTTGGGACCAATACAGAATAAATCAGGGTTATTTGTTGGTTTGGAGTTGATTGGAACTGTAGCTAAGACAAGAGGAAAAAATTCTGGATCCGTAGAAGGAGTTCAATATTTTCATGTCAAAGTACCAAAAAGTGGACTTTTTTTACCATATGAAAGAGTGAAAAACTCTAATTCACATTTACCTGAGATAAGTCTTCAAAATTATCAAAACAACTTGCATTCTAATATCAACAACGACATCATAACCCCTAAAAGATCACATTTTTACCCAATTTCAGAAAATAAAAGTCCTACTAGACAACATGTTTATTATACAAATCAAAATCAGCAACAGCATACAGCTTCAATGAGATCACCTTTAAGTCCTGTGAATACATATCAAAATGTTAATTTAAATCTACTACAAAATGACTTTATCAAATCTGAAAATAACAAAGATTATGAAATCATTATAAAAGAATTGAAAACAAAACTAAATGAAAGAGATCGAAAATTGGAAAATTTTGGAAAACAAAGGGAAGAATGGCATCAAGCAATGGACAGTTTGATTGCAGTCCAACAAGAAGGTATTCAAGTATTTGAAGAAAAAATTATGGAACTTGAGGGTATAAATAAAACACAAGAAGAAGAAATTCAAAACTTAAAAATTCAATTAGAAGGTTTGGGAAAGGAAAATGGAGAATTACGAAGTTCAATTAAGCTGAATAAAGAGGAAAATGAACAATCAATTGAATTAGAAAAGTTAAAACTAGAGCTTTCGGCTGCTAAAGAAAATTTGAGTGCTAATGAGAATAAACAACAAGAAGTAGAAAAACTACAAGCTCAATTGGATGAAAAGAATGAACAATTGGAAAACTATACAATCCAATTATCTGGGCTCGAAGAACTAAAAGAAGAATTGAAACAATCTCAAGATAAAATTATTCAATTGGAGACACAAAGGGTAACTAAAACGATAGAATCGGTGAACATTAATCCAACATCACAATCATCAAATTTGCTACAATTAAACAGTCAAGATTCAAATGAAATTATTCAGGATTCAAACAATAATGTTCAAGATTTACCAATTTATAAGTCACCAAATTTGATCGATCCTAGTTCGGGTAAATCCGATTGGTGTGGGTTATGTGAAAGAGATGGACATAGTTCTATAAATTGTCCATTTGAAAATGACATTTTTTAATATTGTGAATCAGTGTTGTTATACTCAGTATTGTGTTTTATAAATTTCACATGCGGAAAAATAGTTACCCCATATAAAGTTTGGCTCTAAAAATTTCACATTATCTTACCATTGTAATTTTCATCTCTTTAGAGCAGTATAGTGTAAATTCGAAGATGTCTCTCGATCAATTCGATATAAAGTTACATAGTGATGATGGTAAAGAGTTCACAACACTAAGTAATCAACCATTAGATTCAATTAGAAATCAAAATTTCGATAGATTAATATTATTATTACATGGGTTTCCAGATATAAACACAACTTTCAATAAAGTATGGCCAATTATTCTCAACAATTATAATTCCAAGAATGAAAAAATTCTACTAGTTGCTCCCAAACTTAGAGGATATGAGACATCAAGTTTAAGTAATGAGCAAGATTATATGATGCCAAATTTAGCAAAAGATGTACAATCTTGGATATTAGAATTAGTACCAGATCAAAATAAACCAGTACATTTAATAGGTCATGATTGGGGTGCATTAATTGCTTTCAAAACTGCAAATCTTTATCCTGATCTTATAACATCCATGTGTTGTTTAGCTATACCATATTTAACAAATTTAAGACTATACGAGTTATTATGGAATGTACCTGAACAAGTATATTTAAGTTCATACTTTTTAACAATGCAATTTTCATGGTTATATAAAGATAAATTAACAAATGATTCAAATACTTATCTTCAAGACATTTGGAAATATTGGTCACCAGATTACAGTCCCACGTCAAAGGAATTAGAAGAAATAAAAAATTCCTACAAAATTCCTGGGGTAAGCGATGCAATAACTGCATATTATAGACACCTTTTCAGACCATTATCATTAATCAAATCAAGATGGCCAGTTGATTTTCAAAAAGTACCAACTTTGATAATGTTAGGAGAAAATGATGGATGTATGTCATATAAATTAGCAGTTTTAGAACAAAAAAAATTGAAGAAAGATTATCCAAAAGCTCAAGTTAAAATTATACCGGATTGTGGTCATTTCTTACAACGTGAACAACCGCAGATTGTTAGTGATATAATAATTGATTTTTTAGAAACTTTTAATTGAAATGTTTGTTATACTTGGTCTATATATGTATAATATCTATGCTATTGTAGTGGTGGTATCATCAACTTCACCATTTGCGAAAATTATGTTATCATCGTCCATAGTGGTTGTAATATCATGAGCTTCCTCAGTATTGTTGACTGCTTTATTTCTTAATTCCGATTGAAGTTTCAACAATTGTAGTTTCCCCTTTATTGAATAAAGATTAGGTAAAGTTTTTAACCCATCTGATAAGCTTGATCGTAATGTTTTTAAATCTAAATCTGAGTTTTGAGCTATATGGTTTCCATTAATTAATAAAATCCATTTTAACCATATAGTTAAATTGTAATTTTTAGAAGAGTCTTTTGCAATCTCCTTTGATATGAATTGGTACAACTTTTCAATTTGTGGTACTGTCAATTTTATTATGATTGATTTAATGACTTCAGAATCGTACTCACTTGAACAAATTTCAATTAAAGTTGTTGGATTGGTTATATTGTCGTCTAAAGATTGTATCAATGTCGCTTCTAAACTTTCTTCTGTAAGTGTGGTTGTTAATAAGTTTTCATCAAATTCGATGAATGTGGGATTTGACTTATTAGTCTGTGAATTCGTAGGTGGACTTACAACTATCTCCAGTTGCGATATTGAAAATTGTTGAGAGTAAATATCATTATCATTATGCCAAATTATGAATAAGTTATCATCTATCTGTAAGATGTCGTCAATGGGTTGTGAAGTTGTAATTTTATGAATATATTGTCCCTCTATTGAATAAATTTGTATTGAGTTTGTAGTTATGATGAAGATGCGACGCTCTTCAATTGCATTTATGACTTGTATATTTTTGATATCGTCTCCTTCGTAAATTGTTTTATTAGTTGAATCCTGGGTTAAAATGTCAATGTTATTTGAAGACTGTATGAGGTTTTGATCTAAGTCTATGTCTACTATCAATTGAACTCCCTTTTTATACGCTATTTCATTTTCTTTTATAAATTTGTTTTTTTCAAAATGACCAACTTGTAGACCACTCTGTGTTCCAATGAAAATTGTGTCTCGACTGAGTAGTATTGATTGAAATTTAGGTACTTTAATTTTAGTTATATCATTATTCATCAAGTCCCATTGTATGATGTTGTCGTTATTGTTAGTGGAACCCAATATCAAACCATTTTCTGCACTGAGAAGTTTTGTAATATTGTATTCATTTGATTTCTTTTCTAATATGGAATTTGATGTACTTGAAATTATTAATAATGAATTACTGGTTAATGCTATTAGATTTCCATCAAAAGTTTCTATATTCGAACTCGATTTCATTCCACCATTCAACTCTCTCTTTTTCGATGACTTATGACCATTACTTTGTCCATTACTTAGACTCTTTACTTGTTTCATCCAAATGAAATCTAGTATTGGATCATTTATAAATATGGAACCAATTAAATTTAATTCACCACTTTCATTTAGTTTATAAAATTGAAATTCATTTTTACCGTCATCACGCAAAATGAGCTTCGTTATTCGATCCTCGTAAATACTAAATTTCATGATGTGAAATGAATAAAATGACAATTTGATGCAATAGTTCTGGTTGAATCTAATGTGTTGAAAGTAATAGAATATTCGGGATGAGATTTTGAAAAATTCGTACGCACGACCTAAAATTTAAAATAATTAACTTGAGCGGTATTTGCATAAACTGGTTGCAAAATTATTTTGAGCAAACCATTTTCTCAGTAAAGATTCTCAACTTAATAGAAAATTCAATATGTTTGGTTATGCTGTATCTTCTAATTTAGTTGGGCAAAATTTGGGGCAATTAATTTCATGTTGATAGTCCATGAGAGATGTATAAAGATTTTTTTTCATATTTCAAACCTTTGATAGCTTTCATCGGCTTTTTGCAAAACTCAAATTATTTTAACTTCTTTAACTGCTGATATATTTTTGAATAATGTTTTCAAATACATTTAAAAAAGCTATATCCAAAACTGGAAAATTAATTGACAATATAAATAAAGAAAAGAATCAAATGAATCTGTATTACCAACTACTAGTTTAAAAAAGATTTGTTACCAAAAACTATAAATTTAACAAAACAATGTTATAAATGTGAGACATTCCATTTGCCGCCATATATTAACACAAGAGACTTTTGATAACTAAACAAGATCATATATGTGTCATATATATCATATTCATGTGGATCATCCCATTTCAATTATGAAATATTGAACCTATAAATTAACGTGAATAACTTAGTTTCAGCACAAAAAGCAAATAATTTAGGTCAGGATATGGGACAAAAATGTTAACAGCCTGATAAACCGTAAAATATTTTTGGCAACTAAATGCCTGCGTGGCGAAATGGTTATCGCTTTTGACTTCTATTACTAAAAGTAATCAAAGGATTCCGGGTTCGAATCCCGGCGTGGGTTGTTCATTTCGTACTATTGTTACGATTCGCAGCTTTAGCTCACCTGGGAGAGCGTCAGACTGAAGATCTGGAGGTACTGTGTTCGAGCCACAGAAGCTGCATCGGTTAATGATGCAATATCAGATTTTTTTTTACTAATTGCATAGCTTATGGGCTACATAGTCAAACGTAGCTTATTTGTTGAGAAGCAAAGACAGATGTAATAGAAGTACCGAGCATCAATAAGTAAGTATAAATTAGATATACATATAATCATTATATAGTCTGTCATTTCTTCATTAATTTTTAGTCTTTTCATTTCAAAATTTATTAAAACATTAAATACAATTGATCACCATCAATTTCAAAAAAGTCCAGTTCATTATTATATTCTTCAATTTTAAAAACATGATTCCAATCAATATCATTATTTAAATCTAGTTGTTCATTCTCTTGCAGTTGATGATCATAATTATTTAATTTAGTTGATAACATTATAAAATTTTCAAGTATTGAAATTTTAGATAAATATTTATCATTTCTTAAATTTAAATTTGAATTCAATTTTAAAATTTCATTATTTTCAATTTCAATGGATTTTCTATTATTATTTTCAATTTGAATCTTTTTAACAAATTCATTTAAATTATATAAATTTGTTGTTCTATGTAATTTTTTAGTCTGATTTGAAATATTTTGTAAAGATTGTGAATTTGTTAGTGGTTGTTGTTGTTGTTGTTGTTGTTTTGAATAAGTATAATTTGGATCAGGTTTTTCAATTGATGAAATAGTTGAAGAAATATCTTCTTCGATATCACTATCTATATAGGTTATTGAAGATTGATCAAAGATTGAATCAATTTGAGAATTAATTGTAACTGGACTTACACGATCTTCTTTAATTGGTGAACCTAGATAAGAAAGTCTTTTTAATCGGTTTGTAGTTGATGATATATTTTTAGTTGATGTTCTTGGGATATTATTGGTATTGTTGCTGTCATTACTATTATTTTTGAGATTTGGAGTACTTGATCTTGTTTTCAACCTTATGTTTTCTTTATCTTCATCTCCAAATTCTATTGTGGGTGATGAAACATTATTATTAGAAGAATTTAAAATTGGTGATGATATTTTTAAATTTATAGCTGATATACTTGTACTTAAAGGTCTTGATTTTCTTTTTTCTGTAGTTGATGAATTATTTGAATTTGATGAATTATTTAAATTACTAAATGATGTCTTTTTGAAGGGATTATAAAATTTTGTAGACTTCTTTTCATTTATATTTGATATACTTTGAGATCGTAACATATTGGTGTTTTGTAGTGATTTGTGGGATGATTTGGGATCTAATACTTGATTTTTTCTTTAAATGAGTGGATTGTTTGATTTATTATTAGATATAATGACAGATGAAGAATGGTATAAAATTAAGACATGAATCTTGTAATAATTTATATATTTTTAATTTAGTAGTTTCATATTGAAATATTGAACTAAAATGTAAAAAACTCCTTTAAAAATTATTGACGCGAAATAATAAATATTATTTTTATTTATTTTCTATTTAAGTTTAAATTGTAAACATTAGATTTTATTATGTAACAATCTTGTGTTTATTACGTAATAAATCTCATAAGTAAGCTTAGATCGAGATCTTATTCAAATAGATCTACCCAAGACGAAGTTTATTCTATGAAGAGGGAAAAATAACCTCCGTGAGCTACCAAATATTTTGCGCCAACGTGACTTTTCAACCTCGAATGAAAAAACTAGTTGCGTTTTAAAAAAAGGTTATTCCATACTTGTACTAAAATTTACCATATCTTTAGTAATTTAATCTCTCCACTTTACTCGTCAATATGTTTTTCACGTAAGCATAAAGAGTCTTAGTTGCATTGACAAAATAGTCTGGCCTCGTCAAGTACTGCTTGATATTGAAAGTTTTAATAAGGGTATGAGTTGGTGTAGCATTATTAGAGCTCAGAAAAATAAAGTTTACCGGCCCAATACACGCGTACGTCACCCTCGAAAATTAATTTTTCGACGGAGGTCAATTTTCTACCTTCTTATTCTATGGGGTAATATAATCTCGTCAAAAACTCAATATTTCGCAATGTATACGTTTAGTGATATAATGTAGTAATAAGAAAAAATTGTTTCATCAAACGAGTTCATTTGATTTTGCCCCAATTAGTCATTAATTATATGCTTGTAAATTTTTAACTCATTCTTATCGCTGTGTACTACTTAACTACACGGCCAATAAAATTTTCCACACAAAAAAGCTAAAGAAGATATAGTGGAGACGATAGTTTGAAAAATCAAATACTGTTCCGTCTTTTTATGCCAGTTTTCGCTTTTTATGAATAATGTACACCAGTTACAACTGCTCTATATTACACACTACTGCACACTATTTACATCATTATTCTTTCCAAAATTCGTATTTATTTTCATCATTAATCTTGTAATCGTCATTATAATAAGGTTTATTTTCATCTTTTAACCATCTATTTAATTTTGTATATTCTTGCAACTTTTTACTTGCTCGTTCTTCTTCAGGAGTTAAATTTGAATTAATTTCGTCATATTCATTATTTTCATCAGGTATTAATTGACTTGAAAAAGGTGCTTTACCATTATACTTTTTCAAACTAAAAGTACTTTTTGTAAATAAATTCTCTTTTCTTAATTTATTACCATTTTTATCAACTCCACTAAATGATTTATTAATATAATTTATAATTGGTTGACGAATTATTGAATTTAAACCAGGATATAAATATAATTTCATTAATTTATTTGTTGATTTTGAACCAACTGGTTTTATATTTATATATCCAAAATTTTCAAAAATTAAATCAATTGATCCATAAAATGGTGGTATTAAATATTTATTATATTTATTTAAGTTTTCAAATATTAAAAATTGATTTGATAATTCTTTTGGTATAATTTCTTTGCATGTAATTTCTTTAATTTTATTTATATCTTTAAAATTATTAATTTCAATATTTGTTATATTTTTAATTTGATACATTGAACCTTCGGGTAATTCCAAATAACCTAATCCTTCAAAATTAAGCACTTGTGGTCCTTTGTATGTTATATATTTAGATTTATGAGTTCCATTTTTAAAAGTCTTTGAACCTTTTATTAATCTATTTATGTCTTTTGAATTTTTTATTGAATCATATAAATTATGCATGTTTTGATTATCATAATTTTTAAAACCTGGTACATCATATAATGTTTTCAATCCAATATTTATAGGAATTATATCTCTAGTGAAACCAGGTAAGTATGATACACCAGGTCCAACTTTTTGATTGAATGATTTAATATATTTATCTCTAGGATTTTTAATTAATGCATTGGATAATTTGATATTCAAATTTGATTTTTTAGATTCTAAACTCTCTTCAAGTAATAATGATTTTATTAGTGTCGATTTACCACAATTTGTATTACCAATAATATAAGATCCATTTGGTAAAAAATGATATAATTCTTTTAATTTCCAATTTTCTTTACATGAAGCTAAAAATATGTTTTCAGACGGTATTTTATATTTTTTATAAAAATAATCACTTAAAAATTCCTTTGTATAATTATATATTGCATTATTTGGTTTATGTATCAAATTATCCAATTTCGTCATTATTAAATAAATATCTTCAGGTTCTCTAAATTTTAATATATCTGAATTAAAACCCATTGGAAAATCCAAAGAATTAAATAAATAAACTAATGGAGCTGATGATGGTAATTTAGATAAAACTGTTGATAAATCATTTATTAAGAAATTTTCTTTATTCATTTCGAAATTTGAATTGAAAGTAATATTTCTACATCTAATACAATCAATCCCCTTTTCATAATCATTTATTTTGTAATTATTTGCAATAACTTCTCGTACTGTTTCTCCTTTTTCATTTAGAGGAATTTGTGATGTTGAATTATTTTTAGAAACATTAAAATTGTTCGTTATCAATAAATCTTGATCTTCTTTATCCAAATTTTGTAGTAATGAATCATATACTTGATTTTCATGTTTCACAAATTTATTCTTTGAAGGTAGTTCTTTTGAAGATTTAATATAAAACCCAGGTTTTGATGAATCAGTGTCTTGTAATTTAATCCCACACGATCTACATTTTGGATCGAGGTTATATAAAAATGGTAACGCTATACTAGATTGATATCTAAAACCTTTTATAAATTTTGTTGTTTTTAAAAATTGTCGTAGTATCAACATCATATGAAAATAGGTTCAATAGACTGTTTTTGCAAAGGATTATCTAGATTTAAATCAGATGTGCAGAAGAAACAAAGTGTAGATCGGATTTAAAAAACTCGCAAAAAAATTTTTAGCGGCTAATTAATTAAAAGTGTACAAAAGCCTTGATTAAAATATTAATTAATTAGGTCTTGCTTTACATTTTATGCATTAGTCTAACTTGTTTATCATTTTAATTTCATGTTTTAAAAAAATTTGTTGATCTACGCTTTTGTACATTTTCTACATAACCATTTTAATTTGACGATGCATGATCATCTATTACGGATATTCACAATTCATGAAATTAATTAAAATAAAATTTTCCTTTGTTCTGTTTAATATTGTTGTTTAGCAATTTGTTGATCGAATCAACAAGTGTGTTGACGTTGATAATTATATATGGAGCATCATAGGATTAAATTGAGCTCATAGATATATAGTACCTATAAATGTACTTGTAATCCAAATTCCTGTTAAATATTTCGGAAAAGACAATGAGCACAGCCAAAAACGTATTACATTCCAAATTACCGATTTAAAGTATTATTTTATCATTTTAATTAATTAAATCTATTAATAAGGTGTTTTAGATATGACTTGATTTAATTTTTAAATGAAAGTAAACGTCATTGCAAGTCTTCAAGAATATTCAAGCTTGTGTTCCTTTCTTGAAAGAAGTAACTCTCCTGCAGTAATTTTGAAATATTCTAATTCGGCATTAAAAGATGTTTATCACTAATTCAAAATGTTAGCTCTGACGATGCTTTTGCCACCGTCGAACTTATCAAAACTAAAGCATCGAATTTAATCATGGATGCTACTAATTTAATTAAACTGAATTTGTATCACAAAAACAAAGACTTGAAATTGAAGGGCTTGAAATCGCTTAGGGGGTAGTTTCCCCAACTCGATTTAATCTCAGCTAAGCTTCATAATTTATACTAGATCTGTACACATGAACTATTTATTGTCTAATAGGTTTTCTTAAATTAAAGTAACTAGACTTTTATGAAGAAGAATTGAAAAACAGTGTTTTAAATGTTTGCATAACGAGTAACAAAGTAGAAAAAAAAAATCGTATTTATAGCTTCATTTTAATGATGCTCCATCAAAATACTTTGAAGAAAGTAGCAAAATTTACATCTATTATGATTCAATTACTAATACATCTTTAGATTTTGTTATTCGCTTTTTTAAGGTAAAATTCAAGCTCATTTGCGACGAATCAAATCTGCCATTCAGATTTGTATTCGTTCGTGTAAAAATATGAATTCAAGCAGTTGTTAACGGGTGCTCTCAAAAAAACCCAAGTTTAAGTAACACAAAAATAAAACTGTCGACCTACCAGACATCCCCATCCGTGCCATTCTCATCCCATCCGCACGAGAATTTATGTAAAACAGATCAAATTTGTGAAAAATTCAGAATATACGTTGTTAACTCAAAAAGGAACGAATTGAAAATTAAACTTAAATTATAGGTTTTGCGTAAATTTAATGAAATGAGTTTTCTTAACATGTAAAGTATGTAAAAACTAAATTATGCACCTCTATTTAATGTATGTACTTTGTTACATCGATATTGAAAATATTATTTAACTTTTTTTTTTTTTTTTTTTCTTTTTTAAATTGATGAGTTGTTCGTTTTTTGCTTCATAAATTAAAAAAAAAATAGTTAATTTTGATACGTGAAAGCAAGTTCAAGAATAATAAAATTTCATGGTTTTTTTGAACTAGAATTATATTCATTCATTATCACGATTCATAAACTTAAAGTTTGATTCAAGCTTGACTGTGAAATATTAAACCGGAAGTGACCTTAGATCTAGTGAAACGACTCGTTAAGCAATACATTTGAATATCTACTCAACGATGTTTCGGTTATAAAATCAAAGCTTAATACAAGCTTTTGTGTTCTTTCTCCAACATAATTTTAAAATTTGATAAAATTTGCTCATAATTAGAAGTGAATAGAGAAACCAATCTTTATTTTTCAATTTTCAACATTTGCATTTATCCTACAAGAATTCAATAAGCAGATCTAAAAAACGAATCAGTTTACATAATATAAATAATAGAGCAATAGGATTTAAAGGAAAAATTTCAAACGTAAATATAAAACAAGTCAAATTTAATACAAACCAGTAAAACAATAGAAATTAGTAAAATTCATGTAATAAATCCTATATTTTATAAAAAACTAAAAGTCTGAGAAAAAAACAATTCAATTAGCAATCAAACTCGGTAAATTTACAATCAATTTAATAATAAAAACGTAATTAAAGTTATGAATAATAATAAAATAATTAAATAAGAAAAAAAATAAAACGAAGAAGATCCATAATTTATGTATGATCTATAAAAATAATATTTCACATACATTCACACAGAAGTAAGATTCAAAAATATTATTTTATAAATCTATTTAGTAATAATAATAATCTTATAGAAAATTGTTGTATAGTACTACTTCAGGAGAAAACAGGTTAATTTATAATAACCTAATCAAACAAATAATAAAGTTTAATAATAGAAATTAAAATCCAAAGTATAATTTAACAATATTTCAAGTTGTTAATTAAAATTAGCTTTATTTTTATTCCATATTACCCAAGAATCCTTGATTAGAAATTACTTTCATGTTTCCTTTCTTTTGTACTAGTTCTTCCCTTTAAATACTTATTTAAGTTTGAAGTAAAGGAAGCATACCATCTCTCTTCTATGATCCTCAAATATTAGATTTCGGTTGTCGAGTTTTTTAAGACTTTTCGTGATCATTCACTAATCTGCTTGTTTTTTTTTTTCCCTATTATTTTATTTCCTTCTTTTTGTGTTAAACTTCAAATCTTAACTTTTTTTAGTTGTTTTAAATCTAAGTAGAAAAAAAAATAAATAATAAAAATACGAGACTCTAAACAGGGGGTGCAAAATAAAATGAAGTAAACTAAGTTAAATAAATTATTTGTATTACATGTCTTAGAATTGTATATTTACACCGTTTCAGTTTGATTGTTGTTCCCCAATGATTTTTTGAGATATCATGGAGATTTCAAATAACCAAGACCTGAGTCATTTAGTTGATGATAGTATCAATTGTACCCCCTAATCATGAACTTTTGTCAGAAAAGCAAAAAATAATGGAGATAAATTCTATTGATCTAAAATTATCGATAATATTGAACTAAGTTTTTAGAAAGTTTGCATGGCAACCAAGGGAAGTATAACTATAATATTTTTAATCAATTATCATGTAGTATAAGTTTTAATGTCATCGTAATAATTATTTTTTGTTTTAACTTTAAAATAATCGTAAAAAATATTTGGAATTTTAAACTTTTTTTTTTTTTTTTTTTTTAAATATCAATTTGGTGCTGATGATTAATTAACTTAATTATCTACAAAATGTTTTTCATCAAAGAAATATGGAAGAAAATGCAACGTTTTTATCAAGATTAGTTCTTAATCTCACCTGAATTTAAAGACTTATGGTCAAGGACAGTTATGATTTTCTCCGTTGTTTCCCAAGAAGTTATATAGATCTATAACTTTGTTGGTAGTATGGAAGTGCCTCATCAACGACTATGTTGATATTCATTGAAAATTTGTATACAAATTGCCATCCCTTAGACTTACACGACGATCAAGTAACCCTGATTTCGTTAATAATGGATTAATAGGCTTATTTGATTAGTTAACTAATCGGCTTATTTGAGTAGTTCATCAATCGATTTGAATGCATCAAATGTTATAAACTTATAATGTACTATTGATCTTTTAATTAAAGTATCTTATTAAATCTTACTTACTTACAATTACTTCATATGAAATATTCAATATACAAAAGAAAAGATTCAGCAGAATTGTGTTTCTCAGCGTGGAAAGTCTTCTTTTTCTGTCATTTGTCGTAATACAGTGAATAATTGTTGATGTGTTGTGATGTGTTGTTGTTGAAAGTTTATATAAAAGTTTAAATTTAAAACAATAGAGTAAAGTAATTAATTAGTTTTAAAATATTAAAATATTGGTTACATATCACTACGTACATAAATGTACATGAATTTAATATAATAAGAGAAATAAAATAACAGAACAAAATAAAAAAAAAAAGGGGACGAAAGAGATGATCATAATATTATTTTTTACGTATTAACTTTATTTGTAAAATTTAAGTCTAAATTGAACATGGTGGTGTTTTCCCCAAACTTTTATGATTTAAGAAACGGTCCATCAAATGTCTCTTCAAATTTCTTGACAACAGAGTAATCCAAATAATGGATGTTATAGTTTGATCAAAGATCAATACTAATATATAGTGGTAGAAGCTTCAATTCTGAGTTGAAATTTCCACTAAATGGTAGATCCTAACCGAGTTTCAAATCAATGATGTAAGATTTTTTATTCCTTGTTTAATTTGAATTGTAATACTTTTACAATGTACTACTATTATGTAAGTTTTTGTAACAAGCCATTTATTTAAGCTTAATATGATCGAAAAAGTTAAACCAAAAAAAAAACAAATAGACTAACTAAAATCAAAAAGAATAAATTGCATTTTTAATAATTGAACGAGAATACTTTGTTCCTAACTCTCTAAATTGGTTGGTTAAATACTTTTTAAACTTTTCTTTTATGTTGATTGTTTAATAATAAATGTAAAACCAATTAAAAATAATATTAAGCTTTTATTATTATAATTTTAAATAATATTAAAAGGTAGTACAAAGCAGAATGTATTAAATTTAATTTATTTTTTTAAAATTTAAATTTAAAATTAATTAAAAAATAAAAAACTCACAATCAATCAACAACAACAATTTTTTTCTTCCTTTCTTTCTTTCTTTCAATAATTTTTTTTTAATCTATCAAACTTGTTTGTCTTTACATTAATATTAATCAAAAGTTGAGGATTGGTATAATCAACTAAAATCTCATTTTATTATCAAATAATTATTCATATATTATCTACTATCTTATCTAAAGATTTATATCATCACAATAACACTCAAAAATATAAATTAATTTAAGTAAAAATAAATCACAGTGACTTATAAGTACTATATAAATTAATTACAACAAAACAAAACACTTGATATACATACGCAAAGTTAAAGGAATCTTGATCAACCGCCTATCCCCTTATCAACTATCAAAGGTAAATATTCAAACAAAATCAAAGTGTTATCAATCATAATCACTGACAAATATTGCATCAATAATAAATCGAATTAATCAAAATTCACACACCTTAGAAATTAACCATTAATACAACACAAACATGCCTAAAAGAGCTAAAACACCAAAAATTTCACCAATGGTAAAAAAGCCTACAATCATGAATAGTTATGATGTAGCTGCGACTGAAGTATGGGTAAAATGTGGTGAATGTGCAAATACTTTAGGTTTGAATGAAGCTGCCATAAAATCATTTGAAAATGCTGTTAATAGAGATCCTTCAAATATAGCTGCATTATGCGGTTTAAGTTTATCTTTAAGATTGAATGATATAAATAATAATGAAACTTTTGGTTCACAATCATCAATTGAAAGATTAAATTCTTCTATTGAATCATTTCCAAATTTATTAAAAGATTCGAATATTTTCAAAGAATTATCAGAATGTTATTTATTAATTGGTTTAAATGATCAAGCTCATCAAGCTATACAATCAGCTATACTGTTATCACCTCAAGATGCTTCATTATGGTTATTGAGTGCGCAAACTTTAATTAGAGTTGGTGCAAGAGCTCATGCAGCAAATTCATTGACTCATTGTCTTTCATTATTACCACAAACTGGAAAATATTCACAACAAGATATTGAAACAGCAAGAGCAGCACATGCGGAATTAGCAGCTATTGCAGCAGCAGATGGAAACATAGAAACTTCAATTGCGGAATTAAGTTCAACTTTATCATTACCTCCGCCACCATTATCAAGAATAGATGAACATATTGCATTGTGGTGTGCTTTGTCTACAGCTAAGGAAAGAGCCAATGATATAATTGGTGCTATAAAAGCTTGTGAAGATGCTGAAGTTGCAGTTGGTGATTCTCCAAGAATTATAATGACAAGAGCTTATTTATTATTATTATTAAATCCTAAAGAGAATTCAGAAATAGCAATAAGTTTATTAAATAAAATTGTAAATTTAGAAGATGAGAATTCTATAAATGATGGAACTGATTTTCTACCTTGGTATTTATTGGGAAGAGCTTATTCATTAACTGATAGACCTAGATTAGCATATGATTCATATCAAGTTGCCTTAAGATGTGCTTCAAACTCTCCAATTACTTGGTTAGCTGTTGGTAAATTATATTTAGAATTAAAACAATTACCAGATGCATTAGCTGCTTATTCACAAGCTTTGAAATTACAAATTGAAGATGGATCACAAGGTACTGCAACCGCATGGGATGGATTAAGTTGTGTTTATGAAAGATGTGATGATCATTTGATGGATGCATCAGATGCTTGTAGTAGAGCAGGTTCATGTTTTAAAGCAATTGGTGATTTAAAAAATAGTAATTATTTTGAAATAAGATCAGAACAATTAGCAAAAGCTGCCAAAAATGAATGTCCAATACCAGAATTAAGACAACCACCGGATGTACCAAGCTTTTTGTTAAGAGATTTAGTTGCGTTAGCTCCAAATGAAAGAATTGCCTACACACAAACACAAAGAACCGAGCATGTTAAACAAGAACAACAACATCAACATCAACAACAACAAGCACAGCAGCAACAACAACAACAACAACAACAACAAGCACAGCAGCAACAACAACAAGCACAACAAATTCATCAACAACAGCAAACACCTTCATTACAACATCAGCATCAACATCCTGCACAACAACAGCATCAACCGCTGATACAGCAACAGCAACAACCACACCAATATCCTCCACATTATCAGCAATCACCACAATTAGTTCAACAAGTGCCTCATCAACAACAACCTCCGCCAACATCACAACAACAAACACCATCACAACAAGTATACAGAAGTGCCCCAGCTACAAACCAACCACCACCACCACAGCAATCACAATACTATTATCCACCTCCGCCACATCAACAACAACAACAACAACAACCAGGTCAACCATATTATTACCCTCCACCTCATCAACAACAACAACAACCGCAAACACATCAGCAATCCCCACCACAACATTCCCATCCGCAAATGATTCAACAACAAGGTCCACCAGGTCCACCACCAGGTGCAGCTGCGTATTCTATGGGTGGAGTTCCAGGAAGTTTACCACCACCAGCAGGAGCTTATGGGCAATATTTACCTATTCCAGGTGGAGTACATAACGGACCACTGCAATATTCATCACCAAATTCATGGAGAAGATAAGGAGATGGTGAGATAAATTTAAAGTCTAACGAAGTAATGAATTATTGGCTTTTGTTTTTGCTCAAAATTTTAAATGAAGGAGTAAACTTAACAAAGAGTAAAACAATATTTAATTTAAATTAATATCATTATTCTTCATCATTGTATTAATATTTGAAAGAAATTATTTATGTAGAGGTTAATTTAAGTGATTATTTAAGTAAACAATTAGATTGTATTTTCTTACTTTGACCACGTTATCTATTTTAATAAATTTGAAAAATCCTCCCAATTACCACTATAATGATCAATATTAAATTTGTCTAGTATGCTGTCTAATTTCGAATCTTTTACAGAACAAGGATAATCAACGTTTAAGATTGGTAATAAATCATTTGAACTATCACCTATAAACATGATTTGATTATTATGATCATTATCTTTTTGCACTAAACTCCCTACAAATTCTAATTTGTCAACTGACGTTCGTATTTGTCTTTTTGTATGATCCCATTCACCAGTTGTTTTTCCTTGTGAATCAAATATAAATTCATTCGTTATAATTCCTGCTATCTTAATATCATGCTTTTTAATTAAAATATCCTCAATTATTAAACTTGTCCAATTAGTACTCAAAACAAATATAGGAACCTCCAATTCGTTACATTTTTTAAAGAATTCTATTACGTTTGGTTGTAGTTTTATCTTAGTTGTTTGTTGTAAAAAATCTTGTTTGGTTAAGTTTGCAAATATACGTTTTTGCTCCAATAAATCAATTGAACTCAATTCAATTGAATTCATACCAGCCAAAAATTCTCGATAGTCTTCAATATCATTTAATTCGTTTTTTGATTTATAATTCTCATATGCATCATAATATATTTTTGTGAAAAATTGAAATTTAGGTTGTAAATTTGGATTCTTAATATACGGTATTTCAGCAACATACTGAATTGTATCTTCTAATGTAATCGTTTCATCCCAATCTGATATTATATATTTTGGACTGATTTTATTGTTCAAAGTTCTTTTGGTCATGAGATTGACGTATGTCTTGGTTTTCAGTAGGTTAAATGGGATCGCTAGTCTCCCAAATGTTATCATACAACAATAATGAGTTTAATCTTCAAATGATATGAAAAAGTACTGTTGTGGTACAAAAGGGAAATTTGTTTTAAATTTAAAAATGGGGGTGGAAGAAATTAAAATAAAATCAAAGATCAATTATTCAGAATCAAAACTTAACCTATACTCAATATCTAGAATTGCTACTAGTATCATCTCAATTGACAAAGTAAAAACAATATAATGAGTTCCAATAAAGAATTTGGTCATTTAGGTGATGTTTCTTCTCAAAAGATTGATGGAAAAACCGACCCAAATATTTCAAAATTCAATAATTTATCAGATCAAGAAAAACAAAAACTAGGTAAAGGGGAATACGGAAAGATTGAAAAAACTGACGGTAAGACTGAAGGTAATCTAGGTAATTATAAGACTGAGGGTAAAGCAGAAGGTAATTTGGGCAAAACAGAAGGTAAAACAGAGGGTAATTTGGGTAAAACAGAAGGCAACTTGGACAAATCTGAAGGTAATTTGCGCAAATCTGAAGGTGATTTGGGTAAAACAGAAGGTAACTTGGGCAAAACAGAAGGCAATTTGGGTAAAGCAGAAGTAGGGGACCAAACAAAAAGTCAGGGGAATGTTGGTAAAGTAGATGGTAATTATGGAAAAGTTGAAAAATGATGAAAAAAAAAAGTTGAGATAAATTGATGTGATTTCAATTTTTAGTTCTATAATGAATGCTTTGACAGTAGAGTGCTATTTTTGATCACTGTCTGAATTGGTATACGTTGACATAATTCTTTGGCTATTTTAATTTTATATATGAATATTAGACATGCATTATATAAATTCAGAAACTCTATGGTTTGCATATAATTTAAGACCTTTAATATATTTTATAATAATACACTCAACTAGATCGAATTGAGACTGGGAAGTCCATTGTTTTTAGAGTTGTAAATTCCAAAATTAATATACTCACTATTATTGAAAAAAGATTACGAGAGGTTTAGAAGAATTATGTCTAAGTTTCCTTACATAAATTAGGAATGAGTTATAAATCAAAATGGTTATGAGGCTACAATTTGCTTTTAATTGACTTTATAATAAATATAAATATTGGTATGAATATTCAAGGTAAAATCTCAATACTTACAAAACCATCAAATTTACAATAAGCAAAATAAACACATCAGAACGACAAAATGATCTATTATTCAACAAAACTTATTACATTTACTTGTTTAATCACACATATATTAAGTTTAAATACTGATAATAATCAAGACTTTCAACAGAACATTTTAAATTATGAAGAACATGAAAATAATAATAATACTTTATCATCATCGGACTTAATTATTGTAAATGCAAGTATATCGGATTTATTAGGTTATAAATTTGATCCAAAAATTGATTTTTCTTCAAATTGGAGTGGATTAAATGACACAGAAGTTGAAGAAATTAAAAAGGCTGCAAATTATTTATCAAATGATAATGATAATGATAACAAAGACTTGTTAAATCATCGAGTGTTTATGGCATATATTCTTTCTTTTATAGTTGTGTAGATCTGAAATTATGTCAATAAAAACCACAACTATAAAAGAAAGAATATATGCCATAGACATCCAAACCATTAAACCGGTATTGACGAAATTTCCCATAACATTTTATTATTAATTTATGGTGGTAGTTATCGAAATGTTGAATCATCCGATATTGAGTCAACTTTAAATGAAATTTATAAAGAATTGGGTGGAGAATTTCAAGCTAAATGGGAAGCAAGATCTAAATCCAAGAATTGGATGATAATATTTGTAACTATATTGTTTTAATATTAACATACGTTTGCGGTACACAGGTGATAGCTCGTCATTGTTATAATTATAATCATTATCTTGTTCAATTTTTGAGAAATGTAATTCTATGTTTTTAAATAATTGATGTATCAAATTAGTTATGAATTGATTTATTAAAATTACTTTAATGCTGTTTTTCAAAATTGAATAATAACATGATGACTATGAAGAATATAAATATTCTCTGTATGTTTCCAAATATCTTTCTAAAGAAGCTACTTTATTGGATTCTATGTCAAACTTAATATTAGGTACGAATTAATTTGAATCTACTATTCAAAGACTTGAATGTGATCATTATTTTGATTAGTTTCCAATTTATTAAGTGTTTGCAAAAGCTTGAATAAACTTGTATTTTTTGAATTTGGTGTTCAACAGCTTTATTAATTCATTGAACATGGCATTAATTCTATTTCAATCGAACTGTTGTCGACTTTATCTTGATTTTCGGAAATCATATAATTAATGAGGTTATGAATGCTGAATTCTATAAACTTTTGCGTAGACCGAATAATCTACATAACACTAGTAACTCCAAAATATCCAAAATTGAATTCATGTTGAATGGTATGTCTTCGTATTAATTCACGTAGATGTTGAATATTAGTAAAATCCTCGATATTATTTTTCGAATTGGTTGCAAACTTAATGTTCAATATTTGGATAATAATAGAGATTTGAACATAAAACACTACCAGGCTAATTATGTTCAAATTTCAATCGTTATCAAATACGCAATCAAATCAAGAGTATCTACCATCATTCACATTATCATCTATTCCCCTTGAGTAACTTAACAATTGAATCCAAATGGAAGGTCTTTATTTCAACGTTGATTATGGATATGTCGAAGGTGTAGTCAGAGGCTATAGATCAGGATTATTGACATCAAATCAATATGTGAATTTAACACAATGTGATAATTTAGAAGATTTAAAATTACAATTATCATCTACTGATTATGGTAATTTTCTAGCAAACTATTCAGGACCTTTAAGTACTTCAGTATTGCAAGAAAATTTAAATAAAAAAGTATATCAACAATATCAATATATAAAAACTCAATCTTCTGGGATATTGACTGAATTTATGAATTATATTCAATATGGATATATGATTGATAATGTTATCTTAATGATTACTGGTACTTTACATGAAAGAAATAAATCAGATATTTTAAAAAAATGTAATCCATTAGGTTGGTTTGATACTTTACCTACATTAACAATAAGTACAGATATTGAAAGTTTATACTCAACAGTATTGATAGATACACCATTAGCCCCATTTTTTAAAAATTGTGTAAGTGCAGATGATTTGGATGATTTAAATATTGAAATTATAAGAAATAAATTATATAAAAATTATTTGGAATCATTTATGGAATTTGTACAAAAAAAATTTTATGGACCAGATCAAGAAATTATGACAAGATTACTTACATTAGAAGCTGATAAAAGAGTTATAAATATTGCCTTAAATTCAACAAATAATCAAGAATTATCAATTGAAGATAAATTAAGTTTATTTCCATCATTAGGTCAATTATATCCAACTTATCATTTAGAATTAGCTCAAGCAGATGATTTTGAACAATTAAAAATCATTATTGAAAATATAGGAGACTATCAAGATTTATTTAATGATAATTCTGATAAATCATTAGGTGATTGGTTTTATTTATTAGAAATGCAATATTGTAGAGATGCTTTCACACAACAATTCACTTTAAGTACAGTTTATGCTTGGTTAAAATCTAAAGAACAAGAAATTCGAAATATTACTTGGATAGCTGAATGTATTGCTCAAAATCAAAAAAGTAGAATTGAAAATTACATATCCGTATTTTGATAGTCAAAAATGTAAAATATAAAATTTTCATTTGCTTGAAACAATGTAGACCCTGCGGCACGAAGTTATTTAAGGCTTCAACGTTATAATTTGATAGTCAAATATTATGTAGAGATATCAGATAAATTATTTTGGGATATATTTCCGATTTGACTGTATTCCAATATTTATATGCATTATTTTAAATAAATTACCCTAAACTGAAATAATATTAAAAAGAATGATACAAAATAAATTAATAGTATAAAACATGATTTCAATAAATCAATAAATAACTAACAGCATATCATTTAATAATTTACTTTTTTAATTCTAATGTTTTCCTTTACTTTCCTTTGATAAAAACTTCATTACCTTATATTTACTTTCCAAACATCTAATAATACTACGAACGCTAAAAATGACTTCAGAAGAACATAAAAATGAAGAAAAACCAATTGTTACAACTACAAATAACACAAACTCAACTGATTCAACAACAGATGAACCAAAAAATTATTCAGCTGAAACCAAAGAAATACTCAATAAAGATGAATTGAGCCAACAAGATTTAAATCAAATCGAAAATATCGCAAAAGGTGTGTTAAATCCAAATAATGAAAATCCTCAAATGAATGAATATATCAATTCCACCATGTCTTATATTGGTAACGTGCTTCAAAAAATGCAAAACACTAATGATAAAGATGCCACAGCTAAGGAAATTGCCGATGATTTGACTAAAAAATTTGAGAATTGGGCTAATAGTAAAAAACAAGAAATTGAAGAATCAAAAACCAAACCTGCAGAAGATCCTTCTCCATCAAAAGTTGAATCTGATTCAAATTCAAGCAGTGTTAATGAAAAGACTTCGGATGACGTGAGTAAAAAATAGACTTATATAAAGTTCTCAAAATTTAAATTCCGGTCAATAAAATGTATACAATCCTTATATCTATTAAAAGTTGAACAGCTAATAATAGACTCAAACCATGTATTTATCAATTTAGCAAGAGCTCAAAAGATTTACTCTCTTGATTTAATGAGTTGGAATACGAATCAAATCAAATTTCTCTTGCATTTCGTGTCTACAAATTATGTGAATATAGAATGTTGAAACGTATATTGAAATGGTATCTATATGCCTCTTGATTCAAAGAACTGTTAATGATATTGATTGAACTGATAAAAATAAATAATTAAAGTGTATTTTATTTCACGAGAATTTCTCTAAATTTATATACTTTATTTATTTAGTGTAACATTCTATTATTGAGAAGAGTTGATCTAAAAGTCAAGATACACCATACAAATGAGCACAATCCCTGCTTGGAAAAGAGCCGGACTTTCTGTCAATAAAAATGAAATTGAAAACGAAGACAATTTGCTAGAAACCAAGAGAATAGACTCTGCTAATCTATCAACCAAGGAGATCAAAAAAGTAAGTAATAAACGTAAATTACAAGATGACTTATCACATTCAAAAACCAAAAAACCACCAAAAAGAATAAAACTACCAAAATCAGAAAGAAAACCACCTCCAATAAAAGACCAATTGATGTATTTGAAGACATATGAAGAAGACAAACCAAATTGGAAATTTAATAAATCCAAACAAAATTGGGTCTTAAAGAATATAAAAGATATACCTAAAGAGTATGAAACTGCTTTGATTTTGTATTTGGGAAGTCTACAAGGTGGCTCAAGGGATAGATTAATAAATGAATTAAGGGAAGATATATTGAAATGGAATGTGAAGTATGATGAAATGGAACGAAAAGTCGAAGAAAAGTTATTGAATGGAGAAGCTAATGAAAAAGATGAGGATAAGAAGAGCAACGAGGAGCACGGAAAGAATGAAGTAAGAAATGAATTAACATTAGAATACATTACTAGATGTAGGGACATACTAAAGAGCTTAGTGGACGATGAAATTATTGTCAAAGGTTTGGAGCAAAATGAAGAGGGACATCTCGAAGAAGAGAAAACATCGATAGATCAAGAGCAAAGCCACCTGAGCCCTAGTGATGAGGTAATTTCTCATGGAATAGAAAGCCCGACTGAAGAAGAACTCGGAAATGCAGAAAGTTCAAAAAAGATAAAAAAAGATAAAAAGTCTAAAAATAAGGTATTAGAGAAGGAAAACAAAGGCAAAGCAAGTCAACTAGAGAAAGAAGAATTGAAAGTTGATAAGCTCGATAAGAAAGAGAGGAAGGAGAAGAAAGAGAAGAAAGAGAAGAAAAGCAAGAAAGACAAGCAAAGCAAGAGTGAGAAGAAGGAAATGAAAGATGAGAAGCAAAAGCAGCGAAAACCTGACGCTTTAGAATCCGACTCAACCTCTAATTTAATAATAAATGAAATTGAGGTTTAGTTTTTTCAATACTTTCTCTAATTGTGAATACTATATTAATTTATTTTGAATTAAGTAGAAAACAATACGTAAATCTGAAACACATTATAAAAATTAGTTCGCGCTAAATTCATAATTTGTTTCGATTAATTATATCTTGACTAAAAGTTTGGTTGTAAAATATACACTTCATTACTTTCACATCCACTCAAAATCATTCGAAGAAATGTCTGAGATAAACTTTACTCTGTTGAATGACAGGGTACTTGATGTTGACCCAGACATCAGATTTATGGCATTGGAGGATTTACGTAAATTTCTAACTGATGAATCAATTGCCACTAACAAAAATGCAATCAATAACAATTTAAATAATTTGATACCAAAACTATTGAACATGTTGAGTGATGCAAATCCAGATGTACAAAATCAAGCAATAAAATCATTTGAACCAATGATCAAGTATTTGGATAATGATTCAATTTTGAACTTAGTCAAAAAATTATTTCAATTAGTTCAATCAACAAAGTCCAAGTCAAGTTCATCATCAACGAATTCTAACTTAAAAAGTTTTACAGTATCTGTACCTAACATGGCATTAAGATCCTTATTTGCTCAATCTAACTCAAGAGAAAAATCTGATTTTATGCTGGATAAATTATCATCGTCAAATTTTAGATTCGATCGACAATTATCAAAACAAATAATGGACTACTTAATACCTAATATAACTGGTGGAGATACTTCAATTGATAACATTGAATTATTGATAGACTTGATAAATGAATTAGGTTACGTTTTGAATCAAAATGAATTATTGAAGTTGGGTGAATATTTTATTAATGTTAGTTTCAAGGAACAAGGTATCATAGGGAAAAAAGCCGTCGTTGGAATTGAAAGAGTTGTTGTTTTAGTTAAAACAGTTGAAGGTATTGATAAATTGTTGGATCTTGCAGCTTCCACATGTTTAGATTCAAAATTGAAAAACAAATCATACATTTTGCTTCAACTATACTCTGTGATTTTACAAGGTGGTGTTCATCCATCAAATGTTGATCAAATTTATGGATTCGTCATGGAAATTATAAATTCTCCAATAGAGTTCAACGAGGATGAAGACATAGATTACGATCTTCTTGAGCAACAAAATGCATTAAAAGACGAAGCATTCACGACATTGATTGATATACTTCAACAAAATTGTCTCCCAACAGAGCACAAAAACCAAATCATAGATGCGATAAAGAAATATTTGAAATATGATCCTTTGCATTCAGATGATGAAGATTTAAATATCATTGACGACGACATTGAGTTCAGTGATGAGGAACTTGGAGCTGGAGACGACGAAGAGTACGATGGTTCATGGAAATTAAGGTCAAAAGCTGCGATTTTGATTAGAGTCCTTTTAAAAAGTTTCCCTGATACTTTGGATGTAATATCGAGAGAAATTTTACCATTAATTAGTTTGCAAGACTCCAATGATCAAGTTGCGCAAGAAAGTATTAAATCTTGTATTGCAATTATTCAAGCAACTTCACCAAGAGACGCACAAAGTCTTCTGCCTCTATCACAAGTCATTGTCAATAGAATTGCAAGTGTTAAAGAAGAGCAACTAACATCATTTTTAAGACTAATTGAAAGTCTTAATAGATTCAACAATCAACCATTAATCGATGAATTTTTCAAAACTTTGAATTCTCGAAAAATCATTTCCTCCAGCTCAACTGATTATCTACAATTTTATTCAAGTGTCCTAAAATTTCATGATAATTTGAACGACGAAACAATATCACGAATTGCACAAGACCTAGCTACTAATATTAATGATAAATCATTCAACTTGATCCTGGAATCTTTAAAATGTCTTCAAGTTTTGTTCAAAAATATTAATGATCTTCTGAGAATTTCCAATCTTGATACTATAATAAACAGATTAATTGATAAAATTAAAAATAGCAAAACTTATCCAAGTGATTTGATTAGACTTTCAATTATATGCCTCGGGGAAGCATTGGCAAATAAAATACACAATGAACAAGAAATATTGGAAATTTTGAAACAGTCTTTAATTTATGATGGAACTAGTAAAGTTACAATTGATGTTCTCAATAACATATATTCGAACAAGCAATTAGAAAGTGAATATACTCAATTTGTCATTGAAAAGCTATCTAATACTTACGTTCTTTCAAGTAACGAAGCAACGTCATTATCAGCATTAATTTTATTGGACAAAGCAGCAGAGCAAAGTTCTCCACAAGACTACGATACACTTGTGAAAAATTTGATCCAGTTATTGCCAGTAGCAACACCCTCAAATTATCATTACATTTTCAAAATTTTTGACAACATTTCATCATCAGCCTTGAATGATCAAAATTTAACTCATCTTCTTGATATCATTGTAAAGTTGGTAAATGACAACAAAATCGACGTTGACGATCAGGCTTTTTTCACATTCCTTTCCAAAATATGTCAAGCAGATGCATCAATTTATACCAAGCTTGGGAACTCTTTGAATAAGTCGTTAGAAATAACTGCAAAGACATTGGCTACATGTGCCAGTGATGATGTAAAACATGAATTGAATACAAAAATGTTTAACGAATTGAGAAGTATTTCCAATACGGAAGATCCAAATTTTGCTTTTCTCATACTTTTCTTGGGTTATTCAAATGACTCTGCAAAGTATTTGAACACTCAGTTTATAATTGACATATTACAAAAATCAGATTTTACAAATGAAAGTAACATTCAAGCTGCATCGACAGCTTTAGGATTGGTTGCAGAAAAAGACGTCAATTCATCAGTGCCAGCTATTTTGCATGCTTTCTTGCAGGAAAAGAATACCATTGTTCGTGGTCTGTTGATAAGTGCTTTGAAGGTTTTGATTACTAGTTGTAACTTGGAACAGAAGTTAGAAATTTGGCAAGCAATTTTTAATTTACCAACTAAATTTGATCATTCTTTAATTCCAGAATTAAGAAAGTCTGGGGAAATTTTGGGAAGAATTGCCTATTCATTAGACGAATCAACATTTAAAGATATTGTCGAGAATCAAGAGGATGAGAGAAAAATTTATTTAATCTTGGTTATATCAAAATTCTTAATCAGTAACCTTGAAAATTCAAATCAAAATGATAAATTATTGACCTTCTTGGTAAAATCATCTATTCCCTGGTTGGATTTAGTTGACGTTGATATAAGACAAATCGGGGTCGGTAACTTATTGACTGGAATTCATAGTAAGCCGTCAATAATTACACCAATTTTAAATCAATTGATATTACCTTCATTGTTTAAACAATTAACGGCAGAGCCGAAATTTAAAAAGGTTATTACAATGGGGCCATACAAATATGTTTTAGATCAAGGATTAGAAATTAGAAAGCTTTGCTACGAATTCATTTATTCTATCATGGCTACAGATCAAGCTTCATTGAATAAAAATGAGGTAGATTTACAATTAATTGCACAAAAAATTATCGAACATGGATTGTTGGATGATCAATCAGATATAATTGTTTTGGCATGTATTAATTTAATCAACTTTTTTGATTTGCACGAAGCGGATGCAAAAACATTAATCAAAAGTGATGACAAGGTGATTACCAAATTAATATCAGGATTAAACACTCAGTTGGCTAAAAAACTTTCCGCTAAAGCTTCATCGCAAGACACAGAAAATCATCAAGAAAGAATTAAATCAATAATAAAATTAACCAAAAAAATCAACAATCTTTTTGAAAATATGCAAAATGATTATAATGAACATCAGTCTAAATTTGATGCTTGGAGCAAATTTAATTCAGATGTCAAAGAAAAGTTTAATGTTTTCTATAGCACGACTAATGTTTAATTTCCAAATAAATAACTATTTACGCTCTGCAATGTACTTCTCAGTGGATTGACCTTATGTAGATGTGAAATCTTACTCAAATGCTGTTTTACCAATGTCTTTGAAGGAACGTTAGGCTCTGATATTCTTTTCCAATCAAGATTAAATCCAGTACATAAAATAGCCAACAAAACACCCACACTAATGTCGGAGCCTGAACCACATAATATCAACAATGGTACTTGTATAGGGTCAAATTTGGACATTATGTCGGGTAATATTGACCTCAATATATTCGAGCCCTTTTTATTATTTGGAATGGAATAATTCGCAATAAGTGCATCAATATTACCCTCTTGCTTTTCAGGATATTCGTTAATTCTGAACTTATCACTAAGAACTATAACCTGTTTAAAATTCAGTACCTTTTTTGCTTCATAATTTCTATTAATTGATCCGATATAAAGGCCTGTATCTCCAACTGCATTGACCTCTATCTCATTAGCACCATTGTCTGAGGTTTGTAGCAATAGTTTTCCAATCATTTCCTCTAACTCATCATCATTAATCCAAGAAGGTAGATAACCAGTAGATTTATCTACTATTTTGTCAAAAATTTCCCAAAATTGAGTTGGTCCAAACGTTGGCAAAAGAGACCTCGGCACCCATAATTCATGATCATCGGCCGACCCTTGAACATAATCAAAGTGAAGTATAGAATCATTTTTTGCCTTAATTTGGATTGTCTTATGAATTGGGACTTGTTTTGACACCGATACTAGACAAATATTATAAGCATCATCATTCAAAATTTGTGGGTCACACCCTGGGTATAACCATATTGTTTTCAAAGGTTTCCTTAATTTCTGTGTTTCTTTACTAAATAGATTCATGGATCGAACGGTCTGTATAAAAGACGGAATTAGTTTCAAAATAGAATTATATTCATGTTTTGGCACAATCTCAGGTAGATTTAACCAGAAATCATCTTCCTCTTCGTATAGTATTGAATTCAATACAGAACACCAAATAGGTATAGTTTTGAGTAATGAGTCTGGCATTGGTTTACCTCTTCTAGTTGAATCAATTATTATAATTCCTCCATTTTGTTGAATGATTGGCAATAAATGTAAATTTAATCTTCTTGTTGAAAAGCTCCAAACATTGGTATGTCCATCAGTTGATTTAAAGTAACATGATCCAGATTTTTCAGACGTGTACCATAATCCACATCTTTCATTAGCGATAATTGGGAGATTTAAATTTTGATGAACTAAATTTACAAAATTGGAGTCGTAGATAATTGATTGCAATCGATTTTTAAAGGACAACAGAGATTTTTTCAACTCCTTATTAATCAAATATATATCATTATTCTTATTAAATACAATTGTCGAGTCGTCCATTCAATATCATTTAAAATGTTATACAATTATTATTATTACTACTATTGTTTGATTTTTTTTCTTTTCAATTTTTCTAAAGCTCTTCTTTTTTCTGCCTCAGCTTCTTTACGATCTTCTCTTTCAGCGTCTAATTTTGATTTGAATTCTTCCTCTAAAATATCAGCACCTGTTGCTTCCATATCCTCGTCTGAATAATCATCATATGGATGGTAACTTCTTTTTTTGCCTTTGTTGAACATTGCCCAAATTTGCTCCCTATCATATCCATCATCATTATTGATAACTTCATCATCTGAAGCAAGAAAATCGTCCATCTCACTATCATCCTCTTCCTCGTCATATCCATCAACGTTCGGCTTTTTTATTTGATTGGTCTTTTTCGATTTGTTTAGTGAGATTTTCGCCTGAAGTTTAGCATTGGGCTGTCTTGATGGAATAGGATTACTTGAAACCAATTTCTTTTTGGGATCTAAACTTGGAGGCTTCTTTTTATCTCTACTTGTGGCTGGTGACGAATGGTTTTTGACGGTATTATTTGGGGCATCAGCCTTAGTTGATGTGGAATGACTATCTGAAGCTTGTGAAGCTTGATTCTTTGGTTTAACAGATTCCGGAGATTTACTTTTTTTAGGATACTTGATGGAAAGTTTTTCGTGATCTATACTACTAGCTCTTTTCATCAACTCATTAAAGGTTAGTTTTTGTTTTATAGTCTTTGAAGAAGGATTGGGATCATTAGGAATATTCGATTTAGGCCTTGAACCCAGTTTAGACTCCAAAGATCTAGACGCCTTCATGCTTGACAGCTGAGGCTTTTTCGAATGAAGGCTGTCTTCTTTTGTTCCGTTGTGCTTGGTTTTAGAATTTTCGGTCCTCTCCTTTTCCAATCGTCGTTTTTCTTTTAATCTTGCTACGACTGGATCAACAGGACGATTTTTGGATGAAATATTGCCTTTTGATTGTTGAAAAGTGGATGATTTCGAGTCCTCATTTTGTTTCTGTGGATGTTGGGTGATTGGTTTGCCTCTTTTTTCAATTTGTTGTAATAGAGACGACAACCCCATTTGCTTGGTTGGCCATATGAATGGTTGGAGTAATAGAAGATTGTCATTTAATTTATGACATGTTTCAAGTTTTGATTAAGAGTAGAGTTTTTGCCGAAAGGGGAATTTTATGCGGCTGAGATTTTCCAACATGGAGGAAGATATGGAGACTAAAACAATTACCGCAAGACAGAGCTTTATTGAAAGAAATGGAGCAAAAAGTTACATGCATAGGATAGGTAGTGAATATCTAATTTTGATATCTTACTTCATTTCCATTAATTTTATATTTACTTAGGTCCAATCATATCACTTGGTACGACGTATTTATCAAAATCTTCCTCACTCAAAGCTCCGAGCTCTAAAGCTGATTGTTTTAAAGTTAATCCTTTTTTGTGAGCATTCTTTGCTACTTTTGAAGCAGAATCATATCCTATGTATGGGTTCAATGCAGTAACCAACATTAATGATTCATGTAATAATTTGTCAATTTTATCCTTGTTAGCAACAATTCCATCAACACAATGTTCTCTAAATGAAGCAGCACCATCAGCAATAAGTCTAATTGATGATAACAAATTAGCAATCATTACAGGTTTGAAAACATTTAATTCAAATTGACCAGATGCACCAGCGAATGTAATTGCAGCATTGTTACCAAAAACTTGACAAGCTACCATGGTCAAAGCCTCATTTTGTGTTGGATTCACCTTACCTGGCATAATTGATGAACCTGGTTCATTTTCGGGTAATGACAATTCTCCATAACCACATCTTGGACCAGAGCCTAAGTATCTTATGTCATTTGCTATTTTGAACAATGATGCTGCTATGGTATTCAAAGCACCTGAGGCTTCAACAATAGCGTCATGTGCAGCTAAGGCTTCAAATTTATTGGGAGCGGTTTTGAATGGAAATCCAGTAAGTTTTGAAACGGTTTCTGCAACTTTAACATCCCAACCTTTTTTAGTGTTGAGTCCAGTACCAACAGCAGTACCACCTTGAGCTAAGTATAATAAGTTTGGTAAAGTCTTTTCAACTCTCTCAATACCGTTGGTAAGTTGTTGCGCATATCCTGAGAATTCTTGACCTAAAGTTAATGGAGTTGCATCTTGTAAATGAGTTCTTCCAATTTTGATAATATCTTTGAATTCATCAGCTTTGGCTTGTAATGAATCACGTAATTTAGTTAATTCAGGGATCAATGAATTGTTGATTTCTGTGACGGCTGCTATATGCATAACAGTTGGAAAGGTATCATTGGATGATTGTGACATGTTACAATGATCATTTGGATGGACAGGTTTTTTTGAACCTAATTCACCACCTAAGATTTCAATGGCTCTATTTGATATAACCTCATTTGCATTCATATTTGATTGAGTACCAGAACCAGTTTGGAAAACAACTAACGGAAAATGTTCGTCCAAATTACCTTCAGAGACTTCAGTTGCTGCTTGTTGAATAGCCTTTGACAATTTTGGGTCCAATTGACCTAATTCTTCATTAACTATAGCAGCTGATTTTTTTAAAATTCCAAAAGCTCTAACAACAGGTGTTGGCATGCGTGCTGCTGGACCACCAATTTTGAAATTCAGTTTGGATCTTGCCGTTTGAGCTCCGTAATACTTATCATTTGGGACATCAATGGGACCGAAGGCATCGGTTTCAACTCTAGTGTCCTTTAATGCAATTGAAGAAGTACTGAAATATTTAAATTGTGAAGCTGATTTCAAACTGGTTGAGTTTTTGGTGATTGATCTTAACATTTTTGGGTGAAATTAAATAAAAAAATCAAGAACACTATTTGGATAATTATTTGTTGTAGGAAAAATGTGATGATACAAGATGGTTCAAATGATTATTTGTATTAAATTTTTCAACAAAACCCCAGAGTCTAAAAATTTTGTTTTTGTGTTGTGTTTAAAACGAGAATCATGTTTCGGATCTTTCAGGAAAATTAAAAAAATGATTGGTCTAATCAGAATGAGCCCGGGTAAAAGCTCAAATAATTTTATAAGGAATGATTCGTAAACGTCGTTATTATTCATTATACAAGTCTATTTACAGATGCAATTTTTTTCTGTTTAAAGGTGTTATATTCTTCCATGGTGGGCCATTCCCAATCTTTTTGCAGTTTTGCAATTTCGTGATGCTTTATATGCCTGTAAGTGAACTCTTGAGGAAGAACATATAGTAGTTGCATTAAAGTGACTTTTTGGGGATCGAAATTTGTATCTAACCACCATTTCATGATTTTAGACAATTCCGAAATATTTTCAAATTTAGCTAGTAAAGTTATGTATTTGAACCAAAGTCGATCATCCGGCATGATACCAGTTTTAACATTATCCTTTCTGACGTGTCGTTCAAACTCTAATATCGCGAATTGTGTATATTTGTCTGGACTCTTTGACTTCCTTGCTGAGTCTAACAATACGCTCAAGCAAAGGGCATTTGGAAGGTGACCTTTCCCTAGTATTTCTCTCTCATAGAAACTGAAAACGTCTTGGGATTTTGTTAAACCTTTCATATATGATGCAATGAATTGTATGGATTTGTATGAAAATGTTGAATATAATTTGATCAAATATTTTTCTATTGTTTTGAACCCCTTGAACCCTTCAAAGCTATTGCATCCTAAATTAGCAAATTCATCCCACGGGAAAAATGTTTGAGGCAATTGATCATCATGCTTATGCTTTTGTAAAATTTCAATATATTTAGGCAAAAAAATGTTAATGCTTTGACTATTAAGGTCACTCTTCGTTAAGTGATATATTTCTTCCATATGATAATAATTTTCAATCGGGTGCAACAATTCCTTTACTAAGTCGGTTGTCAACTTCACCTTTGAATTAATTAATTTTCGAAAAAACATCATGGCTCTCGTTTCTGTGAAAACACCAGATTTTTTTAGTTTACGAATGAAAATCAACCACAATTTAGAAGATTTGGCAAATCGAGCGATTGCAGTTGAAAAAATAATTGCTGCCTCTTCTGGTGTATTTGCTAACCAAATTTTAGTGAGATGATAGTTTACTAAATCTTTCTTTGATGTAGTCGTATTGATGAATTTTCTTTCTGCAACTTCAACTAATTTGATAGCTTTGGCTCGTGACAAATCAGACATCATAAATGCTATCCCCAAATATCCACTCATTGTCAATTGATAATTCTTAGATTTTGAATTCAGAACTATGACTTCATGAGCATTTGCTATTTCCATGTAATTAATTCTCTGATACTTTGACGCGTAGTATGCTATGTTCCATATTAATTTAGAGTGTAGATTAGACTTCACGCTGGTTCCATCTTTCAAATTGAATACCTCCAACGTCTTTTTAATTAGCTGCTTCAAATCATTAGGTTCGTGCAAAATCGCGTAGTATATTACATTCTCAAATGCCGAATGCAAAATATTATTATCCTTGAGTCTAATTTTGTTGAATTTGAGTAAGTTATTCACCCATAAATCCGATTGAATTTTGTATTCTTCTCTGAATGGGCTGTTTCTGGAAATAATATCAAACAATATGAACGAAGGGGTATCAGGTGTTATGAATGGTAAAGTTTCACTTATCGACTTTGACTGACATATTTTTATCCATATCTTCAAGTCGTCAATTGTATAGGGTTTGTCTAATAAGTCTGAAACAGATTGAAAGCACTTTATTCCCTTTTTTAAAATCTCATTAGGTGGAACATTGAATTCGGTCGCTATAATAGTACAATCCACAGTCTTGGAGTCTTTAATTCTATTCATTAAGTGATCAAAAAATTCCGAATGATCTTGTAAAGGTATTTTGTTTTGATTTAATGCCTCTAGCACACAAATAATATGAAAAACAATTGGTTCTAAAGCTCCTGTCAATTTTTCCTGAGAAAATCTTAGTGAATGCTTTGTCCGTAGTTTCACCAGTGTATGATTTTGGTCTATAGCTTTCGCAAATAGTGGAAGGTAATGCATCTTTGGTTGAAGCCTTAGTTCGCTTTGTCCTTGTTCTGTGATTTTGTTATATAGTTTTGTTGGTAGTCTTTCAAAACTTCTTCGTATCAAAGTGGAGTTTTGTCGTAGGAACTCGATATTTAAGTTGAACAAAGAACCAAGACTTCGTCGTGTAAGGCATATTCTCATATTTTGTTCATCTCTTTAGATAAAAAGTGATAACATATGCCGTGATTCCAATAACTTTTTTGTCTTTCAATGTTATTTAACTCACAAGATATCAAATTTACAAATTTTCAGAATCTTTGATGTTACAATAAATATGACACAAAAAGTGGTGAAGCTATAGTAAAGCAAACCATAATCCATTCTGATTCTGTTCATTTCAAAGAACGACATAGACCTAGTTGGCCCATTAAATTAAAATTTTCAAACTTACCAAATACTTCTTATAGATGGATTAGATTTGAAAAATACTTTCACACTTTTTCATGTTAAAGCAAAGCCGTCATTTATAATTGGAGGAACAGATGGTCAATTTTCCGACTGTTCAACATAAAGAACTATTCAATGAGAGAAATTTAAGAAATACCCACAATGAGAATAGACCAATAAAACGGAGAAGAAAACAACTGCCCGAAGTTATTGAAATTAGCGATGAAAGTGTAAAAAGAGACGCGACTGATGATTCACAAGATTCGGATAATTTTGAAGATGTTACATTAGACATGGAACCCGAAATCGATTATGAGGAAGCTAACAATTCAAGTGGTGATTCGGATGATTTTGAAGACGTGGAGTTCGAGGTTCCCAACGCGTCGTACGACTTTGATGAACCAAAATCTAAGGAAAATGAATTGTTATCCTTTCAAATTCAATCAAAGGAAGAAGAACAGTCCCCTTCAAAGAAAAAGAAAGCGAAGTTCATATCTAACGATGAAAGGTTGAGACGAGTTTTAATCCACAAAATGTACCTTGTAATGTTGATTATACATGCTGCCATTAGAAATTCTTGGTGCAACGATAAAGATATTGGAAAAAAATTGAAAAATTCATGCGTAACACAACAAATATCAAAGTTGTTGGATGATGATGAGTCTTCTGATGCAATAAAATCAAGACGATTATTGGATGGTATTAAAAAATTAATAACGATCTATGAATCGAAGTATAGACTTACAGCCCAAGGTTTAATTAGAAAAGAATGGAATGAATTGTCAGTTGTGCAAGAGTCGGCGGAAATAGTTACAAAAAAGAAGTTTAAGAGGTTGGTGACAAATTTTAGAGGTAGCAGGGACGTGGCAGCTCAAGGATTCGTAGCTCTATTGAGGTCATTGGGTTTAAATGCTAGATTGGTCATTTCATTACAACCACCTGATTATACACTCATTACAGAATCTGAAATTAAAGAAGGCAAGAAATCTACGGCTAGTTTTGAATCCTCGACCTATCCTATCTTTTGGGTCGAAGTGTGGGACAAATTTGGAAAGAAGTGGATCAGTGTTGATCCGATCGTTTCAAAATCAATCGAGGTATGTTCGAAAAGAAAAAAATCGAGTTTTGAGCCACCTAGCTCCGACGTGAGGAATCAATTGGTCTATGTTGTAGCATTTGATAAATATGGTAGAGTTAGGGATGTAACTCGAAGATACTCGTATCAGTATAACGCAAAAACCATCAGGAAACGAATAGAATTTAAGTCAAATGACGATAAAGAATGGTATTATCGAATATTAAATTATTGTGAAAAGAAGAAATCTAAAAGCGTGGCAGACATTTACGAACAGAAAGAATTTCATGAACGAGATTTAGCAGAGGGAATGCCCAATAACATACAAGCATTTAAGGATCATCCGTTATATGCACTAGACTCTCAATTGAGACAAAACGAAGTGATACATCCAACAGACGAGTCAAGTGTTTGCGGAATGTTTCGACCGCGAAATTCATCATCAAAATTGTTGAAAGTGTACAGAAGGTCAAGTGTATATAGGCTAAGATCAGCTAGAGCTTGGTATATGAAAGGAAGAGTTTTAAAATTAGGAGCATCAGCTTTAAAATCTAAAAAAAGTAATAACAATAGTAACGAGGAAGAAGATGTTCGACTTTATGCAGAATTTCAAACCAAATTGTATGTTCCACCAAGGATTGAAAATGGAAACATTCCGAAAAATCAATATGGTAATATAGATGTATACACAGAGTCAATGATACCGCCTAATGGTTCTTTAATTAGAACCAATGATCAAGTGACCATGAAACTTTTAATAAGATGTGCCAATTTATTAGAAATTGATTTTGCAAAGGCAATAACGTCATTTGATTTTACTCAAAGAAGTAAGCATACTCCAAATGCAAAAGAAGGTGGTATAGTAATTTTGAAAGATTTCGAAGAGGCACTTAGACTTACAATCCAACACACGTTAGAAGAAGAGAAAGAGCATAACCGTTTGATGGTCGAGTTGAATGCTTTGCAGAATTGGAGATATATCTTGTTGAAGCTAAGATTGAACCAACGGTTAAACAAAACACACGGTGCCGTTGAAGATGATACTGAATTAAACTTTTTGAATAATACAGAAGATGGAGAAGAAGAAATTGAAGATGGAGGATTTGTGGTTGATCTACCAAGAAATCATGAAGTTGAAAAGTTTGATGACTATGAAGACGATGCTATTGGTGGTGGGTTTGTTGTTTCCGATGATGAGTTGGGAGAATTGGAAAACGGTAATGAGAATGATATAGAAGAATCTGTTTTGATTGAAAAGACTAGAAAATCAAGAGCTGCAACTCCAAAGTATCAAGATGATGCATTCATTGGCGAAGGCGACGACAGTGAGTCACAGATGAGTAAGTTTATATCTTATTCAGATAGTTCTGGTTCTGAAGCTGAATTTAAAAATGATGAGAATGAATACGAAGATGAAGATGAAGATGAGGACGATGGTCTAGAATTTGAGTTTGAGAGTGATTGAAAGAACTTTTGTATACTCTTGTGTACTAATAGTAGAGGAATATTCTTTGAAATGACATGGTTATTTCGTAATACATTCTTCAAAAACATATGGTTGTCCTTACAAATTGACAAAAAATAAAGCGCAAAAATTTAATTTGAACTGCCATAAACCGAATCTTCAAAATTTCTTTTTAAATCGTGGGAAAAAAAGTTCAAATTAGAACAAAGGTAAAATTCATATGCTCAATTTTATGAAATTGGCGGTAAAGTCCTCCGTAGGTGAAACTTACCGAAAAAGTATCACCTGATGCTGTTCATTCAACTCTAAAACAGAATCTAGCTAAGCTAAGTAGTGATCAAATTTGAAAATTATATTTCTATAAAAACTGATCACTGTCTTGAACCTATAAAAAGGTTTGCACTCTCAATCTATAAGCGTAATTAATTTCCAGAAACGGAAGGAATTACAATTTTACAATTACAAATGCGCAATTAATTGTGTGTGGCTATCTACAAAATTTTTACATACATAGAAGAAACCTTAATAAAATTTTACACAATTGCACAAAAAGATAGAATTTAAATTCTGCGAAAGCGCAACTTACTTATTTCCATTATTTACATAGAATAATTACATTAAGATGATTATTTTAATTCATAATCTATGGTTAAAAATATTCATCATCCTATTTTAATTCATTTGAAGATCTGAATATATAATGATCTAAAATCCATAAGATTTATAAAAGAACATCAATTATAAAGAAAGAAGAAATAGCAAAGATCATCACAAATTTGCAGAATTTAATCGAATTCATGAGTTAGCTTTTATTGGTAAACAAAATTCACAATTTCAGAAAAAGATTGCCAAACAATTATACCTTAATAATTAGATCACAAAGTTTTACCAAGATCATCAACATATTTCAACTAAGATAAACAACAAGATGTATAACGAAGTTGCGGAAAATGTACTAGGAGCTTTAGGTGCAGTTTTATGGCTGGTTCAGTTAATACCACAAATCGTTAGAAACTACAAAGTCAAAGATTGTACAGGTTTGCCTCCTTTAATGATGTTTTTATGGGCAGTTAGTGGAGTACCATTTAGTATTTACTTTTTAGGGATTGATGGAAGTATCCCGTTAAGAATTCAACCACAATTATTCACATTTTTTTGTTTGATCACTTGGTTCCAAACCTTATATTACCCTCCCCATCATGTTTCAAGAAAAAAATTATTATTATGTATATCTGCCTTTGTATTGGTAAGTGTCGGGTTAGAACTTGGTTTGGTTTTTGGCCTTAGACCATTACATAGAAGAGGAATAACTTGGCCAATGTTAATTATTGGTGTAATTGCATCGGTTTTGTTAGCATTAGGTTTGATTCCTCCATATTTTGAATTGGGAAAGAGAAAAGGAAGAGTCATTGGAATCAATTTTATCTTCTTGTCCATGGACTCATTGGGTGCTATTGTTTCAATGTTGAGTGTCATAGTTGGAAAAATGGATGTTATGAGTTGTGTTTTATATGCGGTAGTACTTGCACTAGAATTAGGTATTTTCACAAGTCATATTATATGGTATGTAAGATTTGGAAGGAAAATGACTAAAGAAGAATTGGAATTGGATTTGGTGTCAGAAAAATCTCGTGTTAATGATATTGAAAAGAGTATTGAAGCGGAAGAGACAGATACGGGAGCTAATGAAGACACTTCCTTGGAAGGAGTGGAAGTTGTAGAAGATGAAGTTACTGAAGATCCACTCTTACAATCAAAAACTGAATCAAAAAGTTCAAACGAAATTGAATGATAGTTGATTTTGATTCATGTTATTTTGTATAGATACTAAGACTCATGTTTAAATCGAATTATAGTAATGCCATTATAGATTATGTATACGTGTTGGAAGTGTTGATCTCTCATAATTCACGTCTAATTGTAAATGTTTTATTTTGTGCAATTAAATAATTTATTACTTGAAACCAACTTTCATACCAAAACCACATGAGTAATACATGCAATAGTTGATGGTATGTTTATAGTCATTGGGTAGATCTATTAAACTTGATAGACTTTGTACTAACTTTAAATTATAGTCTGCTTTCAAACCAATTAATTTATTGGATGACATAAATTCAAAAAAGGATTTAGAAGAAGAACATACTAGAGAATTACAAGTAGAACAAGCATTTGAGCTTTATCAAAAGGCATTAAGTCTTCAAAATCAAAAGCAGTATGTTGAGGCTTATAAAGTATACGAGAAGCTATTTGTTCTCGACATTATTGGAAACTATTATTTTGAAGAGATAGATCTTATTCGTGGAGTTCAAAATGGTTCAATGAATAAAGTAACAGATGAACTTTCTTCATTATCACCAAGTGTTAAGTCATTGAGATATTTGATTTTCAGAAATAGAGGTTTCTTGTACATGGATATTTTAAAACACAGCCTGCTTATCGAGAAATTAGTGGACAATGATACTTCAATCGATAAAAAGTTCAAAAGTTTATTTTATTCCATGATTGAAGACTTTTGTGTGGCTACATTATACAACGAAGCAGATGAAAAACTTTTGGATGTATTGTATAACATTTTTACTTATCTTGGACAAAAAAAGTTAGCAAAATTTACGTTGGAATATATTCTTAGTAGCAGGTTCGAAAGTGATGATTTATTGGGTTTTCTACCGATTAATCAACAAGCGGAGGATAAATTGAAGTCATTAAACAGTCAATTAAAGGTGTCTCAACTAAAATTAAAACCCGTGGAGGGGATAAAGAAAAAAAATTATGACTTTTTAAAAAAGATAAAACTTGAATTTGAAGTTGTTCAAGAAAAGTTGCGACACAAGAACCAGGACGAAATATCTTGGAACCGTTCTTGGAATAACCTTATAATCTCCATTAATAAGAAAATAAAGAAGCATGAAGATGAAAATAAGGTGGAGGACTTTCAGAAGCTGAAGCTCAAATATTTTGATCCATATTTACTTACAGACGAACCATTGGAGAGTATCTCATTCAAAAGCTGTCTTGATGATCCGACCGTAACAAAAGAAATTGTGGAAGAACCAGTGCAACCGGATATCATTGAAATTGAGAAAGAAATTCCAGAAAACGAAATCAATGAGCCAAATGCACCAACATTAAAAATGGATGACTTAGAAAAACAATTAGAACTTGATGCAAAGCAACAGATACAACGTACATCTAAACGATTGTCAAGAGTTGAGTCTGAACCTGACATACCAGCAATTGAGCTTCAAAGTTCTCATTTCCTTGGTTTGGACTACTCCGTTACTGAGTTATCTACATTGATTCCAGAACTAAAAATTACCAAAATATCGGACATTTATTTGGAAGATCAAAATTCATCCACTCAAACTGAGAGTTTATCAAGTCCCCTATATTTGAAAGACTTCATCCACATCATGAATGATTGGAAACCTACATTTACTAAAGACCTCAATTCATTGAATTTAAACTCATCAAAGTTCAGTGATGAGAATTTAAAGTTATCAGAATTGTTGGAAGGATTTAGCAGTAAATTTGAAAGACTAACTCAGAACAAGAAAATCACTGACTTACCTTTAGTTACTAATGACGACTTGCTGAAGATACTATCTCAAGACGATGATTATATCACGGTCAAAACAAAAATCATAAATTATTTGTTGGCCTCAGCAGCTCCCCCTATTTTGAATTTCAAATGGGACAACGAACTAATACTAATTTTTAACGACTGGGTTTTGCAACTTGACAACTATTTGTCAAAACAATATATTCCTGCAAGCACGGCCATGGGTATACTTGAAATACTTATTGATAATTCAATCACTTTGGAGCATCAAGTAAAAGATTCGGTGAATTCTAAAAAATTAAATAAGGCAGTGGTGAATGTAATGTGTCAAGACTTAATGAAAATTAATGAAAAAATATTAAAATGGACCGGCATTGTTGAAAATTTAATTAATGAAAATGAAGAAAATGAAGAGATGATCTTTATACTAAAATCTAGATTTGAATGGAGTAAAATTTTGAAGGAAAATTCAGAAGCTAAATCCATGGATGACAACAAATCTGCTCAATACTCATTGAAGAATTTTTCGAACTATATATCTTATTCGTCATTCACTTTGAACATACATTATCCGAACTACAAAAATTTCCATGCATTAAATTTAGAAAATGTTCAGACACAATTGACTATTATGTCGGTATCAACAATTTTTTGGCAAATCCTAGCAGTCGATACAAGATCAGGTAACTCAGAAGCTATCAAATTACTTGAAGATATCTTGTTCGAAACAAATGAAGTGGATGATGATGCTATTAATTCAATCAGACTGTTTATGAAATCCAACTCACTTGATATGAAGTTGAGTTTATGGAATATATTGATGCAATTTTATAAGTCGCTAGATATGACTGATAAATTAGTGGTTGGAATTGAGCAGAGTTTATCGTTTTTCAATAAGTATTTGTTGTCATTGCGATATATAGATTTGACTTATGAGTCAAGAACTAGTATTTTGTGCAAAATAATAGGATTTTACAACACCAGCTTTTCATATTTAGTCGAACAATTAGAAAAGCAAGCCTGGAAAATGAATCCGTCAATGTCTTTGCTTTCCTTGATCCCAATATTTGAAATCTGCTTATATTTTGAAATACATGAAGAAGCTTGCAGTATTAGTTCTTTAAAAACATCTATCAAATCACAATCTCAACAATCATACAACTCCTTAAAAGACTTGTTTTTAAAAACAGTAGTGGTGATTTTAGCTTGTATCGAAAATCGGTATTCAAAAAATACCCTTAACCAAGCAATAAAAATATTTCATGCACAATTGGGTGCTAGTGGTATATGTGATGCCGCTGGTGGTGTATTCTTGAGAGCTTCTCAAGAATATTTGTCAAATATCGATGGAGCTGATCAGGATATTAGTCAATTAATCAAATGCAGATACCACTATAGTATTTGTATTGATGGTTTTGTCCCTTTTGAGCATGAGACTCAGAAGAAGGAAGGTCTAAAAAAAAATGAGTGTTTGGAGTTAGCTAACTTTGTATTACCAATATACTTTAAAACTAATACTATAAAAAATGTGCCCAAGCATGACATGAAGGTGTTGATTGAAGAAATGTATGAGGTTTTTGATGACCCAGATTACGACAATGATACAACGTTGGGTAGGAATAAGGCATATTTTGATTATTTTTTAGAATCTACAAGGATTAATCCAAGATTTGTTCGTGATGCTTTTCACGGATTAGCAAAATTAGAGTTAGATAAAGCAAAGACAGAAATTGGTTCAAGTGGTCTTTATTACCTTCAAGGTTTACTTATTTTTTCAAACTACAAGCAACGTAAGAAAAATATGCAAGGAAGAGCAGTCGAGATCGAAAATGCAATATCCTTGTTCACAAGTGATTTGGTATGTGGAAGCAATAGAATGGAAAGTTGGTTTTTGATGGGTCAGGCTTATGGCTACTTGGTGGAAGATGATTTAATTTGGACTTCTGATAAATTAACCGTACCTGATAGGAAAAATGGAACTGCCAATCTACAAAGAAAATCTTTAATTTGTTATCTTATGGCAATTAATTTCACTTTGGACAATAAATCCAAACTCAGAATAAAGCCTATAGTTTCAAGTTTGATGTCATCATTCGCTAAGGAATTATTTGGAGCCATAATGGAACCGATGGATATGTTAGCATTGAAAGTTCACTCGCACCCAAAATTTGTCAACAAACCTGGTGGTGCAAGTTTTATCAATGTTTCTGAAAAAACCGACTTGACAAAAAAATTTTGCCTCAATTTGATCAAGCAAGCACTTCATTTGGCGATTAAGTCCAATGATAAAGATTGGACTGACTATTATTACTTAGCCAAGGTACAAAAAAAATGCAACCAATCACCTAACTTAGTACTTGAAACGATGAGCAGATCCTGTGATATGGCATTGAAATCCAAGTCGAATGATCCAATTCTCGAGCCGCTCTATGGCTTGGTCACATTGTGTTACAAGTATGTTAAGTCAAATCAAATTTCATTGGATGAAGCATTAGGTTATTTGAAAAAATCGACAATGATAGAAACTGATATAACTTCTGTTAGTGATAAAGTTCAATTTTACGAATTGGTGATGTCTGCTTTGAAACAAATAGACGCAGCTGATAAGAAAAATTGGCAGCATAAACCCACACACAAACTAGCGCAAATTTTATATGAAGAATTTAATGATGTTGAAGGTGCACATAAATTAATGTCTAATTTTATATCTTTGAGATCTGTTAATAAGCAATTGGTGTCTATTTGGAAGCCGGAATCAGAGAGACCTGGGAAGCACTTTTTGTATACTTTACAATATATTAAATTCTATATTGAAATTTTGAAGCAAAAGAAAGACTTGAATAGTTTGATAGTTATGATTCCAAAATTACGTCGGTCAAGTTCCATAATGGTCAATTTGTACAATGCTTGGGAACTTCTATGTTCTTCAATATGTATCATTATTAGAAATGCAGTAAATGTTGATGAGACATTCACTTTTACAGATAATTTTATCAACAACTTACCTCACCTGGTTTTTTCATTAAATCAAAAATCAATGTTTGATTTCTTGGAGCATAAAGAGATTCCTGACGAATTAATTCCGACTTTTTGCTTTTTAGATGCTTTGAATGATGTTAAAAAATCCAATAACGGATACGGTCCTACTTCATTAATTGATGATACAATAGTTACCTTATTTTTCAAAATATATACTTTTTATCATAGTGATACTAATTTTTTCGCACAGATGAACTCACCTGGTACAAAAAAGAAAATTGCGAAGAAAGATATTTTTCCTTTGGTTAATGAATTGTTAAAGATTGGAAGAAGAGATGTGGATTCGAGACTAAAAGCTCAAGAAGATGGATATAATGATGTTTTGAGTGTATTGATTGAAAAGCAAGATGATAAGTTAAAAATTATAACGGAGAGTGAGGAGAAAGATAAGGAGGGAATTGAATTGCAATCGATCAGCTCACAATCAAAAGGTAATGCTGCAAATGAGGAAGATATCAATTTTATCGAAGATTCTGGGGACAGAGATATGACGGTAGAGCTGACACCCAATAATGAAGATAGAGATCCTGTTCACCCTACTGAAGAAGCTGGTGAAAATGAAATAATCAGTGTGTCACTGAATCTGATAGGAGATACTCGTGCAATTGAAACTAATATCAACGAGTCGCAACTAAATTATAATGATGAGAGATATGGTCTGATTGAAGTGGTGGAAGATGTTTTATCCGATATAGGAAATCCAAGCGTTGATATTCAAACTGTTCAATCTGAGGTCAATACAAAGTCTCGCTCTAGTTCAAACGATTCTAGTTCGAACGATTCAAGTCCAACCAGACCAGCTAAAAGAGATTATGAAAGAACTTTCGCATTCGATCCAAAAAGCGATGAAATAATCATCATTGACTCAGACGATGAACCATTGAGTAAAAGATTGAAAAATTCTACGTAATGTAATGCAAATACATGAGTGTCTATTCAACTATTCAACCTCTCCAAACGTAGTAATTAAGTTCCGTAGGGATAAATCGTACACAATTTTGTTCAATCTTTGTGAATTGTATTTCAAACTATCGAACCTTTTTCTCAAAATATCGTTTTTTAAGTCTAACAACAGAAATCCATTTTGAATTTTTGAGACAATTTGCAGGTTAATAACACCCAATGTATAATTCGAAGATTTTTCATTCGAAGATCCAATTGACTGATTTATTACAGTTGTGGTGGTATAATTCACAATAACATCAATAAATTTTAATAATGAAATTAAATAAATTTGATAATTGATATTATCCAATTTTAAAGCCGTAAAAATTTCTTTTGGTGTCTCCACTATTCCTAGTTCTTCATTTATAGTAACTAATTTTAACTTTATTGGATCGTTGATGAATGAAAATGATAAAATCCAGAAATATCTGTTTGCTAGTAAAATGTAAATGGAGTCCTCAATAAATTTATTTGTCAATTTTTCTTTCTGACTTGCTTTACAATCTAAATCCGAAAGTTTCTGCAAATAATGTGATAAATTAACTTGTATATCATTTTCAAAGCTATTTGTGTTTTTGAATTCTAAATTTAACTGATTTGGACTCACAGATATCCATGAATTTATTTTAGATTGATATGGTATTATTGATAAGTCAAATTCATTTTCCAAATCTTGAATTAATGCTTTTTTATTGATGCTATGAGTAAACCGTTAGATTGAAGTTAGTTTTAATTTTGATTTTTGTTATACATACTCCTTGGCTATTTCCAGTCTTATATCCTCAAAAAATCTGTCCAATTGAAACGTCTGAGACATATCTTGATTGTAAAACTTGAAGATGAAAGCAGCTTGAATAAAATATTTGTTTGTATCTTTTACAAACCCATTTTGTGCAACAATTGATTTTTCAACCAAATGATGGATTTATAGAACATGTCTGGCATATCAAAAGTTTTATGTTTGCCTGGTTATTTACAAAGCGGAGCAACCTTGGCTAGGAAGTCTTCTGGGTTTCGAAAAGTCTTGTCGAAGAAACTAAACATTCAACTTGATTATATAAGTCCTTGTCATTGTATAAATTCAAAATCTGAATTAGGATTTCCTTTGGGTGCAACAGAAGAAGAAGCAAATAAAGTTTGGGATCAAATTGTGGAAAATGAGAATAATGTAAGATGGTTCAATCATGTCGGTCCAAATGACAATAAGGGTCTCGAAGAATCAATTGAATTTATACTAAATTATTTAAATAAAAATGGACCTTATGATGGAATAATTGGATTTTCTCAAGGTGCAGCAATGGCAATTATGGTAACAAACTGTTTGAAAAGTAAGTTACCCACCCATCCAGAATTTAAGATAAGTATGTTTGTTTCTGGGTTTTGTTTAACAGAAGCAAAAAATGGTGATAATTCTGAAGTGAATAAAGAAAGGATCAGCAATTTATCTGATTTGGATCAATATTCAAGTGAAGTAAAAATTTCAGATGAACCAGCAAAATATTTACTAGATCCAACTAACAATGAAAGCTTTGGTAAAAGTATGAACACTAAAGTAATTTTAGTTTATGGTAAAAATGATATGATAGTTTCTCCAATTAGATCAAAGTATGTTACCAACTTATATAATCAGGATCAAATTCATATTTTTCCTCATGAGGGAGCTCATTTGTTTCCAAACGATAAAAAATTTATTGCTCCTATCACTGACTTGTTTGATAGAGAAATTAACAAGGTTAAGCTATAGTTGAGAATGTACTTCATGTAGATAGTTTTATAGTTATATTTATACACTGTTTAGAATGTTTCATAAAATTCATATTTAAATTTATTATGGGAACTTTAAGTTTACGAAAGACATGTTTTGTGTAATGATTTTTGATTTTTGGAGTGATTATCACGAAACTAAAATCAACCTGCGAAATTAGATTGTTTCATCATTTCAAAGGTCCTTATTATTAAATATTCCTACCATTCATTAATTCATGTCCGATACCACGGATACTTATGTTCCGAAGAGTCAACGAGATAGTTCAGATGGCACTAAATTTAAAGTAGATCGTAATAGAGAAAGACTTGAAATATCTCGTCGTGAATATGCAACTGGAGTCAAGACAACTTCAACCTACAGTAAAGTGGAAACACCAGGATGGATGAAAAAAGAGCCATTGAAGGACTTGAAATACGAAAAATATGGTGCGAGATCAGAGGCATCTAATTTAGCATCGACAATATCATTATCATCTAATCAAGGAAAGGAAAAAGAGCAGGATTCAAGACTAAGTAGATTAAAACGTTCGAGACAAGAAATGGAAAAACGATACGATTATGATGAAAAAAGAGAAGATGAGGATGAAGAAGAAAATACTTCGATACAGCCGTATTTGAGATTAGATGTAGCCAATCCATCAACAATACAATCAGGAAAAGATAATTATCACACATTTCAAAGCAAAATTCATGACAAAGAAAATCGAGACATCAATAGTATAGTCAGACAACATTACAACCAAAGGACGCAACAGTCGAAAAGACAAGGTTCAAGAGTCAACTCACCAATATACAAGTTGAGAAATTTCAATAATACGATCAAATACATCTTGCTATCCAATTGGGGTAAGTGTGTCAAAGATGAATCAACCAAATCACCCTTGTTTGCTGTATTGGATTTATGCTGTGGGAAAGGAGGTGATTTAAATAAATGTGAATTTATTAAGATTGATCAATATATCGGGATAGATATCTCAGATGTTTCAGTTCGTGAAGCTTATGATAGATACTCCAAACAAAAAGCCAGATTTAAAACTCATCATAGAAGCGAAAATAAATACAATTTTGAAGCATGTTTTGCAACTGGTGATTGTTTCACTCAATTTGTTCCTGAGATGTTAGAGCCAAATTTTCCTGGTATAATAGAAAAAACTTTTCCTGTTGATTTAGTATCTATTCAGTTTGCCCTACATTATGCATTTGAGAATGAACAAAAAGTCCGAACTTTGCTAACAAACATCTCACGATCGTTGAAAACCGGGGGAAGATTCATTGGGACAATTCCTTCGTCTGATTTCTTTAAAGCTAAAATTACAAATAAACAATTCTATAGGGATCAAGATGGAAAAACTAAATTTGGTAATAATTTATATTCGGTTACTTTTGATAAACCTCCACCTGAAGATGGGGTGTTTAGACCTCCGTTTGGTAACAGATATATATACTGGTTAAAAGATGCGGTGGATAATGTTCCAGAATATGTTGTACCTTTTGAAACTTTGAGGTCTTTATGTGAAGAGTTCAACTTAATTTTGAAATATAAAAAGAATTTTGTTGATATTTTCAATCTGGAAATTCCACATTTTTTTAACAAGTTGAATAAAAATTTGATTGACGGTTTGAAAAGAAGTGATAATAAATATGGTGCGGAAGGAGATGAGAAAGAAGCCGTTGGATTTTACGTTGGATTTGTTTTTGAAAAGATATAGGGTCAAATTTGTTATGATGCAAATTATCTAATCTCTAGACTGATGTGATAGCCGAAAAACTTGAACCAAAGTAATTTGAATATTGTATCCTAGTCTCATATCTTGCTGAAACACAAGTAGCTCTCTTTTAGCTTTCGTTATAAATATATTTTTGTCATTACTTTTCGCTTTAAGATTGTCCTGTCGGTATAATATTGTCGTAGCGACAGCTTGGCTATTTGATTTTAACTCCATTATACGTCCCTTTTGAGATTATTGCTTCAAGTATACAAGATTATTAGAATTAAATCAATTACCAGTGCTAAAAATATCTGAAGATAATATGATGGATATTATAGTATAGTTCATTTTGAAATTTTTGTAGGTCTTGATATTTCTACTATTGAAGCCAGATTTCTCAGTACGTTACCAATGTTCTCCGAGAACGGTTAAATTATTGAAAACACGTTAGGATTAGACTCAGAACCTTGAGGACTTATAAAGTGAACTTTGAAGAGATTGACAAGATTGATTCCTGATTAGCACTTCCTAACTAAAATCATCATCAATTGATCTACTACCATATCAACAAACGTTTCTGTACCAAAACTTAATCCTAAATTGAAAAGACTTTTACTAAAACAATAAGTTCTTACGGAATATTGTACTATCGAATATTAACATCATCCAGAATATTGACAATTGTATACCATGATCTACACCAAGTCTGTTTCAAAAGTCCAAAATGTCAGTATATACCAAGAATATGATGTGCCACCTAAATGATCATAATTTGTATCACATTGTAAGATACGTCATAAATGTTGATTTCTTTTTATTAAATCACATAACCAACATCTGCAAAAGTTAAAAAATGCATTCAAAAGGATAATAACAATAGGCTCTCTTCTACATAACACATCGTAACTGTAAAAGGTGTAATGTATGTGGATCTTTTTCGGTTGATGTACCTTTACTTAATTTTCCATGTGTCTGTTTCTCGACATATCTCTATCAGTCATATCTCTATAAGTTCTACCCATGTAACATTAAAACATTTCATGCTAAGCAGCTCAAAAAGAGCTGGAACTCCTAATGTTTAGTATTTTAAGCTTTAATGTTTTCCATGACTCTAATCAAATACATTCATTGAAGTATTCGATCAGTAGATGTGAAACAATTTAAATTTGTGTGCGTTAACGGTTTCGAGTAATACCACCTAAAATTGTGATGAATCTTTTCAATGGACAATAGTGCAGAAAGGTTAATGGATTATGCTAGATTGGGGACTTAGTTTTTTGTTAACTTCATTGGATTATGACTAATATTTAAGAGTCTCATATCTTAATTGAGGTACCAAATTGTATTAAGATTAGTTTTCAAGACGTCTCATTTCTTGATTGAATTACCGATTGAATTCAAACTTAAAACCAAATCATACATTGTGAAACTATTTGAAATTAATAATCGCTATTAAAATGTTTGATATTTCAGTTTCTTAATCCGTAGTTCCATGTCAATAAATTTTGTTTTTCATAAATTGTTTATTAATGGTATAATACATGATTTCGGTTCATGGCATAAATGGTTGCAAATTATCAACATGATCAACACTGTTCGAAAGAAATCCACCCTATAACAACGTCTTTTTCGATTATCCAGATTCCAAATAAGAACATGAGCTGCTCAGAACTTTCATCTTAGTCTAAGGTTGGTAAAATTCAAATGCTAATTTTTTTGTATGTGATAATGAATATAGTCAGGTAATTTTATGTTATTAATAAGTAATGTAATTTATTCTAATTCAAAATATTTTTAAATGAAAAACTACTATTGCAGGCAGTAGCATGGGTTATTGATCGTCTCTTTATTCAAGTAAATTGAAATGGTAAATTTATTTGGCTAGGCGGTCGTCGACAATCAACAAACATTTATATCTTTTCCCACAAATTTTCTGTCAACTAAATGGATTTTTAACGATTGTGATCTTCTTCTTCATAGAATTTAAAGTATTATTACAGGTTTAATACCTTCTATGAACTTGTTTGCTCTTGGATTGATAGAAGGCCTTGCAAAAAAAATATAGGTTATATTAAATGACAAAAAATCCAACAAACCTCATTTGACAAAGCTTTCTTAGGATTTGCAAATGATTAAATTTAATTTGAACGAATGGATATAGTGAAAATATGAGTGAATCTAACTGTTCATATAGGAAATTATGTGAATTAATTAAAAAAGTTTGGTGCTAAAATCAATAAACAATACACTCAAAAATACAACTAATAAAAATTTCAACCAGATTCACTAAAATTAACTACCACTACGTTAACAAACTGCTAAATTACCTCATTCAATGGAGTTTAAAGTAAAAAAAACAGTTCAAGTGAAGATACAGCTTTGGATAAAGGAGGATAATTTTCGAACAAAATTCAAACGTGAGATACTATTCAATTCTTGTACATTATTTCAGGATTATTAGTAAAGCAACAACAAAAATCAAGCTAATTATACCAACCTTGAGAATGTTGATTAGATTTTTCAACGGTGAGAGATCAGCTTTCGGTCAATGTCCAATGTTAAAAGATGAATTATTTTCAAATGCCAAACTTACACATGGGTCTTCTTAAAAATTACTTACAACAGTACCTTTAAAAACAGCCAATAAAAACTTAAGCGGTTTCAATTCTTCAAGAATTTAAGATATTTATACTAAAGCAGAAATAAGAAGATCCTACACTTGCAAATAATGATAAGTTATGTGACTTTATATTAAAATCAATCAAAAAATTAGTGATTTACGAGTTAAATGGAAAGTCATATGTAATCACATCGTTGACGAAGAGTTGATTTTAGCTAAATTTAGTACAAGACTAAAATTCAATCTGATTAAATTTTGTTTTGCAAGATATGATGTAACTTGAAACTAAATGAATCAAAACAGAATTTTGATGAAATAAAGTTTTATAAATCTTTTAGTCTTTGTACTTTGAACTTCTATAATTTGTTGGTATTCTGGATGAAGTGCCGCTTGATTGTGTGTTGTAACTGCTCAAGTAATCTTTATGAATTAATCATGACCTGCACTGTGATTCAAGTTTCAATTTTATAAGAAAACCCCTTAAAAAGTAATTAATCTTGACTATAATATGTGAAACTTTGAAATTTTAATGAAAGTTTTATTCAACCAAGAATTGAGAAAGTCTCACATTCATTCATTCATGCTTAATTTCTATATCTTTCTCGTATTGAGATTTCTTTGGAACAACTTTAAATAGAAGAACACATGGAGTTGACTAAACTAAAATATTATCTAAAAATAAATTAAGCAAAAGAACTAAATTAGCTAAAATATAGTGTTTCAGCTAAAATCTCAAATACAAGCAGTGATTTCACAATGTATGAAATCAAAATTAATGGCCTTTTTAACGGTTGAGCTTTTCAAATTTTCTCATTTTCATACCATGGAGTTGATTGTATCTTGCGTGTCATATAATATGAAACCATTCACATTCGCATGCAAAATGAATACAAAAACCTTAAAAACGTTTCAAAATCATGACACTTCACCAAAATCTAAAATTTCCATTCAGAAACCGAACGTGATTTTAGACAAACAAACTAATTTACATTGAATTGATTGAACGATTGAACAATTGATCAATCAGATAAGGACGGGTTAAAAATTTGACTAAAACTTAAATTAAGTTTATTTCTCTAGTGGTTAGCAAACCTGACTATTAATTTTTTAAAATTTTAGTCCGCATGGAGTTAATTTTAGTATTTTTCACCACGCTAAAACCATCAATGATTTTTAATCAATTTTCGTATTACATGAAGTCTTTAAGACACTATTTTATTATATTAATTAAAAATAATTTCATGAATTTGTATCATAGTACTTGGTATTATTCAACAAAATTAATGGAAATCATGAAAAGATGGAAAAATAATTTTACGGATTTCTTAATATTTTAATATTTTAATTTTCATCCATTGCCGTTTTAAATTTATAATGGTTATGATACTAAAATTAATAATCAAGTTTTTATTGTTTTCATGAAATTTGCCTAAAGTTTATTATAATATTAATCTAAGTCAGAACAGAAATTTCAGATTATTATTATGAGTTTGAGTTTTGTGATGCGCCAAAGACACGAAATGTCTTTTTATTTCATTCAATCAATAGATATATTTGCTGATACTTTTTAACTTTTTGATTCAATTCGTTCATTGTTTCGTGAGATAATAAAAAAAAAAAAAACAGCAAAGATTGAATCAATATTTTTGTGTCTCTTCTTGTTTAGTTGCAATTTTACGTGGGGGATGAAGTTCTAAACGAAATTTTAAAAGTATAGTTTTCTAACAAATTTATAAAACAATAAGAACGCGGAATTATTTAAGCAGCTCACATCAAAGTTACAAAATTTGAGAGATAGGTGGATTGATAAAATGGATAGATTGGAGTAAAATTATGTTCTGCTGCTACAATCGGGTTAAGAAACAAACACGGAATTATTAATGTTGGTTCAGTATGCTTCATATTTTTTAGTTGTTGAGTAAATATCTTAAAAGTTACACCTTTCTCTTTAAAGCTCCGTATTATATCCATTTTGTGAGTACTATTACTATTACGATGTACTAAATAAGATGAGTTGGGTCTAATTATAGAGCGTACCATTAACATATTTGCTTAGTTGGGATAATTGATCATTACAATAGGTTTTCATCTAAGTCAGAAATTTGCAAATACAGATTAACATAAGTTTCAGTTTTTATGGTCACCCCACTATGCATGTGAAATTGGTATACTTTGAATCATAAATGTACCATAAATAATAGGTTGAGATACATATCGTGAAATCTTTATTGCAATACATATAGACTTGATTGATCAGATAAGTCTATAAAAAACCCTTGTTATGAATAAAAAAAGTGATTTACGATCGCTTGCTTTTCATGCATTTTTAAAAACCCAAGATCCTTAAGCTTTGCGTCACGAAATGCGAATACGACTACTT